ACAGAAAAAGCACATGACAAGCTGCAATGCAAAACTTTGCATTCTATTCTTGTACCTTCTCCTTTGGCTGGGATGTTTTTACTATTTGTTTTTGTTTTGTGCAATATTCAAATGAGACACAAACACGCTGCACCACTTTACATTGTATGACGATAATCATGAAGGAAAAGTTTAAATTTGTTACCGTCAAGTTGTAATAAAACTTTTTTTTCCCGTATTTGGATTAAGTATTTCAATGCAGAATTAAAAATGCTGAAATAACAGAATGTTCATAAGTAAACGAAATAAGAGTGCGAACATAGAGGAGGGAGAGAAAGAGAAAGAGAAAGAGAAAGAGAGAGAGAGAGAGAGATTATTTAAAGCATTTCGAAAAGTTTGTGCAAATAATTAAACATAAATTAGGCATTTTTATGGAGGTTAAAGACGATGGGAGATTTTGGACACAGCGAAACATATAATTGCTAAAGTCTGCAAGTTTTAATTTTCATTTTATGTTTCTCCTTACCACGATTTTAGCTTGTTCGTTTTAACATTAATTCCGCACGATCAGCACTTCTGAGATCTTTTTGTATGTCTGCGACAATTTTTTGAAATCATAAATTGGTCTTTGCTTATGTATAAGGAGCTTTTACAGTGAATTAACTGTCGGTAGATTTTATGATGCTGAAATATCTTTTAAAGATAATCTAAATAAATCGACTCGAGGATATTTAAAAGTTTATGTTAGCACATTACTCTTGGTCAGGGTTGTACGTTGATTTTTAGGTAAAGATTACTGAAGTTCTTGACAGAAACCTGAATAATAAATTGCTTTTACTTCTTCACCCTGCCTCTGGTTATTTGTCACTTTCTTATTATTCTTTTATGATGTTTCAAACACCTTGTCAGTTGACAGCCCTTTATAAACATAAGAGAAGGAGAAAGAAAACGAAAAGGAACATCTCGCAAGTATTTTGGATTTTTTAGGTGTGCAAACAAAATAACTTAAATTAAAAGCTATGATACACCATTAGGTCCCTAATTGAAAAGGATCAGAAGCGAGAAAGTGGAGCAAGAAAAAAGGGTTTGTTTTGGAATCACAACTCTTGTTTACTTCACTTTCATATGAGGAAGGAATTTAATAACGAGCGAGAGGATTTTTCTTTCCTTTTAATAGCGTTTAATACACACATGTGGCACCTGTAAAATCGTCCTGCTACCTACGTGAATGAATGTAGCGCTTGACACTGCTCGCCACCACGAATAAAAAATTTCATAGAATGAACAAAAAACGAAGCGAAAAATTTCGAATTAATTTTCCCTTATGAAATTATAATGTTAGGTACCATTTTAAATCTAAATGTGTGTGAGAACATCTCGATGCAATTTTGTGTCGAAGAATAAAATGAGATCAGCAATCTAAAAACCTTTTTCTTCCAGCTTCTCTGTTAAAAGCTGTTACCGCTGCCAAAATAGCTTCCATCTCTGTTCACTTCCTCACCCCTCTTCACTTTTCCACACAGAGCTTCAAGTGAAACGGAAAAAAGAAAATTTTATAATACATTGTACAAAAAATGCATACATGACCTCGTTATTTTACACTAAATCCTTGTTACACTTATTGTATGGCACGAGGAAGTTCAGTTAAAATAAAACTGATGGCTTTCCTTTTCCATCACCAAAATACGAGAAAAATAGTGAACAAAAAAAATAATTGACTGTTGTGTCATGTTCGTTTCATCGTTTGCAGTAGAAAACGAACATCGAAAGCTTTAAATTAAGTGAGATGAAAAGAAGAAGAAACAATTGAAGGGGAAAGAAACTTAAATCACTAGGATAAGAATTTGCTTTTAAAATGACAATTCTATAAAGTTAAGAATAAAAAAGAAGTGAACGAGCGAGAGAATGAAAACAAACTACTTTCCCCGCATACTTTTTCTCAGCCCAGTTGGAAAATTTGAATTTGCCGGTTACATGCACCAAATCATTTCGACACAACTCGAGATAATCTCATCGTTAAAGGAAAGTCTTCCGGAAACTTTCCTCTATTTTTTAATGGGGAAAGGCTTCGAGATTTCACAAAGAAAAGTAACTCCCTGTAAGATGCCTTGAAAACATCAACTGAGGGGAAATGAGAAATGTAAAATTATGTAACGCTGAGAAGAGAGAAAAAAGAAGTTTTCAAGCGAACATGTATGTACATATGAAAGTTGGAATTGGATAGCATTAGCAGACAATGAGAATGAAGATATCGTTTGAAAATAGAAAGAAAGCAGAAAGACGAACGTTTCCTTTCTGTTGAAAAAAGTATAAAGTAGAAATAAAAGGAAAAGCTTAATATGAGAATTTTCCTGTTATCATTTTCCGGCTATGCAATGCCACAGTCTCTGCTAAAATTTATTCGTGTAGCTCAGTGTGTATGTAAGAGAATTATATGCATGTATATATGATGGTACATGAACGTTAACATCCAATTCTAAAATAAATTGAGCTTCTTCTCCTCTATGTGGCGATCGATAAATAATCCATGACTCCCATAGCTCAGAATTTACTCGCCCAAACTTTTAATCTTTTCTTGCTGGCTTTTCTGTTAGTTTTTGTGCCCCGACTAACCGCAAATCGTACAATTTGTAATAAAAGTTCTCCTGCTATTAAATGAAAAGCTTTGATACGAGAGAAGTTTTTAATTAAACTTTTCTTTATTTTTTTCTCTCAATCTCAGTTAAGCACTTTCTCGATTGTCTATTCAAATAAAATGAGATGAAGAAGCATTAGATGCGAAATTGCGTTGGAATATCCTTACCCTTTTTTGCGACTAAGATCAGTGATAAATTGTATCTGTTGTTCTAAAAGGAAAATCTTTTAAAGGGAAGGAAGAAAGAGCAGAAACAAAATGCATTAAAATTAAACATTAAATTGTGCTGCATTCACTTCTTGTCAACTCCGAGACGACGATTTTTTACATTTCTTATGTTTAATCAATCACTATTCAACCGACAAATCTTCTATGCAGACTGTGTTCGTTGACTGCCTTCCGATTTCGACTTTGAAAAATTGATTTTAAAAGGAATTTCTTTTCTCTTCTTTCTCGAAGCACCCGACCATGGATTTCCGTCTCGCTTTTTCACTTCTTTCATAATGCGCTAAAAAAAAATTAGAAAAAAATGGCGAGGAACGAGAATAATTTTAACTCTACAGTGAATGGAGGCGAAATATACATCAGTAAAAATGAAAAGAACATTCAAAAGAGATTCTTCTTTTAAAGTTGTCTTGCAGAACGAAATAAGACTTGAGAAAAGTTTGGCATTGTTTGCGTCAGAACCTGATGCATAATTAACAACACTGTTAGATTAAAAACTTGAAATCTTTTGCTTTCATACCTAAATCGAAAACTTTTGTAAGCTTACAAAAAAGCTTATTTAATGACGTGCGCTTAATTCGTATCACAACTTTAACAAGCAAGCGGGAGGGCGAACAAGATGAAAAATTTCTGTTGTAGCGACCCACTTTCAAAAGATTAATATTTTAAGCAAAAAGAAGAAAGACGATGTGGAAAAGAAACAAAAAGAAAAATTTAGCGTTACAAGAATTTCTCGCCATGCTTTCGCCCATTTTCCAGAAAACACAATAAGAATTTTTTTGTTTTGTTGTTCTTGTTTTTCAGTTCCCCGTTGCGCTCTTTCCTATCATGTACTTTCCTTAATTGATTTTAGTTTTTCATAAGGCTCATTTTGCATATTTCTTCCCGTCCCAAAGCTCTCGTTTGTTTTGTGCGAGTATCACTACTCGGATGTTTATTGTGTTGCGGCTACTTTAAGATTAAAATGCATCATTTATTGTACTCAACGGTCGGGTACACTTTTTTAGCTTTCTTTCTCTTTTCTTTCCGAATTTTACATTTTATTTTCCTTCTTCTCTTTTTCTGGTTTGTCTCGAAGGGTCTGAGATTTATTTCTTTCAACAAGAATGTTTAAAATGCGTTCACACTAAGCTTCTTTATTTATTATCCTCGTGGAAATACGACGATACAAAAAGCTTTGGCCTTCCAAAACGACAGTCGCATTTATGCAAAGTTAAATAATGAAACATTAATTATGTTAAACGTTGAAACAAACGAAGCATCAGTTAAAAGTTTCCACTCGTATGGTAATCAAAAACATGATGGTTCAAAACGATCAAAACCATAGAAATGAACTCTATCCAGCTGGATTGTATTCTAAATGCAAAGTTGGAGACGTTCATTTGAATATCGTGATGGAGCGGCTTCATGGAGATCGAATGGCTTCATATGTAATCTATTTTGATGATGCTATGCTAGAGACATGAAATCCATAGATAACTTCACTTTGCACTTTAAAGTTTTTTCTATCGGGTTTAGAAAGTTCATGCACTTTTGTATAAATCTACATTCGCATTAAGGGCGAGAATATGCAGATTTGCTTGAAGTTGAAAAACTGTAGCCTGAAACGTTCCTGTAAAATATTTTTCTGCATTTTTAATACATAATTGACGATAATAATGCTGCTCTATTCTCAAAAGCTTTTCCGAAAACCAGAAAGAAAAGAGAAATTTCCCATGTTGAAAAAATTCTTAATTTTATAATAAAACTTTGATTGCTGAATTAGATGAAAAAAAAACAAAAGTTTCAGCCTCATTCATAATTAAAATGCTTGAAATTATGTGAAATAATTTTAAGCTGAGTGGGGTGAAAGCACCAAAAATTCGTTCCATTTTTTTGTACTTTCCATTTATCTAGTCTCATTCTACGGCTTACGAGACAAGGATTTGTATTGCGGTCGTCGTTGCAAATTTATTCCCAAAAAATAAAATTAATTAAAAAAAAGGAGAGAGTTTTTAAAAAGTTTTCTGTTTACAAAAGTTCAATGTTGGGAGAGAAAATTTTTAATCAGGTTTTTCTTTACATTTTATATCAAAAGTCATTTCGCTGCTGTGTGGTGATTACAAATTCAAAATTAATTATCAATGGTTTAAGTTTAAGTTTGTGGTTTTGGTTAGTTATCTCATTCAATCTCATGTATATTTTCAGGGACTCTTCGTATGAAGACAAAATCTCGTCTTCTAAAAAATTCATTGTTACATGAATAACAAGCTTGTTAACTGTTGTGTAAAACTTTAGTTTAAGCATCCTTTATGTTTGTTTCATATATATTTAGTATTTTAAGTAGAATGAATGTAATGCTTACAAAGCCATAAAACGAAAGCTTTAATCAATGCTATGCAATTATTTTTCACTTGAATAAGGAAAAATGAATTCAATTGTGCTAACTATTTGGGATGATATTCAATTCATGAGCTTTTCTTGCTGTTTTTCTTTTGCTGTTGCTACTTTTCTCATACGTAATTTTACCTACAAACGCCCATTAACTTTAATTGCATCGTCAATTGATTGAAGCTGTTCCACTTGCTTTGATTACAGCTATTAATTAAATCATTCCTTTTTTTCATTTCCATCAACTTTTCGTCATCGCCATCATCACCATCATTCAAACATGGAAACTGAAAACTTTTTTAACATAATATTAATGAATATTCATTTATTCGTTATTTTTCAAAACCAAAAAAAAAACACACGCAAACAAAACCTGCAAATTTTCTTGATTTAAAAATGTGCAGAGCTCTATCGAGGAATTACAATTCATCGCATCTTTCTGAAAGTGTCCCGCAATATTTTCGAGGGGGTCGCCCCTCATCGAACAAATCATCCTACACTCCATCAAGTAATATGGAGTTTTTACGTGGTGTTTATGCGTTTATGCAAGTGAGTAGATCATCGGTGAGTGTCGATTTTTCAATTTACTAATCAACTAACTTTTTTTCTTCTTAATTTATGAGTCGATAATAAAAATATTGATAGAGATGAAACCGTAAGGAATTAAACTCGAAATTTTCATACTTTATTTAAGCCTTAAACTTAGATTACAAACTTTATTTTAACAAAGAAATAAAAAGGAAATATTTTTTGTTCGTTTTTGAATAACCATAAAGTTTGAAACAAATTTATCATTTCGTTTGATTTAAATTCTTAATGAATCCGAGTATAAATATATAATACAAATCTTTTTTTCTCTCTCTCTCTCTCTCTCTTCTTCAACCCAATTTAAAAAAAATTCATGGAAAAAATTGTGAAAAATCCCCGTTGATGATGAATTTAGATAAATCATGTGAAAATTGATTCAGCGATTTTTCGTTTGCACACGAATGCAACAGTCATTTTACTCGTCACATTCTCTATTGCTGTTACAACGCGACAGTATGTAGGAAACCCAATCGATTGTGTTCATACAAGGTTAGTATCCATAATCACACGCAACAAAATAAAAAACTATTTCTTCTTTCTTCCAACACAAAAAGAAAAATCGAAGAAAATTCTCCCAAGACACATTTTAATTGATATTAGATGGCGCACGTTACAGGATGAAGAAAGAAAATTTCTAATTTATTTAATTTCATTGCCAAAAAAAATTTCATTTCTTTTCATATAAAGTCGACTTTTCTCAGTGTCATTTTTTGCAAAACACAGCTTGAGTTATTTAGCAATGAAAATTTCATCAAGCGAATATTTTGCAGTAACTCACGACATTCCTTTTTTCTCTTCTTTTCTATATTTTCTTTTTCTTCGACCGACATTTTTACAGAGACATACCGGAAGATGTTCTAAATACTTATTGTTGGATACATTCCACATATACTGTAGTCGATGCATTTATGAAGAAGCAAGGTCAAGAAGTTCCGTTTCCCGGTGTCGACAACTCTCAGAGTCGTGGGCAATTAACGATAAAGCACACAAAATATTATCAGTGGGTGGCGTTTACATTATTTTTTCAAGTGAGTATTATTAATATTTGTTCTTTCTATCAATAATATCTTGCGATTAAAAATGATGGTGACATGTCCAATTAAAATTTGAACTATTAATTTTAACGAGCAACATAAATAATCTTTCCTTTGAAAAAAAAATTGTATTGATGAAGGGAGAAGTTTGACGTCGACGTCATACCAGGTCTCTAAAGTTTCGTTCTTCTTCATGGGGCTTTAAAATTGAGAAATCATGTTTGCTGTCATGGATGAAAGGCAAAGAAGAAAGAGTATGCTTAGTTTATGATGGAAAAGCTATGGGTTATATTTATTACACTCTGAAGCCATTTCACTTTTAAATTGTTTACTACAAAAGCACTCAAAAAGCGCAGCATAAATAAAAGAAAGCGAAACATTGAAAAGACAAAGGAGAGAAAAGATTTATAGAAGTTACGGGTGACGGCAGAAGTTAACAAATAAATTTCTGAAAACTCATTTTCCTTCTTTATTACATATTGAAATAATAGTTTCAAAGAACGTAGGAAGTTTTGTGACCAATGTCACAAATGTTAAAGGAAAATTCTTTAATACTTAATTTTCCTCTCCTTGATGTTACTGAAGGTCAGCATCTTTCACTAACAATTTATCATGTTCAGTGTGACAAGCAAAAAACGTTAAAACATTAGTTCAATTTGCAACTTAATTAATTGTTTTGCAACGCAACGATGAATGGAAGTAGGAAAGCAATTAAAAGTTGGTCTGGCGAGTGAATTCGTTTACAACTTTACGCAAGTTTACGTACAAGCTGATTAAATCAACATTTGCTAAATCTCCTCAAAAGCTGTTGAATGAACAATAATTTTCAGTTGAACACATCTCCATTCTCATGATAAATCTATTTTTTATGTAGTCCAAAAAAATTTTATTCTTCTGACTTTGATGATCTGCGATGAAAAATTATTCTTTTTGCGCCTTTCGCCTTCTAATCCATCTCTAATGACCCAATCTATCCCCACCCATCAATTGAGGGATTACAGCTGAAATATGGTTTCGTCGCCTCGTAAAATCGACCTCTTTCATTCATGAAAATACCGAATGAAAAGAGATCAAAAATTTTAATGATATTATTAAAAATAATTAACATCTTTCAATGCTGCTCGAATGGTGAAACGCGTGCCGTGAATGAAAACTTGAATTGCTTAAAGCAAAAAAAGAAAGATATTTGTATGTTTACACGTCAACAAATTTACCTTGAACTATTTTCCCCATTTGTCCGCCGAACGAACAGAAGCATCGTCATGCAGCCAAACAATATTTTTTATTATTTAAACAAACAAACTATTATTAAACTCATAAATGATGCCGACGACGTGCACGAAAGAAAGAAAAGAAAATGTAACAAAATCTTAAATAATATTTTTAGAGACGCAAAATTTTTAGTTAAAAAATATGAGATGAAGAAAAGTGCGAGAAAATCACGCGAGGGCAAAGCATGAAAATGATTAAATGTGCGTTAAGTTAGTAAATTTCATTCATTTTTCAAAAAAATTGTTGCGGTTGGGTCAGGGGAAAAAAGGAAAATAAAACAGTGACGATGACAATCATGATCGAAGAAGAGAAAAGTTTTATTTTTAGTTTTTCTTTAGTTTGTAATTTGTTATACATTTTTAAATATAGCAACATTTCATCTCACAGTCAAATGTTTCATTGTATGAGATGATGATGATTATGAGTGCCTGATTCATTTATCAACGATGACTGGGTAGTTAGGAATTGCAATAAAAATAATATCGAAACAGGTGTCACTGTTGTTGTAGAATAAAGCTTTTATCTTAATCCATTTATTGATTCGACAAATCCGCTTTGATGATAACAAAACATAAATGATTTAAGGCTCGAACAACAGCAGATGTTCTTCGTCAGCAAAAGTAAAATCGAGAGAAAATATAGACACGACCGTAATACGATAGGTCTAGTAGCTATAAAGATCAACAGCAATAGCAGAGGAAAAAAGAAAGAAAGAAAAAACATCAAAGTTCAGACATTAATCCGAAGGAAGTTAAATCAATCATCGTTTTATGGCTCGGTTTCTGATTAGAACATTGTATTCAGTCTCAGTCTCAACCATTTTACTCTTAAAGCTGTCTAGTTGTAGTTGAACAACAACCAGACTCTTTCTTTCAGTCATTTCAAAATATTGATCCGTACCAGAAGTTGCAATTTATCATTTCCTACAATAATACTGGATGGAAAAAAAAGTTACAAATTCGATTGCGTCGATACTAAACATAACATTTTGATAAAACATAAAACAGTGGCACATCAACAGCAAGAAGGGAAGAAGAGGGAAAAAAGCGCAGTGAAGTAATCAAATATTTATAAATAAATTTGTTACATGATGATATCAGTAGCAGTAGTTCGATCATGAATTCGGTTTTGCTTTTACCATCTTTGCAACGTGACACACATTCGATGAATTTTTTGGCAGTAAGCAGCATGTGTACCAACAATAAATTATGTAAAATGATAATACGAACAACATATAAAATTAAGTTCAGATGTAAATATCAGTCTGGAAATACAGTCGAATCGCTTTGAATGCAAGCTGAAGGGGTATGCATTCATGGAGCTTTTCTTCTTATAGCATTGCTTTCAAGTATGAATACAGTTGAAGGGGTATGCATTCATGGAGCTTTTCTATTCATAGAACTTGCATTCATAGAGCTTCGACTGTATTTGCTGGCTGTACACAGCCCGGTTGATATTTACAATCATAAATTATCACCACATCATGTCGATAAATCCTTTTGCGAGTGTGTGGACATAACAGATTTTCTCCCAACGCATATTTTATTGCTTTATTATGATTACAAATGCTTTGAGCTTTCAGCTGACGAGCTTTTAAGTCATCGAAAGCTGTGAATAAGAAACTTATTTTCCACTTCCCTTTTTTTATTATTTATTCATTGTAAACTTAAAGATTCTTAACGCGTAATAATCTTTTATCGGTTATCCATTTCCTTCGTTATGACAAATCATTTGATGCGTAAAATTTTTTCCAATGAATTTCAGGAATGAATGAAAATGTTGTGCATGCATGACTAACACCGGAACTTCATCGAGCTGATATTTAAGTATGAAAGCAACAAATCGATGAACAATTTTCTTAGCAAATGGGAACGGTAGAGATATTTTATATCATCGACTGTTTATTCTAAACCCATATTGATTATGAATTCATTAAATTTCTCTCATCGGTACGCTTGTAAGCTTGTGAGTCAATTTCCCACATTGAAAGTAGCACAGAAATTCGGGTCACAATCTCGATCCGGAACCTGACCATTGTTGAATGTCTAGATCAGATTATAATACTAAAAATCGTCGACTGCATAGAAAAAATATATCCTGGCCAACCTAAGCAATGATAGGATATTATTATCAACATTTTGCCAACGGATTATTGTTACTAAAATTTAATATGAAACTTTCTACTGCAATCAGACAATTTCCTTCTATCTATTTGCTTCTTTATTCCCATTGCGAAACGTTAAATAAATATAAATAAATTATGCAAATAGGCAATAACTTTATTAAAACTGTTTTCAATATTGTTTCGAGAATTTCACATGCTTTGTCGTCTCTAATGTGTGCACATCAATTTGATTTTAATTCATGAGAGAAGTTGTTATCGATAAACATAATAAAATAAACATTTCCAATAAATCTTCTGTAAATAGAAATCAATAAAGACAATGAGAAAATTAGAAATTACATCAAACAGATCGTGCAAGTCAACACATAATTCACCTCTGGATATCATCCAAGAAATTAAAATAAAAAGTTGATTTAGAAGGAAAAATAAAATAATATTTTTCAAGGTAGTGGGATAGGGAAATATGGGTGGGGAGGGGAAAAAGATTAGTATGCCAAATTAACAACATGGTCCAACGCTTTAAAGTGCATCTGGCGAATTTTACTCGTTGGTTTATAAAAGACTCTCGTTTAAAAGCAAGCGATTTTCTGTTGTTTGAAAATTAAAAAATAAATGAAACGAAAAAAAAATTAGCAAGAAAAAGTTTTCTTTATGAAAATGCCGTAGTAGCGTAATTTCATAAACTGCGGCTTTTTTTCTCTTCTGTATCACTTATTCATTTACTCAACTGAATTGTATTGTATATAAAAGAGTTTTGTTGTTGTAAATGAAGACCAGAGGCGTAGTGATCTCTTAACTTGTTATCTAATAACTTTTATTGTAAACAATCAACATTTGAATGAGATCATCAAAGTAAGACATTCTCTCCTTTTTACTTAAATACGTAAATAAAATTACCCTTCACTGTTTAAATTAGAAAATTCTTACTTAACCTGTACAACACATTCACGAATTCTTTTTTCCGGCAAGTATCGTTTGGTTTCGCGACGTTGTAAGTAAAAGGGGAAAGCAATTGAAAGACTTTGAATTGGAGATGATTATCAGTGGTGGAATTGCACAGCTTTCACGACATGAAAAAAAGAAGAAAATACATAACAAATCGTGATTGTTAAATACAAATAAAAATCGCAGCAGATTTTTGAGAGAAGAAAGAAATGATTTGAGAGAATGAGAATCATTGTAAGAAGTTATTGAAACTGGGAACTAGAAGGAGGATGAGAGCGACAAACACATGATGATGACATGATATCGATGCCAAAAAATCATTGCAATCAAAGTCACAGTCAACCAGCCAGCCACTATGAAAATTTACCAATACATGTAAAATTTCAGAACATTTCATCCAGAAAAACAAGGCGAAAGAATTCACCAAATGATCATCTGCAACAACAACAACAGCAGAAGAACAAGCGAAATATTAGCATAGTGAGGGAGTGGAAAAGCGCCAAACATTCTTATACAAATGTATGAATGTATAGTTGGGCATATGGATGCTGTTGATGCTAATGTGTAGATATATATATACATTGGAACTCCCGTATCTTTACACACATTTATTTTTCTCGTTTGTGATATAATTTTCATCGGCTTTTATTTGATGATGAAAAGGAAAAACTCTAGAGAAGAAAGAAAATTCAGTAGCAGCTACACACACGGACGGACGACAGAGAGTACTTTGGCCAGTGTTAATTTTGACGTCGTGACGCGAACAACTAGCGTCCGGGGGCAAAAAGTCGAGAAAAAGACTTTAAAACTCTTTTTCCCGTAGTGATTTTTCTCTGAGTTGATGTTTCGGTCTCGGTTTTGATAGAATAAACTTTAAGTTATTCAGTTGTTGTCAATTGTCAATTGAGTTTATTGCTTACATCTTGATAATTAATTTAATTCGCGTACCGTCAATGAAACGTGTTTTGGAATGGAAAGACAGAGAAAAAAAGGAGATAAAAAATGTTGAAATGCAGTTAAATATGTCACATGAATTGATCGAATTAAAGGGTTCAGTGTTGTTTATAACCGTAAACTGTTCATCTACAAGTTCATTCTCCATCGTGTAACATCTTCGTTCACAATTTTTACTCCCGGACGATAAATGCTTCAACTAATTGAGAGTGAAGCAATACATCATATGGAAAATTAATGGATAAATGGACGATGAATAGTTTCGTGGAAAGTGATCAGTAAAAAAAATTGTCAACGAGAAAAGTGAAAAAGAAAACGTTCGTTAATTACTTTCACAGACGAGTAAGGTTGAGAAAAATGAAAGATTTGATGCAAATGCGATGAATTGTGAAGATTCTTTCAACATAAGCTTGTGAGAATTTCCAACAACAACACGTGATGTTTGTCATAAGAGTTAAATATGCTTCTTCAGAAACATAAATAAATAATTGAAACATATATCGATAATAACATAAATTAGCAATCAGGAAGAATTATTTGAATTTTTATTTCGAACAATTATATATATTCATTCAAAAAAAGTGATTTTTATTTCTTTTATTCGATGATGATGTTCACATATCGTACCGAATTGAAAGAAAAAGTCTGACTTAAAAATAGAAACTTATAGATATCTATGCGTACGAAAAATAGAAGAAAAAAAGAAAAATTCTTTCCGTCTTTTCTTAAAAAAAATCATTCAACTCTGAAGCTTGTTGGATCGTGCAACGTATTTTTTCTCGCCTGTTCTACTATTATAGTCTGAATGATACGAATGAATCTGAAATGGAAAATTAGCTTAAATGTTATGGCTTTGTGGAAATTCAGTGAATGAGAAAATAGAGGGAAGCGGCGACTAACAAGAGCTTGGAATTTTGAAACATTTATAGACTAATTAGGGATATAAACAGTCGCCCATAGCGAAAACGAAAAGAGCTTGACTTGGGTAATTAAAAGTCAGCCGCTCTTCAAAACGAATATACATACTAACTAATTCAAAATATTATACTTCCCTTCTCGCTGACCACAAAAATTCCGACAGTAACATCTGACAATGAGAATTTAAAAATAATAGAAAACATAAATTTCTTCATGGTGAAAATTAAAACAATAAACACTATAAGAGTGAGAGAAAAAAAATAATTTTAACTTTACTGCCTCTAAAGATGCCAGTTCTATTTAGATAGTTGACAATAAATTTTTCCTTTCGGTTTTTTGGTCTAATCTTTTAAGTTCTCGTTCTAGATATCAAGTGACTTATGTGACAAACGAGCACTTGCTTAGCGATCATCCTTAAGATTGTGAAATTTTAAATGATTCAATGATGTAAACACTTCGTGTTGTTTTCTTTCTCTCTTTTCTTTCTTTCCACTTTCTCTGTAACACAAAATTGAGAATTGTTTATTGAAGTTTGTCACTTTTCCAGATCGGAGATTCCCCCACGTTTTTCATTTTCAATTTAAGAATAAGAACATTATTTAAGAAATCTTTTTTTTTGGTGAAATCTGATTTTATTACAAGTAAATATTTACAAATTTCATGATTTCCACACACATGCAAATGGGAAAATACCGAACGAATGAACGAACAGTGAAAGGAGAAGAACAAAGAAATATTCGTAATGTAGGTTAATATCATTCTCATTAAGGGGGCAACCATTCTCTTTTTCATAAAACAAACATATGCCCATAAAGATATAATTATTGAGGTTGAGAAATGAACGATATCGTCGGAAAAAATGAATTTTCAATTAAATATTACTTAAAATTTAATTTATGATAATTTGTTTGGTCGAGAGCGGTGCGATTTGATAGCTTAAAGTTATGACGATCATGCCTGGCCCATTTTCCTTTAAGTCTCATCCAATCCCAGATGGTAAGCTTCGCAGATCAAATAAATGCTATTGTAGATTGCTTGAAATGAAAAGAAGAGAATTTTTCTGGGAACCTGGTGAAAACTTTAAAGTTTTCATCAAACGTTACGATTATTTACATGGAAAATTGTGATGAAATTTTTCCTTTTAAGTTTTCCAAGAAGCTAACAATTAAAAGTTCATTAAAACTTTAATCATAATCTTCGTAAGTTGAATGCTGCTACTCCAACAATTGTTCTGGTTGATAGCTTTATTTTATTGATTTTTGCATCGCGGTTTTTTCTTGCAAAAATAGGAAAATCTCTATGGATAATATAAATTAATTGAAATAGCTGAGATATGAAACGATTCGGGCATGAGAACTCCAGTATTTTTATCTGTTTTTTTTACAACATTGCTTACGTCACAGAAAATGAAATTAATTCGAGCTTATAAAATTTTTAACATTGAAATCTTCCAGCTTTTAATACAATCGAGTGAGAAAGAAAACATTTCATTGAATATTCTGTGGAAATATTTACGGAACTTTACGATGATCCCTTGAAAATCTGTTTACGAGAAAGGGAAACTGCGAGCACTTAATGAATAAAAATAATTTTTTTCTTCCTTGAATTGCTATTAAGTATGCGGGGCCTTTCCAAGTAGTTAAAATTCATTCCAAATCTACATTAACACTGTTTGGTTGTTATTGTGGGATTAAAAGAAAATAATCAATTGCAAAGCAGAGTTAATGACTGAAGAAGCAACAACAAAACAAAACAATATTTAAGAAATTTCTTGCAAACATCCTCGAGCATCATCAGATCTGACTTCTTCCAATCGTACCCGTTTTTAAAATGAAAATCTTTCTGTTTCTTAGTTTCCCATGATTTGAATCAGAAAAATTATGAACAGAAAAAGAAGTAATTAAATTCTCAACATGAGAACAATACACGACCATTAAAAAAACTTGTGTGCTTCATACATGTACTTAGATGTTGCTCTTGTAAAATGTGAATACAAAAATAGATAAATAAGAATTTTACTCTACAATGATTGTTCTAATGGGAAATTTTCTTGTCTCTGCAGAATTCTCGATGATGAGGATTGTATTTTTGTTTTTTTAAAATGAAAATAAGCTATTTAAGTGCCATTGTAAATTATGAAACACAATTGGTAATGCTCCAATGAAGGAAGGAAAAAAAGTTTGTGACCGAAGAAAAGTTCTTTTCTTGTCAGGAATGTTAGGGAAATTGAAAATTAATGATAATTAAAGCATCCAAAGCAGCCAGAAATCGTTGTCACTTTCAATATCTATAAATAATGGTGGAAAATGGAAAAACGTCTCGTCGTGTCGACGATTGAATTAAAAAGTCCTTTAATTTAAATAGAAAGGAGAAAAGTCAAGAAGAAGTTATGACAATGAATTCTGCTTTCGACTTAATTAGAAACAGTACGAAAGTGTTAAAATTCTGTGATATGAAGCGGAGAAGAACATTTTCAATCAGTTAAAGAGTGAAAACGAAAGAAAATAAAGCCATTTGGCATGATGACTTCTCTAATACGATAATATGAATATTTCTGTGCTGCCTTGCGAGACAAAAATTCAATGGCAACGAGAAAATGGTGATAGGGAACGAAGAAAAAACAGAAATTAACGATTTTTGTAATTGAAAAACGAGAAAGAAGGAAAAGGAAAATTTAATCCTTGAGTTCAAAGTGTTTAGCGTTCATTTCGAACAAAAAAAGAAAAATTATTTTAGTTAAAAATTTACAATTGTCATTAAAAGAAAAAACGAGTGTTGAGAGTATTAAGAAAAAGGGATTTGATAGCAAAAAAATGAAATAAAAAATGCTGAACAAAAAGTGTAATAAGAAAGTTTAAGAATTTTCATAACATCAATCAGTTGTGGAGTTTATCAACATGTTGGATATATTTAGGGGCCTTAAAAGTTTAGTGAAAATAAGCCACATTCAAATCGACTCGCCAGTATTTCGCTTACATTATTCAATAACTGTAATGATGTTGATTGCTTTCTCATTGATTGTCACAACGAGACAATATGTCGGAAATCCAATTGATTGCGTTCACACAAAAGATATTCCCGAGGATGTACTCAACACGTACTGTTGGATTCACAGTACTTACGCTTTAAAAAGTATGTTCCTTAAAAAGCTAGGAAAAGAGGTGCCGTATCCTGGCGTTGGAAATAGTGAAGGCAAAACGGATGACCGAAAAATTTATCGCTATTATCAATGGGTCTGCTTTTGTCTCTTTTTTCAGGTAACAAAAGAATATTTAATATAATGTGAAAATTGTGTTGTTGACTCATTGACAATTAATCACAATGATTACAATGGAAATAAAGTCAATTTACGAAAATTGTACAGGGATCATCATGTTAAAATGATCCCCCATCCTTGTTCGAGACTTACAGATGCAGATTTATAATGTAATGAAGTAATTAAAACATAAATTATGTAATCAATTTCCCATAAATTTGATATCACAACTTTTAAAATCTTTCGATGAAAAGTTTCCCTGGTCGAAATGAAAATTCTTTGAATAAACTGTCATACTTTTATCTTTTAAATGACTGATCTAGTTCAGTTACATTTTTATTTTATGTTTTGATTTCTTAATTAACGTTATCGTCATACATATGTTCAACTGGGATTGTTGAAATGGTCAATTTTTTTTATCATTTTTATTTATGGTTTGTTTCTATAAAAAATCCATCAGAAAATTTTAATTAAAGTTATTTACGATCGATTTTGAAACATAAATAAATTTTTTCGTACTAGCTACATACCTATATGGATAGAGTGCAAGTGGTGGAAGTATAAATGGAAATTTTCCAAATAATTTCTATTGTCAATTTTATTTATGTACAGTACATATATGTATGTATGTATTTTTATTTCTTTTCTGGCGGAAGTTACAAACTAAATTTAGGACGATATGACAATAATCATAAAAATCGATGGTGCGCTTAAATCGATTAAATATTGTAATTGTAGATCGTGGTATTGAATTAATTGAAAAATCTGTCTACAAATGCATTCTCGTTACACTGCTGGATAGCTGAAATCACAGAGTAAAATTTGTTTTGATTTTCTTTCACTTCACAATTACTTCTAGATGGTAGTTACAATTCTAAACATCCTACTACACTTGAACATGAAATATTCCCTACATCACGTCAGATGAGAATATTTTGCCTTTGATTGAGCTTTAACGAATTATGAATCGCTTGGGACACAATATGATTCTCCTTATTTGCTTATTCATATTCTTTTCAAAATTCACAATTGGCAGTGATTCAAAAAAAGAGAAAAAATATTGAAACGAGAGAAAAAGTTTTTGAAGCATGACAGAAACAGTTGAAGATCTTTTGTATAAAATTATCAATTAATCGTTTGTATATCTATACTTAAATTTATTCAGTAGCATTGAATTTTATCAGATTCAGGCAATATTAATTTGAGAAGCTTATTGATCAGTACAAGAGATAAAATTGAAATGCAAAAAAGATTTCATCGAAGCTTTATTTAATGCAAATTACCATGCTACATACAATTTACATAAAATCGATGTCTGAATTAATGTGACAATAAAATGGTAACATATTCATAGTCACAAAATTTGAAACCTCAGTGGTTTTTATCAAATATTCAAATATAAATAAGACAAAATATATTTCGAAATTATGATGACACAATAATTAATCTCATCATGGGTTCACGCGATAGTTTTCTCACAGCTTTTTGCTTTTTCATAAATTTCTTTATCTTAACTTTAATTTTATTCCCTTTCATTTAAAAATTAAAATAAACAAATTTGAAACATTTTATATGAATTAACATCATCAGTGAACCACAAAACTTAACAGAGAGATAATTTATCATCGCCCTTGAAATCTCTAAAGTAGTATTTATTAAATGAAAAAAAAATATTTTGAGGAAAATTTATTGACACTCGGCTGACAGCGTGAAAGGTGTTCATTTAAATTCTTAAGAGATAATTAAGACCCATGTCGTCTCCTTTTCTTCGTCAGTCGACCCAAAACACGGCTAAATGATTGATGAATCATTATTATTTCGAAATTTGATGTCAGAGACTAACATTATCTACAATATGATGGAACAAGGCGAATGAGGGAAAAAGGAAAAGATTTCACAGGTTATTGAACATTAAAAATGTTTTATGAGGCAGCGAAATGAAGAAGAAACAGATAAGCTGCCTTAGAAATAGACAACGACGTGAATGGTTATTCATCAAGTCAAAATAGCGATCGAGCGAAAGAGATATGATGATACTCTGTACATGCAACTTTAGCTTTTAAATGATTCCCATGTGATTCATCATTTTTCCGTAACAAATATTTAGACTAAAAATATCTCAAGAATTTTCTCAGCGTTTTTTCCGTGAAGCGATTTTAATTAAACCACATTAGTCATTAGAGGGCTTTTGAAACTTTCTGAACTTTTCTGTTTTGGCGTGATTAGAGTGAACTTGGCAACAAACACTAAGTAAGCAAGTGAATTTATTTTCCCAGGTGGTGAATCTTCTTCTTTTGTTTTTCCTTTTCCAAGTTATGTACAAGGAAAACGACGACGAATATAACAGATGGAAGAATAAAGAAAAAAAACTTTTACAAACAAAAAAATAAATTTAAATCGAGAAAAATCACGTCATCCGTTTCATCAAATATTGTCAGTTCTCGCAATGTTAAATTGAACTGAAATTCACGGTTAATCAGTTCACAAATACACTGATGTATGATTTATTTGCTTACTCACGCTCAAAAAGCTTTTGTTTATTTTCTAAATCGACCGTTTTACCTTTAGCCTCTCGCAACAACATTTATATTTTATTTTTCTTGCTTTTAAATGAAAAGTACGATTTGGCAAGTCCCTCAATAGTTTCTTTCCTTCTTTGAAATGAAAACGTAAACGATTTCAAAATCAGCGAGATAGATATATTAAGTTCGTGAGAGTTTCACATGATAATTGTAAACATAAATTTACTTAAGACAAATATCTGCGCTTCCTATAACAGAAGCAAAGAAAGAAACAGATGGTGAATCTTTCTCAAGAGGCTGCTAGCAATTTTCTTCTTTTTCTCTTTTTCCTCTTGCCTAGGCATTGGCACCGGATGATTAAAATAACAGTACATTAAAATTTTTAGACTATGAAGCATAATAACTTCTCATGAAACAAGATAAGTAATATAATAAGCTTGTTGCCCATGAGACCTTCGTATTTATTAGTGTACATTTCAATATTCGCTGAGCTGGAAAGCGAAAGAGGTAGAAAATCAGTAGTGACGCAGTATGGAAGCCATAAAATTGCTGTAAATCGAAACAGTGTAAACTTCAATATTAAAGTAAATTTCAATCATGTTTCGTATTGTTTATAAAGATCAGCACATGTGCGTACCTCATTCTAATTGATGTGAAATATATTTGTTATTCATTTAGTTTGTTTTATGGTGAAACTTAAATAGTGTTTGTGCTGATAATACGCAATGTCTGTCTGCAGTCATAGATTACTTCAGTAAACTATAAAATAAGATTTAAAGAAAAGTAAAACGTGAAAAAAAAAATCCAGTTTTGGAATGTTTACGATCTTGCGAGTAATTTCGGCGAAGAATTTAAGGATGATAAATTTCTGTTGATTATATATTTTATTGTTTTGTCTGTTAAATACTTTGACACGAATATCGTATATCTATCTTGGCCAAAGGCTCCACAATAAATAAGATGTGTCAAATATATCATAGCGGCTCTTATAGCATTTAATAAAACATTAAAATAAAATTATTTATATTTATTTCATCAAATTTCTCTTATTTTCGCCTTCATCCATGACAAGGCGAGACCATTAAGATGAAAAGGAAAATATCAGAATGAGATAAACTTATAAAATATGGAAACTGTTTCTGTTATACGAAATGTATTTAGCATTCGCTGCGCCTATTTTTCGCTTTTCCATTCTATCGTCATCATTTACATTTTTATGGTTTGAATAGTTTTCTGATTCCGACATTTCTTTTCAATTTATTTTCTTTCTTTTTGCTTCCCACCCAAGCTTGTCGCTTCGAGTAATCGCGCGAGATTAATTGCTTGACATTACACAAAGTTGTCGTTGATTCTCCTTTGTTGATAGTAACGGCATCTGTGTCATTTTTCATTAAAACTTTCTCTCCTTTCATTTCTTTCATTTGTTTTGTTGGAAAAGTCTTTCTTCTTTTGAACTGACACGAAACATCAAAACAAAAATCAATCAACGTATAAACTAAAATCCCACTTGATCAAATGAAAATTTGGCTCATACTGCTATTGTTCTTTTCCTGTTTGAAATTTTTTGAAATACGAATGTGATAGAAAATGTTGTTCCGCGTTTGATCGCAGCTAATTGATAACTTATTGGGTGGGTAGAATGAAGAATGAAAACTTTTGACATTATCCTCTCAATCTGTTTAAAACAAATATTTTTGACATTTTGCCATCATACGGTTTAATCGAGATGAGAACAAGCTTTTTCATCGTTTAAATAAATATCTATCTAGATATCTATAGATACTTAAAATATATCATGCTGAGAAAAACGATGAAAAAATTCAGAACATGGTCAATTAATTCTAGATTAAGTTTTCATCGTGTTCACCCTTTTTTTTTGTAACAAAAGAAAAAGAAGACAAGATTACGAGTCTTTAAACTTGACATTTAATTAATGTTTGTCACATTTCGATTACAGAGTATTCTTTTTTATGCGCCACGTTGGTTGTGGAAGTCATGGGAAGGCGGTAAGATTCATGCGCTAATGATGGACCTTGACATTGGAATCTGTTCTGAGATCGAGAAAAAACAGAAAAAAAAGTTATTATTAGATTACTTATGGGATAATTTAAGGTATGTAAGATCAAATATATTTGACTTTGATCATGGGGTGTTTTATTATTATTAAGTATAAATAATCATTTTAAAATATTTATCTTATAGATATCATAATTGGTGGGCTTACAGATATTTCGGATGTGAGCTCCTATCGCTAATAAATGTAATAGGTGAGTATATTAATCTATTTAAATAAAACTTTCATTAAAACAACCTACATAAGTTTACACATGTTGGCATTATACAAATTTATGTCCAACCGTGCGATACTCGTAATGAATAAATATCTATCGTTGTCAGATAATAATTTTTATAAGCTTTCATCCCTCTACTCAAGTGCATATCTTGTTTCTTTTACTGTGCATTAAGTACAAGGAAAAAATAAGTTGAAATGTAATAAAAAGCATCGAGATTCTTCACTTTTCAGTGAATTTACACGGAAACTGAAAGCAACTATAAAATTCAATGAGATTCTGACTGATACTTAAGCAGTAGAGATATAAGAAATGAAAAAAAAGAGAAAATTTATAGCTTTAAAAGTAATTTTTAATTTGCTCGCCAGTGAATTTAATTTCTAAAGCACTTGTAAAAATGCATCGAATTGTACTTTAAATACTATAATTTATCATTTCGTGGAAAAGTTTTTCTTTGCATTTTCACTAAAATCGTCATATTCAATGCTTTTTTTGTAATTCAATTTTAGGTCAAATGTTTTTAATGAATAAATTCTTCGATGGCGAATTCATGACGTTTGGCCTCGATGTGATAAAACATATGGAAGCGGATCAGGAAGACCGGATGGATCCCATGATATACATATTTCCACGTATGACTAAGTGTACATTCTATAAATACGGTGTCAGCGGAGAGGTGAGTATACGATTGAAGAAGATCGTAAATCTTCAAACTTTTTTACTCGTCGATCGTAAAACATTCCTGACATTTTAACAAAACAAAAACAAAATAAAAAGAAATTGTGGGGATTGAAAAACTATAAAACATTAAACGAACGCCAAATGATAAACTACATGAAAAGTCAATAAAAAAAGAAAACAAGTTGATCATAGTTTAAGTCAAATGGAAAACGATAAAAAGAATTTACAAGCTAAAGCTACAATAATTCCCATTTCTTTTTCAATTACAGGTGGAGCGACATGTGAGTATAAAACAAACTGGCATAATAACAAAATAAGAGAACTGTTCCTAATATTTCTAATTTTCTCTCATTCGGTAATTTTTTCTTTTATAAAAAACCTTTTCATGTTTATCCTACTCATTACTTGTGGATAACAGGATGCAATATGTAAGCATACACAAATTTCATCTAAGCCAGGGATTATTTAATAATGTTTATGTTTTCTCTTTTGGTTCTTTTCACAGGCATTCTTCCGTTGAATGTGGTGAATGAGAAGATTTACATTTTTCTATGGTTTTGGTTCATACTGCTGACGATATTGACATCATTAACTGTAATGTATAGAATAGTTATAATATTTTCGCCTCGTATGCGGGTTTATTTACTAAGATTAAGGTTTAGGTGAGTAGCTTAGCTCGGTGATGTGGTTGACTATCTAGAGATTAAGTTTTTTCTAATGGATGACAAAATGGACTTTTTGCTGATATAATTACCAGGCAAATGGAAGAAAAATGAGATAGAAAGATAATGTTCAAGCAACACTTGATTAATTTCTAATTGTCACCACGATCCATCCATTTATCTGAAATCTTCTTCCATCATATTTAATTCAATTCTATTTTTGTTATATTTTTCCATCTACAGATTAGTACGTCGAGACGCTATAGAAATTATCGTTCGACGATCGAAAATGGGCGATTGGTTTCTACTCTATATGCTAGGTGAAAATATAGATAGTATTATATTTCGTGATGTTATGGGAGATTTAGCTAATCGTTTGAACAATAATCAACATCATCGTGTACCTGGACTAAAAGGGGATATACAAGATGCTTGATATTGGGGGTACTATTAATTTTTATGTATTTAATTAACTTTTATGGTTATCTTATAACTCGATGATTTAATTTATTTTTTTATCAATAATTCGAGTATATACATTTTGAAAATTTGTTTACTTTAATGTATTTTTGCAGATAAGTGCGATAAATGTCTACACACTGTTTCTATGTTTCTCTCTGTCTATTTCTAACTTTACTTATACTTTAAACCCGAGTAAAAATCAATCTAAAATCACTAACAAATGAAATAATTAAATCGAGCATGACATGAGAAAGAAAGCAACCTGCAAACAACTCTTCAAGTGATAACAAAATAGGATGGAAAACCAAAAAGAAGAAAAACCTCCCAAAAATGATGTGTAAAAACAATTTAACGTTTAAATTAAAACCAAAAATCCAGAAGAGGAGAAGAGAAATAGAATCAAGAGAGAAAAAAATTAACATAAATATAACAAAAACATATGATGAGATAAAGTAAGGAAAAGTAAACAACAAAAGACTAATTATTACTTCATCAAGTCAGAAGATCATAAAGGTCACGCACACTTAGACTCATCAAGCAGACATTTATTCGCATTAAATTATAATCTCGTATCCCCGGGAAATAAGAGAATAATTATGTAAAATTAAAGCAACAAAACATGATTAGATAATAGAAATTACATTATATTTTTTTTTCGTTCAGTCATCACATCTACGTTTTCTTAATTTAAAAAACACAAAATCAAATTTTTCAAAATATTTAATTTCTGCCCACAATAATTCTTTTTTCTCAAATGGAAACTTTTGAAAACATTTTAATCGTTTTGATTTCTTTTTTTTATAGTTTGTTCATATAAATACCGTCCAATTAAATAAAAACATAATATGAAAACCATATGTAAATGAGATATACAAAATAAGTATGACATATAAAACAATTGCATAATATCAAAAAAAGAAAAAAAACAAAAAGTTCGTGTTCACGGGACAGTTTTTAAAGTGAGATTTTTTCAAAAATGTTTATGCAAGAAAATTATCATTGGACAATTTCATTTCTTTTTTATTTTTGTTTTTAGATTTGATTTGATAATTTTCAAATTAATGAGTTTCACTGGAAAGTTATCATTTAAATAAATTTTATAATCAGGGCCAGTTTCAAAGGCGATGATTAAAGTGAAGAATTAACCTGCCAACAATTTTCCTTATTCACTAACAAATTTCTTCTCCACAAAATCTTTTTAAATCTCTTAGAAATCTTACTGCACCAATGAAAACATTCTCAGATAAAGTTCCTAGAGACATAAGAAAGAAAATGTCATTTCTCATCAGCAGCAAGATTAATTAGCGCCATACAATGACATTGATAGATAGTGCAATAAAATACTTATCTGCTGCATGAATAACAAAAGAATAAAACACAAAACAAAAGAAAAAAAACTATGAAACTGCCAATTAATTCTTAAAAATCGTTATTTTGCATTTCTTCAAGTGAAATTAATCTTTTTTCCTTATTCTATTCTTTCTATTTATTTTATTGATTAATGATGAAAAGTTTTCTTTCTCATTTAAAAAACATTTTCATTTAGATATATTTTTTTTTCATTTTTTTCCCTTTTGTCAGTAGCGAATAAATTTATTACATAAAAATTGAAAAAACGGATCTCCTTAAAAACTTTTAGGGTGTACTTTTACAAAACAAATTTAACTTTATTAAATGAATGAACTCTAGATTCAAGGTTTAAGTCAAATGAAAGTATGTAGAAATGAAACAGCATGCATTCAGTTATAAAAATTAACACGCAACATTAATATAAATTGAAGCATACATTACACGTTCACACAACATAAACACACACAAACAGACGACATAAAATTGAAAAGCAATAATTAATCATAATTTTATTCATTAATGTAAGAAGAAAATTTCCAATTATGAAGAAATTATCATAAATAAGTCAAGAAACCATTGTACATATAGAAAGAAACATTAAAAAAAAATCTGATGAAAAACCCAATAAATTATTTAAAATTACCCAGCCTCGACTGCTGTGCAAATGTGCTATACATAGTGAGGCAAAAGAAAATGGGGAAAATTCTAAGAAAGTAGAAAAAAAACCAAAACATTATATGAAGGAAAAGAATCTCTTAAGATTAAAGCGAATAAACAATAATAAATTAATTATGGATATTTGATAATAAGATGAAGAAAAAAATTAATTAGAAAAAGAATTTTTTTTCGAGGATATGAATAATAAATCATTGTGTCTGAAGATGATGAAAAGAAATAATGGCAACCTAGAATCAAAGTTAAGTGCAAAAATTTTCTTTTCATTGTGTTCATTCCGATGTCCTCAAATTATTGGTATGTATGCTAGTCGCTAATTATGAGAGAGGTTGGGAGCTTGAAACCATGAAAAAAGTTGTTCCAATCTACTGCCAAACTCACACAAATCGATTTCAATTTTATCTTGAAACCAATGCAAAAAATTTGTCGTCATTTTAAGTAAGCAAACACTGAGATGAAAATAAAAACTTAACTTAGATCGATGAACGCAATAAAATTTAATAAAATATAGAATAGATTGTAAATGTGAATAAAAATGCATTCGTATGCTGTTTATTATCTTGTTTTCAATATGAGAAAAACGAAAATATAAAAAAAAAGTATAAATATGTTTGCTTTAATGCTATGATAACGATAAATTTCTCTATTATCTTACGTCAACGTCGCGCTATTCTTTATAAAGATATGAAAAGCACAGATATGACAGTTCAGACGATAGTGACGAGGTTCATTTTGCTACACACACAACAACATCATCATCATCATCAGCATCATCATGATCACTATAATGATCGTCTTACTTAAAAAAAAGAGGCTTTTGCTTATGCTTTTTAAAATTTTCTTTCTTTCTGTTTTTCTCTAAACCAAACTATGTTTAGAAGTATTATGAAACAACTCTTTTCAAGTAATAAAAAGAAAGAAAAAAAACAGAAACAGATAAAGATGAAAAAGAAGGAATGGGAAGGAAAAAATCGAGGTCGACTCTCAATCAATCATATCATAAGCAGCTCAATTTCAATATTTTCTAAATATTCTTCTTGAACGAAATGTACTCATCCCAAAAATCATGCCTAAGCAACAAACATTTACCATGTCTTTCAATTCTTCATTCACTTTGTTGAAGGCACATACACAGACATAAATACAGAAAAGTATGATGAAGGAAAAATTGAACAAGCGATAAGAAAATTTATTCAAGGCCAAAATCAAAAATTGTGTTTTTTCAAAAAACATATTCGAGATGATAAAAGTTTATTTATTGATTCTGTTTTCTCCCCTTAAAAGAGAGTTCAAAATCGTTGTTAATTCTTATCGATTTATTTTTATGTTTAACTCAGAATAATTCGTCAATGATTCTATAATTAAACCAACAACACAAAATAGATGGAAATAAAAAAAAGCTCTAGGAAAATCTCGTTATCTCGTCGATTGACATTATAAGAAAAATGACGCATGAAAACTAGGACAATTCTTTTTTATATGTTAGAGAAAGTCGTGTTTGAATTTGAGCCTTAACTAAGTGAAAAAATTATACATATAAATGAGAAGGAAACTTTAGAAAAAAAAGAATATAATTGAGCTAAATTGAATTGACGAAGATAAATTGAATCTAAATCTATGACAAAATTGATTTTATTTTATTTTCTCCTCTCTTCGTTTTCTCTTTTTTTGTGTGAAACAATTGCGAGATTGATAAAAAAAATATAAAACACAAAATTGAAAACCAAAAAAATTGTTGTTGTTATAATAATGATTAATATTAAATTAATTTATTATACGACCAAGAAAAACACAAAAGTGCTATTAGATAACAAAAAAAGATAAAAGGAAAATGGAGGAAATTATTGTTTTATGGAAACAAAAAATGATATTATGACATTCATTTAAATGAAAATCATTGATCTACAAATGCAAAATAAAATGGGAAGCGAGCTGAAATAATTGATGAAAATTTTAAAAGCAAGAAACTATTAAGGAATTACTAATGATGGTGCTCAATGAACGGCTGAATGAGCTTCAAAAATTCATTTGTCATGAGTGATCATAGATAAATTAAATGTAGTCATTATTTAAGCGCAACTCACAAGACGATGACTCGAGAAACACTAAAAATAAAAAACATTAATACAAATCAATCAAATCTACCTGATATGGCAATGAAACTCGTCGCACATCTAACTTTATATTATCTATGATCCAATTGATTGACGTGAAGACAGAGACAAAAGCTCATTCCAGTTTTTTCAGCGATCTGTCATCTGATATGGTAAAATACTGCCTTATGAATTAGTAATAATAAAATTAATTACTAAATGAATTGTAAACAAACGAGAATTTTTTTCAAAACGATTCCCAAATGAGTAATAAGAGAAATTAAAAAAGTTTAAATTGACGATACGCAGAGACAAACACTCGAAAATAATATTAAAAAAAAGAAAAATGCGAAGCAAAACAGAAGAATCTCCTTACTGTATACACAACTTTTATGGACATCAAATGCCCCACACAACTTAGCAATAAATCTTTTATACTAGGAGAAAAATAAGAAGCAAGAAAAAAACTGAAATGGAAATAATTTTTATGTTGTTTCTCATTTTGAATATTGAAAAAAGATAAAAGTTTTTGTTTCATATTGTTAACTTTTGCTTTTATTAGGAAAATAAATTATAATCGCAAATACATTGCACATTCAGATCAAAATTGTACAAAAAATACATCCACACAATTCAACGCCAAATAAATGATAATTACAAATGATTAAAAATTCGTAATTTAATAATGTTAACTCAATTCAACTCTTCCAAACGTTCTGCTACAGTAACGCGATGCAATAAAAAAATTAATTTATATTGCTCACTACCATCACCACTCTCTATCTCTCCCTTTCTAACTATATCTCGTTCTTTTTCGCCCTCAACACCTACAACAATCAGATCTAAATAATTTCTTTCTTGCCCGAGATACCAAAAAAATTAAGAAAGAGAATGAAGCAGAAGTTGCGTAAACAACAAACATTGGAAATGTCAAATGTTTGTATCAATTTGATTATTTTCAAAAATAATTAAAGAAAAGAGATAATTGTAATCTGCTAATCAGTGACATATATTTACTTAAAAAAATTACGCAATATATTTAGTCCGAGCCAGAGTCAAATTGCTTCTTCATTGATTAAAAAAAAAGAGATTAGTCAAAAGAAAATAAAAAGAAAAATTATGGAAATAAAGTTTAAATGCGTATGTCTAGTGTCACATTCAAAAGCCCAAAGAATGAAATTCTTTGTAGTGGAAGAATTCTCTTATTTCTATCTCAAACAATGAAAAGAAATGTCGTTCTTAAATTAAACTTATACTTATGTATTAGATGAATTAATTAAGTGAGAAACATTTATATCAAGAATCAGCTTAAAAAAATTATGAATTTGACATTCGATTAAATCAAGATTCAAGCGAACATCAACTATATACACATACACACACACACAGTCGAGACTTCAACGTGATTAATATTATTTATGAATTAACAAATGCGCAACAAACTGTTGAAAGTAAAAAAAAATTAGGGAAACGTGATTCTTAATTTATGTGAAAGAGCTTGGCAAAGCTTCGAGGTTTAAGCGACTTCAAAGCCTCGGATAAGAAATTTCACTGCAATTCCCGTTTATATATAAATAAAGAAACCTTTATTTGTTATTATTCTATTAAAATAATTGACATCCGTAACGTAACGAAATAAAAATTAGTCATATATTTATCCTGATAAAACCACAAACTTTTCGTGAAAATACAAAATGAAGATTTAAGATAAAAAAATAGTGAAATTAAATTAGCCCTTAGATTTTTTAGAATCCTAAATTTATTCTCGAAAAAGAGAAATGATTGCTAAACAAAACCCGCATAAATGCTAGAAAAAGAAAGGAATATTATATATTAAAGTTCGATCATCGATTCTTACTTAATTCTTAGAGGAAATGGTAAAAAAAACCTTTTTTATTATTAAAAACTCCCGTAAAGAAACTAAATGATAAATGATGTCACATAATTTAAACATACACACAAAATAAACCCAAAAAAAGTAATAAGAAATATTTAATCTATGAAAATGAAATTTATCAGAAAAAGACGTTGTTTAAAGGAAAAAAAATGAAGAAAAATCAATAATTTTAATGAAACAAGAAAAATGAAAATCGATTTATATTATTTAATGAAAACAATAACGAATTATGACATAATGAAAAACCATTTGTAAATTATTAAAATGAAGAAAAGTGAGAATAAATTTATAAAACCAATTATTGAAAAAATCTCTTTTAATTCTTATTTCCTTAATTTCACTTCGTTTTTGTTTTTCAGTTAATTCCTGTAATTTATCTCTACATTTTTGAAGGAAAACACGATTTGCATCTAGATAGAAGACTACTTAATTGTCATTAATCTTAAATGTCTTAAATTTTAAAAGTTCCTTATAATGACGGATGATGATAAAGATTCAAAATTGAATATAAGAAACTTTAATTATTTGGTTTTTCTTTGAAATTGCTTAACTTTTGAATCATCTCTGATTAAATAGAACAACATCACAGGAAAAGTTTTACATAGTTCAACTTGACAGAAACTTTCTTCACTTAATATCATAAGTCAAGTAATACATATTTGAAAGCTTGATTTCGCCTGTAACTTCTGCAACCTGTTTAACTTTAGGAATAATTCTACTCATGCTATTCAAAAAATTGCTACTTAAAAGTTTAAATAGCATATACAGAGAAAGCTCAATAAACTAATCGCTTAATAAACTAGTACGCTCGATGAACTAATATTTTTTTGTCCCCTTAGAATGATTAGTTTATCAAGCTTCCAATCACTGTAACAATTCTTTCAATTTCATAGTCATGTGAATTTTGAATGGCTCCAAATTTCCTGATGTTGAAAAATCAAATTTGCTTTCATAATGGATATTTTCGATTAAAAAATTCTTCCATCTGATAAATGACATAGATATCGATTTTAAATACGAGCAAATATTATCTGTATTTATCATCAATTTGGAAGATCTTGACCCTAGTAACTGCAATCATACAACAGTAAACTTACAACACAACCATAGATTGAAAATGACCGGTATAGGAGATAAAAAAACTTCTCAAGGACAATTCTTGCATTTGCGAATGTTGAAAGTAAACTTTCGAATGCATTTTCACAATTCATCAGCGCCGATTGAAAAACATTTTAAACAAAAGATTCAACCATTCAACCTTTTAAATCAAATTGAAAGCCATTCAATCAGTTTGGTGATTGCAAGTCCAACCAGCAACCTTGTTACAGGTTATCGAATAATAATTCAAAATCATAAATTGCTGGAAGGCATGAGCATTAAATTTTCAGGTTTTTATATCTCGCACATCGTTTAATCAAGAACAGTCAATCTACAACACGACAGCAACGGTTGATTTTTAAGCAGAATTTTAATTTTTATGTGCACAAAAGTCACGAGAAATAAAGCAAAGCCAAGAGATATGAAAATTAAGAGAAAAACGATCTTTCGGGTTCAAAAGTGAGAAATATAAATTATGATCATTCCTGGTAAAGAAGCAGAATGAGGAAAAAGTGGAAGAAAGAAACATGGTGAGATGTTGAACAACGCCGTATAGAAACATTTTGAACTCGTCATGAGAAGAATTTAAACTTACAAGACACGCTAATCTCGAATTCTTAATCGAAAGCTATTCCCATCCGCAAATTTGCAATTAGTTTACTTTTAATTAAAAGTCTCTGCATGTTTTCTATGTTTTGATATGAATTGTTCGAAATCATCACTCAATTAAATTGCTCAGTACATTAAAAGGGATGTTAGAAGTTCTAAGTAGAAGTGAGAAGCTTTTTAAAGATTTTGTTTAAGTCAAACAGAAGTTTAAGTGTCAAACCCCTGAGGAAAAATGGAAAACTAAATTTAATAAACACCCCCCCCCCCCNAAACCCCCCCCCCCCCCTCCCCTAAACACTTTGAATAATGTTTTGAATTTTGAAACTACACGGTATCTTACATAAATTTCTTACAGTTTAAACAAATTTTTCTTCTCAAAAAGTAAAGTTGAGATAAAAAGTTTTTGACTAACATTCATTTCTAAGTAGGTAATAATTCTTTGAAATTCAAATAACTTTAAATACAGAAATTTCTTACAAATGTTATCAAGCACGAATCTGAAATGATTCATACGCTTCTTCATCTAACAATTGTTAAAAATTGCAGTTTCTCACACTATGATTTTTTTCGTGTGCTTAAACAAAAGACATCCGAAAGAAAGTTTGGGAAAATTGGGAAAAAAGAGAAGAAATGAATACAACTGAGATGCATTAATGCATAATCATATGTCTAAAGTATCTACGAATAATAGGGTGAGAAAAATCACTTTATCTTCTTGAAAAAAGATTTCTTATTTTCATCTGAAGTTAATGGGATGAGAAAAGTAATGAGAAACAATTCATTTTGATGGTATTCAAGTGCAGAGACATCACAAGTTACCTGGTAGCAGTTTATCTTGAAGAAAATAATCGATTCAATCGAAATCTAAAATGAAAAATGTTTGCAAGTAGCAAAGGCAGGCATAAATTACAGTTCAACGGCAATATCAACTGAGAAACATTTCTAAGATCAATAGAAAGATTTTTACTTATGTTATTTAAGTCGTAAAAATTATTCACTCAAAAACTGGTTCTCATGATGTTTATCCTTGCAATTCTGCGCTTTGCAACTACTGCTGAGCGAGATTAATCTTCCAACACACAAAACTGCATGTCTAAGAGCACGGTCTCGCAATGTATATATGTAATAATAACAGAACATGCATGGATACATTTTATTGCTCAATAAAAATCTCAGTTTTATTGTCTTGCAAATGTTGATTTTTCCTCACTTCAGGATGAAACCGGTTTCATTTTCGTTTTGCTGTCTCCCCGTCTCCACATTATACGAGTTCACTTAAGACGAAAGAAACGAAAAATTTCGCCCGACAACCAAACACCCGTTGAAAAGTAGTAACATATCATTTCTTTCTGCTTGCACAATCCGACGAGATAATTTTAATTGAAAGAACCGGACAGAATTCTTTACGTTTGTCTTGCTGTTTTTCCCCAAAAACAAAAATAAAGTTCTTGAACTTTTGTTGTCGTCATCCTAAGATGCGACGAAGGAGATAAAAAGCGGACACGAAAAAAGAAAATTCTTATAATTGCTTTTAAGCGTTGAATGTATAAAAATTAATGACAAATTCCCGCCCGCATGGAAAAAGTTAAGGTACTAACAAAGTAAAGAAGAACTTAAGAAGACATTTGGTCCACGTCAAGAAGAAATAACAACAAAGTTAAATGTTAAAACACTCTTTAGTCATCTCCCTCTTCTTATTTCGCTCGCGATCTACAGGAAGACATCACACAAACACAAAAAAAATATTTTGCGTGAGATAAAACCGAACAAACTGTTGAAGTTATTCTTTTATTTTATCTTTCTCTCTTTTGCTTACCTCTAAATCACAGACAACAAGTTCATGACGTCATCACAATGGCCATTTTTTTCTCGCCTCCACTTTGAAACTCTTTCTGCGCTCACTTAAGCTCAACGCGCTCGCTCAGTTGAGCTTCGATATTTGTACAGTGTAGACGTAGAAACGCTTTTCCTCGTTCTGTTTTTTGTTTAAGTTTTTTTATTGTTGTTTTGTTAGTCACAAAGATACAACAAGTCGCTGTTAGTATTTTATTCGCTTTTTTCAGTGTTGAACGTCAGCTTGTGTATTGTATTGTCGTTCACCGTGTCTTGTCTAATAAAAAATGGAAAATTATTGAATGTGAAGATTTTCTTGGAAGTTGAAAATTATTGCATAATTCTTTAATTGTTTCGCATACATATATGTTACTTGTTTCTTATGTTTTTGATAGTTGATTGTTTAGAAATTTTTTTAAGAAACTTTTTATTAATTAATTATGCAATTAGAGTGAAGTAAATAAAGTGAAGACAATAAAAATAAAAATTAATTTAATTGTTCTAATCTACGGTACTTGCTTCATGGTATTTTCAGAGTGCTTAAACAAAATAGCCATTGAGCGATAAAAATCAAAGAATTTCTGTTGCTTCTTCACACGAAATTAAACAGAAACACCGGCAAATATCGAGTAAAATTAATGGATTAAAAAGCATCAACATCGAGCAATTATTTTTTACGAAGAAAGGTGAGTGAACGATTTATACTATGATGTAATATCTGTAAAGTATAAAACAAAAAAAGGAGGAAAAAAAACAAGTTTCATACACGAATTTCCATTGATTTATTCATGTTATTCATATCGATGTTTATGTCTCGTCGCTAACGACATATGTAACAACAAGTCAATTACAAAGACTTTAGAGCTTTTTAAGAAATCAACGAATCAAATCTTTTATCTGAATTTCAAATCATTTCTTAAATTCTACGAATCGTGAATAAATATGAAAACCAAAACACGGTAATGCAACAGCAGATTAAAAAATGGTTCAGTGATTTCAAGAACTATTTCAAGCTATGTCGATGATAAAACTGGAAAAAAATAAAAGTGTTGAGTTATAAGAGTGAAGAAGGAAAGTAGAAAATTGCTGTAATCACAATGTTTTGAAACTTGCCTTGCTGGTATGTTACGCTCACGCTTATCATTGTTCGCTCTGCCATCTTCACTTTTCTTGATTATAATACTGCAATGCTTTAAAATGATAATTCTGACCAGTACCAGGTGATTATTGGGAAGTGTTGATTCAAAAACATTTCCCAAGCATACATTTTATACCCTCGACGAACGGATGAAATTATCGCAGCTTTATAAAATGTTCAAAAATGTTCAGCAACCGAAAATAAATTTAATGAAACCGTTACTTCTCTTTAGCAATGCAATCATTCAAAAAACTTAGTTAAATTAAAACAAAATAAGATTACCGCAATTGTTAGCAGACGATGAGATATTTCCGGTGCAATTATCTTTGTCTTCAAACTTGAATGAATAATGTCGGATGTGTTGAATGTCGGATGGTTAGGTGACGTCATGTGTGTGAACTTTTATTCTAAGAATTCTACCAGAGGATTTTAACATAATTCTTATTCGTTGTATGATGAATCATTGAATATAGTAAAAGCAAACACTGTTGACTAAAGTAAAGTTCTCGGAAAATCAAAGGTTTGCTTTAATATTGAATAAATTTCCATCCACATCAGCGATGTAATTTGTTGATCGGATCATGTTGATCGGTACAGTGTTATTTATTCATCTATGAAAACTTTTTGTAGATGTGTTGATTTTAATTCAAATTGATGCAGATAACTTCTGTTTTATTCATTTTTACAATTGTGTTTGTGATCACTACCCAGATCACTTATTTTTCGCACATTCACAACAAGCGCAGACATTTTTTTTTATTTCTTCTTTCGAAGGACACAACATTTATTCGAAGCTTAACGTCTACCCACACTTTTTAATCTTCAACTCGACGAGCGATGAAATTAATTTTTTTTTCTGGCATTCAGTCGCTATCTGTCCAAGTTCGTGATGGTCTTTATGGCAATCGATTGAGAGAGTATTGATGTTGAAAATGTTCGTGTAAATAATTTGCGATAAAAAAGAGATTCAAATAAGGAAAAAGAGTAAATGGTGACGGTCAACACCATGGAATTGGCAAATATCATCGGTTGAGTCACGCAATCAAATGTAATATTTATTTAATATTTATTTAGAATCATAATAGTATCTTGCTAGTTTTCATCTTTTTTCTATTTCCTTTGTAGTTAATTGTAGACTACGTTCGCATTGTTCATCGACCGACAATCGATGTTGTGTAATGCATTGCGAAATATTTGTTCATTGAACGTCTTGCGAATGAATCTTCAATTCATCGTTTTTTCTTTAAACTTCAATGAAAAACTAGCATTTTTTCGACGAAGTCATTTATCGAGAAATTACATAAAAACCTGCATAAAGTTAACAGATGGTTGGTTGTCTTGGACCAGCAATGAAACCTTGTGTGTGCTTGTAGGCATTGTTTATGAATATTTTTTATGGTAAAAACGGCTTTAAAAATAACATTCATTATTTCATTTAACACTCGCAGATATTTGCTTGTCGTTTTGTTGCAAACGAAGTCAGACCTCAGTTCAGAGAAGCATCAGAGTTTGAAACAAGATTTTCCAGTCGTTGAATTCTCCACATATTGGCATATAATTTTTTTCGCTCATATGCGAAGTTTAAATATCGAAAGAAATGAACGAACGAAACGAGCGAAGAGCCATAAAGTTAAAGCAGCACATTAAATCTTCACAATGGAAAGATTTTTTCTTTATTCAACGCTTAGCTTACGATTTTCTTCAATATATGTAATGTGCATATAAAAGTAATTCATGTCGTTATCATAAATCTCCTTTGCTTTGAAATTGGATTTGGAGCAAACCAACGAGTTTTGTGTGAAACACGACACTGTTCACTAACATCAGCTGATAAGTTTCATGTTGGATAATCATTTGTAATTGAGACATGTGACTCATATTTCGGTCATGACTTCGACTACTTTTCTTAAAACAAAAAATAATAGTTAAATGTTTTAAAAGTCGCAAAAGTGAAAGTATCTACGTACAAAGTTTAATATCTCTTTTAAAAAACTCAATTGTGTTGTGTTTTGGATATGAAATAAATGAAATCGCTTAAACCAATCCTATATTTGCGGGATGAAACGAAAAAAAAACGCTTGTTGTAGTATCAAACTAAACATTTATTCAGTTGTTCAACATAAAAAACTGCGCCATTTGCGAGATGAAGAAAAAAACATAATGAAAAATACGTTTTCTGAATTTGATAAATTATTATTTAGATATATTAGATATATAAGATAATTCGAAAAGTTTTTTTCTTTTGATGTTAAGATTGCAGAAGTTTTGGTTATCTTTGTTGTCGACAGATGAAAAATGCAAATAATTTTGAACTTCCAACAAAGGAATTTTTTTATGGAGCGGCTATTAACGTTTTAGAAAACGATGAAAAGTTCAATCTATCGGAATTTTCTAACATGAAAAAATTTCAGACGCGGGATTTTGACTAGGTAGTTTGGAATTTATTTTCGGCGAGTCAAGTCGGCGAAAGTCAAAGAATTCAGATTTTCAGACAATTCCATAATACATCAATAACCCTAATTATTTCTTAATCCAATCAAAGAAACCTTTTAAAAACTTTAAATATACAGTTCTTGAATTTCAAATATAAAATATGATGATGTGATCAAGATTCAACGATGAAATCATTCGATATTCAAGAAAAAAATTCTATTTAGCAAATTATTTTTGGTTTTATTTTAAATCGATGTTCTTTCCTTCTTTTCCAAACATACATAATTGCATATCTATAATAAAATGCAAATTCATCAGGTTGAAACACGAAACAAAGAATCAACAAATTCAGAGAAAATGTCGCGTTTTGGTTGTTATTTAAAAGTGAAACGATTATAATGATTGAAAATAAACTCAGGACAAACGATTATTTGATACTTCGATAGATTAAAATTACCATCACGTAGGTAATATAAAGAAAAAATTCTTTGTTTAAAGTTTTCGTTTGATGCAGGAAAAACAACCCAATGCAACTATCGAATCATAAATTAACGTTGACATCTTGCAATAACAACTTGAAGCAGGCAACCAAAACTGTCAAAGAGATTATTTACCTTTCCGATCATTCTCCGACTTAGTTTTTTATTCCATTTGCACAACAATTTGCAAACAATATTTTAGTGTTTAGTCAACAAGATTTGTTATGTTGAGCAAAGTAAATTCAAGTATCTCACCGAATGGAAATGTAAGCAATCAATTTTGAAGGCAAACATGAAATCAACAATTGCTAATAAAATCATTCAATGCTTTTCAAAGAACTTGTCATTTTTATTGGTCACGAAACGCACAGCAAGAGAATTAAAAGCTTTAGTGAAGACTTTGAATTTGTAACTTTACTAAGATTCTTGACTTCTTCTTAGGAAGCAATAAAATAAAAAAATCATGTTTAAATCGCTGAATTATTAAGAAAATTCAATTCAACAAAAAATTGTTTTTTACTCAGAAATAGACACGAAATCAAACCAGAAATTTCAAGCATATGCTTTGCATGTAAACGAAGCAGAAGAATTTCAGATTTAATATTCCTTTTCTTCGCGCACTGTCACCATTGACTTTCTGCCCAAGAAATGATGATGTCATTCTTAATAATAATGGAAAGCAAAGAGACGGCAAAAGAAACCATTAAGTTGTTATTTGAATTATCCAACGCAGAATTTCGTGCTAAAGCAGAACGAGTTTCACTCACTTCTTCACTTAAGAAACACCATCATCGATGGGCGATGACTTTGAGAAGAGAAAAAACATTTAAAACATGATTTTCAAGAATTTTTAAATTATTGCTCTTGCTAAGTAAATTTGACGTACTCGTGGTGAGTTTATTTAGGATCAAAAAGAAATAAACATGATGAGAGAATTAGAGCAAAGACAAAATAAGGCTGAAAATGTTCTTTTCATTTGTCATGTTCTTCGTCTTTACACTCATAGAAATTCTTCATTTGTTCAATCTTCGCACAACGAGTAGCGTTATGTTCTCTACTATGCTGCCCCTGTGTGACGTTTATAATGGCTCGCAATAGAGAAAGAAACAACTGCTCTTTTTTTTGTTGCTCCGTTTAAAAGGGCTATTGTAAGCAAATTATTATTATTTTATGCATAGAAAAGTTTGCTCAAACTACAATGATGTTGACCGCAACAATGTACGCCATCATGACGATGAGGAAACTTCAAACATTTCCACACTGAAGCATAAATGTAAAGCCAGCATGTGATTGAAGATAATTTATGTTTCCAATAGCACAAGAAAGTCTCTCGTAGATAAACATAAAAAAATGATTATAGATCGACGAATCACGATTTTGCAATAAATTAGAAAACTATATTAGTCGATTCTTAAATGCATATAAAAAAAAAGATTATTGGAAAGAAAATAAAGTGAATATCTTTAGAGAAAAAAATATTCGTAAAATGATGTCATGCAGTAGTAGATCATGTAAAGTAGATCATAATCAAAATATTTTTTTAATCTCAATTCTTTGACACATTTCAAATTTTAACAAACGCCTAGGTAATGAGTAATTGCCACATCAAAGATGTGAAGCCGAATTCAAAAGATTGTACGACCTTCATGGCATCATGAATAACTCATTAGCTTTTCAATCACTTTTTTTGTTCATTTGTACACCAACTGCTGTTGTTCCACACATAGCAACGTTAAATTATTCGCAAATTCTTATGTTGAAGATTGCACAACAATAAATGCGAAGAATAGAATTTAGTTCAATGGATAGTTAGTTAGTAAGTTGAAAAAGCAATTAAGCAGCAATCAAAACTCTTTTATTTTTATTTGAAGAATGAGGAAAGCAGAAAGCAATGAGAAGAGATCATTTCTTTTAATGAAGCCAACCAATGTGCTGCTTTTTGGTTTCACATAATCATCATGGCTTCTTTGAAACCTCTGTTATTATTATATAATTTTACAGCATCTCTTTTTATTTTTTATTTTCTTCTCTTCCCCCGTACATCAGATTTCAAATATCACGGAATTGTGTTGTTTTGCGACTGGAAGTTGAAAAGATATTTTCGTTAGCTTGTGCGCTCGCAAGATTGAGAGAAATCCGTTAGATTTCCTCTCCGTGCTGTTGTTTTTATTTCTTTTGGGTTATTTAAGTATCTAAATATGAAGTAAAAAAAACTATTTATGTATTTCAAGAGTCTTTAAAAGTTGCGAGATGATTGTCGCAAAAGTTTTGTAACGTTCATCGAAGACGAGACTTAAATATTGAAATATCTGCAAATGTCATTCTTAAGAGATGAAATTTTATTTACTTTTTCTGTTCGTTTTTTTAATTGTTTACTTGTTCTACTTGTTCTAGAAAAAAGATAAAAAACGAGAAACGATGACAGCCAACTCGATCAACATTATGCCAGCAATGATATTCTTTCTTCTTTGTTTAAGCAGCGTTCGAGTATTTGGACAGTCGAATTATGCCTCACATGGTAATAACATTAATTACATTGGAAATGGATTGCCTGAAGAGACAGTGCTTGATGGAAAAGTAAGTGACATTGAACCATGAAAAAATGAAAAAAAAAGAATCCCGCGTGGGTGATTACAGTTAATCCATCGACTAAGTAACTTGTTTAGGGAAGATTCGCAAGAAACGATTTTTCATGCCAGCTGTCAATTTGAATTCAAACTTTTCGCTAATTTAATCCCCGAATAAGAAATGATTGATTGACTGATTTTATGTTGTGCTATTTTTTAATTTTGTTTCTTCCTTTTTTTACATTTAGGTAACGAAATTGGATGACTTAAGTCCCATTATTTTCCTAAATCGCACCAAAGCCGCGTTAAATTGTGGAGCGGGATCAATGGAGGTAAGAGATTTGGTTTAATATACATTTAAGTCACAAGGATTCAATTGACATTGATCATTGAATTGAAAAAAAAAGAGATTCTGACGACATGTCACTTACTTATATTTTAATTTACTTCAAATCAAATAAGGAAGTAAAGGCAATAAAAGGAAGACTTATTTAGTAGATCTTTGCTAATTTTTTTCCATAAATATATTAGAATGTTCTAAAGCTAAAAATGTTTGAAAGCTTCTTTGACATTTAAATTTGTCATCTGAAAATTCCAAAGCCACACTTTAATTTCATAATATTCTTATTTCAATTCAACAACTGAATGCTATTAATCCCGAGGTCATGTAACATGAACAAAAAGAAGAAAAGAAAAAAAACAAACAGAACAGTTCAGTTCATTCAAATGTGTTTGCGGGTTTATTTTTATGTAGGTGGACTAACAATTCAAGTTTTAAACAAGTCTTTTTCGCGCAGAAATTGTCACTGATTCGTGTATTTGTTTCTTTTATTTCTCATTTGCATAGGTGGATATGAAATTCAATGAAAAGTTTTACGGTGTCGCCTACGCAGATTTCGATCGTAATAGTGCTTGTCAAATCATTGGTAAAGGTGATCTCAGCTATAAGATTGAACTGCCTTTGAAAGGATGCGGAACCAAGCAGGATCCTCAACGTGTATTCACCAACAATATTGTTGTTCGCTTCCATCCGGGATTAGAAATGGATGGAGATGAGATTATCACGATAGTATGTCGCTACCCACCGCCAATCGCACCAGTTCCAGCACCACTGCCAATCGCTCCAGTCGGGTAATTTACTAACATCTTCATCAATCTCATAACTAATCAATCTAATAATCTAACGTCATCTTATAACGATCATTTCATTTCATCATTCTTCACAGGCCCGATCCTAGATTAGCTGAAATCATTACCGCTCCCTTAAGAGGCACGCAGATTCTTTTTATTATCTGCGCTCTCATGTTCCTGACGCTTTTATTGTTGGGTCTTGGGGTGTCTTATTATTGTCTTCGTCGTCGAACGATTCCTGTTGTTCGTCGTCTTCCAATGTACATGGGAAGCGGTTCAGAGATAACGAAATTAAGTGGAAGTAGCTTGGGAAATTTGTCAGTGTTTGAGGAAGGTCTAAAGATTCCTCGAGCTCATGTCCCTGTTCTCCAAGCTGTACAAAGTTCCAGCGATACACTGCCCTCCGACTATCCGAGCGAATCACACTCCGAAATTGAAGAAGTTGATACTCGCTCTTTGCCCCACAGTTCCGTCAGTAGTTACGAGAATCATGCTTATTTGCAGGAAGCTTCAAGCGTCTATAGTGAGAATCTTGGGCAGATTCAAGTTCAAGAGATTCAAGCTGTTGCTGTTACTAAAGCGCCATCACCTAAATTTGATGTTCAAGTACGAGTTAAGCGTCCGCCACCACCACCACCATCAATCTCATCATCATCCGAAACAGAAAGTGCTGCCAGTCGAGCTGAACGAAATAATTTATCGACAATTATGGAATCGCATGAAGATCGTGAAAGCATTTTAACAGTTGAATCACTGCCACATGAAATTGTTCAAAAGCAATTTACTTACATGCCTGAGATTCATCCAGCTCCGAAATATGATGCACATCCATTGGGTTATTCGACACTTAATAAGAATGCGAAACAATATGTAAGTTAATGACGATGAAATTTCTTAGTCAATAAAATATTTAATTAAAATAATTATAGCGTCGACATTGGCCAGAAGATTTAGCTGATGGTCCACCAATAACTCACGTTGAAGAAATTGAAACTCACACTGTTACGGAAACTATTGATGAAGGTCAACCAACTTATACAACACGAATGGATATTGATCACCAGGATAGTCTTGAGCCACCAATTCATGTCATTCGTAAGCCTGAAATTACTTCAGCGGTTGTTGATGATGTATTCTTGAGAACAATTACTGAGAAGCGAACAATTGAAGATATTGAGAAGCAAAAGCGAATGGTAACAGAATATAAAGTTCGTCCTATGATTTCTGACCCAACATGGGATGTTAAGATTAGAAACCTTGCTGAAAGTGGTGGACCACAATGGGAAGATTTCTCTGACATTTCAAGTGCATCTGGAATTGCGCCACCAACATCAAGGGCTCCAATGAATGTTCCACCGACTTCTTTCATATCTGAAACTGGTTCACTTTTGAGAAGTCCCGAGATGGTTGGAAATATGAAACCAATTGAAATGCCAGAAGAAGATAAAGCTGTTCCGAACTGGGACGTTTTGATTCGTGTATTGGAAGAACCAGCTATTGAACCGGTTGTTCAAAATCGTTACGAAACGTCTACAAACATCCTACATCGTCAACTCAGCTATGAAGATCGAGTGAAATGGAAGGAAATCATCACAACTGAGTCAACATTAAGAAAGATGTTAACTGAAGCTGTTGTTCGTGAAGACTTTGAAAGAATTAGTCGTGATGTACGTTACGAGCAAATATTTGAACCACAATCATGGGAGGTCATTATTCGTATCTTAGCACCACCGGATGATGATGTAAAGTTACGTGAACCTAAAAGTAATAAGAAGCAACCTTGGGATACACGTTCACGACGCAGTTCATTGCCAACACTTTATGAATATGATTCTGATGGAGGGTCATCAGTTCGAACGATTAAACAAGATTTGATTGTTTCACAACAACAACCAGGACCATCACATGCTTACTTGCCACATTCACGAAGAACTTCACGATCGTCTTACAGATCGGGATCTGATTTTGTTGATATGCGATCTATGGCTGAAACAACTGTTGATTTCACACGACCGGAATCTTATTTCGAAAAAGCATCAGAAGGAAGCTCGTATCAGCCAAGGTAATTAAGTCGAATTAAAACTGAAATTCCCATAAAGTTTAATTTCACGGCTTTTACAGATATTATGATGATGACCGTTATAGTGATCATCGTTCGTTACACCGCTCCGTTAGTCATCCGTCCCTGGCTCGTTCTGAAAGTGAATTTATGGAACAATGGGTCGCACCAATAGATGGAATGTCTTCACCCGAAGGTAGTCCACGAATGCGACGTACACAACGCGTCTTGGTAATGAAATTGAATTTATTTTTTTGTGTTTTCATGTTTGTTTATTCTTTCATTGTACATATTTATTTCATCTTACAATTCACAGACAACATTTCAACCACGACCAACTAATGCGTCGGTAAGCGGAAGTGCTCAACGCGTCGTGACATCGGAAACACAATATTCGGAACAGCGAACAATGAAATATCAAACTGGTGATAGCTCTCAATGGTATTCCAAGCATCAATAATGAATTTGTCATGTTCTTCCATCAGAAATTTTTTAAATCGAAATAATTCTTTGTGCCAATTAACACGAATGTTTACTCTTTTTTTAAACAATTGTCAACAAAGTTTAATTCAACATTTTAATAGAACGTATAATAGATAAGAAAACTTCTTTTAATTAAACATACATATCATTAATTACATTCCTTTTCTTTGGAGAAAACTTTTCATTAATTTTTAACCTTTTCTGTGATAATTTTTAAGTTGAAAAAAAAAAGCATTCCGGAGCAATTTTAAGCTCAATTGAAAGTCACAAAAGTCCAGTGAGAAAAAAAAACCATTAAAAATACTCAAACATTATCTTTAGAGTAGATATATCTAACTGAGAAAATCATAAACTTTCTTCATGTTCTATTTGGTGGTGGGTTTATTGAATTATTTTTGTTTCGAAAAGAATCAAAAATTTTAAGATAAGATTGAAAAACAAGAAAGAAAACTTTTAGTCAGGAAAACTTTTTGAAAAATTATCCAAGCAGAGAAAATTTGAAGTTGATGGAAACATCATAACTGAATATAATAATCTAGATAATTTTTTGACTCGTTTTCAATGCCTTATTTTTATGAATATCATGACGGAGAAAATGTCGTTCATCAATAAATAATAATAAATTTTACTAATAAAGGAAATAAAAAATGAAATTTTTTTTACTTACTCTATGATTTTGCAGTTCTTGTGAGTTTAATGTTTAGGAAAACTGTTCAAGGCTTAAGGACTTAAGTTTGTTTGTAAACCCATAGATATTTTATCTTTCCATTTTCAGTCGATTAAATACATAAAGTTATTGGTATGGGTCAAAAGAAACATGTCATGCGGCATAACTCAAAGGCGAAATTTTATTTTTTTCTCAGCTTCTTCAAGTCTCAAGTAAAGTTACAAAGAAAAAAAAAGTCAAGTAAATTACGATTTGTAAGAAAAAGAAAAAAGATTTATCATATATGAATAAAATTAAATGATTATCATCACATATTCACTATGAGGATTTGGAAGAAAAAAATAATTAATAAATTAGTTTAATTAAAAAAAATCAAGCAAAATCAGATAAGATAAAGATTCCATCACAAAAAATCAAGAAAATTAAATAATGTGTCGTTAACCAATCACAAGCGCTCACGGCTTTAATACATTGAAAACATTTTTATTGTCTGTATATGATTTAAGTGCTGCCACTCAATATCGAATATGGAACTTCGTTTAAAAAGAATTAAGCCTCACACACGGCAAATGAAGTGAAAAAAAGCCTTCTGTATCATATCACCTGTATGTCATCTTTTGGAAATCATAAATTTAATCAGTTCATTTTTAGTTGCGGTTGAGTTAAGTTCTATTAAGTAGACAAAAACTAAGAGTTTTTTATTATAAAAATGGAGAATGATATTGAAATTTGCGTTAGTGATAGCGATGTGAATACTGGTAGTGAAATAAATTTTGATTTAATCACAAGATATTATCAAATTTTAACAAATCAATTAGAAAATGGCGGTGGTATGAATTAATAATTATTTAATTAATGGAAGAAATTAATTAATGGCAAATTTTTAATTGAAAATAAATTAGAGCCTCAACAAAGCCCTGAGATGTTTCAAATGATTTGGTCACAGTTTCTAATCACTTTATCTGCACTTTTACAAGCTCAATCTGCGTTGGCAGAGAATCAACAAGTGCAATCAAATATTAAAGGTATCAATTTTCGCGAATGGAAGATATACATAAATATAAACAGATTGTTTATAAATTTAATTGTTCACGATAGAAACTGTCGATCCTGAGACTCCATTAAATCTGAGTAAATCACAACAAATCTGGAGTCCCGCAAGAACTCTTGAAAATCAGAGTTCTTGCAACTCAACACCAAATCTTCCGATTTTTAATCAAACTGCGACAAATAGTCGACAAGGCGTGGAATCGCCTGATGATCCTTCAAAAACTTTTCATGTAAGTTTTAAATGTTTAATGGTAAGATGTAATTATTTTATTTTTATAAACTTTCTAACTTAGAATGAATCTGAAAGAGATTTAGAATCTTCACTCATAAAGTTAAAATGCGCGTGTCTTTAGAACAAATAATAAATTGTGTCTTTAGAACGAATTTAGTTATAAAAATGAAATGCAGAGCACACAACAAATTTCGATGGTATGACGAAAGCAAAAAAACATTTGAGACAACATTGGATTATCCAAATAGTGAAATATTTCATCTGTTGAAATCTAAACTATACATCTACTGAATTTGTCAACAACTTATTCTCAATGAAAAGAAGTATGACTGTGAGATGTCTTCTGTCTGATTCATGTTTATCATCTTTCAAATACAATTGTTATAATAATCGTCGCTTAATACATAACACCAACCTTATTTTGATTTCAATTTATTTTCTCGAGAACAAAAAAACGTTGATTAATTACTGTTGACACAAGTGAGACTTTGAAAGCCTTTCAAAGATTTCAACAATACATTCCCTCTATGCATATCCACAAAACGATGACGATGATGAGTCTCTGTTAAAAAAATGCAAAGATTTTTATTTTATTTTATTTTCATTCATAATAATGGAAGTATGAACACTCAGTTGATTGTTGTTGGGAATGTGACAACGAATAAAAACTGGAACATCTTTCATGTAGTTGGTCTTTGTTTGAAGTTATTAACTTGTTTGTGAATTACTTTACATGAAATCTTTCACTTTTCTTAATTTAAAAGAACGGAAGAACTTTAATTACTAATTGAGAAAAACATTTTAAAATTTCCCTTGACACATTTGCATACGTAACTAACATTGACAGTTTTTTAATTCATTTCAAAGCACTAAATATGTGACGTCACGATATATGTATTTGCGCTTAAGTTATCTTGAGGCATCGTCAGTGGTTTTATATTTTTTGGGTAAACATTTATGGATTTTTTTTTCTTGTGTCACTCAACAACTTAGAAAAGGCAACGTCATGCCTCTCTTGTTCATTTCCATAATATGTCACTCTACGGAATCTTGCAAGAAACACTAATTAATAAAAATTATTTTAATAAAGTTAATGGAGGAGGAATGGTAGCGTTCAATGTCTCCGAGATCATCCAAGACAATGAAAAATTCGATAACACGATTTCATAATTAAAAAGGATGCATAACCAAATCGTAACAAAGATTAAATCAAGTTAATTAATTAACATCGGTGTTTAAGGGAAAATCAATAAAAGTCCCTTCTATTTATCAAATGAACTTCTTTAAATATTCATATAATCATTATTCAATTTCTTTTCGTTCAATACCCAAAGTCCACCCACACCCAATGCCAAAAAAGCTTAATGAGATTTTGATTTTAATCAAAAGAAACACCCACGCTTGTCGTCCTGGTATTCACTTACATAAATGAATTAAATCACCTCTGGCGAGAATCATTTGTTAATTTAGTGTTTATTAATTAAATAAATTCTTTTTTTTTATCTCTCCGACAGTGTTCCCAATGCGGAAAGCAGTTTAAGCGCGCATCAACGCTGAGTACTCACATGATGATCCACAGGTTTGCACAAAATCTATATTTAATCTCAGCAATTAAAGGCAAATATTTATTCAATTTTCTCTTTACATGTGACAGTGGAAATCGTCCTTTTGTTTGCCCATTTCAGCATTGTGGCAAGAGATTTCATCAGAAAAGTGACATGAAGAAAGTAAGTAAATTTACATCAAACCTTAAAAGATTGTTTGATATCAAATTTTCATCTCTTCTTAGCATACTTATACCCATACAGGTAAAAGGAAAATGTTTACTTTTTGATTCGGGAAAATCTTGAATCTTAATATATTTTAATCTCACAGGAGAAAAGCCATACAAATGCGTTACTTGCTTTAAGGCATTCAGTCAAAGCTCTAACTTGTAAGAATTTTATTTCTTTTTCTTGTTTAAATAGTTAAAAATTTACTCAAATTATTTTGTTACTAAATAGAATAACTCATCAACGTAAACATTCCAACTACAAACCTTTCTCTTGCATATTTTTTGGATGTGAAAAAAGCTTTCAGAGAAAAGTCGACTTAAAACGTCATCAAGAGAGTGTTCATAGCAGTGAATTACCTTTCATGTGAACAATTTTGTCAATTATCAAACATTTTAATGGCCATTCAACTAGGTCAGACTAGGTGCAGTTTGTTGGAAAATCGATAAGAAAAAATTTAAAGTACTTTTCACTTTTTTTTGTTGGGGTTAAAAATTTGCTATTGCAAGAAACTTTAAGTACAATTGTTAATGGGAAATCATGTATAAATGGAAAATGTGTAAGATCAGCAAAATAGTAGATAGTATTTTTCGACTTGATAATATCTAATGAAAACATATTCAATCATCAAATAAATGTTTTATTTTCCACCCACGCCTTCTCTAACATAAGAAAACCAAAAAATGTTTTTTTATTTGTTATTTTGTCTCTAAGGGAGTTGAGGGCTCCTAAAAGAGCTTCAATATGTGTGTCAGCAGTTTATTTAAGTGAGAAATTGAAAGAAGAGAGATTCTTTAATAGAAATTTTCATGTAAAGATAATGCAAATATTTGATATATATTAATATAAATCTGAGAAACATCCGTCGATAAAGTTGAACTTCATTAAATTTTCCATTCAATTACTTTTTGTTTGTTCGCATATATGATCACTGGCAGGTGCCTTTGATTCAGTTTTGAAATATTTTGTCGAATTTATTGCTGAACTTCTTCTACGTACACAAAATAAAATTTCACGTTAATCACATTAATTACATGCATTTATTTTTATCTTTTTGATTTTTTAATATTTCATATTTTTTAAAAGTTAAATAGAAGAAGTTATTAAGATTATAATTTTTGATTTTTATTACGATATTTTATCAAAAAAATAATTTAAATATCTATAACATAAATTATACGTTTAATAGTTTTAAAATTATAAGCTGATATTTTTAATAAAAGTTGTAAAGCCTAATTAATCATTAAATTAATTTTTTTAAATTTTCTAAAATATAGGAAAAGGAACAGATATTTACTATCGTTGAAAGTGAAAATCCTCAACATTTCCACAATTCAACTCATGCACTCTGGCGTTAAAAAGATTTGAAGTGTAGACACAAACCGTCTTTAGATTCTCTCAATCCTTTCCTTCTTTGTAGAAATTATTGAATATAATTATTTATTTTATTTTTTTCATTTTCCTTCTGTCAAACTTTCCATTTTCATTTATTTACAATAACACTTAAAAACGAAATCGAAATAAAATTTTAAAGTTTTCTCCTTTCGAACTTTTGTTATCTCTTATTTGGTTAACTCATTTCTCTTGTGAAATTTTATGCAGTGAAACTTTATTCTTGATACTTAAAGATTGTTTAATATATTTTTCCTTCACTTAAGAATAAAAAGTTGAAAAAGAATTTTCTTTTCACTCTCCTTCTTTAGAGAGTTTCGTGATTTTTTCGGTGAAGAAATTTGAAACAAGTAAGAAACAAATGAATGAATAAATAAAATGTTTTTGTAAAGTAATATTTAAGTAAGCAAAAGCGAAGTAGTCCAAAGTATCAAGAAGAGTGAAGATCAAGAAGAAAATTTAAACTTTTAATGCACGAGCGAGGGAAAAATGTAAGGGATGAAATCAAATCTCTCTTACGAAATGGAATTTTAAACTGTCTATGAGCAAACTTCCTCCCTAATTTCTCAGGATGAAGAGCCAACAAAGTATTTATAAATACTTGAGAAAATCATAGACATTCCTTTGAGAAAAACGTTAGCATCCTTTCCATTCTGCAATGTTGAGAAAATTAAAAAAAAGGTAGAAAAGACTCTTTTAAGAGTTCTCATAAAAGCTTACGATCGAATTTTGAAAGCAAATCGTATACATATAATAAATAGTTTTATTTCTGTTTACATAAATATATAGAAGAGAGTGAGAACAAAAATATAACATTCAAGGTTTATTAATTACATCTACCCACACTATAGCTTAAAAGTAATTCCATTTTTTTACCTCAGAAAATTGCTGAAAGCTTAGAAATGTTTTTAAAAAAATTCTCAAGCTAAATCAACATTCTGATTTCCCGTTAGACTCAACATAAATATTTACATGTTTCTCATGCAGTTTTAAATTAAATGAGAAATTAAGTTTTTGAGAATTGTATAAATAACAATAGCTCGTAAGAGCACACGATGCTTGTAATTTGAAAACTGTACCTTTATACAAACAATTTCATGTTCATTTCTAGCATAATGCTTCTTTTTTCTTTCTTTATTTCTTTATATCTCCCTCTCTATCCTTCTCTTATTCATTCATTCTATGCTGTTAGTTCCATGCGAGGGAAGAACACATTAAATGAATTCATTTCCACTGTAGAATGAGTTTGAGAAAAAAAATTTAATTTACTTTTATAGCAGCGGAACTTCATTCCGTTTAAACGAGAAAATCAAGAAAGATGCTTCATAATTGCCTTTTTGACTTTCAAGATTCACCGTGTGACGTCGACGTTAATTAAGGTGCTTTATGTAATTTTACTTCAAATCATAGAGGATTTAAATTTCAAAAAACAAAAGTTTAAAGCCAGGTTAGCAAAAACCAAAAACGGATGGTTGAAAGCTTCTGTCAGCAATAAGTAAGTAAATAAGTAAGTAGGAAAGGAGAAGGGTAGTGAAAAGTGATCTATCAATTTACATTCCAACGAATAAACTTCACTCACCCATTGCTTACATAAACCTCTTAATGCTCGCTTGCTAACTTAAGCTATAAAATGGAATTTTCATAACTTCACTCATAATCGTGGTAGCGTGAGCTTAAAAAATATTTTTCCAGATGTCATCGTAAACAATTTTTTACTCTTTCCCAACTCCAAACTCACAAGTCTTCAACTGCATGGATTTTCTCGTTAAAATTTCTTTCGAGTGGTGTTTTTTTGAAAAAAATATTTTTATTTGCTCATACATAGCTTAAGCTTTCGCGTTGACAGTTTGCGAAAAGTGAAACATTTGTTGGGTTGAAATGAGTTTGAATTTCAGCTTTATTTAGTTCTCTCCATAACTTGTGTAAAGTATAAAATATGAATCAACATTGGCTATCATCTCGAAAAGCAAGGAGTGATAATCATCATCAAACTTATTCATTTCAATCCTCATTTTATCGATTTTCCCTTTGCTTTCGCTCGACATCATCCTTGATAAGAAAAGTAGAAGCTTTTACCTCCATACATAACGAACCGAAAGGGAAAAGTATTAAAAATTGTAATTTTTTAAAGTTTAAATTTCACAAATTTTCTCTTACAGTTCATTATCTTTCTCGAGAAGGCGTAAGTTCATATTTTAGAGCTTCTCTGAGACAAAGAGGATGAGACTATGACGTTCAGAGGGTTTTACATATTTAATTTTCCTGCTCCTTTTTAGCTCTCCATCGCACTCACTAGGAAAAACAGAAATAGCTGTAAATGATTATGAAGCATGGTAGGATGAGATTCTTTTCGTTGTTTGTTATCTATCATCTCGAAGGTCAGAAATTAAATATTCGACATTTCTTCTTCTTCATCATCATACAGTTGTTTCATTCAGGTTGGAAAGCTTAAGTGGATGGAGAGTTTTGAGATCACTCTAAAAAATTGCACATTTCTTTTCAGAAGGCCAGATAATGTAGTAAAGACGTGGGGCGATGGTGAAGACGAAGGAAAACGTCAAGACGAAACATAAAAAAATTCTTTGCCAGAGTTAATTCAATATCATCGTAAAGTATCATCGTTTTAGGTAGGAGGTGGCAATGGTGGATAAATATGATAAACAAAAATGCATGAAGCAAAAGAAAACATTAGCTGCTGATACATGGATGAGAATGAAAAAGTCGATGAGCTTTTTTTTCTTTTTATCAAAAAATTGATCAGAATAAAGATACATACTTAAATTTTGTGAATGTTGCGCGTTGGGGAGTAACGAGAATAAATTCATGTTTCAACTGTTGAGAAATGAAAAAGCATTCATGTTTTCATCATCTGAAAAATTTCGTCGTGAGACTGTCGTTGATAAACTCACACGTATATTTGAAATGCCATTTTTATCGTGAAAATGTCCGCATCTGTTTTGAAATTTGGTAATAAACAACGTTGATTAAACGAGAATAGGAAATTAAATCTCTTCAGATATATCAATTGCACTTGAATCTTTGCTTAAAAGGAGGATTAAGCTTTTCATCACACTTGTTCATCCTCTGATATGTTTAAATTTGAATATCACTTGTCGATGAATGAACAAAATGAACGAGGACAATTCAAAGCAGATATGAATTTAAGTTTCTTGTTCTTTTTTTTTTATATAATTTTCACGTTGACGGTCTCTTCTTTTCTTTTCAATTTTTCAATTTTGATACGCGTTTAGAATTCGATTTTTCACTCAAACATTTACGAGGGTGAAGAAAAGTACTTTTCATGATATCAAAGCTTTCCTTTTTCGTCATCGTGATGTTTTTTTTATTCAATCATACACAGAGTCAGATTGCTTGTGAGTGGTTCTTGAGTAAAGTTTCAGTTATCTTACCACACCCACTCTCTCATCATTGCCTTATACGTTGGTTTCAATTTGTTTGATAAACAGAAATAGGAATAGAAAGGAAAAAAGAATTGTGCAGCAAAATTTCATGAATCTGTGGCCGCCGTTTATGCTGCTTGAAAATGCACGACAAAACTTTGTTTTCAAATTTCCCTTCACTTCGAGTTTTGTGTGAGACTCGTATAAAACTTTCCACTTCGATTTAAAGTTTCATCATGAAAAAAAATGTGTTTTATTGTTATTATTATTATTGTTTTTCTAACCACTGGTTTATCTCTTCAATGAAGAAAATTCTTTGAATCACAGATGCGAGAGTTGCTGCAAGGCACATGCATGGTAGATACAAACAAATAATCATAATTTATGGCTTTCAGTCTGATGACCGACACAAGCAAATGAAAATTCCGTTTCCTGTTTTACACTCAAATGTAGATGATGGAGACAATAATAGGAAAAAAGTAATCGCCGTTTGCTAAAAGCAGACATTGGTCATATTCATTTCCCTCTGATGCTATCTATTAATTCCCGAGTTATGCTTGAGGAAAAAATGAGAAATCCCTTTAATACAGAAATGCGCACATGTCATAAAGAGAAGAAAAAAAAATTAATATAAAATCCACAAATGAAACTTTTATGCAAGCTTTATTAACCATCGAACCAGAATTATGTTTGAGAGCTAAGAAGAACAAAGAGAAAGAAAGGAAAAATAAACTTTAAACATTACAGAAAATTTTATTCATCTAATGTTATGATGATACATCTCGTATTTTAATATCACGCGGCATGACTTCTTCCATCATAGAAGGATTGAAGAAATATGGTCTGGAGAAATGAAAACGAGACAACAAGCTATCATACACAAAGCACAACTACTTAACATGATGTTGTTATTCTTGAAATGACTCAAGTCGTGGTTTGTCGTAGTTTCTTTCGTGCTGCCGGCTCTTCCGCCTAGAATGACAAATCATTCTTCTGTTTATTATGAATTGCCATGTTTCACAAGGGAATTACATTAAAGAAGCGGAGATTTGCTGCTATTTGAAATCAGCAACGCAATTTTACATCATGTTGTTCTTATTCCTTTTGTCCGAGATAATAAAACCACAAAAAAATAAAAAAAAAACATGACAAAATATTATTACAAGAAGAAAAGAATCCCAATCGGAATCAAAGGATTCCTTTTATTGATAAAATAAATAATTCCAACAGATTTTCTTCCTTCCTTTTTTTGTTCTTTCTCTCATGTCTTTTCTTAAATGGTTTCATCGTCGTAACAATAGTATTTGTGTCACGTCCCTTTCTAATTTCTTTCGGTTTTATTTTCTCACGATTTAAAAGCTACATAAAAAGGAACACAGTGCTAATCGCACGCGACTCACAACTTGAAAACCACAAATAAATCGCAATCAAAAGTAATCTTGTAAAGTATTGATCTAAATATAATTATATCGATGCGCGGGTGTAGGCGTGAAAATTGTTCGTTAAAGGATGAATCTTTACGTTCTAAGCTCGATGCTTCAACTGTTCACTGGCAAGTAATCATGAGTCTTTATCACACAATAATTTGTCATTCCTTATCAACACTGATTAAAGACGAATGGCAAGAAAGTCAGACGGAAGTTTCTTTCCTCATTGCTTTTTGAAAATGTTCTGTCAGTGGGTGTTAGTATTTATGCACAGCAAAATTCATTGTTAGTCAAGACATTAATCATTCGAAATTTTAATTAAAGAACATTTAAGGCATTTCAGTCTAAAACTCTTTGCAATGCATGAAATAATTTTTTAATGTTTTTTTTTCATACATTTCGATTATTTAAATGGTAAGAATATAGAAAAGTTGTTAAAATGACGTTTGTCACACCTTGCGGTGATACTTGAAATGTAGAAAGAGTTGAATGGAAATTCTTTGGACATTTCCTGCACATTCATGAAAACCTCAAAGTCTCTTGAGAGTTTAAATGTTTCGAAAACTTTAATCATTAATGATGGCAGCTTGAAATTGATAACTGAAATGGAAATGAAAGTTGAATTACATTATATTGTAATTTTCAATGCAAATGGAAATGAGACAAAAGGGAAGAGAAATCTTCCGACAGAATTCCTTTCAAAAATATGAATCAAGATTGTTGCAATGGGAAAGAAAAAACCCTTTTTTTAAAGAAAAGAACTTCCAAAGGAATAAACAACGAGAAGAAACAATTTTAATGAAATAGTCCAAGCGAGTTTTCAAGAAAGAAGAAAAACTGACAAAAGAAAAACAATTATTTGTCAGGAAAAATTCTTTCTCGTTTGTTTCGTCCTTTGTCAAAATGGAGTGAAATATAAAAAAAGAAAATTAAAATTTCTCATTTCAATGAATTTGGTGAATTTTCCGCAGATTTTTGCGGTATTAAAATTGTATCATAAATTTTCCACGAAATTAAACCTTGAAAAGCAAGGAACAAATCATAAATGACGTGGAAAAGTTTTCCTGAAAAAAAATTAAAACTTTAGTTCGTTGACATTACTTTATCTTCATCCCTGGTCAAAAGAGATTTTTTTTATGTTGCGAAATCGATTGAGCGGCTTTAAAATTTTCTTTAATTTGCTTGAATTAAGAAAAAATATTCACTCTAGAAATGTTCACAGAAAAAGCTACAAAAAGGGAAAATAAATCTTTACTGACACAAAAGTTTATTCAAATTTCAAAAAATTATAGTTTAATGAATATAGTTTTTATAGTTTTTTACCAGTGATTCTAGCATTGAGGATTATGGTTCGACAACCAAAGAACAACAAAAAAAAATATGTTCGAACCTTCCCCCGCAATGAAGTTTTAAACGAGAAAATATAAAAGTTTACGTTCAATTCAAGCTGCAATGAAGATGAAAATTTATTGTTCAGCAATTGTTATCGGTTACTTACTTGGATAGATACTTTGAGAGCTACTCGAGCATAATCACGAATAAAAACTCAGTAGTATTTGAGTAATCTCTTTTATTTGAGTTGTAGATATATTTTTCTGCGGTAGTCAAATTCGTACATATTTATACAAGATTCGTGACTAGTTACGCATTTATTATTAGGGTCAATAATTATCTCAACAAAATTTATATGAATACGATTATTGACGTAGAAAAAGCATAAAGAAAGTTTTTGAAAGGATAAATTAATATGAGGAAGTCATAGAAAAAAGGGGGGAAATATGAAAGAAAGATAAGAAGGATAACAAATTCTCATTCGCTTGCAATTTTCCCTTCTCCATATTCTATTTCCGAAACATGATTTATATTTAGATCTAACACCATTGGAAAGGGCGAAAGGCGATTTATTTCCTCCATACATAAAACAGCGCAATTGGAGGAATTATTGTTGACTTAAGACATAACTCCTGATAATTGGCAATCTTGGCAGTGAATGATAAAACCAAACGATGGTAAAACAACCTCAAACAACACAAAAAAATAATAATAAAAGAAAAAAATAGTCGTAAAGTTTAATAAATTTCTAATTACTTATTAATATTGCAGCCTTTTCCAAAACCATATTTTAAATTAATTTATGTCGAAGCCATTTTACATGTGAGAGTTGTAGAGGTTGAAAATGTGAGAAAAGCAATAATGATTGGGAAAGGCGCAAAAGTAGTAGCAACGCCATCAGTTGAACAATATGTGTGATGACCAGGAAGTGTGTAGTTGAGGGACGAGAGGGGTGAGAGGGAGTGAGATGAATTGTTCAATAAACGGATCCTTTCGATCGATTGTTAAAATTTATATAAATGCTTTAGAGGAAGCTTACGAGAAAAGAGGGGGAGGGGTGGTGGATGAAATTTATCACTTTGCCTCTCTGTACGTTTAACGACACACAACAAAACTGGGCACTGCTTTTGTCAGCTGAAAAAGCAATGAAAATAAATTAAATAAATGATTTTACTGATTTTTCTTCCCCCATTTCTCTCCCAGTTTATATGAAACTGCTGTAAATTTTTCGCTTACTGATTTTCTGAACTTTCAATTAAAAAAATTTCTCTTAGTAGATGAAAATATCGACGAGCAAGCAAGCCATTGAAAATCGAATACAGAGAATCAATTAATTACATTTTTACAAATCGCCCTTTTCCGAGATCTCTTCAGCTTTAGAAGAAAAAATATTTCTTCTCCTTTGTGACTTTGCTGGGGCAATAAATCACAGAACCATGGATGGAAAGACATCAAGTAGACGGGGAAGTGGTCTTTTGATCTTTAAATGGAAAGAATGAATAGATATAAATATTTTGACCGTGATTTCGGTCAGAACTTGGGAGAAGTTTTCAATTTCCTGTTGAAATATATGTTCGTACACTCTGTGATTCCTTTTCCCAACTTACATCTACACACATATCTTAATGGCGTTTGTGATGGGAATTTGTTCGCTTTCAAAGAAAGTTTTCACTCCTATCGAAACACATGTTTTGAATTTATTTCTAAAGGAAGCGAGAATTTATAGTTCCCGTGTCGCTGAGAACGCGAGAAGGGCGAAGGGCTAAAATGCGCCAAACGGCAATTAATGAGAAAGCATAAATTTGTCTCATTCCGTTGTAGTGCACGTGGCATGGCGCGTAGACCTTGTGAATCATTCGCCAATGAATCTTGATAAGCGAAGTTCTTTACTTGAAATGGGTGTTAAATATAGAATAATCCTACATTAATTATCCAAGCTAACTGGTTCAATGATCAAGACTCGAGGGAAAAAAATTTGTGGGTTAAAAAGGAAGTGAAATTAATTTTCTTGCTTGCGTTGCGCAACGTAAGAGGATCTTTGAATTTTAATTGTCATTAAACATTTTATACAAATTATCGTCCATCGGTGTGAATATTAATCAATTTATCGTTGGAAAATTCACTTCATTTATTCATCATCCGAACCTTCTAACTTCAGCTAATGGAAAATCCCTAAAGAGTGTTAATATTCAATAAAGCGTCATGACGTCACCAACACATTGTATTTTTGGTCCTTGTGTTGTCAGAAAATCGAATAAGTAAACATTTGCGCCAGAGAAGTAGCGTCTTGAATAATTTTCTTTTCTATTTTTCGTACTCTGCGAATTTGTCTGTAGCATCATGAAAAACGCTCTCAACTTTGTTGCCGTCTTTCTGAAGACTGACTTGAAGAAAAGACAGCAAATTGAAAGGAACAAAAAAAACGGCAGCCAAACCGAAAGAACTGTGTCACTAGTAAAATTTTCATCTGCATAAATGCGTAGAATTCTTCTGCGTCGGTTTCCTCTCTCATATGCCACGTGGTCGCATTATGAGAAACGAGAGAAAACTCAGGATATGCTCAAAGACCGAACATTGATGACTAAAGGAATTTCGAGTTTTAGACGATTTTCACAATCCGTGAAAATATTTCAGAGAGAAAGGAAAATAAGAGAAAAATTGAAGAGAGAAAACGGTTAAAGGTTCAAAAAAAAGAGATAAAGGAAAAATATTTTCATAAGAAATTTTCCGTCAAATTCAACCCCTTTTCATTTTGCGGGAAACCCCAGCAATTCGATACTGTCCGTGTCCCTTTTTCTTCATCCTTTTCTTTTCTTATTTTCACTGTCACATCACAGCCAAGTCGGAGACTATTTTCAAAGCAGAAAAGTATTTTAATTGATCGAATTAAACTGATAAAAAAAATAAATAACATGACCATAATGTAATCATATTATTTCATGACAATTTTATCTTTAATACTTTTTTTCTGATTTTTTGCTTTTTTCAATCTCAACAACGCAAAAAGAATTTTTAACTGCCGCTTTTGTTGGTTTCTTTATGATGCCTTAACTGGAGCTTAGAGTTTAGCTTTGTATGTATGTCGTTTATTTTTAAGGGTGGAAAAAGAAATGAGATGATACAATAAATAATCGTCATAATTTTAATAATATTATGTTCTCTACACACATAAAAGTTGAAGAACTTTTCTTGAAAAAGCATAGGAATATGATAGAAAGCATCTATGGTATGCGAAACTTCGAGTTTGGAATAGAAATAGAACAGTATGAGTAGCAGTAAAGAGATTAAAAAGGCAAGGCAAAAGATATACTTAACAGTCCAGTCTGATAATTTCATGTTAATGATACGATCTTTCTAGTACATGCTCACAAAGAGCTTCTTTTAGTCTTAGATGCCATAAGCAGTCATCTCGCTATTAGAGAAGCTTTCATAAATATTGCAAAATATCAAATGTGAGGATTATTAAACGGAGTAGTGTGATAGCTCTTGAATCATTATTCGCATCATTGAACAAACTCTGATACCAGGAAAAGCGGAAAAATTTGTTCCGGCACCTAAGCTGTTAAATCAGGGACTTGAACGAAATCGAATTTTTATACATTTTCTTATTAAATTCAGTCCAATATGAGTTTCAATCTCTGTTTGAAAGCAAATTCAAACAGCTCACCATATAAGCAATTATAAATATACGCAAGGATGCTTTGCTTACACTTTGTTTCATTCAGTCTATGTCAGCAATTCACAATCTTAAATAAATTTATCGACAAACTTCATGTAGAAAGGAGTTGAGACTAAATTAGTGGGTGAAATGAGTTGGCTAATTGTAGTTCATTGTATGCAATCGGGGTGCAACACGCAAAGTAATCTTCTGAGTTTTGTTGAAGCAATCATCAATCACCAACGTTGACATGTATTACATGAAAAGAAATTTCTCACTCCGACGCCTCCACATGATTATGATGTTTGTAGCAAATTATATTGTTGTATTATCAATGAGATTTAATTGGAGTTCCTTTCAATCGTTTTCATTTGAGTCGAGTGTAAAACATGAACTTTTTATTGACGGCAATTTTGAGGAGAATATAATTTTAATGGGCTTTGCATGTTTACACCAAATTTTTGACGCTCAAACAGAAAAGTTCTCCCCAGAACATTAACAATCTCAAGGTACATACATAAGCACACACGTTATTTTTCAATTAGAATAGTTTTCCTCTCCACACTTGTTCATACCTTTCTTCTGCTTTATTTCTAACTTACACAGCTTATTATAATGGTAATTATTCACAGAGTCCTTGGAACGTTAAATATTAAACAATGTGGAGGCCATTGCAAAAGACTTTATTAAGCATTGAAATATTAAACACACGATTGCCGAACCCTTTCTTCAGACAAGCTGTTTCTTCTTCTTTTTTCCTCCTCACACTAATGGGAAAATCTCTTAGGAAATCCCAAGCCATTATAATGTTTATGGAATGGTAAGAAAGGCTTATGTTTGTAAAAATGGTGGGAAAATAATTCTCTAGATATGTGAAACTGAGAAATGAAACGAAAAGAAATTAAAGAAATAAATTGTTATTCTCTTTTCTCACGCTCCTTTTAATTAATTAAGTACTTAAATGTTTTTTCTTTAGTTCATTCCTTTTTAAAAGCTTTAATTAATCATTTTATTGCTTATTACTTAACTTTTACTTTTATTCGATATTATTGTAAGATGAAGGAATCTTTAATTACCATAAGAATATTTTGTTTCCTTCACAAAATCATCCTATATACATCGATTGGTAGTTGAAATCAACATCAAGACTACGTAAGATTTCCTTAATCGACCTCACAAATGGCACATTGATGGAATGTGCTTTGAGTCCCAAAAAAACTTCTTTGTTGCCATCTGATTGTATGCTATTTGACTTTCAACGTTTATTGTTAAATCGATATTTTAAATCGTCCCCATTCAAGAGTCATATGAGAAAGCATCGATGACAAAGAAAAGGAGAAACTTGAAGGTTCTTGGATTCGAAGTGGAATGTTATGTTTCTATTTTTAGCTCAATTTTGGGGTTGATTCATCCTTAAGCTCCTACTTTTTCTCCTTTCGAAGCATTTATGATTCATGCACCTGTTTTTGTGTTTTAAATTTCCCACAAATTGATGGATATATTTTACGTTCACAATTTTCCTCCTTCGTCCTTCGAATTTCATATTTCACTGTTGAAACAAGTCAGAAGAGGTCATTTCTCTTTTTACATCTTGTCGCGACATCGTCTCTTTTCCCTTGGCATTTCTTCTTTGTCTACTTTTTTATTTTTCAACCACTTCGTAAGTGATGATGAAGAAGAGAGGGAAATCATGGCCCAAACACAGAAAAGGTTTTTCCCTAAAGTGTGAATACGACAAGAATCGTTGAATTTGATTTTTGTGTGTCAATCGAGTGAAGCTCAAATGATTTATTCGACAACAATGAAAAAGTTCTCATTTTTTTTGTTTGCCGACGACTGCCGGAGCATAATAAATTGATGTGAAAATTCGCTGTGAACGTTGAAATAATATTAAGTAGGATGAATTATTGGTGAAAGAAATTCAAACACGATTGCAATTTTCGTGCTCTTTTCGTGTCATTCATTCAAAAGGAAGTGGAAGCTAATTTCTTAACTACTCTAAGTATGATCATGATGATTGGTTGGCGTAGTAATTTCGATAATAGAAATTAATGTATTAAAGCACCTTAGGCGATAGAATAATTTACTTCGCTCCGGTCTTTTAAAAATGTATTTCCGGATGATTGAAGAAAAGTTCTTCGTTTGTCGCTTGCTAAAGACTGGAGACAATATAAAGCTCTCGTCTTCATCACATTAAATTTCAATTGCATTTTAAATTGCATCAAGAGACTTGTTAAAATAAATGAGAAAAGTGATCTTAAACATATTGTTCTATAATCTTTTAATGAAGCTTTTTGTCGTGAAAAGCATATCGTTTAGAAATATAAAATAAATGTCTCTTTGTTGGACAACATTGTTTCTGAAGCATAATGAACTGGCAATAAATTTCTAGATCGTGTAAATGTTGCATTTTTATTCGTCTTTCCTTCATGAGGATTTCTTTCTTCTCCTTGTTGCTTTTCATTTCCACTTTTCACAAGACATGGAAAATTCTGCTTTAACAGCACTTTTTTTACGGCAAACAGATGCGGTGAAGATTTTTTTTTTCAACTCATGAACTGGGACATTAAAATCGATTTTTGTTTCTTCTAAGAATGAAGCTGAAAAGTTTTTAAAGTTTCACTTCAGAAACCTCACAACGAAAAGTGTTCGCAGGCGGTGTTTTAAAGTTGTTATTGCTGCCACTGCTTCTGTTAGCTTAATGTTCAATGGAGCGTGGGAGAATTGTAGTCCTTTTATAATTCGAACAAAATGGTCCACATTTTTATGAACCTTTGTTATTTTTCCGGAATGCTTGAAAATAATAACTCGTTCGATTCTACTTAAAAAATTCGTCTCAACGAAGAGAAAACATAGTAAAAAGTAGCAACAGAAGTGTAGTATTAAAATCGTAAGTGCTTCCATAAATCAGTGTACTCTGACTCGATCGTCTAGCCTCGACTTTCATTGGATTTCTCACACAAGAAATTGTGAAGAAGGGAGAAGGAGAACAAGGAAAGAAAGTTCCGAGACGATGAGGTCAAAATGTAAAAATGTTGGGACCAACCAGACATGATAAGAAGTAAAACATTACAATTAGAGTGTTATAATTAAAATTATTGTCTACAGGGCAAAGGCACCGTGCAATACTATACGACGACTGTTATCACAGTGAAAAGTTTAATTAAGTGCTTTCAAGATTTCATTAATAATGGACCCGGGCTAAAATTATCTTCATTGTTGAATCTTTTCTCTTTCTCTTTTCTTATTTCTTCCTTCCTAGTGAAAAATAATTTAGAGAACTCGCTTGGACAAATGAGATGAAGATTTTTCCCCTTGTAGGCACAATGAAGCAGAATGTGCTGGCGAAAATTAAGAGTTAAGAGTTTGTTTGGTCTTTGTGTCGATCCCTTATGTCGATAAGAATTTCTCTAGAGGCTACTCTGATGAATCGAGTGACGTAATTTACGATCATATTCGTTCTATGATATTCGAGTCGAAGGATGTGTAGCAGAAGCAGCAGCTTTGGGAATACTGAGATTTGCTAAATGTGAATCATTATAACTTTTATTACTTTCATTTTTTTACTCTTCAGACTCGAATGATTTATGTTATTTGATATAAAAGAAGTTTATATTTTCACAATTTGTTTATTTTTTATGCCATAGTTTGTTTTTCTTCTACTTTTTCTCATTTCATTTTTAAATAGATGATAACTGAATGAAACTTTGTCTTGTTCTAAACAATAATACCTAATAATTAATTGCAAGTTCTCTTTCGTCTAAACCTTTTGTTGCTTCAAATTAAGTTTAGATTTTTGCTTTTTCTATCTTCAAAAGCAGCTATAAAATGATGAACAACAACAATAATAATCTCTATTATCTTGGTGAATGCTGAATTTAATCATGTGAATGTTTGGAAAAACATTTTAAATTAAAGGAACGTGATTAACATTTATTTTTCTTTCAGAGATGAAATAAAAAGTGCAATTCAACATGTAACTGTGTTCTGTTGTTTTTTTCTGGATTACAATGATCTACATTTTTAAGTGAATTCACAAAAATTGTGAGCATCTTAAAGCAAAAACAAAATTTTAAACACATTTTGTTCATTTATCATATGATGAATTTGATGTCACAATAAATGTGAGGGAAAAAATTGAGTCATCAAAAAATATGACATAAAATAATAATTTTTAACAGCAAATCAAATTGGTAACAGATAAAACTTTATAACTTACGCGTTTTTACATGTCAGCAATGCTTGTTTCTGTTTCTTTCTCGCGATTTGTCGATAAATAATAAAGTACGTTTCATGCAGTGCTAACTTTCATATCATTATTTTCAGTCTATGATGATGCAGTGTTGCAGATTCATGTAAATTTTGAAGTAGAATATGATATTGATTATGACAAAAACTTATGACAACCTTGAAGTGAGATGGAAAAGAAGAATATCATTGTATCTTGACAACATTATTAAAAAGACAAGAGCGCAAAGGAGACAACTGATTAAAAACTTTTTCTATCGTCTCTAATGCTTATCTAAAACTTTCTTTCTTTCAATTTTTCTTCATTCGTTTTATCGAACAACAAAAAATGAGTTGTCAGAACAGGAACCAACAATACAAGAGTTGATTTATTACAGTCGAATCGCTATGTGTGGAAGCTGAAGGGGGTGGTCGTTATGGAGCTTTTTCTTCTTTTAGAGCTTCCACTTATAGAAAGTCGACTGTATCTAGAAAGGAGGAGAAGCTTCGAAGTGAAAGCATAGGAAGGAGTGAAAGAACCATAAACTTTCAACAAAAGCTGCTAAATGACAATAATGCAAATTTTCTTTATTCAATCTTTGAAACGCTCTGCTCTTAAATTTGGTTTCCTAAAACTCATATTTAAAACAAAAGTATGATGTTAGATGAGGCAGAAGAAAACTTTCGATGCGGAAGTTTTCATTGAAAATTCTTTTTTGTTTTCTTAGACGGAAGTGAAAACTTTCTTTGGACTTTATTTTATTTTATTTTTATCTGTCACTTGGAAAATAACAAACGAATGACAATGTATGAAATCTGAACGAAATTAAATTGAATTAAACCAGCTTATTTTGCAGTTAATTTTGCATGATACTGTCGTTTTAATTAAAGAAAGAAGAATGAAATATTTGTAAGCCTTTTGTGACTATATTGTTCATTTAGCTTCCACACAAATTTTATGTTTAATTGTAAATTGAAACAAATACAAAGTAGACGTAAAGAAACAACTGCAAACTTTTTTTCCTCTCAATAAATCTCGCTTAAAGCTTTACGCTTCATTCGCATGCAAAAGTTCTAAATTAGAGTTAGGAAAGCAGCAAAATTCCTGGCACTTTTATGTATTTCTGGATGAAATGAAAATTTTTAATGAAAAACTTTAATGATTTTGTTTCTGATTGCTCATAATATCTACATCAAGTTTGTGATGTTGGAAATTTTAAAACTTTTAAAAACTCATCAAGCGAAATTATTCGCAAATTTATATTTTTAATTGTTTCTTTTAAATATGTTTTAGCTTTTTAAATTTTCACTTTAAAAAGAAAGTCATTTCCTGTTATGTAGAAAATGTCACAAAACTTTGATTGCTGTTATAAACTTTCTTTTTCTTGATAAGAAATGATGCAAATGAATTTCATGCATGAAAGCTTTTATAAAACTTTATGATGATCCTTTTCTATTCTATGATCTCTTTTAATCGTGAATTAATCTCTTTAAAAACAATTCAGTCAATTAAGGATATTTCAATAAAGGAAAAATAATATTCCAATGACATTCTTCATACATCGCAATGCATAAAGAAAGCTATTGAACTTTTATCATCATCTCTTTTTATAATTGTCAACATCATTCTTCTCATCCGTCCCATACACTTAAGTGTTTTCTATTCATTCCACCCACATAGTGAATTATTTCGTTTTTATTTTTTCCAAACGATAAACATGACATGCACTAATTTTTATTCACTTCTATGTGAATTAATCCTATAAGACAATATACTTGAACACCCTCCCCCTTCACCCTCTATCTTCTCCCATTTTCTCGCTTCCTTATTTGTTAAAGATTGATCGTCTCCATCTTATACTCATATTAGATCCAAACAGGATGTGTTATTGATATGCAACTCACATCTTATCTATACTCCCTTAAACAAAATCTTTTCAAGTGAAGATGAATTTCCATTCACTGATAACAAAATATAATAACGTGCTTATTCGATAGCGTAGATTAAAACTCCATTATGGTATTGAATATATGTGGGAGGTTGATTGAATGAATTAAGAGTTTAATTTGTGGAAAAGCGATGATGTAATTTTTTCCAGGATGACTCAATAATTCCTTTCGATTTATTAATGAGAGATTGATAAACTTGAGCTATTTTTTTTTTGATAACCTCGACAATCATTCAAGTCTTGTCGCATGCTAAAATTCATTTCCAATTAGGATAATCGCTCAAAAAAGTCACTTTTTCATCAGTTTCAGTATTATATTTGATTGAATGACGAAGTAAGTAGAAATAGGAAACAAAAAAGAAGTAGCAACTTACGAGAATCGATAATCTTGTGTCGGCAACAAAGAAAGCATCGAATAGGGAAGAAGACTTTAATAGTTTTTTATGCTGTTTTTGCATGTTTCATTTCCTCTTGATCCCCTCCTATCCTTCCTTTTTTCTCTCTTTGAAGCTTCAAGCTTGAGGCAACAAAAAAAAAGCGGAAGTTTCAAAAACAAGAAAACTGAGTATAAGACGGAATCGATAAGTGCGTGGAGAAAAGAAAACCAGAAATAAGAAAGCAATAAATTCGTTCGCATAATTTTTATGATAATTCGCGATTATTGGGTTTATTGTGTAGTTCTTCTTTCAGTTTGTTTCACTCATGTTCAGTGTTGACGATATTATTATAGAATGTGAAAAATTACAAACATGTTAGTCATCAAAGAACATACATAGCAATATATAAGCTCATAAAAGACGGGAAATTCGGAATATTTTCGGAAATTTCCTCTATCTAATTCGATTTCCAGTTATCCATTAGTTTTCGATAGTAACACATTAAAGCCTTAATCTTCAGAAAACATAACTCACACAGAAGCCATCAGCACTTTTACTTCAGGGAGACAAAACTGATTTAATGTCAAGGATAAATAGCACTACCAGAAGCGAATGAATTATTGTCGTTATGATTTTTCAGAGAGAAAAAAATTGAGATACTTTTCCGATAATTGCTGAGAATACTTAAAACTTTTTTTTGAGCTTTTGAGAAAGTTTCAAACACGCTGACATTCACATATGTGTGAAAGAAATATTGCTGAGACATAAAAAGATTTTTACTTTGATTAGAAAGTTTACGGTGTTTAAAAAGCTTTTTTCTTTAAGACTGAAAAGAAAAATAACGACTGGAAAAAATTCAAAAACTACGTACAAGAATTTTCTTTTTGAATTTCTTTATTCCGTTATGGATGGTTGGAAATATTAATTTAATTACAATTTTTTCTTACAACTTTATCAAAAATATGAATTTAGAAATGTTCTAAGAGTATTCAATAATCAATCATTCGTACATTTTCATCTTCCTTTATGATCTTAATATTAATCACAGAGAAGTGTTATTAATCGTTCAATTTAATCCTAGGTAAGAAATTTACTTTCTGTCTTATATTGATTGAATTATTAATTAGTTTTTGCAAAAATAGTTTATGAATTTTATTTCTGTAATGGAAATTCTCCTAGGATTATTTCATCCTTTTAAATATTTATTTCAAAATACTCTTCTACACCGAGAAAAAATTGCATTAAAACTGTTATAATTCGTTTATAAATTAAAAAATATTGGCAGTGGCCAAAGATCTTCAAGTGAGATAGTATCTTGTCCAACATAAATTTTCAATGACATTTGTGCTTTCATTAACTTACTGTCTTTCTTAGTTTTTCATTATCTTCCAACTTAGTCTAAAAGATTCTAAAAATTCAAATTAAGTCTAAAGATTTGAAAAAAAATTCAATATCGAATATTAGTAAACATAAAATCGATTAAATTTTGAACATTCTTGTGAGCATTCGAAACTTTCTCTAGCAATATCCTTCTTTCTTAGTTTAGATTCTTTTTCGATGGATTCTTTTCAATGCTTTTCGAAAGTTCTAATAGGACGTCTTTATAAATAATTGGATCGAGATTACGCCCTAACATGTAAATGATCCACCAATCTCCAATGTCAACTTTATTTGACACTGAAACTGCAGTCTCTCTTGGCACCATTCGGTTTCTGGCATTCAGCACACGCGCACGAACTGCTGGCACAAATATGATGAGTAACCGATAAATAAAAAGACCAACAAGCATAGCAAGAAGGATGATGTACCAAAACCAAATGAAAATGTATGTCTTTTCATTAACAATATTGAGTGGTAAAATACATAATGCTGTAAGTGAAGTTATAGATATGAAATAATAGTTAATTAAAGATATTAAATATTATCTTACAATCGTGTTTTTGAATTGATCCAGACGCACCATATTTGTGGAAAATACATTTCGTTACTCGTGGAAATACGTACACCATTGGATCAACTCGCATATCTTGAGGAGTGTCTGAATATTTGAGAACACTGAAAATATTTTTGAAACATAATTATTCTTTCTTCCTTTAAGCGATTTATTAATTATATTTACCGCCATCCATAATCAGCAAACTCCCCATCAAAGAACTTATTCATTAAAATCATTTGCACCACAATGTTCACCATACAAAGAGCTTCACAAATCCAATATCGAATTGCGTACATTTTATGGCGCTGAAAGTCATCAAAAAATATCAATTAAAATAAATTGGAAGAGTTCAGTGAAGAACAACCTTCAAGTGTTTCAGCATGTAGTCAATCAAAAGTTGCTTTTTCGCACATTTTTCTTCTTCTCGACAGATTCCGAGATTTAAGTTCATGGCAATTGTACGTAAAAGTCCTGAAATGAAATCAGATTGAAAGCATGTAGTTGAATTGTATAAGTAATGCGAAAGTTTAATAAAGTTTTTAATAAATCGCTGTAGATACTCTTCTCTTACCTCCTTCGAATGCATCCCACAGGAATTTTGGTGTGTAGCATGCACAAGCTAAAAGAAACAATAAATTTTATTTTAACTTTAGCTGTAAGCGAAACAGTCGTAGTAATATAAATGAAATTTTTATCTTAAATTTCGAATTTACCTTGATTATTTTTTTTCATAAATTTTTGAAACAGAATTTTGTTATCATTTTTCAACCTGACAATTACTATTTGTTACCCTCAACTTTATTTTTTATTAATGAGTGCAAGTCACTCGTTTGATTATTAATTAACGCTTTTTGTGCACGGTAATTTGAGTTAGTCATGAATGGTTTCAAAAGATTTTGTTTATCTACTTTTCTTTCTTTCATGGTTCTCTTTTATCTAAATGAACTTCATCATCAACATAAATATTTATGAAAAAGGCACTATTGTGAATAAATGATGACCACTTCATCTCAAAATAATTTAAAAGCGTCATAAATAAATAAATTCTTACAGTTGAAAACTTCGAGATGATTGAAAATGTTCATGGAATTTAATTTAATAAAATTAACAGTGACGTCGTTGGGCACTTAATGGATATTTGATTGATAAATTACACCGTCGCAATGGATAAAGAATGTAGAAAGTTTTATGAAAAAAAGAAATAAAAGAACTCACCTTGGAAAAACAACACGAAGCACACCCACTGATAATACGTATGATACTTTTTAGCATCTGCAAATTTGAAAAAGGTAACGCCAAAAATAAAGAAAATTACGCTTTAAGTTAGAAGTTTGATTCATTTTTTTCGTATTCACCTTCATCGTTGAAATCATTGGACACACCGGGATGAGCGACTTCCAATCCAACCTGATGGAATGGAAAACAGGTAAATGAAAGAAGAAACGTAAATGAAATATTCCAAAATTATAATGAAAGCGGGCTTGGAATTCATGAATTAAACATAAATTTTCATTCTTCATTCTTAAAGGTTATAAAAAAATAACTTTTTATTCGCGTTCAAGATCGCATTATAATTACATGGAAGAATGGTTTGCAAATTCTGAATGATGCAATTGAGTGTTTATTCTCCATAATAAGAAAATAACAAAAAATTGCTCGCTCGATATCCAATTAAAGTTTTTAAACGTTGAATGTCGGCAACAATTAATTTGTTCAACTCAACTGAAAGTTTTTTTTTCTTTTTGTGATGTTAGAATTAATTAGAAATTTATGTTGTTTCACCTAATCAAATCCTTTTGAATTACTTACCTGCCTGCGATATGCATCGGGCATCGTGAAAGTTGACGAGATCCAACAAAAAGTATTAACAACATGAGTCGGTATTCCACTGACAATGCATGAAATAGGATTTCCAACATATTGAGTCGCTGTTATGACCAGCGAACATGTTAAGAGCAGCACTGTTGTGAAAACATTGTGTAAACGAAACACTGCATTGTCTGTTTGAATTTCTTGAAGCTTGAAATAGTCCTTTAAGCCTCCAAGTAACTTATACATGGTTCACTTATATCTTTTCCTTTCTCACAGGAGGTTTTCTTTTTATTTTATTTTGAACAAACGCTGCACAATTTTTTTCTCTTGTAGTTTTCACAAATCCATTTTCAATAGAATCTAGTTTCGTTCATAATCGCTGATTAAGCTTTTTGCGTTGTGTTATTTGGCACGAATATGATAACAAGCTGAAATTAAACAACATTTATCATCAGATACAATATTCACTTTTAGCATCAAAATGCATGATCAGTTTTCAATATATGTATTTCCAAACATTTTTTTTATAATTTTTTTATATGAAATTAAAATAATTTCAGTTTTTACACTCGAAACGAATATAATTTGACTACGTCAACAAAATAAAACATTCACTATGGGTCTTTTCTGTATCTGTTCAATGTGAAGAGACATAAGAAGGAGAAAATGTGAAAAGCAGAAGCACAGAATCGAAGTGGGCAATAAACTTTGTTTCCTTAAGAGAAAAATATTCTTAGACAGACTGCACCTAATGAATATTAAATTGTGTTGTGAAAACGACAACAAAAATCAACTATCGCTTGCAAAAATCATATAAGGAAAGTTTTTTCCTGAATTAAATTTCACACTAAACAACACTAGGTAGTACTAATGTCGCGAAAAATGGAATCTGACGAGACAGTAAAAAAAAGAAATGAAAAAACGTGCGCAATGCGTCCACTTACTTTTAAACTTGGATGCTCAAGCCGTACTACTTTACGATCGGATTCTTTGTACACAACAAGCTCGTGTTGAGCCTCTCAGTTTTTCTCTTGACAGTATCTCCATGCTGCTGTTTTTTTTGTCTGTTCACCTCCCCACTACTTCTTTACAACAATATTTGTTGAATTCATTTATTTTTCTCTCTTTCTCATCTACTCATGGACAAGTGAAGGCAAGTAATCAAGCATGTTTAATACTTTTTTCACTGCTGAGAGAAGGTTGAATGCTATTAAGATCACAAACACTACTTTGAAATGTTCTTAACTAAGAATCGTCGGGACCGGTTCTGAGAATAACTATTTGAGTTTTCTCGCCTTGTAACTTAAGAGGGATTCATAATATGGACGTGATGACGATTCTAAATCGGCTGCTTATGTGTTTGTGTATCTATGACAACTTGTAGGGTTAGTATTCGTGTAAAATATTTACGACCTAATTTATGTTAGGGGGGAGAATTTTTCTGCATACTTCAGTTCAACAGCTGTGATGCGTTCTTCTAAAAACTTTCTTTTTTGCACATAAAATGAAATTACTATCTACGACATAGTAAATTTTTGGATTGATTCATAAAGGACAGGAAACTCGACGTTATTTCATTTGAATGACGCAACAAAAGATTATTTGAATAATTTTTATGTAGCTTTTAAGAACATAGAGTAGAATTGAATTTAAGAGTAAAACTTTTTGAAGAAGATTTCTGCTTTTCTAATCAAATTCATTAGTGTCTTTATATAAACACTTTAGGCATTTATGAGGTGAAATGTCATAGCTAATCAATTTCTTTTGATATTTTACAATGAAAAAAACTCAAAGTAATCGAGAGAAATCTTTGAATACTCACAATTTTCAATTGTATTTTATGATTTCGTAAAAGTAACAAGGAATTGCGTGACTAGCTTAGAGATTTTTTTGCATGTCGTATATCTAGTTTCCTCTGTTGAAGTATATGAACCGAATTGGTGGTTCCATTTGAATTGAATTAAAATAATCGTTTCGGTTGAATTATGACGTCATGCCCTTTACATTTCAGATATAAAGCTCATCCCACACTATTCATTCAATGACCGATATGTTAATTGACAGAATTTTTCAATTCCAATCGATTGTTGATGCACTTCCTTAGCTTTTAATCATTTATTCGTCGATGAGATCGACAGTTTGACTCTGAAAATAAAAAGATTACGAGGCTAATAAAACTCAATTTTCATTCCTAATTAAAGTTTGATGTTATTTTTTATTTAGATACCTAATTGAAATTTAGAATCATTGGTTTCACTTTATTTTTTTGTTTTTGCAATTGCTATGATGTAAGATTTAGTATTGCACAGATTGAATAATCTTCACACTTTCCCGCAAAACCGCTAACAAATAATATTGTCTCTAATGTTGAATATAAGAGGAAAAATAATTTTCATTGTTTGTGTTTCAGTACTGAACACATGAGAATTATTGCTACAAGAGATTTCTCTTGTGATTTTTATTATGATGAGATTGGTCATCTATTATGTCTCAAGCTTGGCTGTAGTGCAAGTCACAGGTTTCACAGACGAGTAAGCTTGCTTGTATGTTTGCTTATATTGGCTGAATCAGACTGACCACCGGATATAATATTTCCAGAATAATTAAAGTCTATATGTTAAGCAAATGTAAAAACAAATGATTTTATTTTCACATGACAATGACGTTCTAAGTTTAATGAAATGACTATTTAGCAAATGAAATGAACAATGAGAAAGAATACTCGTCTCGGGTTAATAAATGGGAAATGAATGACGTTTTAATGTGATTCTACTGACGAGCTGAAGCATAAGTAGAGTAAAAGAAAATTGAACTAAATTGTCGTTCTAGACTGAGTCAAAAATGAACATAAAAGATCTTCAAGACGGCACCAAATTTCGTTTCAAAAATTCACTTTTCAAACCTCTTTTTCTTTCTTTAATTTTTTAAGCAGGAAAGACCTGTGATTAGAAAGGAATTTTTCCCCTATCGGAAGTTAGTTTAAGAATTTATTCTTTGTTAGATTTTAAAAGTAAACGCCGGAATTTTTGTAAGGCATTTCGAAACGCATGACATGAAAACAAGTCAAAGAAATTCTCTCAATCATTACGTTGTTCTAATGAAATTATTAAGGTACCAAGCATTTGAAATTCAAACTAAAAACACAAACTGAGCAATGAAATGAAACTTTAAATGTGTATCAAAGAAAATTTGATAAAATTTTATTAAGCTTAAGTTCCATTAGCTCGATGAACATGAAAATATTTCGTGTAATTATTTAAAGATTAGTAGGAAAATATGAAGCATTGTGCTTCTGTTTTTTGGAACCATTTGATATCTGTTGTTGTTTTTTCTTGTTTTCTGATGATCTGAATTCAAGGAATCTAATATCAGTTAAAATATAAAAATAATCCAAACTTACTGAAGCATGTCTCGTCTTTCATAGGGATTATTGATAGCAAGAAGATCTTCCATAGACTCAACTTCTCCTATCGGTTCGTGATGGAATGGATTACTCATCAATGCAACCTGAGCGTCGACAAATCTGCTTTTGGTTGAATCCGATTTTTTATTTGTTTCCATTGTTATATTTTGTGTCTTCATGGTGAAGAAATGTAAGAAATTCATTCCATGTAATGTATCGAATTCTTCAACAAGTTTTGGCTCATTAGACGTCATTATTGGCAATAAATTACAAAAGTTTTAATTTGATTATTTTGAAATATAAGTCCGAATGTTTTTCGAAATCTTTCGTTAAATTTTCGAAATTTTATCGTCCCTATCGATAGCCATCGTTAAATAGGTAAACACTATCTAGATACTTCGAAATGATAAATTACCTAATTATTAAATTTGTAATTGAAGTATTTTGTAAAATACTTAACAAGTCATAAAAAATCAATTAGTCCATAATTTAAATATTTAAATTAATGTTAAGATTCATTGAGACAAATGAAGAAATTTTCTAACGTAAACAAACATAAAATTGATAGTCATTGTGCCGAAAGATGTTGTGAATTTGTTTCATAAGTTTCACTCAAGTTGTGCTGTATGAAACAATAAATTTGACCTTATCACTTAACCCATATAATCATGAATGAACATTCCGTTCTGTGCGTATATGTAAGGCATAAATTCGTCTGCTATTTGTTTGCAAATAAGTTGTAGGAAAACTGATACGTGATTCGATCAAAGGTACGTAAACAGACTGAAATAAAATAAACAATAAAAGCTGACAAAAACGTGCAATGAAATTTATGATATATATTAGAAAATACGTTCTCTCTATACAATTCTAATCAGTTTGAGACTGATAAGTGATGACTAAGCTATCAATGATTGACGACGCATTACAACAAAAGAGTTTGGAATAATCAAACGATGACCTTAATAAATATACATACATTGAAGCATCATCATTTGAGAATATCTAAAAAGTTTGAACAAGAAACTGATATATAATTTATTTGTATGTTATTTATCAGCTCATAAATTAAACCACGAAACAATTTATTGTGATTTCAACTGACAAAGCTCGTAGAATTATACAATTCGTTCGATCGTAAAAGCGTTAGATAAAATATGCGTTGATAATTGATGAGAAGACTTTCGTTTGACGACTTCAAAGATTCTTTCATTATCAATATCACGAGAATTTAATTCAATAAATGATTGGGCAATACTTTTAAGTTCAATTGAGATAAATTTGATTGTTATTTAATTTTAAACTGCTGATGTCCTCAATTTCATGACAACTACATATAGTGTATGACTGTTCGATTAAATATCGAGTCAACGATGTTAAAACGGGTTTCTTTACCTAAAGTCATCTTTTTTTCATTCTGCTCAGTTTGTTATGTGACATTGAACAGGAATTCATAAGTATGAAAATGACGAGAGTAGCATTCTCAAAAAACGTAACAAAAATAAGTTTGAAGATTTTTTCAATATGCTACCTGGAAACGGATAGGAAGAAAGGAGTACAAGATCCTTTTTCTGAGAAGAGAAATAAAAAGTTGTTTCTACATATTGACGCATATCTCAAAATCAAAGTTTTTTTCAGGATTTTCTTTCTTTAAGAGTCAAAGAATATTAATTACATAAGATGTTTAGAGAATTTTGACTTTCATTTGATCAATGAATTCTACATTGACTTTCAAAACTTATGATTTTGTTTGCAATTATTTTAGAAGGAAAATGTTTCCAACATCCCTCCGTCATCGTAATGATGTCGACTTAATTCAGTGTCAGTTAAGGTCATGTTCAAGTTAAAAATGAGCATAAAATACATTAAAGTCATATTAACTGTCGCCGTTTGAAACACAAGCTAAAGCAGATGTAAATGCATATAAACAAACATTAGTAAGAAATCACTGCTTAGTTTTTACGTTGCTGTGTTGGTAGAACATGAAAAGTGCATGAGAAGTCGTCTGACAACCAAAAAATGCTTCGCCCGATTTATTATAAAGAGAGAAGGGAACTGTTCAGCATAATTAATGTTCATCTGGAGTTCAAATGAAACATTTTCCAGATTTTCAATGCTGTTGTGATGAAGTGAAGAAGAAATGAATAACTACGAAGAGATTCTGAGTTCGCTGAGAAACTGAAAGAAAACTTATGTTCAGTTTTAAGTTGCTGATTTGTTTTAAAAAGAAAGATAATATCATAATGCTTGCAAGTCTTGCAAGTCCCTGATAAAAATTTTCTTATAACTTTAAATAAGGTAATCGAAAAATTCTCCCGAAAATTATTTCGAAATGTAGAGAAGAAAGAAAAAATGAAACCAAGGAGTACGTGACGTGAGTCAGGCACAAATTTTTATCTTTCCGTTTCAATTGGTTGACTGCTTCAGATTCTTACATGAAATATTCTTCTTTCAAACGTTTAAATAAGGTAAAAGAAGAACTAAATTAAAGTCAATCTCAGTTCATGTAGTATTATTGATCATTATTCTTCATACTTACTCTTGACTTTCCTATAAGAAGTACATTCTTCTTTTTGAGTACTTGGCCATTTAAACCAGCTTATGCATTCAATATATTTCCCTTCAATGCTGTAGCAGAAAATAAAAACCAGTTTCCAATGAATGCCACCACAGGCTATAAATCTTTTGCAAAACGCTTTTTTGCGCAATACACGAAGCACAATTGAATAAAAAAATATCGCGAAAGTCTCGTTGAGAGAAACTCATGGCGAGACTGAGACAAGCTAAAATTCTATCACATAATGATGAATTGCATAAAAATTTGATTTAGAATGTTTTTTTTTTGAAATTAATAGAAGTTTTGAAGAAAAAATGCGGCGATTATAGATTTGAGTTATTGTGAAAAAATTTAATGAGCGGAGACTTATGTAATTGCTGATTTTTTTTTATTATTATTGCATCTTCAGTTGTTACTCAAGTTAAACATTCTTCTATTGAATATTTTGCATAATCATGAAGCTCTCTTATGATTAGATATTTATATTTATTAAAATTTTTAACTAAATCTTTGGGATTTACAGTACTTATCCAATATCAATACCTACTTTAATAGAGAGAGAATTATATTTATCTCAAATTATTTCATTTTTACAAATTGGAGAATAAGGAATTTAATTAAGCACCAGCCTTTCTAAAGCTCTAATCTTAATTTGAGATTTGAATTTTTAAATTAAATTTAGTATTTTTTAATTCGATAATTTAAATTTTATAATTGAAAGAATTTGTCATAATCAGGAAAATTGAAGAAAAACCTGATATTTAAGAAGAGAATTAATTTTACAAAATTAAAAATTTTAAGTTAATAGTTTTAAGAAGGTTTTATCAGCTTATGGGTTCGGTATGTATCTGGGTCGAAGCTACCCAGCTTACCTACTTTAATAAATTAAGAAGAAATATCAGATTGTTGACGAAACAATATTAATAAAATTAATCTCGCATCAATTAGCACATTGATTAGGGACAAGTTCTCACACTTTATTTTCGCGATAATCAAATTNAGTGTTGATTTGCTATGCAGCGTAAAATACAAAATTGATTTATGCAGATTCCATTTACCAAATGTTGAAGAAGAAATTTTATTAAATCCTTTTAACAACACCAACGTTGAATATTCCTATTATGGAAAAGGTTATCATGAAGGCGATTGCGGAATCACAATTCATTCTTTCAAAGACAATTATGGTTTCGCAAAATGTTTAATTAATTCCAACCACGGAATCGACGACGTCATCGGACGAATTGAAATAGAAAAAGAAACATTTCAACAACAATTACCTTCAAATTTCTCGAAATTCTTCCATTTGAACAATATTATTTTATCACCATTCTACACACTTCTAATCTGCTTGGCATTTTTCGCACTTTGCATATCAAAATTATTATTATGCTGAATCAACTTTTACTGAATCTAATTAACTCATGAAACAATTGTAATCCTACATTCAGAAAAAAAAAAAGAAATAAATAAAGTAAAATACTAAATGTATGTTCTGCGGTCAAATTCTAATAAGAATACGGTCAAATTCTAATAAGAGTGCACATTGCACAATCAGAAAGTGCAAAATGTGCATTTACACTTTCCAATTGCACAAAATGCACTTTCCAATTAGAATCAAAAAGTGCAAAATGTGCATTTGCACTTTCCAATTGCACAAAATGCACATTCCAATTAGAATCAAAAAGTGCAAAATGTGCATTTGCACTTTCCAATTAGAATCAGAAAGTTCAAAATGTGCATTTGCACTTTCCAATTGCACAAAATGCACATTCCAATTAGAATCAAAAAGTGCAAAATGTGCATTTACACTTTCCAATTAGAATCAGAAAGTTCAAAATGTGCATTTGCACTTTCCAATTGTACAAAATGCACATTCTTATCAGAATTTTACCCTTTCCAATCAGAATTTTACCCTTTCTTATTGGAATTCTACCTGACACTAGCCAGAAATTCACATTCTTATTAGAATTTGACCGCAGAACTCCCATATTACCACTACTCTTACCTACTTTAATAAATTAAGAAGAAATATCAGATTGTTGACGAAACAATATTAATAAAATTAATCTCGCATCAATTAGCACATTGATTAGGGACAAGTTCTCACACTTTATTTTCGCGATAATCAAATTAGTAACCATTTGTGAATCCATTCGTTCATAAGTTGAATGAGAAATTGGAATTATCGGTGAAAATTCAGAGGCATTGAGGAACGTGACAACGCTTGATGAAGCTGAAAATTAAATCGTTAAATTTTAATCACTTTTAATTATTTTTTGACAACAGAGGTAATTGAATTGACTTTATCTTGGTTAGAACGACATTCTACATGACATAAATTGATAAAAGTATTACATGAAAGTAAATTTGCATTTCATAAATTCAATTCATTCAATTGGTAGGTAATTGCACAACCTTCACTACTTGTTAAAAGCTTATTGCACAGTTTATCTCATAAATTAAAAGATATTAACATCAACAAAAAAAATATTAAAGAGCTAACGGCGAATATTACAACCAACATTTGACGTTAGTGCAAGCAACCTCGACAAATAATGTGTAGCCAAGTCTATACTAACTTATAAAATGTTGCTTGTAAAATCTACAGTGACTTCAGTTAGAATGTCTTTGAATCGATCGAAATTTTTAAAAAGTCTACTGTATTTGAAGCCGATACTGAGAATTAATTCTATTCGTGAAGAGGAGCTAAGGATTAAGTTTATTCTCCAACTATTTTTTATTCCAAACATCGACATTAACAATTTATAAAAGCGTTCAAAATAATTCTTGTTTTTCATTGACCATAACCTGATTTCCATGTTCATCGATGACATTGTCCAAAATACAATCCCATCATTAAACAATATCACGTTTTTCGTGCCGAAACACGAATATCATTTTCCAGCACTCTTCCGAGTTCATTGCACTTTTCTGACCTCTCCAAGCGATAGAATTCTTTCTTTTATCATTTGTTTTCGTGAAATATTTTTCATAAGTATTTATGTGGTTCAAAAAAAATTTTCTTTACAACGCAACACGTAAATATGAGAAAGTTGTTGAATTTGGAGAAATTTTCATCTCGTTGAGAGAAAAAGGTACAAAATATTTTCAAGAGTTGCTGAAGATTGATAGTAAGTAAATAAAAAAGACTTAGATGAGAAGTCGAGATATGTAAACGCTGTTAACGCTGTTAATAAGTAATTTTAATGTCAATGACGCTGAACATATGTAGGTAAACAAATAAAGCAAGTCGCTTGTCGTTTTCAATTAAGTTATTTTTTGTTTTTAATTCTATTTCATTTTTCAATTAGATAGAACTTAAAAATATTAAATCACAGAATATTGAATCATATGATAGACATGAAAGTTACAACTTAACTTTTTCAAGCGAATTTGACTCGTTTTTCGTTGACGGCGACTAATGAACTCGATGGTACAATCGCCATATCTTCTGAATTCAAACTGTGATCATCTAAATTTTCATCTTCTGCTTCTGACTCTTTCAATTTCTCATTTTCAGAATCTTCATCTGTTGAATCAGCGCCAGGCGATAAATTGACTGAATTCTTCTCACTTTGAATTTCTGGTATAATGTGGTCGAGAAGCATTTGACGGAATAAATAAGGCTTCATATTTCTTGCTAAGTAATAGAGAAACAACCAATCTGAGAAGAAGAACTCATTAGTCACTACAAGCATATCCCACGGATTCATTTTGCCTGGACATGCAAATGAGAATACAAAGCCATTGAACCATGTTGATCTGTAATTATATCGAAATATTTTTAAAGAGAAATTCAAGTAATGAAAAGAAAGAATATTTTAACCTTGAATGAAGGCAAACTGTCATTAATCTCCATAAGAGAGATAAAACTGAAACTACCAACAAAATGCAATACCAGAACCAAAGAAAAACAAATATTTTCTCGTTGATTACATTCAACGCCATTACACCTATTAAAAAGAATGCTATTTAGGTTAAAGTAATAAATCTTTTTCACTGACAAACTCACACAATGCATCATGCTTTTGAATCGATCCAGAAGCTCCATATTTGTAGAAATGACATTTGGTAACTTTTGGGAATACAATATCAAGTGTGTCAAGCATTCCTTGAAAGTCATCGCGTATGAAATCAATTCCAAGTGTAAGAAATTGTCTCCCGAGAAATAAGTGAGTTAAATATATTTGCAATAACAGATTGACAAGATTAAGGAATTCACAGAAAACCATTTTTCCTGCCCAATTTCGATTCACTCTTATGTGGTTCATGAAAGCAGTTTTGATTACTCTCAGCTGTAATATGATAAATTTTAATGAATTGACAATCTAGAACGTTCTATTCAATCACCCGCTGTTACCTTTTTCTCTATTGTTGGCTTTGAATAAATCACATAACTTTTGTTAATCTGCAAGTCTTCTTCCTTAGCTAAATAATTTGATAATAAAACTGCTTGCAATCCAATTACAAGTGTTTTAATTTTTCCTCCTTCCCATGATCGCCAGAAGAGATGCGGAAGGTAGAAAGTGATTGCTTGGGCAAAAAGTACAAATGGCACCCACTGGTAGTAAGCATGATGACGAATTTCATCATCGGGCATTACAGGGCCAATGCCAGGATGTGGAAGTGATTCGTGTTGAAGCATTGTTTCGTTTAAATGTCGCACCTGTTGGACAATGGCTAATGTGAAAAGTACTTGCGGCTGTTAACATAATAAAGTTAAATTTTTACCACTGTAAAAGTTGTCGTGAAGAAGCAAAAAGTGTTTATGACATGCTCTGGTATCGTTGGTGCTCCACCTGTCATACATCTAATGTGTTCTCCAATATATTGTCTGTAATTAAAAGTGTGTACACGCATATGTTGTTAGGCAATTACCGGCAATTGATACTGGTTTCATAAGAGACAGATAGTGTGTCAGACAAATTACAAATAAATTTGATGGGGAATTTCTAGGTAATGCGTTACAATAAAAAAAAATAGCTTGTTACACTGTAAATTATTGACTCATGAGTTATTCATGCATAGGGAAGTCGATTGATAGTTGTATTGTTGCGAAATTCATGGGCATTTACTTCCATGCAAACAATCAATCAACATCCCTACTTTAATGTATGTAAAATATAATGAAAGAACTCACCGTGATGTTACTAGAACAGTACAAACTAAAAGCAGAATGAAAGTTCCACGATAATGAAACTTAAATCCAAGATTGTCGATAGAAATGACTTTTGACTTGAATTTCAAGTGCGGCGTGATTTGTGAAAAGTTTGTTAACATTTTTGCTAACTAAGTATGCTTTACTGATTTCCTTATCATTTAATCATAAAAGCCTCGCTTATCATTATTTATTTGTGCTCCACATTATCTAACAAAAAAAATCGCAGAGCGATTAAAATCACAGCCTTCTAGTTCACAACTTTACAATAAATTATTGAATGTTTTTCAATAATAGCAAAACGTACTTCGAATAATCGACTTTCAAATGCCGCAAGAAGAAATTTTATTTTTCATCACAATTGATCAAACGGTACTTGGTGCTTATGTCTATTCTCTCTTTCACTAAATATTTTCTCACATAAACTATAAAAACTTGAAAGTTTCAAATGACCAAGCTAGACAATTGAATTAAATTTAATGTTTACTTGAAACTCTTTTGTTAAAGCCACTATAATGCATTTTTGATGTGAAGAAAAAACGAGTTATAGATTCAAACCGCCAGGAAAACAACAACTGAAATGGTTTTCGTAGTTTTCTTCTTTCGAATGTGATTTTAAAATAATTATTTGAGGAAAACGTTTGTTGTGGGTGAGTGTATGAGTTGTACATACAGATATTTAGTTTGTCAATGATTAAGCGTACTTTTGTGTAGAAAAGAACAATTATATCAGATGCAAGGCTTGATTGAATATTTCGTCAAAATGCTGTTCATGTTATAAAAAAGATAGAAGAAACGATACACCCACATTTTATGAAAAACTCCAAAATTTCATATCATTTCATTATCATATCAAAGTGTGAGTTATTCGTGTTCTCATTAATCAGTCGGCAGCTGCTTCTAACTAAGATGGTTTAAAACTTTTTTTTGCAATGTTTTGAAATTTCAGGAACTTTTAATGTCACTTAATTCCGTGGAACTTTTTTTTTCAATTTGCAAGAACTCTAAATAATGGAAACCTTCATCATTGATTGATAAGAGAAACCAAATTCCTTAAAACAATTTTTTTACAATTGTCTTCTTCACTTTGTTGTTTATTAACAAACTGTCATTTAAAAGCATTTTACACTTTCATAACCCATTAGAAAAAAGAGACAAAAACAATTATCAAGTGTAAATATTAGAGTTGATAAATATTTTCTCCTAGAGCTTCTTTCGAGTGCACGACAAACAATTTTTATTTCCCTAGAGCCTAAGCTTTCCTGAAGTAGGTTCTACATAATCAATTCAAATAGAAATATAGGTGAGACAATTCATTCTACTTATCATCAACATCAACTAATCCCATTTCAAAATGTCCCAATTTCTGGGATTGAGAATTCAGTTCTTGATTTTGAAATGCGATGACGCAATGTAGAAATGCTTTCATTTTATTTAAGATATATCTAAGTAGATATTGAGAACATCAAAATAATTGATATTTATGATGCACTATTTGACCGACATAAATTCAAGACTTACATTTAATCAACAAGCATTGACAGTGTCATACATAACTTATGATCATCAAACATTACTCCACGTGTTACTTACTCTTGTTACCTAATAATGAACTTTATGTGCAGGGGATCATATCTAACAAACAATCTGGAAGTCGTGTACGAGACAATAAAAAAATACTGCACAAAATACGATGATTATCATAAATTGGATCATCAAGCTTGTGAGTGACCTTGTTGGAGAATGAGTAGATAAACATTTGTGTAATAATATGCACTTGCATTGTCATGGCGTTGTGGTGTAATTAAAAATTGCAATCTTTCATGAGACTGAAATAAATATATTTGTTTTGAAAATATTCACTAATGAACAAGAAATGAACTCAGTTGAGTAAACAACGAAATATCTCAAGTTTACTTCTTCAATGCTAGCTCGAAATTCTGATCTGTTTTCATCATTGTACATAGCTTAGAAGTTTAAATAAATAAAGAAAAATAAATTGCTAATCGATTGATAAAAGAATTCTTCAATATTTTCGGGTAGTTTGATTTTTTTATTAACGCATGTTCATGTCAACATCGAAAACACTGTGGAAATGAATATTAAAAATATTCTACGTAGGTGACGAGCGATATTACAATTGTCAACATTATTCATTCTAATTCATATCAATAATTGAATTAATTAAACATTGCCATTTGACACTAATAGCTTGAAATCAGTAAACTTTGATTTGATTTATTTGTAAAACTTCATAACTTTTTTTCGCTTTAAAAAGTATGCTGATAAGAAAATGTCTTCGAATTACGTTTTTCGTTGTCAACCTTGAAATCTAATTAAGGTCCAGTGAGTAAAAAATAATAATATTAAATTACCAACTGTTTATTTCCTTAATGAATCTTCATTTTAAAGATTACATTGTTCAAGATTTTTGAAGAGAGTTAAATGTTACTAAGACGTAAATAAGCAAGTAAAGCGAAACCAACTTTTTATTGCAAAATTAAATCCACGAACAGGAATATGAAACTGGAAGCTATTAAAAATATTATTTTAATACTCGCGATCAGAGATTCATTTTTCATCTTTCTTCAAAATAAATAAATATTGTTATATTTATATTTTGAAGTCCGAGAAATTGATGCTATTAACAACAGAAGACGATTGACGATTTGATTTGGTTGGAAAGTTTCTGACGCGAATGGGAACTTCTTACTCAAGGTTGCTGAAAGTTAAAATAAATGAAATTACGTAACTTAGTCGAAAAGCAGATACTAAACAAATGCTGCTACGAAATCAACAAGCTGAGATGGTTTATCTTTTTTATGACTATGTAAGCATTAATATCCGCCATCCAAAAAAGTGTCAAATATTATTTGGGGATTGTTAATAGTAGTCTTCTTCACAACTTTTATCAACAGAAACTTTTTTGAAGTGTTTTTTTGCAGACTTTTAATTTTAACACCGTATTAATTTTTTTGTGTTTTTACAAAGAATAAAACGAGAAGAAAACTTCATGATAAGTCATCCAGCTGCTTTATACAAAATTCATCCATCTTTTTATCGACTTTAGAAGAAAACAAACAAGAAAAAATATTAAATGAAACGAAGCATGTATTAAATATAGGTATAATCATTAATAATATACTCAAGTCAAAAAAAAAATAAGCAAAAGCAAACTAGAATCGACAATGAATTGACGAGAAAGCAACTCTCTTGACCGCTCCTTATGTTTATACGTAACGGATTCATGATCTTGTTGAATATTTGAAACATTTTGGATATTTAATAACTAAATTTGAATTTTTTCATATACCTATATTAGTTTTTATTTACCTTTTATTGCTTAGTCAAATCTTATGGATATCTCAAAAACTATAACAATGAAGGGGGTCAGATTGATTATTTAGTAAAAAGTATTTCATGTCGAATTGTCAGTCAAAACATTTTTTTTTCATTTTGCTTTCGTTATATTTGCAATGCGATTAATAATCGACATCATCGATCACGAATGAAACATTCCAACAACTCCAACAAGTGCGATAAGAACGTGATGTAATTATAAAAAAAAATTAAGACTAAATGCATTAATTTTCATTTTCATACGCAACAATAAAACTAATATTTAAGAGTCACCCTGCTCTAATCTATATGTAAGAATCTTGAAAGCAATTTCATACAACAATACAGTAAAATGAAACAAAATAATGAATTTAAAACCCAAGTTAAAACCAGTTTAACTGCACACATATGCATAGAATGAGAGAGAAACTCCATTTACCACTACAACTTCATCATTATGAAGAGAGATCTTTGATATATTTTTTTCGAAAGGGGAAATCCCATTCAGACAGCATACAAACTTCAAACTCAGCTCAGTACATTGAGCATTTGTGTCGTGTTAAGTTAGTTTCACGTTTTGTGTTCGACGCTTTTTTATTCAATTTTTCTTTCCTAACAAAAGTTTTTAATTTTTTTTTGCTTTGGTGGCAAGAAAAATAACGTGGATCGAGTGAAAGAAAAAGGAGAGAAACGAAAAAAAACTTATCGAAATTGAACTTTGCGCAATTTTGTTGTGCTTAAGCGTAAAGTGAATTTAATTTATTTAGCATTTAGTTTATTGTGAAGTATTTCTTTGTGAAAAAGAGAAAATGTTTGATGTTTTTGGCTCCGTTAAGGGTCTTTTAAAGTTAGACCAAGTCTGCATTGACAACAACATATTTCGATTGCATTATAAAGCGACGGTGATTGTTTTAATTGCCTTCTCGCTTTTAGTTACATCGAGACAATATATCGGTGACCCAATAGATTGCATTGTCGATGAGATTCCATTAAATGTTATGGACACATATTGTTGGATTTATTCAACTTTCACGATACCCAATCGATTGACTGGTGTTGTTGGAAAGGACATTGTACAACCCGGTGTAGGATCACATATTGATGGTGAAGATGAGGTCAAATATCATAAATATTATCAGTGGGTGTGCTTTGTGCTATTTTTCCAAGGTGAGTGACTTGATCTTGACTTAGATCACAACTATGTTTGTTTTAAGCATTAAAAAAATTGTGAAGGAAAGAAAGAGGTATTTAATTAAACTTTCCCTTTTTTACATTCAAACGCACACAGCCATTTGCTTTTATATTCCACGATATTTGTGGAAGACATGGGAAGGTGGTCGCATCAAAATGCTTGTCTTAGATCTCAATTGTCCCGTCGTCAACGAAGAGAATAAAGAAGAACGAAAAAAGATTCTTTTGGACTATTTTTCGGACAATCTTAACCGACATAATTTCTATGCGTTCAGATTCTTCATTTGTGAGGCTCTCAACTTTATCAATGTTTTTGTGCAAATCTACTTCATGGATTACTTTTTGGGTGGTGAATTCTCAACTTATGGAAGTGATGTATTAAGCTTCACAGAGATGGAACCAGAAGAACGAGGTGATCCAATGTCACGTGTTTTTCCAAAAGTTACGAAATGTACATTCCATAAATATGGCCCTTCGGGAAGTGTTCAGAAGTTCGATGGTGAGTCATTCAATTCAATTTAAATTTAGTGTAACGACACTGACGTCATAACTTTTAACAGGGCTTTGCGTGCTTCCGCTTAACATTGTCAACGAGAAAATCTTTGTGTTTTTGTGGTTCTGGTTCATCGCTTTGACGATATTGTCAGGTATATCACTTGTGTATCGAGTAGCAGTTTGCTTTTGGCCGAAAGTTCGTCTTTATCTGTTGCGCGCACGCAGTCGCTTGTCTTCTCATGAAGATGTTGAACAAATTGCCGATAAATGTCAAATTGGTGACTGGTTTATTCTTTACCAACTTGGAAAGAACATTGATCCGTTGATCTACAAAGAAGTGATTAACGATCTCGCAGCGAAACTGGAGGGCACTAAATCTATTGTGTAGAATGATTATCAAAGCAAATTCATTTGACAATAATGACATCTTTTTCTTCCTTGGTGGTTCCGTCATGTGAAAGGGTAAGAAAAAGATTCATCAAGCATTTTTACAGAAAGAACTAATCTTCTTTCTCGTCTCATAGTCTTTAGTATGTTTTTAATTTGCGATTTTATGATGCAAGACACAAAAGAAAATTCTTTTACGGATTAGAAGGGAAGAAAAGTGCGTTTTATCTTTGTATGCGTTTTCCTGTTGTGGCGCATATTGCTATTGAGTGTTGATGCTTCAAACATTAACAAAGAATGAGAGAAGAAAAAAAATTATTACTGAAGACGGGCCATATAGCAGAGAGAAGAAAGAAGAAAAAAAAACATGAAAAACGTTAAATTTAAATGCAACGTTGCCATACATCAAAACCATGTTGCTTTGAAACATTTTTTTTATTTCGGAAACATTAATATTCGTTTCTCATAAGATCGAAGCTACTTTCTCTCTCTCACTCTTTCTCACTTGCGACCACTCACACACGCTAGTGAATGCCATTTTGTGTCACACTTTGCGCTACATATCTTTAAATGGTTTTATTTATGATGGTGCACAATGATTTCTTTTTTATTCTTATGAACATTTTATTGTCAGAATTATAAATCTTATAATAACTTCTCAAAATATTTATCTTATCTTTTAATAATTAAGACGCATATGAAGATAAACGGCAGCTTTTCTTTTCTCAATCGTCATTCTTTCTTCGTGAGTAATGAATTTATTAGACTTCATTTAGACGTTCAAAAGTAAGAGAAATAAAAATAAATTATACTCGAAAAGATTCAAATTAGATAAAGGAAAAAAGAAATGAGCAAAAATCTCACTAATGTTTAGTCGTAGTTTCCATGCAGTAACTTTTTCCGAATGTATGTTTAACAGTTTTGCAATAGTAAGTTATCATAATTCTTCTGTTTTTACATTTTTCTTATCACATGTTCTCTATTTTCATTTCCTCCTAAATAACTAAACTTTGTGTTTATTATTTGCGGAAGAATATTTTTAGTTCATGAAAATGGTTTTAAATTTTTATACAATGAAATGAACGAACATATCAGATGCAAATCGAATTGAAATTTAAACAAATATTTATACTGGGATCTGTGTAAAAATTTGTAACATGAGGGAATATTTTACAGGAAAATTGTTCAAGTTTCATTGTGTGACAGAATTTAACATTATTTTCCACCAAATTATCAATTTTACTTTTACCCTACATTCCATTTTTACAAATTACAAATTAATTCAGTGCACAGTTCAAGTAAAGTCGAAAAGCAAAAGTATTAAAGCGAGAACTTCATAAATTATTAGGTATTCCTTGCAATGTTTAATTCGAAAAACTTAAAAGCGGATTTTCATCTTTTCAATTTTCTCATTGACATTCGATTGTGTAATCTTTACAGCCATAACAAAAAAATATATAAATTAAAGAAAAAATCTTTATAACAATATTCCATCTGGAGACAGGATCTACTTACTTCTAATTCGTTTTAGTGTCGTAATTTGACATAAAGTAACAAAAGTGCGTGACATTTTCAAAATGATCCCATCAATAAACATTTTATACAGATTTGAGTGTAAAATTAGATTAGTTTTAAGAGTTGTGATCTTGTAATAATTAGTTAGTAAGCGAATAAATGCGAGTATATTTTTCGGACTCTTTTTTTATAAGCAAGAAAAAGAAAATTAACAAAAAAAATAAGAAGAATGGCGAGGAATTAAAATGTTATTAGTAAAATTTTTTAGGATTTTCATTTTGGCAATTTATAAGACATAAATAATTGTAGGTGTCTGATGTATGAAACATAGCAGTGAAGGTGATCATGCCATTTGATAAGAAAACAAAAAGAGTTATGATTTATATAGCATAAAAAGTGCAAAATAATAATGTTTGCCAATTTGCCATTTAAAGAGTATCATTTAAACGATGGAAAACATTTCACTACCTAAACTTGTGCCTTAAAATATTTCTATTATTCTTGAAATGCACAACAAAACGCTCGCACAAAAAGAACGTCTCGAGTACAAAAAAAATCATAAAAGACATTTTTATCTTTCTGTAATATGAGTTCTTACATAAATTCATAAAATTCTAATTCTGAAACGAAATATTTAAATCGAAAACACAAATAACCGCGACAACCGCGAGTTGAATTCCATTCCACTCAACATGAAATTATCACTGAACTAACAAATCAAATTAAGCAATTGAGAGACACAATTTAGTGATTAAAAATATGAAAAAAGACTCCCAGCGAAAATATGCAACTCTTTTTGAAAAGTTAAAAATTAATACATATTCATCTTTGAATATTCTTTTGATATCAAATGTTTTAAGTATGAAGATCTAAATCAAAAATGATTGACAACAATGCTGTAAAAAATCTTTCATTGCTTTAGGAACCTTAAGACAATTTAATAAAAACGAATAATAAATAAAAAAAAAAGAAATAAAGTCTTTTGAACAAATCTTATAACAACTAAAAGACGAACGCAGATAACCTTCAAATCAACAGTAGCATTTTCTTTTCTGTAGGTGTTTACGGCCATTGATGACTTCTTGCTGCTTGATCGTTCGCTTATGAAAGAGAAGGAAAGAAGCTACTGTTGGCGATTTGAGAGATTCATTGTTACTCTCACAGTTAGTCGTTTGCCATTCGACTGTTCTGAAGTTCTTTTTTAATTCTTTCTTTCTCAACAATTTTTGTTAATTGTCCAATTATTATTGTTTTGCTCCCCAGTTCAACTATCAGTATCACATCTATGATCGCGAAAAACTTTTTTTTGTGCTTCAACTGATCTATCCTTGAGCTTCAAATTATTTAGTATTTAATAAATCTAGCAACGCCATAGACAGTTAGTTAATAAACATTGGATATTTTCATAACTTAAGGTAATATTTTCTTTTGTGATATTTGAAATTCGAAGGAATTTCACGTCTAAGAAACAACATCTTAACAAGACAAAGCAAGAGTCAACACGAAAACGAGAAAAAAAATTCCTCTTTCTTTATTTCGTTAAAAAATGTTAAGGTTCACATCGTCCGAGAAATTTCTTCCATTTACATAAAAACCGCATGCAGCACAAGCAAATACCGAGAGAAAAAACGCGTTTTTAGCGTGTTCCCATTCGCCAAAGAGTTCACTGACACTCCTGCTCTTTCCCTCTTTCTTTCTTGCTCAATGTTAAAAGATCTGATTTTTTCTTTTCTTCTATCGCACTGTGCTTGGGGCATTGGCGGCGTTGCAATAAAAAACTGGCTTTTTTGGAGACGAGGAAAAGAGAAAGAGAGTGAACAGAGCAAGAACTTATTGTGTTGGTGTACATACATAAATATTTTATGAGTTGTGAGAAGCGACGATGAAAGGGAACCTCAAGAAACCTCAGAATGGAATGTTAAAGAAACAAATACGAAGACTTTAACAGACATCGATCAACAATCTGCTGCTTCGGCTTTGCCTCTTTCATGAATAATTTACATTTTTCACAAGAAGATCATGATTCAAAAAAGGAATTTAAAAAATTGCCTCTAAAACGTTTTGTTGTATCTACTTCATTTGAATACACAAATTGGTGCTCGTGAATCATGTGACCCGAGCTTTGCTGAATAAATTCTGCAATGGTCATCAAAATTTACTATAATGTTTCACGATCAAAGTCCGGTTAATTGAAAGAAGAGAAGACGAAAGAAACAATGAATCATTTAAGATGAACATCTTTTGAAATCATAAATTTAATCCTTCTATAAAAATTTGATAATGACGCGGAGATATTTCTTCTTTTCAATTTCTTAATTCTCAACTTCTTCTAAATTCTTTTGAGTATTCAATCGAATGTTTGAAGACAAGAGAGATGGTAAAACTAATACAAGAAGCAAATGCTTGAAATGACTCATTAATTCATTTCATTTCATTTTTCAGGTTTAACTCAGGTAAACGAGTTTGGTTTTTGATCATCATCGTCTCATGCACATTTCTTGAGATGCTTCTTCTCGAGCTTCTTTTCATTTATTGTTCTTGTTCTCTTCGTTCTCTTTCAGCATGCAATAGCTTTGAATTGTTTATTCAAATTTTTCTTATATCTTCTTTCTTTTGATCATCCTTTCAACTTCATCATTCATCCTCGCTCGATGTTTTTGAACAATGTTACTTAATGTATTCGCGAACAAGGCGCATTTTTAAGACACAAAAGTATTGAACAATATTAAAAGTCATTTGGTAAGATTTAAACAAATTTTATTTCTTTTTCTTTGAAGATCCAGCTCCTGGTTGTTTTTGCTTCCTTTCCAGTTGCATTTGCTTAAGCTTAAGTTCCAAAATCTTTTTAGCTTTGTCATGCTCTTCTTTCTTTTTTGCACTTCTTGTATCTATCTTGGGATGAAGAAAATTGTCTCGTTCTTTTTTCTTGACTATTTCATCGCATTTAGTTCCTAAATTTTTCGAATGAATTTCGGGTAAGTTGTGTTTGTAGCAAAATCGATGATTACAGAATGTACACGTTTGTCCCATTAAACTTGTCTTTTGCTTACAATTTTTGTAGTCACAAGTTTCATCAACCTTCTTCACATCTTTTAAGACTTCATCAAGCTTCTTGTTGTCAGATTCAATCTGTTCATTTTCCACTTTACTTATCACTTTGACTACTGTTTTATTTTCATCTAGCATGAAAGAAATAATGAAATAACATAAAAATAACTTAGTGTAATTATGACACTTACCCATGATGAAATTGATTTCATAAATAAAGATTTGAATGTTTTTGCATTAAATCAGCAAAAGATTCGCAAGTGGTTTTTTTTTTGTAAACAAATATTAGAAAGATTCATAAGTTTTGTAACAATGAATTTTCCTCACAATTTGATAAAAAAATTAAAAATCTGTAACATCATTTTCAAAAATAAAAGGGCACGTTCAGCTGAGTAAAATTTAAAATTTAAAAAACCGTTAATTTTTTCTAAATTATTTTTATGACAATTTTGAATTAAAAATTTGAATAAATTTGTTTCTCTATACCGGAACTAAACAAATACATAATCCAATTAAAATACAAGAATTAGCTTCTTTCGCCGTCCAAACCTTGCATACTTGACTAGATGTTTCCAAACTTTTCAATGATGATGCTCGAACTTTGATTTCAAAAGAACAACAAATACGATAAAATACAGAATTGCTTAAATAACGATGAACATATGGCCCATCAAGCTTATCTTTGTTATCAGGTTGTGATCTTAAAATGATTCCTGTAACAAAGTTCTCCATGTCACTAGATCCCGCTTGATTATTATTTCTGACTAGAAATTGTTCAATTTCTGCATTTGGAATTGGCTGTCCATGATCTAACACAGAACGAATCTTATCAACTCTTGTTGCGCAATAAGCTGTAATCCAACTATCACCAGAACTTGTTTGTGGAATGTTTGCTGGATTTGTTATCTGTTGATTGATAGAGAAACGAACCCATCCCCTGAGTAAACTGTTAGGTTTGCAACAACTTTCACAAAAACATGTCGGTAAAGAGTTTGGCAAAAAGTAAATATCAGGGATAGTGAGAGTTCGCTTAAATCCAATTAATAGCTTCAAATAATCACAATCTTCATTTCTTATCGAAACATTTTCTAAAACTTCTTGATTATTATTCATTTGTTGTAATTGCTGTGCTTGTTGTGCAATGCTTTCATTTCTTGTCGTGTTGTTAATCTGATCGTTATTAAATCGATTAGATTGTATACGAAGATTGTCTACCAGAGTGCTGCTACTAGCCAATGCTATATCATCAATATGATAATTGTTGTTACTTCCACTACTACCCATTAAGCTCGTGAAACGATGAGTGCTTTGTGAACGTTGAATGTTGAGATTCGTAGAATGTTGAAGTTGAAGTGATTCACGCAGGCAGCTGGAAAGAAAGCTTTAAAATTATAAAACAGACCTTGGGATTGAAATAAATTTCGAATGCTCACCAAGAATTCGATAATTCCAAATTTCTCGATTCATTTGCTGTTCGATTTTTAATGCTTAAATTTGTAAATTCATTTGCTGAAACACTTTCCATCACAGAACGACTCATTAAAGCAGCAGCTGAAGTACTTGGTGTTGGTGTAGTTTGATCTGTTTCCTTTTCATGAACTTCCAAATCAGCTTTTTCACAATTCTGTTGGATACTTTCGACTTCAAGATTACTGACGACATTTTCATCACTCGCTGACGTTGGAATTCGTTGATTTTCAGAAATTATTGTCAGTTTATGACATTTCCCATAAACATCAAAGATTGGATAAACTTGACTTGGCAAACCAACGATAACATCTTGAAACGACAATGATCCAATTGCAAATGATAACGCACCTGTTGTACTAATTGAAACTGTTATGATTGTTCCAACTTTTATCTGATCAAGTGCTTCATAAAACCTCGTTGTTTTACTTTTCATTCCATTTATATTAAAATGTTCTTGCGAAATAATCCAGCAAGGACGTTCGAGATTAATTGATGTAGCTGGAAATATTATTTTATTATTTGGGTTAATTCCAATAACACCAAGTGCTAATGATCCATTCCATTTAGTGTTTAATTGATTAATTTTTAAGCTTAAACTTTGTCCTCGAAGCAAAGGTCTACTAATGCAAACAATGCCATTACTGTAAGATTGAATGCGTGTTCCTGATTTCTTATCATCACTCAACTTCACATTCGTTCCACAATTTTCAGCAAATTCATATGAATAACTGTCGGCTTCAATTGATTCTAGCATTGAATCTTGTTTGTTCATATCAAGTCCAAGCTCAAGTGAATCCTGAAGTCGCAACATCATCGGACGTAATGGTGATTGTGGAGTGTGTTGTTGCGTTGTTGAAATTATTTGAATTGCCATTATAGCACCTTGAAGTTCAACAACTACATGAACATTAACAGGAACATCTTCAAAATAAATGTTGACGTCTTCAGAATTTAATAGAATTCTCAATGTTTTAGTTGCTGTCAATTCTAAAGTTATTCGATCACCGACACGAAGCCACTCAACTGATGCTAATGATCGTCTTAACAACTCATTATTATGCCGAACTTCATTACCCGTCACATACCAAACATTGGCACCAAGTCGTTTGATTGTCGTTGGAATATTTTTACGAATATGTTCATCAGATAGATTCAAATCTGTCACACCAATTCGAATGTGACCAGCATAAAACTTGTTCATTTCTTTGATTCTAATCTCAAACGGTTCACCACCTGCTACAAGATGACGTTCAGAGAAGACTAAACATCTTGATAAAGCTGAGTTTGTGCATCGGATTGCAACTGTCCAATTTTGTAGTAAAGCACAATTGCCGGAAATAACTGAAAAACGATGATGTTTGATATCTGCAACTGGCTGGATGATTGAAGTCATTTGAAGACTTTGTGAGTTTTCGGATGTTGCATAAGGTGCAATGTTGTTTCCAACACATAAACTCACTTGAGAACATTGCCCATAAAGATCGATGACCGCATAAATATTTTGTGCTCGACATTCATGTGCTGGGCCTTGATCAACACCATTCAAGAAGAAATGAATGTTGTTTCCATTTCTCATCACACCAATTCGACATCCAGATTTACAATTGTCCAAGTCAAATGGTAAATCGTTTCTCACTGTAACGCCATTAAACATCAACGTAGTTCCCGAAGCCATAATTGTATTGTTATCCAAATCGGTTGCTGTACTTGGGAGTGTTAACTCTTCAGGTCTCACACCAGTTACTCCAATTTCAATCGAACCATTCCAATGTTCAACAACATTCTCAATCATAACTTCAAACAACTCACGTTGTCTTAATGAACGATTACTAAAAACAATAGAATCGTTAAACTCAGCAAGAGCTTTTGGTCGACTTGCCACGAGAAAATTACTACTTAATCGAGCATTACGACCATGGATTTGATGAAAACGAAGTTTTGGTTCAGTGCTGAAGAGAGTTGTATTAGAAATTGTTGAGTTGACTGTGTCGTCGGGTGTTTGGCATTCAGAAACATCAACAATGCTTGCTTGTGCTGTAAGATTTCATTATCAAAATTAAATAATGTAAATAAAGAAAAAACTTACCAGCCTGACCATAGAGATCAATCACGCCATAAACTTTCTCGGGGACTTTTTCAGCTGCCGGCCCTTGATCAATTCCATTAACAAAAAAGTGTAAAGTACCATCATCTCGTCTTACAACCCCAACCCTATCGCCGACTTGTAAGCGATCAAGATTTTGTCCATATTGTTCGATAATTGTTGTTCCATTCTGCATAACACCATTTCCAGTCATCATCCAAGTGCCTGAACGAACATTTGTCATGGTGAAAGGAAATTCAAGTTCAAGAGCAGTGTGCGTTGTTACACCAATTTCAATACTTCCAGCCCATTTCTTTTCAATTCGTTCTAATCGAACTTGAAATATTTCATTTGGTTTTAAAGGTCTTTTTGTTAAAACAACTCCATTGTTAAAATCTTCAGCAGCATTTGGTCTTAAACATGTTCTTAGACTATGAGTTACTTGTGCATTTGATCCACAAATTTGATGAAAACATAACCGATCATTGCGATCGTCATAATCAGATTGAATGACTGATGATGATTCTGTTGATGGCATTGGAAGTAAATTATTGTTACGTCGTGTCACGAGATTTTGTTCTTCAATTTCATCGCGATCAACAATCGTAACTTTAATTGTCATCCCATAGAGATCAATGACACCCCACAGTGTCTGTGCAACTCTTGTCGCTGCCACTCCTTGATCTCTTCCATTGATATAATAATGAAGATTTCCATTTGATTTTCTTATCATTCCTATTCTATCACCCTCTCTAAGCTCGTCAAGATTAAATTCTCCATACTCCCGACGTGTTCCCTTTCCATTTGTTAGAATTCCACAACCTGACATCATTATCGTTCCAGAACGAAGATTTGTCATTGTTGCCGGAAACTGAAGTGCATTAGGACAATGTGTTGTTACTCCAGCTTCAATTGATCCCGACCATTTGTCAACCAGTCTGTCGATTCTGATTTCAAATAATTCATTATCTCGTAGAGGTCTATGAGTCATTGCAATTCCATTGTTGAATTCATCGAACGGTCTTCTTCTTTCAGCACAACGTAAATTGTTCGTGAGTTTAACTAATGAACCACATCGCGTGTGAAAACGAAGTTTATCATTTGGATCAAAAGAATGATCCATTGATGATGTGCTATCGATGGAAAGCTCAACAGACATTGGAATTTCAATGTTTTGTGAGATTTGTGTTGACGACAAGTCATCATCGTGTTCTTGAATATTTTCCTCTGAGGTCACCGTAACTTGTCCACATTTCCCATAAAGATTTATGAGTGCATAAATATTCTTTGGAATTTCTCGTGCAGCAACTCCTTGAGATTCTCCATTGATGAAAAATATTAAATCTCCTGTAGATGTTCTCATCACTCCTACACGGTCGCCTTCATTTAATTTGTCTAAATCACCGCCATAATATTCACACAAAGAATTTCCGTCTTTGAGAATTGAAATTCCACTCATTATCCATGTTCCGTTCTTTAGTTTACTTGCACATGCAGGTAAATCTACAGTTTCAGGGTTAGCAGTTGTTACACCGATTTCTATTGATCCAGACCATGAACTTATTTTCACATCAATTCTCACTTCAAATTTTTCCTAAAAAGGAATTGAAAATAATTAGAAATTAACGAATTAATTATATCTATGATAACTACTTACATCATCAATAAGAGGATATCGAGATAGAACAATTCCATGATTAAATTCATTAACATTCCGGAGCGCAGTCTTGTTATCATTTTTTAATGTGATTCGTTTTCCAGTGCGTTGATGAAAACTCATTTTTCACATTGAAATCGAACAATCTTTCAGTATTTTTTTCTTTGTGGCTGGATTTTAATGAATAAAAAACAATTTAAGATATATATGGATGAGTTAAATTTATTTCAAAACTCATTTTAAATTGTTTTCAGACACAACAAATATATCGATCGGGAGATTTCAGAATGTCATAAAATTTTCCTCCCTGCAAAGCGGGGTTAGCAACTTTTGTAAACAAACCATCTTATGTTGAACGAAATTTAACTTTAGTTGTAAGCAGATAAGATTTATTCTTGTTTAAAAAGCAAATCTTCCCTTTCAACAAAATTTAATGTCATAAAAGAAAATTAGAAAAATTAAATAGAAAGTCATTATAATGGGGAATACTGCTGTTAAACAACATTTTGAGACTGCTCAAAGAACTGGAGTCTTGAAAATTTCACAAAAAAGACTCAAGGTAAATCAAATTTCTGAAATTATGAATCATTTACAAATCTATTGTTTTTTAGTTTTTTCTATCTAATCACTAAAATTTTTCTTCATTTAGGAATTTCCACCTCAACTTCGAGAATTTCCTAACGTTTTAAGAACTTTGGATTTGTCAGAAAATCACTTCGTCACAATTCCAGAACTCATCGGAAAATTTACGTTGCTGAAACATTTAAACTTTTCGTGAGTATTTTTGCATTAATAAATCATTTATTAATAATTCAAAAATCAATTTTCAAGGTCAAACAAACTCACATCGCTACCAGAGACACTTGGAAAATGTTCTAAACTTGAAACATTGAATGCAATGAACAATTTAATAACATTTGTTCCATTGTGTTACGAAGCTCTTAAAAATCTGAAGCATATTAACTTAAGTAACAATCAAATAACAGAATTTCCTTCAATGTTTGCTGGTCTCAAACATCTTGACATGTTGGATTTGTCAAGGAACAAAATCACAGCCTTACCACCAGCTGCTAAGGATCTCTACTGTACCGAGCTTAATTTGAATCAAAACCAAATTACTTCACTAGCTGAACAACTTGCAGATTGCCCAAAACTCAAGACGCTTCGTTTAGAAGAAAATTGCCTCCAAGTGACGGCTATACCCACGAGAATTCTCAAAGAATCTGTCATTTCCACGATTCTCGTTGACGGAAATTTATTCAACAACAAACAATTCACTGAACTTGACGGGTATGAGGAATATCAAGAACGATATACCGCAGTCAAGAAAAAAATGTTTTAAAGAATAGCATTTGATGTCAAAAACCCTTTCAAGAAAAAGGTAAAGAAAAATATATACCTAATTAAAAGTTATCTAAATTTAAAAAAATCATTGTCAACAATACTTCATTTTGATGTCTAAATAGAAAAATTATATTTTTGTCTTAATTAGGGATTGGAGTTTAAATGGATAGACTTTTAATTCAATTATTTGTTTCTTTTGTTCCCCTGTTCTGACCAATTCATTCATATTTATTGAAATTTTCTATATACCTACACATTTAAATTATTAGATATCAAATATACTTAAAATAAATTTACAAATTCTTCGGAATGTTATTATCTAACTCTCTTGCGTTATATTTTCATGTTTTTCAGATCATAACAGAAACCCCAAAAAATGCTTCTCCACACAAAAACATCCTGAAGTGCTTCCCATGCTTAATTTATTCAATTTTCCAAAATTCTGAAAACAAATTCAATGAAATTTTTAAAGGAGAAAACTTTTTCATACCTAAACATGTTATGGAAAAACATCACAAATTTAAAGACTTTTATTCAAATCTCAAAAACGAAGAAACTTTTTATGTTAAAAAAGAAACTAAGAATAATGTCATTAACATTTATTTTAATGGTGATGAGGTAAATCACTTGATAAGAAGTGCCATTGTTCATGATACTGATCGGGTAGGATGATGCAATCTTTCCACTGCTTTAATCTTCGCCCTTTGCTGATTTGACCGAGAATGAGTGAACCCAAGAAGTCGTTACTCTTCCCTATATCTCTGTCCCAGACAGTGATTATTAACGTTTGCTTATCCAAATCATTTGGTCGTGTCTCAAAAAAAAATTCTTCGTTGAAAACGGGATTTAAGTTACGCCATTTTATGCTTGTTTTAAATTTTTTACGATTAGAATCGGGACGCAGTTGTCTATTGTATATAATTTGAAAGATTATAATAATGATAGCTTTTAAACAAATGTCATCACTCACATTTTTACAAATGGATCTGATAATCCATTCTTATCCATCGCCATAAGGTTGATACATCGTTTGATAACGACAGCAAGTGCACGCTTTTGAGTGTTATAACATAAAGCAATGAGAATTTGGCCATTTGGCGAATCTCTTGATAGCGATTCCATGCTAAATCTATCTTCCGGTCCCAATGGAATTGTCATTTTGCATGGACTACAATTCTGAATCTTTAATCAAAGCAAAAAGGAGAAAGAAATTAATTAAGATAAATTGTTGTCATCTGATTTCCTCACCAATCCCAAAGAGATCTTAGTGGCTCCTAGGAAATCGCTTCCATATTTATCATCATCGAGCAAAACAACAAATAAATTAGACGAATTCATGTCTTCAAACGACATCCCAATGAATGTAAAAGTTTCATTAAATTCTGGATTATTAGTTTTGTGGGCGATTCTAGATTTCTGCCATCTCGTGTGTCTTAATGTGTTTTCCGGTGTAATAATGTTGACTTTACAGAAAGGATCAGAAAGACCTTGAGAATCCATTGGCGGTAAATCGCGAGCCCTCAATATTGTGCAGAATAATGTGTCTTGTGATTCATCGTAATTTACTGATACTTCAAGCCATCCGAGAACAACAGGTTCGCGATAATCTGTTAGAAATTTTAAATCATTACGTGACATTTAAATTTTCACAAAAAAATTCAGGACATTTGACTTAGACGACGACATAATAAAGCTTTTAAAATATAATTTTCTTACTTCGATTCATCGTAAAATTATCATTCGATGATGAAACTTCTGGGATGGAAACAGATGATGAAAATGAACTTTGTCTTTGCCTTTGAAGGATTCCATTAGGTGATCCATTTTCCCAATCGTTAGCTTGAGGCTGAAGACTGTTTGCTGACTTTTGCGAGGAGTCACTTGAACTTGTTTGACGACTAAAGGGTGTGACGGGAGATTTCTTTGGAAGAGGCGAATTGCTTTCGAATGTAAACTTTGAACCGATATCGGTTGTTAAACGGAGATTGAAAAGATTTCGACTTTTAAGGAACGTGTTACTAAATGATCCATTTATAAGGGATTTTTGATCACTGCCTTTCATTAATTCTCCTACACCATCATCTTCGTCTTCATCCGAATCTATTTCCATTCCCAACTTTGTAGTTTTCACAACCTTTACTGGCTGGTTTCGAGCTTCAACTTTCAACTCATGACTTGAACTGCAAGGGATCTCGTAATTTGGCAAACCTTTATAGAACCAAGCACCTGTCTTTTTATAAATATCACGAATCTCACTACAAATATGACACAACCAGACATTTCTGAATTTAAAATAAAAAAAAAGAGAAAGAAAGACATTGTATGGTGCCAAAAAGGCGACATTTCATCGACAGATTGTTTCTTACTTTTTTGCTGGGGAATTTGCAAGTTCCACGCAACAATGGGAACAAACTGGCTTTTTACAATCAAAACATATTTGCTTTTGTGTCATATTTAAAAGAATTCCAAATCCGAATGATTGTCCACATAAGCTTTATGAAAAAAAAAGGGATGATGAAGTAACATGAGTTATTTAATATTGTGACGCAGGCTGCATCATCATCATCATCATCATCATCATCATCAAACCTGCAATTTTTCGGTCCATAATATGAAGCCCTTTGTTTGATCCTTTCAACTCGTTCAACAAGTTTTCCAACTCTTTGTCGTTCTGCCATTTCCAGCTGTTCATTTCTCTTGATGACAGACACAATCATTCGTTGTTCTTCTGCGTTTAATGCTACGCGCTTGCACGTTGAACTCCAACCAGTTTGCAACCTTTAATATCAATAGAAGAAAAAATCTTTTAACATTAAATTTAATCTGTTGTTAGCTTTTGTAATCGAATGTTGAATAAGATAATATTTATTTATAGGTTCCTTCAACTGTAATCAAAGTTTTATCATGGTTTTAAAGCTCAAGTCACTCAATTTTGCATCATTAATGTTATTAGTCCCAAAGGATGTTTTGTTTTTAAATTTAAATAAAAAGACAGAAATGATTTTCATGGATTCTTCTCTTGCAAGCTTTTTCTGCTCGGGGCTTAACGACGACTCTTTTGAATTGTTTTTCTAGGCTTTAGGAAACGACTTTTTCCGACGTTTCTTACGAAGGTCTTTCGGGTAATATTTTAGGACCGAAAAAGTACGAAAGGTTCAAATTTTCCTTGATTTACTTCTACACAAATTTGCAAATGTTTTAAATGTCATCATGTTTTCTGCCGATGAAAAGAAAGTTCATTTCATTGCCTGCGCCTACGTTCGTGTTATAAATTGAAAAATTTTATTGCCACTCCTGTGTATTTAAAATAAATTTTCATAATGTTGAACCTTGTTTGTTGTTCATTACTAAACATGAAATGAATACTGAGAAACGTTTTCAATTACAAACTTCAACTATAGCCATGAAGAAAATCATAAAGTTTTTCCTTGAAAGTCTAAATCATGTAAATTACTTATTATTAGCGTATTAATTAACAACGTGATTTTTCAATACGTTTGCAAATTACCATCAAACAAATCAATCTCAAGTGTTGTTGATTGAGATAAGAATGTATTATACGCTTGGGAAAATCGAGACATTTTAAAGCTTTCGGAAAGCTTTCAAATCAAGATAAGCCGAAGAAAATCTCTTGACTGTGACATAATAAATTGAGATTTTCTGATATACATTCATTTATCGTAACATCGACATATCGACGTCGAATAATGATTGACTTTTTCGATTTTCATCTGTATAAATATAAATCTTGAATTTATTTGAGTGGTTGAACTTTGTTGCCATGGAAATTGTGCGGTTGAAAAGTAAAACATCTTATTTTGAAGCGAAAGGTATATAAATATGTGTAATGTTTGTTTGGAAAGTTCCGAATAGGTAAAACAAGGTGAGTAAGTTTAAGGGCATTATAAAGGAAAAGAGAAGAAAAACTTTTTAAGCGTTCCATACCGAATTACTTCGACGAGGGAAACGAAAAGAATAAATGATGGAATTAAATTGAAACTTGAAACATCATCTGCATTTTGACAAAGTACTTTCAACATTTTATTTGAATTAAGTCTTCACCATTCACTTTTATTTGTCTTGATGGACCCGGTAAGTGTCTGTATGCATTATGGAGAAGGAAATGAATAAATTTATCATGTCAGTATCACGTTTCATTTCATTCTCGTCTCTAAGGTTAAACATTAAAGACCATAAAGATGAATTTATCGCTCAAAAGAAATATCAAAAATATTTTTAATGTGAATGCTGTTTGAGAGGAAAGGAAAAGATGGAAAGGGATTTTTTCTTTCACCTCTCAAAGCTTCTCAAAGATGGTGTGCTTATGTGTCAAACAAAAAATGTTTCATTTGTAAGCATCAATGTGTGTAATTAGGTATGTATACCTTTTGAAGGAATCATTTAAAAAGCATCTTTGGTCACCATTTTAAAAGTGTTTCCTTTTTCTTCATAGCACATGTAAGTATTTATGTATATGAACAATGGAAACTCTAATATTTTCCTTTTCAACCTGTTGCTTGAAAAAGGACTTATAGTTTCATTTCAAAAGCTATCAATAAATAAATACATAAGCAAAATGTTAGATAGCATAACTTATAAATCTCAAAAGCTTCTTGTTTCCTTTCTCTTTACGCATGGAAAAATATTAAATTTCTCTGATGTGACGCTTCTTTAAACTAAAATTGGTTTTCTTTGATTTTTGAAAAAAAAAACCTTGAAGGCAGGTTTTGTGGTACGGTACGCAACATCTTAACTTGAAAGGAAATAAGAAGGATTTGGAAATAATAAATAAGATATTACGGCAATTTTCATTCATTTATAATTAATGTAAGTTTACTTTTAATATTTCATAAATTCCTTTTGGTAGTGAGTTGAAAAGGTTTCCTTTTTCCTGAGCTTTTGTAATCAGTTCGTTTTTTATACTTAATTTAATTCTTTTATAAGGTTTTTATAAGTCCTTTCAGTGAGAGTAAAAATGTTTGAAACAATCTTGTTAAAAACAGACAATTTCCATATTTTTAAGGTTGGAAGATCTGTTCCACATTATATTCACTCGCAAGACAAGTGCAAGACAGCTTTGTGATTGCGTAGTTTAATTTAACAAAAAAGAAAGCTTTAACCTCGCTACATTTCTATTGTATTGTCTTGTCTTTCTTTGTTCTGATTAATGAAAGTGAGTTTTTAAATTGAATTTATCTTGAATTTCTACCAGAACAATCAAGACTTCATACTGCAAATATCTATCGATTTTCATTATGAGACTTTTATGTCACAACGGTTTATACTTTGAGTCAAGAGCTTAATAAAAACCCCTCGCTGATAGCAATTGAATTACATTGTATTAATTCTCAATTAGGACAGATCAATAAAGAAAGACTATCTGGAAAAGTTTGTATATGCTTGGGTTAATCAACTTTCATACACATCCAGTGAAAAAAAGAACGAGCAATTCTCGCAATTTATTTTTTCGATTTTCTATGAATTTTGCAATCATAAAGTTCTGTCTTCAATTTTAAAAGCTTTTAAAAATCTTCCCTTCTATATTCGTAAGAAATTTAAGCTAAAAAAAATCAAATAAATTTTCAATTTGCCAAAGCGAAAGATACGTAAAAAGAAAGAAAAATAAATCTTGAGGGCTCTCAATAGCGCTTGTATAGGAAAGAAAAGAAGAATTATCGACTTTTTAAAATGAAATTCATAAACTAAATAAATTTTGAGTGAAGAAGATCATAAAAAAAGGAGCTTTAAATAATTTTTTATAGTCTTGTGAACACAAAGCACATTTATCATTTGAATAAGCCAAGGGAGAGTTCATAGACATACAAACAAACATTATCATATTTGATTGTTTATTTACTTTACTTTTTGAAACGCAAGCAGTTCATTTCACTGTTCGTAATTCAGTGTCAAGTTGACTTTTTCTTCTTCTTTTATGGTTTGTAGTTTAGTGACAAATAAAACGTGTTAATGTTAGTCAGAATTCAAAAGCATATGGAAATGACTTTTCCTTCGATAATCATTCACTTGTCTAATGAAATCAACTTTGTTAATCGAAATTGACGATGTGAAAGTGAACAGAGTCTTGTGAGTGAGGAAAATAAACAAATAATTTTGCTTTTTCGCAGTGTAAACCATTTTTGATTACACAAAGGTTTAGTCTACATTAGATTTTAATGGCTTAATGTGAGTTAATTTGCGCCCATTCCACATCAATCAGGCAGAATGTACTGATAAATGATATTTTAATTTAATTTCATTCTATCGAGCACCATATGGAAAAATATGACATTGAATGAGTAATCTTTACTTGGCTCTCAGTGCTAGCTGTCTATCCGATGGACAAACGTAGCTTTTCGAGTTGGTGCTATCCTGGAAACTCATGATTCAGATTCGTTTTCGAATGAATGGAATTTTTAGTTCACTCAACACACTAAATCGTTTTCACATTAATTGGCGATTATGTTTTCCCTGATTCAAAAAGTTTTTTTTCACCATTTTCCTACCACTAACCGAAGAGTGATTTCATTTTTCCGACTTGTCACGCCTGTTGCTTCTATCGAACTAAGAGCGGAAAACAATTTTATATGTAATATGAGAGCGGAGAGGAAATTTTCCGATGAGAGTAGATTGGATACATTTGAGAAAAGCCTTGTTAAGGGTGAAATGATAAATTCTATACTTGAGGAAAGAGTAGAGAATAAAAATTAGCTTGACGATGAGTTCGCCATAAATCAAATAATTTCCCACAAAGCATGCATCGGAAGTAAAAAATAACGAAAGAAGAAAAAAAAAATGCCTTAAGACGGATTCGTTTGCTGGCAATTAAGTTTCATTCAAATTGAAATTTGTCTTCATTAAATTTTCTTCACGACATAACAACGCAGCTTGAGGCAATGGAAGATATTCCCGCAATGTTTGCACTTCATTTAAAAGCATTTTTATGCTTAACATAATTAATTATATTCGCACTCTTGAAATCTGTGAAGTGATATAATTAAGATGTAGGTTTTTATGCAAAAGAGTTGTACATAAATTCGTTGTTATTTTTTAACTTCCATTCCTAATTGGGTTCGAATTCTCTCCCAAATGTACCGTAACATTATTAATAAGGAAAAAAAGTTCTTCGCAAGTGTATTAAATTTCATTTGAAATGAAAATTTCATTTGGAATTATACTTTTGCAAAGATGTATCTTTTCATCAGTGGAATTTCTACAGAAATTTTCGACTTTTTCATGATTCACAAAATCTCTGAAATATCCTCATTCATTTTAATCACAAAGAAATTCATGATAAGAGAAATAAAATTAAATGCAATTTATAATGACATGTTAGAAAAAACAGTTTATGTTTTTATTTAAACATAAAAAATCTTAAATAAGTTATTTTTAAAAGAAAATTACCAAAGGAAATGTAATACTCAATCATGACACGCTTGCATGTCTTTTTTTATGGTTTAATTAATTTTCAAATTGTCAGCTGAATCCATTTTTTTAAGTTGAATACATTTCCACTTGTTGAAATAAATCTCACGAAAAGACATTTAAAGCATCTGCTGATGTTGAAGTATGAAACTGAAGGGTTAGTTATTGTGGGTGATACATGCGAACAAGTGCTATTTTCTAAGAATTATAATATTTAGTTATAAAATATCAGATGACAATTCTAACGCATCACTTTGAAACATGATACAAAACTTTTATGCTGTTTTAAATGATAGCATTCATAATCGCCTTCAGTGTATGCTTCAGATTGTTTCTGCAACGTTGAACTGATGATCAAACGCTGACATGAATTTCCGATCTGTGGAATTAGAAAATGTAGATGTGTGTCTGAGTTATTTAAATACATGATTTCTCAAATCTGACGCCAGTAATATAAATTCATGCAATTTATTTATGCCAGTACAACAATTAACAGAAATGTTGTTAATAGCTTTTGGATGCAACTTAAATTTCACATAAATATTAAAATATGTTTCTAAAAAAAGAGAAACTGGAGCAACATGAAGAGTGCTGTGAGTACATTTTTTCCGTTACCGTAAATTATTAAAGGGGTTTTCGAGGTTGTAATGGGATCTACAATAAACACGGTTATTCTTTGAAGATTATGAACATCATAAATTTTCGACAATTTCTTTCCCTTCTTACCAAAAAAAAAAATTGATGTCAACGAATAAACCGTTGGTTGCTGCCTTGGAGGATTTCAAATTAAATGCATTTATTTTTCCAAAGAAAAGCCATGAAAAAAACACAATAAAAATATTTAATGATCGCTAATTGCTCATCTTAGAGATGGAAAATGGGAAAGAAATAAAATTTCTATTTCAGATCATTTACGATTTGATTTTTAATTTCTTTTCTGTAAAATTTATTTTCCCATTTAAAATGTTGTCATTAGTTGAGGCCGTCTTAGGTATGTATAAAGATAACGACACATGTTTCTACTATGTATTGCAAGTCTGGTGGCTTCGAAAATGTTCCACAAATAAAGGCAATCGATTTCCTCTAAAATTTTAATGTTTTCAGCATTTCCGATAACAACATGTTCATAATTGAGCGATGTTAACAAGTTTAATCTTCCTTGAAAATATTTACATAATTCTAAATTATGACGATGTTAAGTTACTTGGGGGCGGTTACGGAACGTTGAAAAAAAATATGAAATTTTATTTGCTGTCTGACTTGTCATCACCATAAATTAATATTTCAGATTTTAAGTGGCATCAAGCATTAAAATCATTAAAAGCGTGCTCTTTAACTGTTCATTTAAATAAATTACTTTTTTTGTTTCTTTAGATAAGTTGGAACAGGAAAGATTATCAATTAGCTAAAAGTTTTATCATTCAATTGGTGTTCATTACAAAATCGTGGACTAGAAATTATCAAACATTTTTGTTTTATTTATCTCTTCCAGGATATTTTATTACAAATTATGTCTACCCACAAAAGGATATTTACACGAAATCTCCGATTACTTGTATGTTTCATGAAAAAATCCTCTCGAAAAAAAATTCTATAATTATGATGCTTTTCCCTAACAAACATGTTTGCCGACATGAATAATAACTCTGAGATTAACTCTTTGAAGTCAGCGTAATAAATTTTTGGAAGTACAAAAAAACCTTTGACGATCTCTTGTGTATCAGATTTCGATGAGTCAGTGAATTAGGAGAGTCATTAAACTGTTTTCAGTCTCGTTCAATTATCTATGGAACAATCAACAAATTTCATTTAAATTAATAATTAGGTATATTCAAGAAAAGTGCAAAACAGTTTCATAAGTTATGTCAAGCCATTTTAATTAAATTGAAATTTAGTTATTTAAATTTTCTTATTTCTCAAGTAAGAATGCTTAAGTAGAGTTCAACTTATGTTTTTCAGATATTTTGAAAATTAAAACAACATAATAACATTTGATATCAAAAATTACTCATCTTCTATAAGAAATATAGTAAAAAATAATATCGATGTTTAATGCGTATAACATAATTCTGACTGTAGTCATCAATTTCCAAGCACATGTGAAGACTTTTTAATAAAAAAATAGCGAAGGGTTTCATTTGCTCGGTGATCCATGAAAGCAAGTGTTGTTTTAAAGATTCTTACCACCCAGAAATAAAAACAAAATCAAAGTTGGTTTCTTCACACATTTATATATGAAACTGTGGTTTAATAACAGAAAATGAAAAACTTACCCTTGAGTTTTCCATTCTTCCTCAGTTCATTCAGTTCCTCTTTTAACTGCAAGTCTGCACATAAACATAAATAGAAGTTGAAAATTCAAGCTTTAATTTTTCTTGGTTGGTGTAGCTTGTCAACTTTAATTAAATTACAAATAATTTGATTTGTCATCTGACGGCTTTAATGTTCTAGAGGTTGAGAAAATCAGAAATTTAAAAATAGTATCTGTTTGATATGAAAACAGAAAAGTACTCTTTTCTAGGTAAAAGAATGAGAGTTGCATAAATTATTTAAATAAAGTTGTGCATGATCTAAATGTAAATAATGATAAAGTTTATGATAAAATTGTTCTAAAAGAAAAGTAGGTATCTACCTATATATTTTTATTCAAAATAATATTTTCCAATGTTTTATTTCTTTATTTTATGAAGATCATTATTTAAATTCTTTTTATCATTTCAAACTTTTTCTTTTATTTTAAAAATATCTTACGTAAATTTGTTTACGATGTGACAACACATAACACTCGTTTTCAATTAAAAAAGTCAATTTATTTTCTTAAATATTAATTTACTGAAGCATTTAATTATCAGCAAACATCATGAAAGATTGTTAATTTCATTCTTAACTAGATACTCATGACAAAAATTAATTAAATTTTCATAATCAAATCATTTTAATAAGATTAAAAAGTTAAGTAAACTTAGTATCAGGTAGAAGAAAGTAAAGAATAAATTAACACAAGGGAAATGTTAAACAATTTCCTTCAGTTATGAGATATCATCATAATATATTTTAGCATAAATTAAAGTGATCCTCTGTAGTGGGCGTGTTGTGCAGCCTCTATAGATGAGAACCAATCAAAAACATTTCAGAGTGTCTAAAAATAAGTTCGATCTTCCTGTCTTGAATCTCTTTTTCATTTCTCGTATATGTTTTCTTCAGTTTTTCTTCAACTTTCGTTTGTTATAGTCACAAAACATTAATTTTAATAGAATTAAGTGGATGAATTAATCCCGACGCCAAAATTAATTGCTAAATCAATTTAAACTTGTGTTAATATTTGTAAAAGTGATAATTGGTTGATTGAATTAAAAGAATTTAAGTTGATAAATTGAAACCGTGTCTTGGTGATGGTTAAGAATCAGATTCAATTATCTCACGACAATATGATAAACTTGAACAGCAACAGTGAATACCCGATGGCATTTTCTCATCATTTAACTTTAAGTGATCAACAATTACAAAACAATCTTTATACAACTACTTCGACGTTCGTTGGCATAAAAGATAAAAACGATTTCTTATTTAAAAATCAGAAGTTTGATTACATTAACAACAATACAAGTTCCATAATTACAAATGAAATCTTCTCAAACCCTTCAAAAGATTGTGAAAATTCTAAAAACTTTTCTGTCAATAATTTACTTCGACCACAATCGGACTCGAACACAAAAATAAATGGTAGGTACCTACCTTATATAAAAAATGATTTAAATTTAGTGAAATCCTAATTTTTTTTTATTTCATTCGTTTGTACAGTGGATTCTTCTATTTCAACACTAAGCTTACCAGATCTTATGCATGATGCTGATACTTCATCCGGGAAAAAGCCGAGAAGAAATCGAACAACATTTACATCCCTTCAACTTACAGCATTAGAAAAAATATTCGAAAGAACACATTATCCTGGTAATTAAACATAAACAGATTAAATGATTAGATATCGATAATTTATTTTCTTAATCTTTAAAGACGCATTTGTTCGTGAAGAATTAGCACAAAAAGTTGGCTTGACAGAATCTCGAGTACAAGTTTGGTTTCAAAATCGTCGAGCGAAATTCCGTCGCAACGAGAGATCGATTAGTGGAGTTCGTTCATCTTCGGTTTCATCTTCAACTGTTATCCCTTCATCACCACAAAAGTCAACGATGTCGCATGAAAAAGCAATGAATCAAATTGACTTTCCTTCACCTTATCAACTTGGCCTTAGTACTTTAGGCATGTTTCAACCCTCAGTATCGTCAACTAACTCATTTAAAACAAGTGAACATATAAATTCTTATGGGAATTCATATCATCCTTATACTCAGTATCAACAAAACTACAATAATTATTGTGTTAATAACTTCCGTTATAAAGCACCCTATTAGTATACCATGATGTATATAATTAAATAGGTAATTCAAAATCATAAAAAGGCGCGGAATAAAAATTTGCAAAAAGTCTTAAAAAATTAAATTTATATGATTTAAGGGATTTCAAGAGCTTACTTTTTATCTACCAGAACTTCCTAATTTAAGCTTAAGTCAAAATGCTAGAAGATTGAACTCTATTTAGGTTGCAATTTTCTTTAACGTCTTTTCACATTTTAAATATCATTCTTATTAGATGTCTCTACTTTTCAACCAGAGACACATTTAATGATTCTATCGCGTGCGTAATATTTCCTCAGTATACTTTCTTCTCTCGTGCTGTAACATTCTTGCAAAAAGCCGCGGTGTCGAAATTTAATGTTTTTATGTGATTTAGAATCATAAAAATATGTTAAATGTATAGATAAGAATTGACTAAAGTCATCTCTGAAAAGAGCAAAGTCGAAGAGTTACTCATATTGAAGCAAAAGTGTGTTTAAAAAGTTCCACTTGTTGATTCTTCGGCCGATGGCAAATATTACCTGTAAATTTTCATACAGAGATAAAGTTTTAGCAATACTAAAGAAAATAAAAACACATATATATATATAAATGATAAGAAATAAGCCTTGTTTGCTGATAAATATGTGTGCTTAACTAACCAAGCGTATTAAAAACATTTTTCATTTTAACTTCCTAACACTTACAACAACAACAACAACACAACAAAATATTCAACAAAAATAATGGAATTACCATCGTTTGGTGAGTTTCATTGACCATCTCGCATTTTAATCATAGCGATGAATAGAAAAAATTGCGTAAGACAAACGAAGAAGTTAGGTCAACGTTAAAATATTTTTTCTGACTAGAACATGGAATTAAAAAGAGAAACTTAAGAAAAACATGTCAAATGCTTATACATTGAATGAAATCAAAGAAAAATTAAACACACATTTCAGGTTTTCTTCCTACGCTAGTCGAATAATCAAAAGAGAAAAGAGCAAGCGACCTGTGAATTGATTGTCTCAAAAAACTAATATCGCTGCAATGAATAATAAGAAGAAATAGAGAAAAAAAAGTTAAGAGAAAAAAGAAGAAGAATCTGTCGTCACCTTTAAGCTTTTGTCGCGATTTGAAGGTTTCTCCCTAAAACATGTAATTTTCTTAATGCCTTCAAAGTGAACATATGAAAACAAAAGTTAGAAAGAAATCAAGCACGAAATGAAGAATTTTAAACGATAATACGATTATAATTTTCACTCTCGTTCGCGCCCAGTTTTTCAGTTTGCGTTATGCAACACACTCGTTCAAGTCATAATTGAGTCGTTTATATTTTTATAGACGGCTTTCGAGAGAAGTGAATGCGTTCTTAGAACAATAATTTCTGCCCGTTTTTTCGATTATTCTTCATAAATTTAGAAAACAATTTTTTGAGCGCTTTTCATCTTCAATACATCATTGAGATCATCGACCAATTACACCAATTAGTTAATTAATAGCTTTCGGTTGCTCACCAGATGATCAACAAGTGAAACACTACATCATAAAGCACATTGAAGTATTTATTTATACATTCCATTCAGAGAAACAAACCAACATTTCAGTGTTGTGGATTATGTTGCAACTGTAATAGAAACGTTATCAATATGAGTTAAGTTGATTGTAAAAGTTTAATGAACCTCTTTCCAGTAAATAATGCTTTAAAATTTATTTTATTTTTTTTTGCGTTTAGCGACTGTCTGTCATTCATGTTGAGTTACATTGCATTCCAGTTGGAATCCGATTCTCTTGTAAGAAACAAGACAAAACAATCGAATGTTTCTCTTTGCTTTCCTTAACTGCTTTTTATTTTCTTTTTTTATGATTGAATCGCGTGAGAATTGTGCAATAGCAAAAGTATTGTGACGACAGAGAGAAAGAAGGAGAGAGATTGCTATTTAATGCAATAAAACCTCAGATGTCTATTTGTGGCTACATCATAGAAAAAAAATAAAGATGAAAAGATTGAAAACAGGAAAAAAAATAAGAATTGTTAACATTAAATAAAAATCAAAAGCAATCACAGTGAAATGTCTTTAATGTCGGCATTTCAGTATTTCTATTTCCTTCATCATGCAACCAAATCCGCTTATGATTATTTAAATGACTCATCAAACAAGAGAAAACGAGATGTTGAATTAAATTCTCATCAAATGTCCACCTACACGTTACGGTATATTTGATTGTTCTCTTGACTCGTGAAACAAGTATAAGGTCGTTGAGAGTAAATTTGGGATCTGTTTTTTATTGTTTATTTCACATTCTGTTTTATTAATTAGCAGATTGTCACATAGAAACAAAAGAAATTCTTTTTGCAAATTGATTACTCACAAAATATTGCAAAATATGACGGCAAAGACCGTGCTTCAAGCACCTTTATTATGAGGAATATAAATCTTGATGTTTCTTAGATTTTTTGGAGGAGTTGAAAAATTACCTCACCTCATATTTTTTCCATTTTTCACATAGATTATTGCTTGCACGAGAAATATATGAATGTAAGGTTTAAGAAACTGCTTGTTTAAGTTTCACTACAGAGGTCTGTGTGTTTTGGGTTTCATTTCAGAATGATGTTTATCATTATCGTAAAAACGAATCTCACAAGGTTTTTTCTACACTCCTGTTCAACTTCACATAACAAACATCATCAAATACTATTTAATCGTTAGTCTAACTAATCAATATACTTTTTCATGTATTTTATACTCAAAAGATTTATTAACAGTTAAAACGTCGCTCAAGATTAACTAGAAGTTCCGTGTCAACAAAATTAATTATTTTATTTTCTTTGCAACCTCATCGATTGTTAATCGAAATTATTTCTTCAATGAGAACCTTAAAACTTCCATTTTAGTTCCTACGATAATTTATAAACCATGTCAAGACTCACCGACAATTCCTAAGCATATATTTCACATCATCTTTAAATAGATAAATAGAAAAAAACGTATAATTCCGTTTTCTTTGTTTTGGTTTTTAAATGCCGACTATATTAAAAATAGATAACGACCTGAAGTGATACTCAACATTTTTGTGAGAAAAATCACATCACACAGATGAATTTTCCTTCGTTTTCTTTTATGTTCCCTCATCATGAAACATGACGTCATAAGGTAAAGAGGTTTTGATCTCATTTGTCATTCATCTTTGTGCCTCGTGTTATTGTTGTTTGTTTTTATCATTGTGCGTTTACTTTGCTATTAATTTTCAACTTTACTATTCTTATTGTCTATTCAAAAAAAAAACTCATGACTTTCTTCTTAATAAGTCAAACTTAATAAAACTTGACACAAAATTCTTTACCGGCTTTACTATATTTCTTTTGTTTGTTCCTTATGACGCAACACCTGTTTACGATTGCTTCTGCTACGATGGTCGTGTGCTTTGCTGATTGAAATGCAAACACAGAAATAAAAAGTGAATGCCACTTGAGTTCTTCAAACTGTTTTTTTTTTGTGTTCATGTCCCACACATATTTAACGTCGCACTTCTCTCAACATCGACATTGGTGCGGAAATTTCTCATGATTTGCATATTTAAATAACAAGGCAATTGAAGTTTCTCTCATTGACAATAACTGAAACGCAGATATGTCATCATGTGTGTGTAGTTGTTAATGAATTTCGAAATGCTGTCGATCGTGCTCCCTCGATTACTCCACTTTGAGTTGTGAAAAATTGTACAAATTTTTAATCAGTTAACACGACAGAAGCCATATGAGTCGAAATGGGGAGAAAAACATTACATTAATTATGAAAATTTCAACAAACCAATTAATCATCAGTTTGTCTTATTCCTGAAAAAGAAAATTAAAGAAAAACAATTTCTCTCGCGTTTCTGTGAAAAAAAAACTCTTCTTAACACCCAAATGAAAAATAATAATAATAATAATAAAAATATTTTTAAGTTCTCAAAAAGTTTTGACGACCGTCGTCAGTAGACGTTGAGAGTTTGTCGTAGAACGAACCATAGAGAATCGTTTAATTGCGCGCCAAGAAGCTTCCGACGATTCGCGTGAAAGAAATAAAATTTATTGTGCAATCTTTATACAAATATCAAAATGTTAACATAAATGTAGATTTTAATTAATTAAATGTTGTAAATCAGAGGAAGGGATGAATATTAAGTGACGGGAAAAGAAGATTCCGTAAAATTTCACTGAACACTTTACAAGTGTCAAGTATCGTGATGTAAATAAGCATTGTCGATTGCTTTTGAAGAAAAATTCACTTTTCTCATAATCCGCATTACAAACAACGATAAATAAGTTGAAAAACTATTTTTTCTTTCTTCATTACGATTGCATTTTATATTTTATGTTTATCGTGGGTAAACGGCGACATTTCTTGACGGAGAATGTTAAAGAAGCTGAAAAAAGTTGAAGATGACGAAGATTGTAAGAAATAAATTTTTTCCAGTAATACTTAATGTTAGACTTATGATATAGTTTTGATATTTGACGACGAAATAAAGTTAACTGAATGACTTCTTTGTAGATATATTAAAAATGTAAAAGAAAAAGATACATTCAATGGAATTTCAGAGGCCTGGCGACGTTATGATCTAACAGCTTAAATTTCCCACGAAATCTTTATCAGCAAATATTAAAACTGTTATCAAAAAATGTTTATTTTTAAAACTAGACACATTACAGTTATGAGTAGCGCCAATTGCTTTTCTTCCTTCATTTGTCATTGATTACCAAACATAAGTAAAGTGATAACAAGATTTGAAAACGATTGAAATAATTTTTATTTTTCTATTTATGACTTAACGAATAAATTGTGATATAAAAAGTTGAAGTTTCGTTTACAATTAAAAAGCATATTAATGTAGGTGTTTCGACCAACTGTGCGCATAATTATTGTCGCTTTTAATTCGTTCAAAAAAGATGTAGCACGTCTGGCAGCAGCAAAAAAGAAAGAAATCGAAAGAGAAGGGAAAACAATTCTCATACACGCTGTCTCGAATATGATTTTCTTTTAAATAGCAAAATAATGAATTTCGTCTCATTTTCACCAACCCACAGACGAACGTCAAGATGTTCAACAGAAAACTTTTACAAAGTGGATCAATCATCATTTGAATAAAGCGGGTCATGAGCCGATTACAAATTTATTTGAAGATTTACGCGATGGCCACAAATTGTTGGCACTTCTGGAGACGCTCACGTATCAGAAACATGTGAGTTTGATTATCGATTAAAAAAATTGGAAACAGTTTGATTAAATTTGATTGTTTTTGTTTTTTTGTGATATATTTAGAAGCCAGAGCGTGGTCGAATGCGTGTTCATCACATCAGTAACATAAATAAAGCTTTGAGCGCACTTCAGGATTCTGGTATTCGAATGGTGAACATTTCAAGTGACGACATCAACAATGGAAATCCCAAACTAACTCTCGGTCTAATTTGGCTCATTGCTCTTAGTTTTGATGGTCAAAAATTAGTCTCATCACCGGCAATTAGTGGAATTGAAAGATCGTTAAAAGCGTGGGTGTGTCAATTCACTGAACGTCACGGACTCAAAGTCAATGACTTTACATCATCGTGGACCGATGGTCTTGCTTTTCTTTACATTCTTTATGAAACCATTCCTATTAAATTCGACTTGTCAGCAGCAATGAAGCTTCATCCAATAGCTAGACTTAAGATGGCTTTTGAAATTGCTTCTGAGCAGTTGGATGTTGAACCTTTACTTGATCCTGATGACGTTCATTGTACGAGACCTGGTAAGACTGTTTGTAATTAAAAAAGATTTTTTGTAATTTAGTTTTGTTTTTTATTTTCTAGATAAAAAGTCAATTCTCATGTACATCATGTTTCTATACAAAGAAATTCATCTTTCAAAGCATCTCGATAAAGAAAATCACTTAAATGATGACGAGATGGATGAGATTCAATTGTTAAGTGAAGTAAGAGCGACAGCAAGTGATAGCGATGGTGAAACGGAGAATAAGAAAGCGAAACTTCATAACAATTCTCATGACTCACTTGAAAAATCGATTGAAGATTTGGGTCGTCTTGTGAATGAACCAAGGAATAGTTTCATAAGTTCTGAAGCGAATATTGTGCAAGGACTTGAACATCATGCAGGATATCAACCAGCAAATGACGAGATGATGGATGTTCAAATTAAAAGTATTCAAAGACCTTTGTCAACAGCAACAAACTGTTCAGTTGAAATTGGAGATTATCAAACAGCAATTGAAGATGTTCTTGAAAAGTTGTTGAAAGCTGAAGACGCTATTGTGACCGTTTCACCAGATGCCGAAAATTTAACAGCGTCTCGAGCACAATTCCAGAATCATGAAGATTTTATGTTAAAATTAGCTGAGTATCAAGTTTCGGTTGGATCTGCGCTTGAAGAAGGCACGAAATTACTCACAGAATCTTCAGGCTTATCTACAGAAGAACAAAATGAAATTAAACATCAACTTTACTTGCTTAATGAACGTTGGGAGGCACTTCGAATCAAAGCACTTGATAAACAAACAAAAGTTCACAAGCAACTCGCAATAATGCAACTCGAGAAAGTTGATGAATTGAAAAATTTTCTCACGACAACTGAAGATCGATTATCACGAATGTCAGTTATTGGCCCGGGTCCTGATGAGCTTCGTACACAAATGGAAGATCATAAGAAACTTCAAAACGATTTAGAAGCTCAACAATCGCTTGTTGCTTCACTTAGCAATCTTGTAATCATTGAGGATTCAGAATATTTCCGTGATTTGGAAGACAAACTTGTGGCACTTGAAGAACGTTGGTCACATGTCGTCAAATGGTCAGCTAAACGATGGGAGAGTCTTCAAGATTTAAGTTTCAAATGGACAAAGCTAGCTGAACAACATCGCATCATAAATCAATGGCTGAATTCACGTGAAATGAAATTAAAGTCAATGGAAGCGAAAGAAGTTGTTGAAATTGGTGAAGCAATGGATCGAATAAAGTTATTGCAGTTTTGTAAAAATGATCTTAAGACACTCCAAACGAATGTTGAAGTCATGGAAACAAATGTTCAACAATTAAGTGATGAATCATTGTCAACACTTAATATTGCTGATAAAATTGAAGCAATAAATGATCGAATTGATGCTTTGACATTGATACTTGAAGTTCAAGAAAGTCGAATTGAAGCGATGGGATTCTCAGTTGAAAAACCAGAACCACGAAGAATTTCAACACCCGATGGATGGGATAATTTTGAGAAGAAAATCGCTGAAATTGAAGGCAGGAAAATGACTGAAAATGTCGTTGAAAATGTTACAACAATTGAAACGACAGAGAAGATCGTCGAAAGCGAGAAAGTTCAATTTCTGAATGAAAGTATTATGGACATGGTTTATTTTGTCGATGAAATGGAGACAACAATCAATGATTTACATCAATTAGATTTGAAGAACCAACTGATGGTACTTGAAAAGCTTCAAGATAAGTTAAAGACGCAAGTCAACGATTATGAGAAAGCGAAAGTTCTTCTTGATGATTGTAAAAAAGAAGTGAATGGATTGGGTGTTGAAGATCAACATATTCAAGAGTTGGGATCGAAGTATGACTCAATAGGTTTTAGAATCGAAGACATGATTGAAAGTGCAAAGATTGATTTCAAGAAGGAAAAGTTTCATAAAACATTAACAATTATAAAATTATCATTGGCGGATTCAAGAGATTGGTACAAGCAACATGCAAATAATGCTTCGAAAGATGAACTCGATAAACAATTAAAAGAAATGGAATCACTTGATGATGGAATCAAAGAAATTAAAGATGTTTGTGATGAAGAGAATGGAAGTGAGTGGGTGGAATGGAAACGTGACTTCCAGCAATTTAAAGAGAGTTGGAATGACTTGAAAAATGCAATTAAACGATTGATCGATGAGAAAAGTGAAGATGATGCTGAAAGTATTAAAGAGTTTGACATGCAAACTGAAGAGATTCTTGCCCGTGTCAATGAAATGGAAGAGTGGCTTGTTGATCTTGAGAAGAACACACCAACTACTACCAACGATAAATTAGAAAATCTTAACGATCTCTTCCAAGTCAAATCAAAGTTTCAAGTACTTAAAGAGTCATGCGAACAAATGACAGTAAAGTTCCGAGAAATTAATGAAACTGGAAGTGAAACTTTACTTCAAGGTGATGATTTGATTCATAACAAACGTGACAGCAACTTTAGTCAACTTGCGAAACAACTCACAAAGCTCATTTCACGATGGAATGATGTGACATCGAAAGTTTATGCGAGAACAGCAGAACTTGAACATTTATCAGCTCAATATGGAGAGTTAAAGACATTGCTTGTCTCTGAAGCTGGTTATCTTGACAAACTTGATAAATTGTTGAGAAAAAGTCCAGAAAATGCTGCCGATGCTGAAGAAATTTCTGAAGAACTTGATGTGAGTCATTTTATTGTGATAGATCCAACTATTTACGAAGAAATTTTCTCATGTTTCTACTTTTAGAAAAATTTGATTCGTTCATGATCATTTATTCTTAAGTAGAAATTTTTTTTATTAAACTTCGTTTCTCATTTCCTTAGGACATTGAAAACTATTTACGAAATAATTCATCAGATTCTCGCATCGATAAAATTCAGGAAGTTGGGAAAGATCTCGTCGACCTTGGATTCCTTAAAGATGAAATCTCCAATGAGATCGCATCTGTGCTTGACCGTCGCGATTATTTACATCATCAGGTAAGAGATTAACTAATGCTCTTGATTAACTTGCATCCTTGTGTTGCCTGCCAAATGGAATTTTTTTTTGGAAACTTTTCCCTCTTCTCTTAATTTTGCATGCGATGTGAAATTTTCATTTACGAGATATTTTTTCGCAAGGAAAACAAACGAGAAAAATATCAAAAATTCAATTCTTTTTAAGCGTTCGTTGATAAAAAAATATTTATTTTTAATCTCTAACATGGCACCGTAAAAACATACATCAAATTGTTAAAAAAATTTCAGGCTGAAACGCGAATTCAAATTCTTGAGAAAGCTGTTTCTGAAGCTCAATTAAGCGAGAGTCAGGTGTCGGATTTACAACAATGGATCTTTCGTGTCGATGATTTATTAAATGATTTTATCGAACATGACACTACTTTCGAATGTCTTCCTCATGACTTTCAGGTGATTTTACTTTGTTGTTGTTTTAAATGTTTTGAATGAAAATAAACACGAAATTAACAAATCAGCACCACAATAGCTTAAAGTATTGTGAAGTGATTTGAAGCGATGTGATTGCAGCTTCAAGTTGCTTTTAACTGTGTAAATAACTTTCAATTTTCTCATGTCTAACAAATATATTTCACTTTTACATGCATCCGAATAACCTGATGTGTGAATTCAGAGATAAAGTATGATTTATATCATCTCATGAATTCTTTCTTATTTCTATCGCAAGTTTAAAATCTTTCTTACTAAAATTTTCTGACAGCGTTTGACGGAAGAATTCGAGGAGAATGGAAGAGTAATGGAGGAGATGAAGCAACAAGTTGAAACTTATAAACTTCATGGAAAAATTGAAGCTGCAAATCGTTATCAGGATCAAATTAATTTACTTCAAGATCGCTTTGTTCATTGTCAAGAGAAGTTGGAAAAGTTTACTTCACCACAAGCAATTTTCGAGAATCGTTTGAGTCGCGCAATTGCTGATTTGAGAAATGTGGAAAGAAGTTGTTGCATTCTTGATGTTGCATCTGCTGGTTCACAGAATGTTCATGATCAATATCAACATTGCTTGAAGTTTTACCGAAAATTATCGGAGGTGAAGCCAGAAATCGAAAATATTATCAAATCTGGTCGACAATTATGTAACGAAACTTTTACGAAAGATTCGAAGAAACTTAATACACGAATTGATACTTTGAAGCATCTTTACAATGCTCTTGGCGACACTGTTACAACAGCCAAGAATGGACTTGAAAGAATCATTCGACTGCTGACGCAGTTTAATCAATCAATCGAAATCGTTGTAAAGTGGGTTGGAAAGCAGAAACACGATCGAATGGAAAACAATAACATTGAAATCAATCTGTCCGCGATAAATGAAGTTGAAGCGGAACTAAGAAAATGTCATCAAGTGTTTGATGAATATAAAGGAATTGTCGATAGTGGACATCTTGAAGATATTGGCGATCGACTAAACTTAGTTGATCGAGAATTCAACGAGTTTTTAAATCTTGGAGATGATAAGAAAATTTTGAATGAAATGCTTGAAACACTTCAAAACATTGATCAAGTTCCAATAGAAAAATTAAGGTAGGATTTGTTGTTGTTACCTCAAATTCATTTCTCAATAATATATTTCAATAGATCAATCGAGGAAAATCTTGGAAAAATTAAACCAAAATCCGAAGAAATTGAAAAGCTTCACTCTCAAGTGCAGAAAATTGTTATCGTGAGTTTTTCGCTTTTATCATTTTCATTATTTTTACTTTGGAAACTTAAATTGTGATTGTATTTGTCGATGTTAAAATATATAAAATAGTTTTGAAAATCATAAACATAAAACATACACAAAGAAAAGCTCTTCGCTTAACACTGTTGTTAATGAACGACATTATAATGGATGAAACGGAATTAACATAAAAAAATGGAGAAATAAAAAAATATATTTTAAATTGCTTTCTGTAATTTTATGTTTTTCATCTGAGCAGCTTCAAGTTCGTGAAATTTTCTATTCTTTCTTTTTACTTTTTTCACAAAAACTTTTCTTTTGAACAACTTTTCTTTCCTCTTCTATTTGTTTGGATGGTTGTTTGGTTCTTTCTCGATCATTTTCGGTGGTAAATTTGGCTCACATACAAAACATTTGATTCACAACAAAAACGTTCACAAGAACATCACTAATTTCCTTTCACCATCATGACAAATTGACCAATTTGGGATTCATTCACATATTATGTTACTTTTCTCCTAAAGAGACATTTTAGTATTATTCCCTTATCTAATAATTCTTAGTTGTTACACTTGATCATTATTAATTCTCGCTCATTGTTAATCAAACTTACGTGACATAATTTGTTGACATCCCAACTTTGTCGACACTAAACTACTTTCTTTGTACATTAAAATTCCTTCAGAATCATGAAGTGGAGGAAAATACTTCCGTCGGAATTAATATTTCCAGACAAATCCACTTTACACCCCACACCAATGTTTCTTGTAATTTCTTAACATTAATTTACATAATAAATACTTATGTATGTTGTTGGTGGCATAAATAGAAGACTTGATTTTCTGATGATGCTCAATCAACATTTTCTTCTTCCTTTGAAACGACGAATCTTCTTGTTTAGGATGCAATCGAATTCCATACTAAAATGGAACTGAAGGTCGATGATGACATGGAAATTGTCATTTTAAGTGACACTGTACGTCAAAGACGATCGCGAACGCCAATATCGGCGATATCAAACGACAGTAATCGTGAATCAATTGCAGTTGTGATACCAAATTTATCATCGAAAAAGTTTCAATCTTCTGAAATATTTCCGAATATTTCCGGTTTCTCTGATGATGAAATTCCATATCGAGAAGCGAGTACGCGCGATGAAGTTCCGTCAATGGTTGAGATAAGGGAAAGCAATGTATCTATGAAGATGACAACTGAAAGCATAGACTTGGATGGTGCAAAGGTTGATACAATTAATATTTACGAGAGCTGTGGTCCATTGGAGCTTGAACAGGCTGAAACTGTACTGATTATTGATGCTTCGTCTGACACAGACACCGCAACGTCAACACCACTTTTGAGAAGAAAATCTCTAAAATCTCTTAATTCAGCGACTGGTGGATCAATGGATGAACTCAAAACAGAACTTAAATATGAGTTGGATGTCGTTGCAAACTTCGATTCACTATCTGAGACTTTAAGTGTGAAAAATCAAAGAATTTCATATGAAGAACATAATCCGATAAGTTCCACTAAAGATCGCGACATTCTTCTTGACTCAGAAATATCCGAAGAGAAAGCATTGAAAATGTTGAAGCTACGTCCAACATTAAAAGAACTTTTGACAGAAGAAAGAAACAGTTTTGCTGATCAGGATGATGAATATGACGAGCCATTAGAATTCTCTGATGATGAAGAAATTCCAAGATACTCAGTTGAAATGGATTCCGATAGTGATTTGGTAGATTAGATTATTCTAATAACTTTCTTAATAATTTTTTTCTTGAATATTTCTTTTTACTTTCTTCAAGATTTGAAGCTTTTGTTATTCATAAATTTTCTCTTTTTCCTTATCTCTCATTCTCAATAGTCACGCATTGAAACGCCCAACAATCATAAACTTGAGTTTAAAGATAAAGAAGCTTCATTCTCGGCCGACGATTCATTTTCATCGCCTTTGTTGACATCATCACCGTTTACTTATAAATCAGTGACACCTTTAGATCAACGAGTTGAACAATTTGAGAAAACTTCTAAATACATGATAAAGAAACTCGACCAAACATTGCAACAGATTAAATCATGTGAAGGTGGTGCGAGTAGTGTTGAACATATGAAGTTGTCGATTGCACCTGATGCTGCACTTATTTTATCGCAGGGTGACACTTTAATCCTAGAAACTCATGGAAAAGATTTAAATTTAACACAACGCCTTTTGAATGTTCAAAAAGAACTACGAGACAAGTACAAAGATGTACAAAATTCAAACACCACAAACAACATCAATTTATTAGAGAAAAATCACAATGTTGACCCTGAAAATCAATATTCACCGAAAGAAAAAGTATTTGCGGATAAGAAATTTCCACTCGACCTGCTTCGATCATCATCAGCATCTCCGATAAAGCTTGATGATCTCGTGACGAAAGTTCTCAAGAGAGTCAAAGATTTGATCTCCAAACCCGCTGATCTCTCGTCGGAAGATGATTTGACGAAGAGAATCTTGGATATTGGAGTGAGTATGAAAAAGTTCTTTTAAACATGAAATCTCTTTCAAGATGAAACAATTTTCTTCATTCGCATGTTTAGTCGTTTTACAACCACTATCGTGATCGTGCATAAGAAACAAATAGAGCAAGGAAAAATATATTTTTCATTTCTATTTTCAAGTTAATTAAAAGTTGTCGTAAAACAATCGTCACGACGTTGATTTTCATATAACAAAATTCACTACAATTATTCTGATGGACGTTAAATATTGACTTGCTAACAAGACTTCATTCTTTCTTTAAGGAAATCGTGTAAACATTGGAGGTAGTTTAAACTCATGTCAGGGAAATCCGAATTTCACGATTGTGTAAATCCCCAAATTACAAAGAAAATTTCGTTTTTTTTTATTTTCTTATAAAAATAAATATGATTTTAGCCGTAATGTTCTATTAATATCAAGCACGCCTTAAAATAAAAAAGAAAAGAAAAATCGGAGAAGAGGAAAAGAAAACAATGAAATAGAGAAAAGAAAAATTAAAGTATTTGATGCAATTCTCACATGTGGATGAATTTTTCGCGTCGGTTTTTCGAGTGTTGTAAAGAATTTATTAATAAACATAAACAACAAAAAATACTCGTCTAAAACATTGGAACGAGAGTGATGTGAAGTTGGAAATCTGATCTTTTTTTCCAGTTGTATAACTAAAGTATTAGTTTATTGCTTGTTTACTTAGATATTCAGAAGTTGTCTTGTTATAAACATTGGTATTTGTCTGGCAGGTAGCGTGACAGAATTTATTGTGAATGAAAAGATAAAAATAGAAATAAGCATTATTCGAGCATAACTTCTCAAATTATTAATATTTATAAATCACAACAAAATCCTTGAAGTTAGTTTCTCATACACAGTTCATGATTTAAAAAAAAGTAATTTAAACGAGAAATGTTTACGCAATAACCTAAACAATTGAGATAAATTTCTGTTTCGATTTTTATATTTTTCTTCTTTTTTTTGACATTTTTCCTTTAGGAAAAACAAGAGGATTTAAAATTCGCCATTGAATTTGCATCACAATCGCCTGTCGATCAGACAACGCCAGAGACGATGGAGTTTTTGGAAAAGGTAAACAAAATGTCAAAAAATAAGAATAATTTCTTATTTACATATATCTCGTGATCTTATTAATTGATAGGCCAAAAAAGATCTCTCATCGCATTGCGATCAAATTGTGATGTCTTTGGCAACACTTAACAAGCAACGTACATTGGAACGCCAACAATCACAGTCAATCAAAACAACTGTCACAATTTCAAAAGTGTCAAAAACACCCATAGGCAACACCACACCAATTTTAAGTCAATTGAAGAAAGTTCCATCAGACACTGGTTCAGATAACAGTGCTCCATCAATGACGTCAAGTGAATCACCAAAAACAGTTCGTGAAGTATCGAAATCTTCTGACGAAATTCCATTTGCCGATGACAACATCGCTAAAAAGAAAGAAAAAATGAAGGAACGATTTATGACTGAAGGAGCTGAAGCAGAACGTCGTGGTGAGTTCGATAATTATACGTTTGATAGCTTTTCCATTTGCTTGTCATCGTCGTTTCATTTCTACGGAAAAATAAAAACATGGGAAATCATAAAAATACAAAATATTCAATTCGCATGCTGTTGGCATCGTTTCAAGTACCAAAACAGCTTCGCATCAAGTGCTACAGCATGTCATGCGATAATGTTTTCATGATGACGTCACAATAATTTCACTTTTTGAGAAAGATTTTTTATGATTTGACCTCTTGGCTTACACCCACATCCATTAATTCAATTGATCATAACCATAATGAGTAATATAAAGATTGCGTCATCATTTAATAAATAATCCCCTCGACTATCAGCCCTTCCTTGCTCAAAATTTGCAGGAAAAAAAAACAAAATGACATGTAAAATGTCAGCTATTTGAAAAGTTAAGGATTTTAGGCAGGTTGACAAAGAATGCCTTTCATTTAGATCAGAGTTAGGAAGTAAAATCAATCTTGAATCTAAAGAAAAGCTTTAAATTTCTAAGCTCCATTTCGATTATAAATCATTGAAATTGAAAATTTCCTAACATTTCCAAATTCCAATTCTTATTTTTGATTCGTATTGATTAAGCTGAAATCATATAAATGAATGAATAGAAGAAGAAAAAAGAATGTTGAACAACGAAAGTTACTTTGAATGTGAATTCATACTCGAGTTTTACAGTCGGCAATTGTGAATGGCAAAAAAATTATTAAAAAAAATGCTTCAAAGAGAGAATAATTGCAGCTAGAGAGCCACTGCATTTTTTTGTAACAAAACTATGAGGAAGAAGCTAAAAGAGACGAATAATAACACTTCCTGCCTATTTTCCCACCTCATTCTACCTTAAAACGATTATTGTACCGAGAAAATGCCAAAAGCTTCTTAATTTTGCAATAAGTGTTGTTAGTGGGTGTGTGAGGTGAATTTCAAACAGACAAAACAAAAATGCTTCTCGTTAGCATTGTGGCATGTGCTTTTCTGTCTTCTCTCCAGTAATTCAGTCGATCGTTGACTTGAGTCGGATACGGAACAAGACTATGTTTTCTTCGAATGTTCACAGTGCCGTAAAAGAGTGATTTACTTTACTTTTCGTCATGAAGTTTTTTTTGATATGTAAGTGTTGATTAAAATTTATTACTGCACCAAAATTACGGAATAGAATATTGTTCACTACTCTCATAAATAAATAAGACGAAAAAAAGGTTTCCATCTCGTGCATGTTTGAGAAGAGTCAAGATAAAAAGTTATTGCTTAGATGATAAGAACTTAATTAACTTCGTCGTTGCTTTCACACACGAACGCTAAGTTGACATTTTATCAAGTCGTTTGAATTTTCCGATTTTTTTCGTTTTTCAAGTCTCTCATTATGAAATTTGAGTTCTAGTTTAGTGACTGGTGTTAGTTGTACTATAAAATATAAAGAAAAAAAGGAAACTAGTTGAATGAAAACAAGAAGCTTTTCATCGTCAAACTCAGGAAATTAAAAACAGCTTTTGTTGATACAGAATTCAAGAGTGTATGTAGATAATTTTTTTTTATTTTATTATTCGTAATAAGTTATAACAAGATACAACAGCACTTTGAATTCCTACAATATTCGCTTGAATAACCTGCGTTCTACAGTAATTTGTTATTTGCTTGCACAACGAATTTGCTGGAAACCCGAAAACATTAGAATGAAACGAAAATTGAGTAACATTATCGTTTTATAAATAACAATGGAACAAAATTTCACTGCTGATATATCAGACGATAACATGAATTAATGATGATGTGAACTTTTCCAATAAAGGAAGAGAAGAAAAAAAAGTTGTTAATAACATTTTGAATACGTTTTACTTCTAACATAAATTAATGAAGTCTCAGAAAATAATTATTCGAAGCAGTGAAAGTTTTTTTTCTGTTTGTAGTTAATTTAAAGGTTTTTCATTCGGTTTTCATTCCAAATCGTAAACTTGAATTTTCTTTTTTCATTTTCATCAAAATTGTAACATGTGAGGCACGCATGCACTCACACTTCATGGGATATTTTAGAAACATATGCATTGCGATTTCTTTTCATGTCCTGTTTACTATTGCAGAAAATTGAATTTCCTTCCGAGCCTTTTTCTCCAAATGACATTTTAATCTTTATATGAATGAATTCCCATTTGAATAAAAGTCATGATTTTGAATTTCTTCAGAGCTTACATCGAATTACGTGCCAGGTTCATTCACGGCGAAACAAAAAAGTCAACCGAGTGTCATTCAGGCAAGAGACGCTGCCAGTTTTGAAAACTCGATTGTGCAGGTAAATAAAAAAGGTTATTGAATTGATAAAAAAAAAAAATCTTATTTTGTTTCTTTTCCTCCAAGATTTCAGACTGGTTAAACCTCGAAATGCGGAAACAGATCCTTACAGTAGGCGATACTAATGCGATTGTAATTGCCATCGATAAGCAAAAGGTAAGAAATTTCACGATTTTTGTTTGATTGTAAAAAATTTTCCTCATTTTCCGAGATGCAAACCAATATTATTTTTGATTTTACGTGAAATGAAAAGAAAATTTATTTATCGAGGCAGTCTTGATTTCAATGTCTTGATTTCAATACCACGGGAGAGATAGATCAAAAGTTAATTGGTTTTACGCAATTCGAAAGCTATGCTACTTGAAGTCACTTAGAACACAGAGAAAAAATACTTGAAAATGAACAATAAACTCTTTTCACTGGAGGGTTTATTGAATAGGAGTAAGACATCAGCCATTGATATGTCATAATCCTTGTTTCTGTTGTCAGTAGACAATGGCTTAGTAGGGAAAGGGCAAAAACGTCAATTTTACTTACAATGATTCCATTTTTATACTTACAGACGGTATTACGTGAGCTGGAATTTAAGAAGCCGCAACTTGATAAACTGGTAAAGAGTGCAGAGAGTTTAAAAACGGACGCTACAAAGAACCAACTGGATAGTAAAGGTGAGGTTCATTTTTCAATTGATTTACTTGAATGGATAAATCTTGGGGCTTAGGATCGGCATTAATTTCCAAATTTAAGAATTTAATTCCATGCCTTGGATACCTCGTTTTGTTGATTTGCCTGCTGAGATGAAAGCATTTTCTTTTGTTCATCTAATGTTTCATTTTTCATTTAGATACGTCGATTTGAATCGTTTTCTTCTATAAATGTGAAAACGATTCAACATGAACTTTAATCTTCATCCACAAACTTTTCGGATTTCTTTGTCGTTGACATTTATCGTAAAATGAAATTTGTTTCTGTTTGTGTTTTTTTCTTCTGTTTGATGTGAGTTTGTTGAATGAAGATGGTTTTGGTATAATGAAATATGATTTTGAAGTTTACAAAAAAAAATCTATTTCAACTCGTTTTCTACCTTTAACTTTGACGTTCTATTATAAAAATCTTTCTCGTTAATCTAGTAAAATTTTGAACATTTTGCTTCCTTAAACTTCATTTCTTGTTGTTTGAAATATAAATCTCGAAAGGATTCATGTTCTTGCATGATTCTATTCACTTACATTGAATGTTTTATTTCACTTTCTATACAGAATTTATCTCCCTGTCATCTTCAAATATGCTTGAATTTTGAGCGATGTTTTATGACTGTTGACATTGAACAGAAATTGCCTGTTTTTTGGCTTTCTTTGGTCTTTTTCTGTTTGCTTACATTCGGTTAAGTGGCATGTAAAGTCGCTTTCATATGATGTTGATGGTGAAATTTGGGAAAAAAATGTGAAACAAAAGTTCAGATTTGGAATGTTTCATGTTCCACCCAAACGAATCACAATTTAAAACGGTTGACATTAAAACACGCAAAGCTCGGATTTTTTCTCATCGAAGTTAAGTTAGTCTCCATCGATTTAGCGTCAATGTTATATTTTACAACCAGAGAAAAAAAACGATATTATTCGTTTTTTGACGTCCATTTTCAACCATTTCCGATGAAAAATCGCCTGTAATTTATTAAGCTCAGTTTTTTACTCTTAACCTTAACCGTCTTACCGGCTTTGCTGTAGAAATAAAAATCAAAATCACAGCGAAAGTAGATTCAAAACAAAAGCGATAGTTTTACATCAAACTACGACTCACTTACAGGGAGCTGAACAGTGTACATGCGCAATAAGAACCTCAAATCTCGCTTCTTGCATTATTGACATGAAGGCAACCAACAATTTGGACTTTTCTACGGTAACGTTTGTTGTCATCATCGTCTCGTTCATTGGAAATGAGATCATTTTCGATGAAATTTACATGCTGTTTCATCTTCTCTCCGAAGCGATTCTTGTCTTACACATAATTTACTCAAAACGTTCCTCAAATTACTATGACACCATCCCAACATATCCTATCAACATGTTTATGCAGATATTATTCATTATCGTTCATTTAGTGATCTGTTTTATACAAATCCGGAAAAAATCACTATTTAAATGGTTGATGATGCAATTAGTAAATTGGGTACAACGTTTTAAAATTTATTGACAGATCAATTTATTTTATTTTCATTTTCGCCTACCACCCACTACTCCATTGTTGTTTGTAACTTTGGAAAAATTCATTTGCATAAGATGATAACGGAGAAGGAATGAAGCACGTTTCGGTTCAATATTTCCAACTTTGTCCAACAAGAGAAAAAGAAATATTAGAAAATCAAATAAATTAATTAACCAGCTTTTCTTTTGAGCGCGTTAAATGAAGTGAAGTGGAAGAAGACGGGTAGAAGATTTTTTGTTGGAGATTTTCACTCTTCCCTTTACTCGTATCAATAGCGAATGTTTTTGTACTCTATTAACAAGAAAATTGCCCACGGCAACTAAGCAAAAAGGAATAAAATTTCGTTAGGTACTTATCTCAAATATTATTATTTTGCGTGAAGTTTCATGATGTTCTTTTAGGGGAGAAAAAATAAAAACAAACAAAATCATTTTCGGTATTTAACTTTAAATTAAAACCGAAATATTCTAGAGAGATGAAAAGAATTTGCTGCTTGGTTTCTGAACGTTGCTGAATAAAAACCAATTTGTGAAAAATTCGAATTGAAAATGAATGTCGTTTAAAATTCCCGCGAGTTCTTTGAACATGAATTGAAGGGATGAGTAGGATCAGGTGCATAAATATCTCATCTTTTCATGAGCAAGCTGGTTGTTATTCCACCTTAAAGAATAACAAAGCAAAGGGAGACAGATCTTTTTCGTGCCTTCGAGGCATATAAAAAGAATGTTGTCTTTAATGTTAAAGACGATGGCAAAAAATTCCCATAGTCAACCCTCAACCTCTTTCTTTTCCAAGTAACATTTTCCACGCGACCCCACACGCTTTCTACGAACTTTGTGATTTGAAAAAAAAGAAGAAATCCTCGTAGTTGTCGTCTCATCTTTTGGGTGCTTCCGAGCGCTCTTTTGCTATTTTTCTAAATCATAAATCGCTTTCTTGCTCATTCTCTTCTATTTGCTCTTCATTGGTAACAGAATTTTTTTTCTTCACAGATGTAGAAGGAAAAAAAAGGAAAATTCATGTTGCTTTCATTCATGGCAAAGAACAAGAAATAAAAGTTCTTCCTTATTTTCTTATGTTATTAGGAAAGAGGAAAAAAAGGCGGACAAGTTTTCCTCGAAAGAAATTTGTATTCAGAAATTGTTTTTATGTGCGTCTATAATCATATCGAATGGGTATGCTTGTATACCTTATGCACCAGGTCGGAAAGAGAGTTTCCATCCTCTTCGATTTTCTAGCTTCTTTTTTTACAAATGAATGAATTGAATAAAGAAAAAGTTGGTTTTATAGAGTTTTATCAGATGATAAATTACGCACTTTTCCACACTCTTCATAATTTCATTCGAACACCACCAACAGCAATTTTTTTACATATTTGCTGATGATGATGGAAAACAGATAAAAAAGAAAGTCAAAAATCGAAGTGAAAATTATGAAACTTCTTCTTCCGCTTTCATCCATGATAATTTGTACCTTTTCATTACCATATGTATACTTTGCAAAGATAGCTACAAACACTGTATGATATCAAGATTGTCTTTCGATGTATGTAAATGATGGGAGAATAAACGAAATAACGTCAAAACGTTTTCTTAGGTGATATTGAACGGATTGGAAATATTTTACTTCATTTTATTATACAGAAAGTTTAAAAGAAGTCTCATGCATTGAAAAAGAAATCTCTGTTACATCCCCATACAACTTTTTGAACATCGACTAGTGTTACACAATAAATCCTCAAATCTTCTTTTCATATAAATAACTTCTAAACTAAGAAAAAGAAAAGAAAATTTCTTCGGCGTTCCGGAAAAGCACTCAATATAGATTTCGATGAGCGGCAATTGATTTGAAACGTTGTTGATAAGTCTTGTTGAAGGATTACATGGCAAAATCTGTCGTCGTCATCAAATCAAAAAGAAGAGCTTCTTCCTTTTCTTTCTATTTACTTTATGGATTCACAGTAAAAAAAACTTTTCCACTTCTCTTCTCATGCTACTTTCTGTGAAGAATGCAGTTATAGAGGAAGCAAAGTTATCTTTTGTTTGCCGCCAGTGAGTGAGGAAAATCTGAAAAATTGTAAAAGGAAAGATTTCTTTATAATGAGAGATTGTTTTGAAAGTGTAGGTGTGGAAAATTCTCTCACTAACATCATCAAACAAAGCTATCTGTAAAGGAAATCAACCCTTTTAGTAGGCGATTGTTATGTTGTCCTTGTTTCTCTTGTAACAAACATTGTGAAATTTGTTTATGTGTGGTTGTAAGTTTGGGAGCGTGCAAAGCAGGGTGTTGAGTGTAGGATTTTTTAATAATTGGGAAAACTCTCAATCCATGTGTAGGAATACAATTCAGTCGGCTATGAGAGTTTGGACAAGACAGATCGGCGTCGTTCATTTTTCTGTCCATATTTTAAGCCGTGAAGGAATTTCTTTTTTGTACAATTGAAGTGACAAAAAGTTTTTCAGTTTTTGTGATCATTTTTCACTTTAACACGGAAAGCATTCGAAAAGGAAAATAACAAAAATATTGTGGTGAAGCTAATTGAAATAAAATATTTTGTGTTGTGAGAAAAAGCAGGAAGGAAAAACCAGGATTTTTCTTTCTCTCGATTTTCGGCTTTCGTTGTAAAGAAGAAAAAAAAGTTGGAAAATTTATTTTTCCTTCTTTCTCGCAGTATTATTCAATACAATTCACGCATACAAGCAACGTTTGAGACTCATAAAGAGGGGGAAGCAAGGAAAAGAAAAAAATTGTGTACGAATAAAGCAAACAACAATGACACAAGGACATGTTTGAGTTCTCGATGTGTAATAATCATAATTCAACGGCAGCAAGTGTATTTAGATGTAAAAAGAAATTGCCACTTCTTCTTTTACTATCAATGAGACATTGTAACGACGCTGTGTATATTGTGAAATGTTCATAATTCCGTTTATGAGAATAAACGTTAAGCAATTTAAATAAATGTATGAATACACGGTCAAAAACACTGAATGATTAATAGAGTAAAAGTATTTAGGAAATTACATTGTGCAATTATAGCGAAACTGACAGCTTTTGTTTTGACAACGCAACGCTAGCGCACTGATAATTACAAATTTTCTCTCATATAGTTGTAAAACATTTAACTGTCTAGTGAAAAATATAGAAACAGAAAAAAACGTATAAAAGTTAATTCGCTTACATTTGTGGCGCTGCTTTTTGCTGCCTTAGAACAGTTTTCTAGTCACTTTTTACAACCAACCGTAATATCCTCGAAGATAAACCTATTATTGTCGATAGAATCCAAAGTCATATCAGAAAAACGACTTAATTCATATCAACAGCATCAAACAATAGCTTTGATGTTAGAAAAATAATTCAAGGATACGTGAAACAAACAAAAATCAAAAAATTTATGCAATATCAAAAAGATTTTCATGCTTATTTAACTACCGCAAGACATTATCATAGAGTATTTTGGATTCCTCTTTCCATTACATTTGCCAAGTGAAAATTACTCTCTCCACATACATATTCTCTCACAATACTACTTGATTTCCATGAATGAAAAACGAGAGAAAGAGAGTTAAATGAAAATTGCTGAATAAATATTCAAATGTGTTAGTGAAAAATCGTGTGGTTGAGGGAAAAATTACGTTGAAATATTTGAGACAATTCCAAAAGCAGCAAAGACGGTGAAAAGAAAAATCTTGCAATTTCCGATAAAATATAAAGACTGCACATTACAACGATGTCGGAAATAAATAAAATATAAAGGATTCTTTCTCATATGCATCGTTCTGCTTTTGTTATCTCATCATCGCAATAAATTATCGCTTCTTTTCTTTTTGTGAACGTGTTGATAAAATAGTTTCTTCAATTCGATGGTGAAACGATAAACTCTGAAGCAACCCTTTATTGATAGTTTTTTGCCAAAGAAATAATTAACTTTCTTGATAGCTAAAAGCCAACGAATTTATCGTCATCATTTTAATGATGGCGCAAGCGGAAGGTCAAGGCAATGAATTATCATTTGAAATGTTGAAAAACACCCAACATATTGCTGAACAAGCAGCCTTGAAAGCTAAAGAGATTGCGATGCGATCTAAAGTTCCTGACATTCCTGTACGTGGATCAGGTGAGAATCAAAAAGCACCTGAAATTCCACCGAAGCGATTAAATCTTAAGAAAGTTGATGATAAAACAATAAATGGAGACGATGGAAAACCAATTCCAGTTCCACAAAGAAATCAAGCACAGAAGGTTCCACCACCAATACCTCAAAAGCCTTCAAGTGCTCAGAACTCTCCCAGGCTTAAAGATAAAACTTCACATCAAACACAGCAAATGCAACAACACCAACAACTTCATCAACCGCAAAACATGTTTCATGAACGTGTTTCACAATCTCCCCAACTATCCGCAAAGAATCAAAATATTGTGAACATTCTTAACTCACCGTTGTTTCAACAACGTGCAAATCAATATAAAATGCAACAACATCAAGTTGAACAACAAAATCATACTCATATGATACGTCAACAACAGATGAAGCCTGATGAAGATTTTGGCTCTGAAGATGCTCTGCGGGGTATCGAACGGGGACTTAAAAACATGGAACGAGCAATGAAAGAGCAAATGACGATGAGAAACATGGATTTTATGGATGGAAAAGGAGGGGAAATGCAATTTAATCCCATGGAGTTCAAAAGGTCTTTAGGAGGATCGATAAACTCGCTTGATGGTAGCAACAACCAGAATATGAGAATGATGAACAACATGAGGCTGAACTTCGATGGACAAATGTGGAATCAACGAGGCATTGAAAGAAACTTTAGTATGGATCAGATGCGACTTGAAGCACTCCAAGGTACTGGGCCGATGAAAGGAATTCCAATGGACTTTCAACAACCAAAAATCCAACACAATATTTACCGTTCCCTTGATCGTACACTTCCACTTGAATTGCAATTCAGTAGACATCGTCAGCAACAAGAGTTTGAATTTATGCGACAAAACAATCAAAATATCATTCAACAACGTCAGCAAGGATTGTCACGTGAAGATGTGAATTTACGTCGTCGATCTTCTCACGATGAAACTCAATATATCATGCAACAACAGCAGCAGAAGCAATCGTCTGGGAATACGACAAATATTGACAATACCGGGGGTATGCATAGCAATAAAATTCTTTTCTTTATATAGTGGGATTGAGAGTGGAAGTGAAATGGCGTGTGATTACATAAAATACTCTTTTTTTTCACTTCACAGTTCATTCAGCTCCAAAAATATATTTTCATCGTTTATTCTACGCTGTGCATTTTTAATTAAATTTCCTCTCTATTCTCATCCATTGAATAATAATTTCTGTTTATAAATTAGGTTTGAGTTTAAGTTGAGTGTGTGTAAGTGTATGTCGTTGGCTCAACATTTTACAGTCGAACAAACGGTCGTGTAGTGTCAGCATTTACATGCATCATTTTGATGCGAATCCTCAAATTTTATGTGTTCTCGGAATGTCTGGTTTGTGCTTTTGCGTTCAAGTTATGCATGAGAAACTTCCATGTGATAAAACACAATATGTAATGAAAAAAAGGAAGAAAAAAGGAAGAGGCTTCTGTTTAAGTGTGGATAAATCCAAGCTTGAATATTCTTTATACGGTTGAATGAAGCGACGAAGTAGATTTAATGTAAAAACAAAAACGATTAATGGACATGAATCTTCTATCCCTAATGATGATTCGATTGAAAGACGTTTTCCAATATGTTCACTGCTACCTACGAAACTTATTTAAAGACTTTCACATTGTTTTTCTTTCCCTCTTTTAAATATGAAAATACGAAATGAAAATAAAAGCTGGGGCATTTCCTGTTCCGAAATGTGAATCTGATTTGGACATGTTAGGAATGTGTCTCAAAGGTAAATAATTCAGAAAAATTACAACCAGAGAACTTGTCTCTCTGTCGCTTTTAAAACAGTTGTTGAGCATCATGCTTTTGCTGTATACTTCTGCGAATGAACTTTTATGGTGTGAGATTTTTGATAACCAAAAAGATTTTCTTTTTTGTGTGTGTGGGTGGGGTGGTTATTTAAAATTTTATTATTTTTTTCTTCCCCTAATCATCCTGCTAACTTAACTTTCCCAGTTTTACTAAAAAGCTGAGAAAAGAATTTTCTAATAATAAATTTCTGTAGATGGAAAGTGTGAATGTGTCTGAACGGCTTTACTTGTTCATGTTCTTCCTTCTCTCTACTGCTCTACATACTCTATTTGTTTGCCAAAAAATGTTTGTCTGGAGTTTCTAGGCAGAGTGAAAAGGAGGGACAATTTTAATATGCCAGAAGTGTCTTAAACTCTCTTAATACCACTAATCAATAAAGTTATTGCGCTCGAATGATAGTCGTTGTGGTTGTTAGTCCTAGAATTGAAACATAATCTTCACTTCTTGACACTCTTGAAAGAAGGAGCATTAATGGCTCGTGAAGCTTATGTTGATGCAAAAAAAGATATTTTAATGCTATTACTGTTGTCGAATGATGGGAACAGAATTGAAAAGCAGACAGCCTTAGCCTTAGGCCTTTTAATGAAAAACGATTCAATACTAATTTGGCCCTCACTGTCATGAATCGCTCAATCATGGTGATGAATTTTTCAGTGTCACTTGCTTTCTGAAAACTTAATTATCTTCGCTTAATTATCACGATCAAAGGTTGATTGTTGTTTATTATTTTTAATAGATGAGTTTTATGTTTGCGACAATTAACATACGATTTTCCGTTTAATAAGTTTTTAAACCTTATTTATCTAATTATTGATTTTGTATTTTAAAATATAATTAATTCATCCGAAAACTTAAATGAAGAGTTGTGAGTGTGAAGATTGTCAAGTTGATATGTCAAGTTGTTGATAGTCGTTGAATATGACAGAAAATCGATGATTAGTCTCGGTTTCAATATCTGAGATGTCAATGGCTTGTTGATTAATAAGTTTTGAGATTATCGATAACAATTTTTTTCTTTTTATGTTGTCGTTTTTGATATTAACCTTATTTATGTTGCTGAAGCTCATTCGCTTCGTTTATTTAAAATTGCATAAAAAATAACAAAAAACTGACTGACTTTTATATGTTTTTTTCGCCAACAGTTACTCGTTTACGTGAAAAATGGGACGAAACGTCGAATTCTGTAATGAAACGGAAATCCGAGCTTGTTAACATGCTAGGCGATTCACAAAGGTTATTATCCATTTTTTGGATCAAAGTAGCGATGATTTTAAGATTAAAAACATCAAAAATCGATTACTCTATTAATTTTTCATAAACTTTGTTTTATGTTTTCCCCTTCCATTCAATGTGGCTTTTCTTTTCGTATTGCTGTTGTTGTTGGACTCATACATGATTTTTGAATATTCAGATACGACGCAAAACGGCAGGAAATTGAAGTATGGCTCACGAGAATGGAGAGTCGCTCAGAGAGAATGGGAAGTACGGCAGCACAAGCTGATGTTCCCGATTTTGTTGTTGTTGATGCTCAACAAAAAGAACAGAAGGTAAATAAATATATGCATATCAGTCTAAGTGAAGAATATAAAGTTACATATTTTCAATATAATTCACCAGAATATTTTCTTTTCTTTATCTTATTTCATTTTGAAGATTATCGATTCGAGATGAATTTATGTTTATCTGATGTGTCCTTTGCTTCTCATGAAATATGAATGACTTTTGATGTTTTATTTATCATTCATTTTCTTTTCTTTTAACAGAATTTCCACGCTGAATTACACACTTACAAGCATCACATCGAACTTTTCAATCAATTAACCCAGAAGCTTATTGCCGTCTATCCGGATGATGACACATCACGAATAAAACGCATGACGGAGAGTGTTAATCTCAGGTAAGTTTACTTCCCTACCTTCACCACGTCTCAGCGTCCCAGAATTTATTTTTTTCTATTGTATGGGATTCTCCTTTCAATCTTTTGTTTGGCTACTCATAGCGAAAATAAAAGGAAAATCAAGTGGAATACAGTGAAGGATGAGAGAATGAAATGACGATCATTTATTTTCGTTATTCCTTCAAGTTATTCAACTATAATAAATTTTGTTTTCTTTCACTTAGCTTTACGGTACAATGTTTATTTTATTTATTTTAATGAATACTGTAGCCATTTTCATGCTGCTGTTTCCTTCATCATTTCAGTTTCTTAACTGTACAATAAAGAAATTCTCATTTCACTTCATCATTGTTACACCGACAATCTGAATGTAGATGTGAGATTTTGTACCTTATTGTTTTTCTCTTTTATTTTGCAACAGATATAAGAATTTGAACAACACTGTAGCGACGCGTGCCAAAAGCATACACACTACTGTTAACTCGGTGCAATCGTTCGACAAATCATTGGAACAAGTACGTTGATGAAGAAAAGATGAGGAAATAATATTCCGAAAATTCCAAAACGCGAAGTCTTTTTTTATTACTTTCCTTTCATGTTTTAATCTTATGAATCCTTAATTAAACCTCTTTTTTTCTTTTCCTCAAGTTTCTTGCATGGTTGAGTGAAGCAGAATCATTGTGCGAAACGGCCGAAGCATTGGTAAGGGATGAGATTCCAAAAATTTTCGTAAAATCAAAACGAACACGACAAATTTTTATTTTACGATGGGGAAAATTTCATTAATGAGTTTTTCTTCCTTGTTTGTTTCTTTTCCTTTTCGTAGATATCCGAGGGCGGCGAGATTGAATCGAAAGCTTTAGTGAATTTAAAGGTGAGTGGAGTTTCTATTCAAACTATATATTCATGTTGAAAAGCTTTTCGAAAGCTTTGCAAGTTGGTCTTTTGAATGATAGATGGCGCCACTACTTTATTTGTGTTTCGATAAACATGAAAAGTAAACATTTTCCCTTCATATCTGTTGAAACTTTCATATGCAGTTGTTCAAAGGCGAAAATTCAGCTGTCTTGTATCATTCACATGTATGAATATATTTATAAATTTATATACGAAGGCATAGAAGAGTTTTGCTTGAGATAAGAAGTGATTCATGTTTATGAGATCTTGGGTTAGAATATTTTTGTGCGTCGACGCTTTGTGAAAATGCAAAACAGTAAAAATAAAAAAGATTTTCATATCGCCACGCATAAATTCCTTTAAAAGCGTATGATGAAAATTGGAAAAGTATGTTTTTCTTTCCAAAGCATTCGCGTTTGAAAATATTTATGATTCCATTAAAGTCATTTGTGAAGGAACAAACAAAAGCCTCAAAAAGAAACTTTTTAATTAAATTTAATGATATGGAAAATTTGTTATTGATTATCTACACAGTTTGATTCACACACATGCTTATGATGTTTTAGGCTTAAATTTAAACTTTTTATTCTGTTTTGGGTCGAACATATCAAGTGCTACTTTGCAATTACATGGAAAAGGCTTTAAAATCCTGTTGATGGTCATTCTGAACCTTTTTTCTGTTTATTATTATTTTTATCGCTTGCTACTTGCCAGGTGATTAGGAATCTGTGAAAATTTTATTTCTGTCGTGCTTCTTTTTAAATGAATGAGAAATGTTATCGATTGAACCTGACTTCGTGTGGCTGGTAAAAACCATTCAGTTGTTCATGTTCGTTACTTGTTTTTCTCTTGAAATAACATCGAATGGGATGAATGAAAAAAATTTATGAGTTTTCTAAATTTTTAATGAAATATGTGGTGAAGTTGATTTGATGTTGAATGATATTTGTCTTTATTACGAAAATTAAACGTTTATATTGAGTTTCAGCTATTTTCCCAGACTTTTTTAATGAGTTCCTTGCTCTGAAATAGTCAACTCCCTTCCATCCACAGAAAACCATAAATATTTTAATTGAACAGTTTTTTATCCCATGTTTTCAACATTTTTTTGCCGTGCACAAAATGAAGAATGAAATGAAATGGCCGATGGACAAATTAATCACAAACACAAAAGCCATTTGACGTAATTTCGCCTTCAGCGTTAAAGAAAAAAATATTGAATTGATTTTCTTCGTGCTTAAATGTAATTTATCGCGAAACGTTTGTTTATTCACGATGGGTGGTCTTTTAATTTCACATCGTTTAGCAAACAAACGTCAAAGTAAAAAATATCGACACTTGAATCGCATTTTTATGTTCGGAACTAACTGCGTTACTTCCTAAGAGAGTCAAAAAATAAAGTGAATGCGGGGAGCATTTGTTAATTACTTTCCCATAGCTTTCTACTCATGCTTAATACTTGATTCTTTGGTCATATTCACGCAATGTCTACTCCGATCAACTGATGAACATGTCAAAAAAATACGTTATTACTACCATTCTGAACACAAAAAATATTTATCGATCGAATCAAATAATGACGTGATTATCACAATGAAATGACTTCCAATTTGGTGCTTTAAAGGTGTGCGCTTAACGACAACAATAATTAATCGGACAGCAACATACTATCGACAACTTTTCATGTAACAAGTTGAATGCTTGTTGAGTGTATGGAAATCTGATATTAATTGCTTTGAAAAAGTACTTGTAACACCAAAATTCATTTTAATTTCACGTTTAATTCACGTTGAAAGGTTTTCTTGGCAAATTTTCAAGCAAAATTTATTGAAGCAAAAATGCAATTTATTTTTTTCTACTTTTGATGGGATCAGGAAAAAGAATATTTTAACTCTTTTGATTTTATGGAAATGAACAGAGAGTAGAACAAAAAATTGATACAAAAAGCTTTTCTTTCTATGAAATATGAAGCGGAACGAGTGAAAAAGATGGAAAAATGAAAGACCATTGGTTTATAGAAATTCAATCGGATCCGATATCGTTCTCTTGTTTTTTATAATTTAATAACCGTCCGTGCTTCTCATGATTAAATGGAATGTCTGAAATCATGAAAATGTGAGCTCTTATAACGAATAAAAATATCGAATTTAATAATAAAAACCAGAAGGCAAACTTCAAACTGATAATAAAAAAAAAGTTTTAATTCTGAAGAAGTTGTCGCTTATAGGGAAGATCCAAAAGTATTTTTGGAAGTGGCGCTTGGTAAACCTCATAACTGAATACTTTAAAATTTATCATCAAAAAACGATCAAAGAGAAGTAATCAAAACAGATGCAACATGCTTTCTAATTAATATTCAATCAATACGATTCATTCATCTTTTCAAAAAAAAATTCCAGTAAATAATTTGAGTTTTAGATAATTGAAAATGCTTGTTAAATTGAATTCTACTTACCTTCCTTTCTAAATGCGGCGAACTAATAAAAGTTTATGAAAAGATATTTTTCGAAGAAGTGAAAATTATGTAAATCAAAGAGAAACCACTTTGAGACAGCTTTGAAAATTTTCCGAATATTCTCTCATGAAAATATTTTCTCGTCGTCTTTTCAAAACTGTTTGCATTCTTTCCGGATAAGAATTTCACTTCACAAACATAAAATCATTGTCGGAATTCATTCATGAATCTGTTGGTTCTCTGAGAATTGTTTCAAACTCACAAATAAATTTCAGTAAATATCAAGGGGTAAATCATCGTAGTGCTTCTGCCGGATGCCTCCAAGTGATGCTTCGAAAATCACTAGTGCTTTTCAAGAAAAATGACCATTTTCCAAGAATTTGATTACTTTTTCTTGTCTAGTGCTTCTTTTTAAAATAGTGCTTCTGCCGGCTCATTTTTGACGATGATTTACCCCTTGGTAAATATTATGTAGGAAGAATTTTAACATGATGCTTTTCATCTCACGACCGGCAAAATTTTCCAAGAGAAAATGAAAAGAAAATTTCTCTCAGAGAGCGACTCATGGTTGGATGCTGCGTGGTGCAGCATGCAAAATGATAATGATGATGATGATTGTTCGGATTCCGATACAAATTCTGTGAAGTTGGGATAAAATCTACAGTCGCGTGTTCAGTTGTAGCATTGAAGCGCGTTTGGTAACATCATTATGCGGTTTCGCAAATTCGGTTTTTCTTTCAATTTTCATCCCTTTTTATTACTCTTTGTGAATCAATGGACTTTAGTGCGGTTGATAAATTATTGATTTTTTTTAAAAAGTGAAAAAGGATAAAAAGAAAATATCGACTCTTATTGGATAACATATGTGGATTAAACGCGTTCATCCATTCAAGAAAGAAATTTAATTTTTTTCTTCATAAAACGCTTTAGAATAAAATTGAACAAATTGTGAGATTTTTTATTCAACGTTTTATTTTATTTTTTATCTTTCGGAGAGATAAATGTTTATTGATAAGTGAAAAATAAATTTGCTATTCATGCAGGAAAAACTGTGTCAGTTTTGTTTGTTTAACATTTAAGAGAATTCTTGAAAAGCCTTCTAAATATTCTATGTGAGCGTCTTACACAGTGTATTTGACTTTGACATTGTTTGTGCATCATCAAGTGCAAGCCTAGAAATAAAAGAAAGCTTATGAAAGAAAATTTGTCACCTTGAACGAGAAGCTGTTTGTCCTTGGTGAAGATAACCAAGGAGAATCCCACAAGGGCAATGAAAAGTTATTAAAAAATGTAAAAAAAGAACTTTAATTAGTTGTTGAAGTAAAACAAGAGTCAGGGAGGGGAGTTCGAATGGAGTTCTTGGGGCTTTTATGTGCTAACATTCTAACACGGCCTATTAATCATATTTAACGTCGCTGTTTTTCCTTCTCACACTTTCTCTCTCATCGTCTACTGTTATATTACAGCGTAATTTTTCTGTTGCTGGTGGATTAAATTCATCACACCGCTACACTACTACACGTCACCACTCTCGCTTTAATTAATATTTATTTGCCCGTTGCAATTAATTTAATACGGCTCTTTTTTTGTACAATGGGAAAAATGTTTTCCAATATTTTTGTTGTTTCGTTGTTGGTGACTTTCACAGTTTCCGTCTAGGTTTTATCTGTCGAATATGTCACAATTTTGAAAATAAAAATAATCGGAGTGTATTTAATTTAGGTCAGTAAAAATGGGAAAAATGCTTTAACATGACCATTAACGTTTATGTATTTAATTAACGAAATTGAATATATATTTATCTGTGAGTTGTCGAATATTCTGCCATAAAATAATAAAACTTCGAACAATCTCGTTTGCAAGCTCTTTTGAATTCTTCAATTTCTCGTTCTCTCATTGTGATAAAATTTTCACTGAATTTGTTCAACGGTGTAACTGTGGGTGGTTTGAATATGGATTAACTTTAAATTCAAAACGGTGTCACGAATAAAAATAAAAATTATGATGGGAAGAAAGTTGCCGCGCACCGTTTGCGAGTAAAAATTGTTTTCCTATTAAGAATTTAATCAAGAAGCAGGCAAAACGGTTTCAATGTGACATGAGAGATTTAGAGGGATTTAATTTAATAAAAGAAAAAGGCGGCTCAAGCAGTCTCGGCTCTTGTTAAGAGTTTCGCTAATAGCATTTCCATCTCATAAAATTTTTCTTCCACTCACTCAATTTTCCGACATCGAGTTCTTTTCTAATATTTTTTCTGCTTAATTTTTAATGGTGATAATCTTTTTAATTTACTTCAAATTAGAAAGTCACGGAGCTGTCAATGATATTATCAAAGCGTCAAGCATGTTGGAAAGTGTTTCGCACTTTATTTTTCCATGATCATAAGAAAGGAAAATCAGAATGAAAAATCTTGTTTCTTTGAAATTTATGGAAGTTTGTTTTACGACAGGAAAGTTTTTATTGAAACAACAAAAAAGAAAGAATAAAAACTTTGTAAGTCGCTCGAACTTTTTTTAAACTCTTTACGATTAAAAAACATTATTTTGTTCCATTCTTTTGAGATGATTCTTAATTTCAATCCAAATACAGAATAAACTAACAGTTTTAAGTTTCATAATTACGTTTTTTTTTTGTTGCGTCTTCTACTGCTTCTTGAGTCATGAAGAGAAAAGAACTTTTTTTTTGTAATATTGTGAAGAAAGATAAAGTTTTTGCTGCTTATGTTGCCATGCCGCTTTTTGTTGTCGAAGAAATTATAAAATTTATGAGGGTACGGTGTGATAGCACATCACAGACAGAACGAGAAAATAACTTTCATCAGACAACAGTTTTCCTTTATTTGCATAATGCATTTTTGCGGTTACAAACTACATCCAGGACCTGTAATTGTGAATGAGACAAAAATATTCGAAAACTAAAATGAAAACCTTTTTTGTTTCATGTTGTTTCATTTCAATTAAACAAGTGAGCATATTAAAAAATATTTAAATGTGAGAATTTCTGCAATTTATATTCCTTCTTTTTTTTTATTAAAATATAAATAAAAGTTTTTGGAAAAAACAAAAGGGTTGTAACTCTAATTCACTAGCAACAACAACTGAAAAATATTGAACACGACATTCTACAACGAGACGAGCCGAAAAATAAACAAACCCACAAATTTTCAGGAATGAAAACTTTTTGTCTCTTGTATTTTTGTTCAGCAATTGTGTCATGAAAGAATTATTGCAACTTTTTTCCTCTTTTTTATGGATGCTTCGAAATAACAAAAGTCCATTCTTTTGTGTAATGAAAGAGTAAAAGTTTTTTTTTGTTTTGAAGGAAAAAAACTCGACTATGTAACTATTTTTTAAGTTGCACATAAAAGCTTCAAGGCATCATTCCCTTTAAGTATTCTTCATAAAAGAAAAAAAAATAATTTGAAGAGTAAACGAAAAGAATTTTATCGATTTTATTTTTAAATGGAGCAGAAATGATTAGGTGTAGATGGGAAGTCAGAGAAAGTTGTGTGAACATGATGTTCAACGAGCTTTTAATTATTCAAAATTTACAAGGATACTTGAGAAAAAAAGAGAAATAAAATTCATTGAAAACTCTCCAAAAAATTACATCTAATTTATTATTTATTGTGTCCTTGTTATCGGTAATCATCACGATTCTATTTTTGCAATTGATGTTAAAATTTTATTTTTTCAAGGAATATCTCATCTGCTGGTGAGCAAAATTTATTGCAAGTAATTTTGTACGATTAAAACGAGTCAATGATGTTCATCAGCAAAATTTAAATCACCAGAAAAAAGACATCAAATAAAATTTAAACCGATGTGATTACAAATTCTTGAGAATCGTTATATAAAATATTTCGAGTTAATTTCTCTTGGTGATTAAATGTGAAAAAAGGAACAAAAAATAATAATAATAAAACTCTTAACAATGCGAATGATTTTCTGAACGAGGAATGATGAAGACGAAAGAGAAATGTTATTAAATATTCATCGATCAATTCGATGTCATTTGACATTACTTCAAATCCTGATTGTAATTCCAAACTTCAATTTCAATGTTTCGTGTGTGTGAATGCCTGAGGGAAGTTAAAAGCTTCATAATTTAATTACATGGAATGATGTTGAAATCGTGAAAGAAAGAAAAAATGGATTCAAGTTTAATTTATCAACAAAAAGGAAAAGGAATGAACAATGGAAATAGTTCTGGAAATTCAATATTGACCTCAACATCAATCAACAACAACACTGGCAATGGAATGAATAAAAGTTTAAGTTCAAATTTCATGATTTCAAATAATCATTTAAATAATGGTAATAATTACAATAAAACGGAGCCACCCACTGTGCCAACCCCAAACGGTTATCGGGTCGCTCCCACAAAGATTCCCACAAAAGCTGAAATCGATTATCATTTAGAAAATTTTATTATGAGTCGAAAGATTGCTTTGAATGGGGGTAATGAACTAAGAATTGATGATAAAAACATCTCATTACATCTTAATAATCCTTTTGTATCGTCGTCGCCTTATTCACATCTTCAACAACAGAAAATTTTTATGCAACAACAACAGCATCAACAACAACAGAAACAGCAAATATTTCAGAACAGTTTGTTATTTAATGAAACAATCAATGAAACGACTTTGATGGCACCATCAGCTGTCGATCAATCAAGGCCTAAACGTCCCCACTCAATTGCTGTTTCATCACCCATTAACCTGAACACATCTCTTAATAATGATTTGAATGTTGCAACATTAAGTCGGCGTCAGAAAATTACTACACCAAACATTGTGAGTGGAGGAATGATGAACAAAATTACGACAACAGCTGCTGGCGAGCAAAAAATAAATTCACAATACTGCTCGCCCATAAACTTTTCACAATTAAATCACTTTAATGGAAACGGAAGCTCGCCAAGTCCGGGTCGTATGCAGGCGCCATTTCGGTCTCTTAAAAGTGAATTTTCTCTTTATACACCACCCTCACCGGTTATTGTGAGCGAAGCCGATGGTTTGCAACAACACAAACAACCACCAAATGTTCCCCAACGGAGATCTCAAAGCATTCCACGTCAAGTGATGACGCAAAGTTTTACCACAACAAATGGTCAAACCATCACAGGCGTACAAACATTAAATCGTCCTCGCAGTCTCGATCGTTACAGTACCGTCGGAATGCGAACCACAAATGCACATTCCTCCCCGCATAATCAACACATCAGTACTATGAAGCAATCAGTGACATTCCATGGTCAACAAATGTTGAATCAGGCCTGCTATCAAAGTGATATCTATGAAGAAGTTGGTCAGCATATGAAAGGTGACCAACAACAACAACAGCAACAACAAAAGAAAGAACGTCCAATGTCATTTGCTTATGGGACGGTTCCCGAACAAGTTTATCTTGAAAATCAATTAAGAATGTACCAAGAACAATTGAAAAATATTACAGAAAGTATGAAGAAGTATCAGGAACAAACGAGAATTCTGAATGAACTTAAACGACAACAATCACTTGATCGTCAGAAAAGTTCAGTTCCATCATCGAAAAGTGACTCAAAACTTTCACAAAATTTAAAACTCAACTCAACGACAAGCATTAATACAGTAGCTGATGAAGTTCAAACACCATCCCACCAATTGAAATTATTTTTAGATAACATTCGTAACTCTATAAAAGAACCTTCATTTGAGAATGACGTCAGCGATCATGAAACGGATGGGAATGGAAAATTAGACGTGGCGTTGAAAGTTGTAAACAAAGTGGATGAGAAAATAAACGTCCATCAGTCAAAACCGAATAATGTTGAAGTAAAGACGCCATCTGACCAGTTACGTCTGTTTCTTGATGCAATCCGACATAATCAAAACATTGAAACTCATCAGCGGACGGATGTTCCGAAGGTAATACCCGAGGCCAATGAAGAAAATTTTGAAATGAAACGAAGTGAAACATTCTCTCAAGTCACCGACAATATCAAGCTTTTGAATCAAGATTTAGAGTCATTTAATGACAAGACAAATGTCACGAATGTTTCAAAGAACATGGATCAAATTCTCGATGAATTCAATCGAATGGCAAGCTTGTTGAAGACAAACAACTCAGTAGATTATTTACAGAAATGTTCCGAAGCTTTGAAACAAACGACTGAACAAATTCGACAGATGAATGGCAATAATTACTCATCAGATGACAGTTCATGTAGCACAACACCTGGAAGTATTCGCGAAGCTGTACAAAATCTCTTGTCACAACCACGCAATGGCTTTCAGATCATGGATGATAGAATGTCAATTTTTATTGATATCATTGAACAACAAGGCAGATTCAGTCAGGTAATCACATTGAGATCTTTATATCGACATGAAAACCTTTTTTTTCTGCTGTCGATCACATGTGAAGTTGAAAGTTGAGACAGCTCGATGGAAATTGATGATGGGATGTTAAATGATTTAGCCTATGATTGTGTGTGTGTGTTTGTATGTTGATACGATGGGCGGTTGGGTGATGTAAGCATATCTTAAGATAAGTGAACAACATCAATCTCATATTCATAGCAACATCTTCTGATAGGAAATCTTTTAAACAAGACTTTCCCTAAACCAATCAATTAATCTTCATTCAATTTTCTTTCTCTCACACTCCGCGACGTACGCTTTGACATGAGAATTTTCTTCCTCAATGGATGGGAAAACTTTTTTCGTTTTCTTTGAGATAAAGTTGTAAGATGAAATTTACACACTCGCTTCGTCGGTGTTCGGGGTGGGTGAAGTTAAAATGGAAACATTTTCTTCTGAATCTAAGTCCCGTCAGAGATAAGTCGAAATGTTTATTTAGTTACTCAGATCACATAACGGTTAGTCACGAAGCTAAAAGAAAAAATAAATTTCTTTTCCACTAGCTTAGCGAATTCCGAAATGATTGAAACAATTTCACGTCAAACATGTTTGATGATGATACTCGATTCATCTAAACTCTGACATTTAATGAACAAACTTGACTACTCTGACTGATAGTTTATGAAAAATCCATTCGAAAAAGATGTATGTGAAGTCATTTCGTAGACTTAACTAGATTTTTTTATGAGTATCGTTTTACTAAAATGTTTAGTTGATTTTAATCTGACTTCAAAAACTTTACGAGTATCGTATGTTTATTTAAAAAGGGAAAAAACATTTTACATTTATTGTTTTTGGTTTAGAAGAAAATTTATTTAACTTAACACAAATGAGATTATTATCCTTTTGTAAATAAACTAAATAAAACCATACCGGACATTGTTCAGCAATTAATTATAGTGTAGAGTAAACTACAAGTCACTTTGTAAGCTACCGAAATACGGAAGACTCCCGGATGGGATACTTGAGATAAGCTAATTTTATGTTGTGTTCATGCTTTACTTTCATTGTAGCGCTGACTGTTCCTTTTTTTGATATTCAAAATCTGAAACAATATCCATGAAAATTTAATTTGTTAAAATGTTTAAGTCACTTAACTTCACATTTTTTAACTGGTTTAAATTGTGGTGAAAATGCGAGAACATAATAAAAACGATTGCAAATATTTGACAATGAAGGCGAATCGAGTAAATTTTCAGACGATATAGCAAATATTTTTTTTTCAGTATTTTACACCTGACACAAGCTTTTCATGTTTATAAGCGGACTCTTTTTTATTCTCTCTTCATTCTGAAAGTGTCACGAATCGTGTGTGAAAACTGGTTTTTAGAATCTAATGTCTACAACAACTTAGAGCACGTTTTGTTGTCGCGTTTACATAAGCAAAAAAGAAAAATTCGCGACGGATGAACAGAGAAAGATAAAGCGACCTGTTGGCTTATAAAAGTTTTTCCCTTTCTTTAAGGGAAGAAAAAAGAAAATCAAAATCTTTAAACCAAACGATCCCTTGACGTTGATGATACTCGTAAAAGTTTAGAGGGTGAACGTGTAAGCCGTTCTAACGCGAATGAACCCGCCATGATTTTTATTATACCATACAACGGTGAAATAAGCGTTAAATATCATAAAACTTGATAGACGTAAGCCGATAATGTTCTTGCGTAATAATAGGCTTATTGGATTTGAATATTATTTTATTTGCGTACATGAATTGACAAGGAAGTCATGAAATCAAAAGAACATAATAATTTATGTTAACGGCTTATCATATCATCGCGATGATGATATTATATCCACTCGATGACTATCTAAATCATGTGGAAAATTTCTTTCAATTAAATATTCTATTACTTGTTTTTTTCTTAAATCTTTTTTTTAAATCACACTAGAAGGTGTAAAAAAACATTCTATCCAACAATAAATATACACAAATGAAATTTTCCATATTGTTGAATCCTTGTAGAGGTTAAATGAACAGAAATCTTTTTATTTTCGTACTGCATGCTCGCGTGAATTACATAACATTCATACAACAAATAATTTCATGACCGCATTGAAAATATCAATATCAGGATATTAATAGCGAATGTTTTTACTGATTAAATAACAAACGGAATAAAATGGACATTTGTAAATGCCGTTTAATGTTAACGCGAACCCATATTCATACTGTGATGAATATATGTCAACTTGAATGATACAACATAAAGCAATGAAAGTTTTGTTTAATTAGAACAACAATTGTTAACGAGCTTTTATCGATTTCTGTTCATATGAAAACAGCAAACGACTGAGATAGTGATTAAGCACATTCTCTCAGGCTTCTAGTTCACAGCTTGTTCTCATTTAAAAGTTTAAAAGCTTTTCTATTGTTGCTTTATGAAGCTTTTCAAATACAAAAAAAAAGCTGAAATTTCTTCATCACAAAACCGGAAAACCGCAAAAAACTTTGCCATATTATAACAGCGAGCAAGTGATTCAGTCATCCATCTGGCATTTATCATGTCAGTAGTCATTTCGATGTTTTTTTAACGGCATGGTGGATATTTCCCGTTTAGATATTTACAGCAAAACCGACACAACTTATTTTGCGAGACGATATCGCAATGTTTTGTTGTAACATCGAACGTTTTATGTTTGAGAACACAAATTTCTTTAGGATTGTCGCTTGGGATTTTTATGTTCGTCCTTTTTTGTCATGCTTGTTTTCTAACAGTACACACATATTTAGATACACACATTCAAATATTTTTGCTTCTGTGCCTTCATGAGAAACACAACAAATAACATGCATAAAATATTTCATGACAATGTCAATGATAACAACGGACAATAACTTTATACGATTGCGCTTAAATGTACTTTTAGGGTATGAAGAGAATGTGAATGTTTCTTCCATTCTCGCAATCTCGAGTGAATGTTGATTCATAATTGAAAAAAAGAATGAGAACACATTAGCCGGGTGGATGTCCAATTAAAGTTGATTACAATTTGGAACTCTGACACCATTTACTTGCATTGTCATTTATAATTAACTTTATGTATGAGACGGCTAGTCAACGTTAACCAAAAGTAGTAGAACGATTTGCGTACTTTCGGTTATTCCTTTTTTTGACACAGAGATAGTTGATTTCACCCATAGACGGCGAAACTTTGTAAAATGAAATTGGAATTTTTAATTTTATTTATTCAGGTTTTATTAAACTTAGAACTCTACTCAACTACTCGAGGTTAGTGTATGCAAAGAATGTTGTAGAGAAAGTTTATCATGCATAGAAATTGGAAACGAAACGAGTTGATGGTAGCAAATAGTTTGGAACAAACATCACTGTTCTCCATTCATGCGATGAGTGTGAGTTTGAAAACATGATCTAAATAAATAACAAAAAAAAAACTATGCAAAGTCCCTGCTAATACTAAGAGAATTCGTATTTATCTAAGCAGTTGTAAGTTGTTTCATCTTACTTTGACAAAGTTTGAATGTATTTTTCTTACAAGCAAGAATTTGTCCTTATCTTAGCATTGTCCGGTTATTCGATTCGTTTCTAACTTCTCGTATATCGAGTTGATTTGAAGAAAATTAAATTGCTTTTAATCTTCCGTCTTCACTGTACTTAAGGATTGTCTGGCAAGAGTAAAAGAGGAACTGAAAAAATGAATAAGCAGAAAAGAAAAACGATTCAAACAAAGCAAACGAGATCTAATTCTCACATTGCGTGATGTCCGAAATGAATTTTCTTTTCAAAAAAATCCAAACGAAGGGAAAAAGGGTCGAGAAGGATTTTTTTTTCTTATTATTCTTTTTCTTGTGTTGTGTGTGGGAAATCGCAGACGGAATTAAAAGGGAAATTCAATCTGAAATTAAAAGGCTTTTATGTAGGTTAAATGTGTGAGAACTAAGAATTATTCTCAACCATTCATGTTGATGAAAATGTCTTTTAATCTCAACATTTCAATTGTATATAAGAAGCAAGGAAACAAAAGAAACAGCAGCAAAGAAGGTTTTTTTCCTCGACAATTTACGTAAATCATGAAGTGGAATTGCACAAATCTCAGTAGGGAGCTCTTAACGTTTCTATTATGGAATTCACATTCCTTCAGGCAAAAGCTTTCATTTGTAGTGAAAGTTGCTGAACATGAAAGCACTTAGCATTGAATAGAGCTAATTTGTGTGCACTCAAATTTTGTGATTCTCTCGAGAAAAACTTTTTAATTTTTATCTTTAAACAATTTCGTTTCTTGAGCCTTCAAGACATACATAATAATACAAACGAACTAAAGAAAAAATCTGCTTTGGTCAGATCATAAATCAGATCAAAACATTATAATGTTGACTGAGTTTCAACATCACTTGGATATATTCATAGAATTCAATCTTTTCGAGATCTACACGACTCTATTAATTATAAACAAAGTGAATGAAACAAAGCTTGCTTCAGATACTTACTAGCATCACAGCAGTGAAACCAATTAAATATCATTCCCTGGTTGACGTTGGCCCATTAAATTCCGTTTCTATTATTATTTTCTCCCTTCATTCATTCTTTCCCTCTAGAGAGAAACGGGAAAAATATTTGTGTCGGGTTGTTGGCTCAATTAATTACTGTTTTCTATGTTCTACGACAAGTGATTAATTGATTTTTATAATCACAACTTGTTGAGAATGAATCGATATCTCTTAAGTAATTATTGTTAGTTGTTGGGTGGGTGAGATCTGATCATTCAACTGTTCATAATCCTGACCTAAATTAGCAAGATTTACAAATAATTGATTCTGAATCAATCTCTCTTAATCTTCGTCATAAAAACAGAAGATTTTCATATCGCGGAGGATTTAAAATTACGACCAGAAAACGACGATGAACATAAAAAATCATTTGTCAATTTGCAGACAATGTTGAAGAATTTGCTTCAATGTAAACAAATATTTTCATCGTTTGCTTCCTTGGGTTTTGCGCTATGAAAATACATAAAACGTTGTATGTCGTAAAAGAAAACCAGCGAGTTTGTAAAATAAAAGATTTTACTGTTTTCAACTTGGAAAATTTAAAGTCAAAAAGATTGCTACGAGCTCTGTTAGGCTTCATGTGATTGTTACTTGTTTGTACGCTTCGGTTCTTGATATTCTGAATACTGACTTGCATGATAAAACAACAAAATAAATGACAATCCAATTCCATTTATATGAATCCAAGTAAAAAAAGGGAAAAAATCATACATGTCTTCGTTTTCCATATTTATTTCTTATAAAAGCCATTTATCGCAGAGTTGGAGACGATAAAAAATATCTGCAATTGGCATGGCTGCGTTGTTCACATAATGTCTCCTTGTTCGACTAAATTTATGTTTTTTGCCTTTTCTAAACTTTCGAAGTTTGTTTTTAAAAAACTCCTTTATTTACGCTCAAGCGCTTTTTTCATATTGTTTGATTTTCTGTTCATTTCTATTGTTACCATTTGCATCCGCAACAGAAAATTAAAATCAACTGAAGGCAGGCATTATATAGTGACGGAAATTTTCTACAAAATTTTATTTTATTACCTACCTAAATTAAAGTTTCATTTTGACACGTTTGAAATCTTTTCAATTTAGTCATCAAACGAGAGAATTTTCACATTCAAAGCTTCGTTTTCTCTATTTTCATTTTTTCTGTTATCAATAAATATTCTTCAATGATTTTTTCGCAACTTGAGTCAAGCTTTCAAGTTGTTTCCTTCATTTTAATTAAGAATTCTATTCGTGTTTGTGAAAGAAAAAATTTATCATTTGACCATTTGCAATTTGAAAAGCGAGCATTGCTTTGAAATGTTTTTGAATATTTATGACGAATAGAATGTCAATGTGGACTTTAATTATGTCCAAAAAGTTGTTGCATTATAAATAAACTGTAAAGGATACGAAAACTAGAAACGTAGTTGACTAAAGTCATTTCCTTAAAATATAAAAGCAGGGGTTTCTGACGATTCTCGTGATAATTTTTTTATGAGAAATTGGTACAAATTCTGTTTAGACTGAAACTTTTGTCAAATGATCAAAAGGCAGTAACTGTCAAATCTTGTAAGTTTATCAGAAAAAGTCCAATATATAAATTGAAAATACTCACGAAAACTCTATATCTACATGCAATTTTGAACACTAAAAGTGTTTCTGATATTTGAGATATTCATCTTCGGTTGCTTTAACAACCTTTTGTGTTGAATCAGATGCAATAAATTTGAAACATTTATTTGCACAACTTATTAAGTGGAATAATTTGAGTTGAATCGTATATCGTGTTAAAAATATTCACAAGGAAGTTTCAAGAAAATCCTCCCCTAAAACGTTATTTTTCTTCCCCTCATCATACATCAACGCTTTTCTATGTAGATATTCTCTTTTTTTATTAAATTCGAAGCAGCTTTTTTCATAAAGTTTACGCTCAGCGAAAAAAAAGTTTTCTCATCCTTTCCGTTTCCTTTTAAAACTGCCTTCAAAGTCTGTCTCAGTCTGCTTCTCTCTTTCTTGGGTTGCGTTGGCATGAAAAAGGTTGAAATGAAGGAAAGCAACATTTCATTAATTTTCCATAAAATAAAACTGTATTGATTTTAACGCTTGGGAAGTCAAAGGAAAGTGTGAGGAAAGTTTTGGTCTTCACAGTATGTAAGCAATATGCCTCTTAAACTCAACAAAAGGAAAAGGAAAGAAACTGCTTAGTGTGGTTGCATGGCGTGGAAGGTATTGATTCGTACTAGCATACATATGAATGTTTACTCAACCCTCAAGAAAATCATAAATATTAAATTGACGTGGGTGAAACGAAATTCTAAAGAATGATAATTTATCATGTTCCATATGTGTAAAGCTCATAACTGGTGAGTGTGAAATGTTTAGGACGCACAAATTTAAACGCTAACACTTCATTTCATTTCTTGTTGAAAAGATTTCAATAAGATTCGTTGAATGATAATATCGGAATGCTTTGCTACTACTAAATATGTTCATGGAATTGTTTCCGATGAAAAATGCCAAACACTCATCATTGAAAATGTTTGAGTATCTCAATGGTTTTGCCTTTTAAATGAAGCGAGAAGTGAAAATTGTTTTCGAAGAATGGGAAAGAGATTCATCATCTTTCTTGATCCCATTAAAATTACAGCCTTTAAGGATGTGAAAAATACTTTCTCACAAAATAACAATAACAAGATGTTGGAAACAATTTGTTATCAAATATTTTTTCTTCCTGTTACGACCTTTTTGAATTTTCTGACAGTATTTTTCATTTTCTCTCAGTTTTCCTTGACTATATTAGATTGGCATTTTATTTGAATTTAATTTAGAAATTTTGATGAGGCCAGAATGTTACTAATAATTTATATTTGCGCGTATGCCAACTTAGTAAAAATGAATTAAAAATTTTAACAACTGCCGGAACTTCCTTCTAAAAATCGGTAAGAAAATATTGGGTTTAATTCAGAAACAAAAATGCTTTTGTATTATTATTAAGTCATTAGCTTCCAATGGAAGTTTGCAAACTTTGTTTTTACCTAGGGGTTAAAAGAATGAAACTTAAAGAAAACTATTATCGTGACTTTCAAAATATTCTGTCATGCTAACTACAGACAGATTGACAATGAAACAAAACTATTTACTCGGCTTAATTGATTTTCCGATGAAAATGGATTACAAATTTCCCAGGAAAAGAGAATTGTTAGCAATAATTTTAGATTTCTGATTTATTGATCAACGTACCTGAAACAGTAAAATTTTATTTAACTAATTTAATTTCCCACCCCCGCAAACAACAACGCACATATAATTTGCATGTGGAACAAGAAAAACAAAATTCTGTTTTCATATGTTTGTCTCAGTTTTCATCACTGAAATAAAAGTTTGTCTTTCTAATCTAAAAGTGAACACAAATGAATAAATTATGTGGACAAACAATAGTTCGTTCTGGGTAGTGAAAAAAGGGAAAAATTTGTGTTTGTGTCTGCTTTGGAAAATCGAAATTGAATAAGTGATTATGCAATCTCCACTAAAAGTGGTCAAATCCAGTTCACAGGGTTTATGCTGTCATAAGCGGAGCTTGAATATAATTTCAACACTGTTTACGCTTGAAGCTAAACTTAAAATTCTATGCTGGAAGAAAATCAATATTCGTTAAATATTGAAAATTCCATTCACACTCGCCCGCTTTATATCAACCCTAAAGAACGTGAAGCAAAGCTCTGCCGTGTATCTCCAAAGCGTATCATAATTTAGCTACTCCAGTATCCCTTTCCATATGAATTATTTAATTTAATTACATTAAAATCACTTTCACATGCAAAGCAATACAAATATGAAGAAAGACAATGTGGAAATAACATGTGACAATTTTGAAGCTACCGTTGTCCTGACTAGGTCGACAAAGATGATAATCTCGAATAGGGTTTGTCACTAAAATTTATAGCCAAATATAATCTTGAAATTTCTGACACTTAACATGAAAATTCGTTTTTCCTTTAGAGTTTGAACATTGATTTTTCTTTTTAGATTTTAAAATTAAAAAAAACTTAAGTTTCTTCAAAAATTTCTTGTTAGTTTCCTACAAGTCTTGTCTATGTTTATAAATTAATCATTTTGAAGCGAAACTTTCTTTTGTTATTTTCAAGCGCCTTTAATTAAATTTATGCTTGGCTGTTTTTGCATTTTTTTTTCTATTTGCTTCGAATTTCTACGCCGACATGAACCTTTTGCTTGCACCTACTTTGGCTTCCGTTCTTTTTTTATCGTCTCTGTGTGTGACGAAACGAAAAACTTTCAAGCATTTCATTCCCTCAATTTTCACCATCTTTTTTATATAAATCATTGTTTTATGTTGTTTTAACGGAAAACTATGTAGAAGAAATAAAAGTTGAATGAAAGTTTAAAACGTAAAATTAATTCTGATTTTAATAGCGCCATTTTGCTTTTACTTAAATTTTTTTTCTTCCTAGCTAAATGTGACGATAGTTTCACTTATATAGAACATACAATCTCAGAGCTTTTCACGTTATGACGCTGCTTTAAAAAAATTATGGCTTGAAACTCTTTAGCTATCAAGAAAAACTTTTTTAAAATACGGGACAAAGTGTGAATAATGAACAACTCAAACCCAAAATCTGTGAAAGTTTTATATAGTGATGAGTGAGAATCATTAAATTATTATACGGTTGAAGTTCTTTAATTAATGGGGCGTGATGTTTATTTCAAAACATTCATCATTTCCGTGTTCACATATCATCTTATACATCATAATGTCATAAAATGGAGAGATTGATGATGAATGTTTACTACGTTAAATGAGTGGGAGAAATAATATAAAAGCACCATATTTTCTTAGGTCACAGTTTCCCCATCAAATATCTATGTTTCTCCACTGGGATAGGGAAAATGAGAGAAATAATGAATTAATTTTGGGAAAATTTGTGGTTCAGATATTTCCTATCAGTGAGAAGCTTTCCCTGCAGACAACACGCAACTTTACGACAAGTCTATGAAGTTTTTTCTTTTTCATTTACTTTCCCATACGAGAAATAATCTGTCCGCTCATAAAACCCAAAGCTTTATTTTCATTAAATGATCATAAAAATAGAGAAAAGAAAAAAAAATGATTTTGATAAATTAATTCTCTTCTTTGGTTTGGGTTCAAAGATGAAACACTTTTATTATCATAATCACCAAGCGAATCCAAGAGGAAAAGTTTTTATCGACTTCGTTGTTAAACAACTTCCTACAACAACCACTAAATAATTTTTTTGTTACATTTATTTTATTCTCATATCAGTAACTAACTACAGCAAATGAAATGTCAAATAAGTTTACATTGATATACAGCGTGAAGCTTGACAAATATATGCGTGTTGGGAAGTTTTGTTTTCTGAACAAGGTGTTGAAATTGATTCGAGGAAATTAAGGATATGATTGTGATTCTATTTAATTGCCCATAATCTGGTTTATACGGTCGATACCACAGACATTCATTCTGATTAAATATTCTTCTCCCTTGTGGTTGAAAATAAAACATTGCTTCAATACATAATGTTGTTTTCGAAGTTTGAACATGTATCAAGACGAGATGATGATGAAATAATGTTTTAAATAATGTTTTAATGTTAATCCCTAACACAAAAACCTGAAAATTTTTAGGTCCGTTAAAAATTTATAAGTGAAACTTAAGAAAAAGTTTATGAACTTCATGATATATCTTTGTCCATGATTTAGTTATTTAATGTTCCAGAAAGTCCCTTAAAACAACTTCTAATGATAATTTCATTATGAAACTTTCATGCCGAACAAACTGAAAGTATTTTAATCGAAAAAAAACTTTTTCGAGCTTATATGATGAGAAGAAGAATTGTTTTCTTTGTTTATTGGTGTAAAAGCGCTTAGCTGCTAAGTTTTTAACAACTAGAATTGATAAAATTTTATTCTCTTGCATTCCAGAAAATTCTTCAACAAATCTTCTTATAAGATTTATATATCTAGATTACAATATTTCTGTTTGCTTCTTTAACGGAATGCTACAAAAGAAGTTTTTCTTATTCATTTTAAAGTCATAAAGAAGGGAAACGAGAACTTGGACATGACAATGAAGGAAGAAAGTTAATCGACACGAAAAGTTGATCGTATAAATATGTTCACAAGATGGTTTTCATTCCAGTTTTCATCACTGAAGTAGCAATTGGTTGCACGTAGTTCTAAGTGAATTTATTTGTAATTTATCTGGTGAATGTGACCTTCTTCCTTCGACTTTTGTGGCTATAAGAAATTCAAGAAAAGACCGGGGAGACGACAGAAAAAAAAATCCTTTTCTAATGCAGATCTCGGTGCTTAACGAACAGAATGCAAATCAGAAAACTTTATCAATTGAATCATGAAATTTGAACGTTCCTTATTCCTTCTGACTGCATTTGAAATAAGATTTGCAGATTTCTCATATGTCCATTTAGAAAAATGTTTCAGAATTCTCGTCACGTCACAATACGGTCTTTAAGACCGGAAATTTACAATTTCAAAAGCAAATCGATCCATTCCTTCTTTTTTTTATCATCTCAACTGACGCTTTTTGAACAAAAGAAAATGCATTGAAGCACATTCGATTCAATTACCGATTTGTGATGAGATCTAGGAAAAGCATAGAAAAGATTGAAGTTGTAAAAGAAATACTTTTGAAAAGATTTCTTCTGTTCTGTTAAAGTTTGCATGTCCATTTCATATCTTCGATCATGATCCTTAAACGACATTTAATAAATCATCCAACTTTTTTTTTTATTCATCCTTTTGCATTCGTTGTCTGCTTTTCTATCTTCATCTCTTCGGTCCTCTTGAGACCATCACCGTTTGAGCTCTACCGGCACTCAGGCAACAGTAGAAAAAATAAGAGAAAAGAAAAAAACTATCATTAAATTAGAGATTGTTTTCATACCTTCAAGCACTTCGTTCTTATATCGAGCATTTATCTCATTCACATGGGTTCAAGAGCGAATCCCAAAAGCGATCCGGAAAATAAGAAACTTTTAGCTTGCTGCTTGCTGTTTTGTTTTTCTCCTTCTGTATTTGTTTTGTTGGCGTTAGAATACAGTAATGAAAATGTTTTCATGTTTTTACAAATCAAAACGGAGGATAAGAACGACTGTTGTGTGTTGTATGAAATGGTTTGTTGGCATCCTGGGGCTTCATATCTCCGCGACTAAACAAAAAAAATAAATAAATATAAACCTTCAACATCACACCAACGTTTCGCTCCCGGCCTTCGATTTACTACTCTATCAGTAAATTTATTACCAAGGTGAGAGGTGAAAAAGTTTGAAATGATTTGATTTATTCATCTCTTGATAGTTTCATTTCCAGAGTAAAATAACAATCGAAACAGTCGAGTAACAACAGGGAATGAATCTGAAAGTGATTTTGACCGTTTCGATCGATAAACAAAATGGTTTCCAAACATTACTTGTAATAGTAAAGATTTTTTTTACTTTATTTCTTCTCAGAAGTTCTTCCAAGTCATATTTTATCAAATGAATAAACGCTGCGCTTCTCGGTTCATGTTTTGAAAACGTCTTAATGGCTCATTATCTTTCCATCTTCCTTTCCTTCTTTACCAGCGATAAATTCTCTTCTTCTGTGGTTTCTTAAAACTATTGTGAACGCTCATGTTCATGTTGCTTTATACGGAAAAATTCTAATCCGGAATAATCTACTCGTTGCTGAAATTTATGGACAAAGACAAGAAAAGGAAGAGTGAGAGAGAAAGAAAACAACGAGAAAAATTGTTTAGGATTCTCATCCTGAATTAGTTGTCGTTGTAAGAGGAAAAGCTTAACAATTTGTTTTGATCTGAAATGCTTTTTATGGACACCGCAAAAAGGGAAGGAAAAAGAACATTTGTTAAGGGATCTTATTTAAAAAAATAAAAAAGAATCCTTTGATGCTTAAAAAAACTTTCTCGTTTTCACTCGACCTATTCTCAGCTCGTCTTTAAATAATTCATGATGATACTTGGTGTGGTTTCTGACCTTGGTTACGTAGAAGTAAAAGCTTTTTTAGAGGAAAATCTGTGAACTGCTTTGAAAAGATTCTTTTTTAATGTTTTCAGTGTTCTGTCATTCTATTTAGTTAAGTGTTTTTTTTTTATGGTTCAAGTATTTTTAGTTATCTCCCTTGTTACAAAAGCTCTTAATTGCTTCGAAAATCTCATTTTAAAAATGTGAGAACTCAGATTTAATTGCAAATTTAGAAGCATTTTTGTGAATAAAAAAGTTTTTGACTAGGGAATTTTTATTTCATTTTACTTTAAGTCTTCAAAGTTTTCTTCTTGAATGAAATATAAAAGCTTTCGAGCTTTAAAAGTTGGTAATTAAAATATAAAATACCTACATAAATTTATTTTCAAAGCGTTCCTAAAATTCTCTATTAAATTTTGTAAAGCTTCAAAGCCTTTAAACATCCTAAAAGAAGATTTAAAGAAAATTTAATTATTTCTTATTCGCCACAAAAAAGAAAAGAAAAATCTTTTCTTGTCCGACAGTCGTTAAGTAAATAGAATTAATTTTTAGTAAAAGAAACTGTAAAGAAGCATTGAAACTGAATTGAAAATCCTAAACATGCTTACTTTGATTTGAATATAACTACGAGCAATTATGTACTGCTGTGTTCTTTTATTAATACTTCATTCAACCAACTTGCAATTAAAATTTTCCTGCATCATAGAAATTTGCTTAATCACATTTTCTATTCTTTTTCATAACCTTCTAACAGGATTTACAGTCAGAGATTGAGGCACACCGCGTGGTATACGATCGCCTCGATGGAACTGGAAGGAAACTTCTTGGTTCATTAACATCTCAGGAAGATGCAATAATGCTTCAACGTCGACTTGATGAAATGAATCAACGGTGGAATCATTTAAAATCAAAAAGCTTGGCAATCAGGTAAGCGATAGTAATAAAAACGTTGTTAGCATCTGTTTCATACAGTTTGCGACTCTTGATTTGACTGACAAGGGAGAGGCTCATAAAAGGATTCTTTTTTCGTGTTTAACAATGATAGAATTTTGCATAGCAATCTGAAAAGCGTTTGCCTCGTTTATCCGACAAGTAGAAGATGAATGACATGAAAATCTTAAAGCAAATTGCAATGCATCATCTGCGCGACAGCGCAAAGATTTATTCATTCAAACTCGTAAATTATTTACCAACTGAGTACTCTATACGTCAGGCAAGAAACGGTGAATACGTCAAGCTACAGGCAGTGATGTTGACATGAGAAGGAAACGAAGAAGTTGCTTATGAATGTCCCTGCTGGGATTATTTTTTAAATTTAATTTCTATTTTACATTTTGTATTTCATAATTCCATTGCAAACTTTATGCTCTCATTTAATTATCTTTTCAAATATACAATATGAAATAGTTCACTAAATTTATAACTTGCCAAATTTATAATTCTTCGAGGTAACATGTGAAAATTTTAAAATAAGCTTTATGTGCGAAACGTGGTCAGGGAATTGTATTGATAATTATGGAAATAATCAGAATAGAGATTTTCACTTATAGTGATTATAATACATTTGAGAATCAAATCTCATTTTTAAGTTTTCCCAAATTGTCGTCCTTAAATATCTTAAATTCTTTCAATTAATCCCAAAGCATTGTAATCTTTAATCAAAAGCAATCTCTTAACACAAAGCTCTTACTTGCTCTACATTTATCCCACTAATTTGTTCTTTGTTGTAACAATGACATTGCAACAGACGTAGATGATGATGAGAAAGCGAAAAGAAGAAAAGAAAAAAATTCTTTTTAGGCATCTGCTCTCTTATGTGTCATTAGAAGTAATCTCGTAACTACATCATCATAATTGATGGTTGAATATGATTTTTCCTTTCTTATTTAATCGTCAACATGAAATATCACGTTTCTTATAACCATTGAATTTTTTCTTCTTTTATGAATAGAAACCGATTAGAGTCAAATTCAGAACATTGGAACGCATTGCTGTTATCATTGAGGGAGATGACTGAGTGGGTCATAAGAAAGGATACTGAACTTTCGACGATCGAAAGAATGCATAGTCCCGTACGTGGTGATGCTGCAAGTCTTGCAAAACAGCTGGTAAGTTTTATTTTTTAATTGACTGGAAAAATCTCTTCGAAAATAATTCACATAAAGATGGCGCTAATTGGAGTGAGTTTTCTCTTTCAATTTGATACTGCTAAATGCTTGATTGATGGTTCTTCTCATGAATCAAAAATGAAAAAAAAGAAACCAATATAAAAGAAGAAAAATATTTTTATCGAGAATCATTTGCTTCACTTGGTTCATAAATATTGTAAAAAAATTCTTAAATCGATTTCTCATTCAGTGTACTCGACGCGTCTTTGAGTTTCATGACGAGTGACGTTTTTCACATTTATTTATCAACAAAAAAATTAAAAAGGAAAAAAAAGTTAGGAAAATGAATTTATTCCTTGTATAAATGTTTTAAAAAAGCTTTTCAATATTTTACAATATTAAGCCATAAATGTTTGCTGATATAAATTGATCAGAAAGGGCAAACTATCAGTAAAAGATAAGAAACAACGTGTCGCAAGGACAAACGTCTTTCGACTTCTTCACGAAGAAAGGCGACCCGAAATTTCTTATTGACAATGGAAAATCCTTTTAGGACGAAGTAAAGAAAAGAAGAATAAAAAAATATCTTCTTTTATGTCTTTCTTTATTTGACTTTAATGCCGGAATCAAACACAAAATTTCTCTTCTTTGTTACTCACGACGAGGAAGTTTAGTTTAATGCTCATAACATTGAAGCTCATGAAACGAGAAAATGGAATGCGGAATGGTTTCAACAAACATTTTCTTCCGTAGAATAATTTTCCTTCATCTTTGTTCTCTCCGAGTTGTTCAACAATAAAAGAAGAAAATCTAGAAAAACAGAGATTGTTTTGTTGTTCATAACAGTGAAAATTGTCTTCGTATAAATTGAATTGTTATCTGAACACCAAACAGCCGGCAAATAAAAAAAAACATTGCGAATGATTTTTATTAGATTTAAAGAATTATAAAGAGACGGAAAGTGAGAGAAGAAAGTTGATATCAACATGCCATTGCTTTTATATTGTAGAACAGCTGCAAGGATCTAGAAAATCAAAAAAGAAAGATTCTTATGGTGAGAGTTCTTAAACTTTATCTAGTTTGTTTTGATACTTATGAGAGGAAAGTTAAAATTCAAGTAAATTTTCTCATGATTCAGATTTTCGACGATCCTTTAATAATTTAAAGAATTCTTAACATATTTATGACAAATTTCTCTGCTATGTTTCAATTAATTTGACAGCAGTACACTAACATTAGCATATTAGCTTTAAGTCAGAGATTTTCTTTTATTCTTTAACTCTTTTCAACATCAAACAACTTGCAGGATGATCATAGAGCTTTCAGACGGCAGCTAGAAGACAAAAGACCGATTGTTGAGAGTAATTTGTTAAGCGGCCAACAATACGTTGCAAGTGAACCGCCAGTTTCAGATACAAGTGATTCAGAAGGTTTGCTTTTTATTTCTTTTGTATTCTTCTAGCTTTAAAATGTTTCTTTCTTCCCTCCATCTAGCATTTGATGCTGATTCAAGATTTTTATCATCTGATGATCAAAACCGCGAACTTACACGAAGCATTCGTAGAGAAGTCTCAAAACTAACAGAACAATGGAATCATTTAATCAATCGAAGTGAGAATTGGAATCATCGATTAGATGAATTCATGACGGTAAGTTGATATCTCATATATCTTTGCAAAAAAAACTGTTCATTTAAATGTAAAAAGAGAAGAAAAAAGTGTTTCTCCAAAACCTACAATGATGAATGAGATTTAGAGAGAAAGAAATGAAAGCCTTCAACCATTTCCGTGTGCTAATCCTGAAAAATTGTTATGATAACGAACAAGACAAAAGCAGCCGCTTTCTTGTCTTTCTTGTCAGATATGAAGACAGCGGAACATAGTGATGATGAAATGTTAAGTTGAAATTATATCTTCCACCAGACGATTTAAGTCGTTTTAAGGGTTTAAAAAGAAATTTCAACTAATCGCGAGGGAGATTTTCACATCGTTTTCAGCAAATGTGCGACTTTAATCTTTTGATCGTCTTTTTCATTTTCTCCTTCGAGGCTTAGACAATAACAGTCTAATGCTGTTTGACTGAAATATGTCTAACAGTTTGCGATATTTTTACTTTCTTATTTTCATTTTTATTAAAAATTATGCTTCGCCTTTAACTCATCTCGTCATCTTTATGTTGGAAAAGGCGAGTCAGAGAAAGAAAAATTATGACAGATTTTAGTTGTCTTATTAAATTTCACGAAACCTCTTTCACAAGCCGTACCTTGTTACTGTTTGTTTATTTTCATGAATGATGAAGAGTTCGTTTGAATTAGATTAAAATTCCATGCTTTGTCATAGGAAGAAGAAAAATAAAATAATTTTTTTTAAAGATAGCAGCAGCGATGACAACAACAAAAGTAACGCGAGTAATCTTATCAACAAATAACTCGTTTCTCCGTAATTTGTTCAAGTCAAGAGATAGAAAAAGGTGAAGACGAAGGCAAAACTCTTACTCTGCTGTTTTGTTTGTCATTCTCATAATTCTTGTGTGCCAGTTATTTAATATTTGAGTACACCGAAGACAACTTTCCACTTTGTTTTTCCACTCAACTCTTATTTTATTGAGCAGTGCTGATTCATTTGTGTTTGATGACAAGAAACCAAACCCAATCGTAACTAACCAAGGTCAATCGAAAGATGATATTTAATACTCTATTATTTATAACTGACGATTGATCGATTAATTCATTGATACTTATAGGAGCATTGATAATAGATTTAAATGAGTAAACGCACAGCAGCACCACATATAAGCTTTTTAAGAATTAAAAAAGAAACTTGAAGCAATCAATTAAATCAAGTGAAGATAAAAACAAGGATCGTTGACTATGAATTTTAATAAACTCACTGCTTCATTCCAACTTTAATATTTATACAACAACTTTCCGTTAATTTCTGGAATCTCACAGATCTTATAGTTTAAACTGAAATTAAGCTTATAAGTAAACTTGTTGGAAAAAGAACTTGTTGATGACAATAAAGCTATAAAACTTGGCAATTGTCTTCATTTGACCATAACGATTTATTTCGAATTGTATCAAAGTAATCTTCATTTTATGTTTGAAAATAAAACTCGAAAATGTTTGTTTCCATGAAAACTTGGATGTCACTTTAACTTTTTTCATTAATTCTTTTACCATCGAAATTTGATTGAGCGGAACGAAGTTGAGAAAGAAGCTTAAGCATATAATATCAATTAAATAAGATTAAATTATCTTCAATTGAATGAAATAGGAATAGAAACAGAAATAGAAGGAAATAAGGTGCAATCACAGTTAAGTGGAATTGACAAAATTTTACGGTCGAGAGACTTAGAAGATTATCGAGACTTCAACTTTTCAAGACTTAACAATAAATAATTAAATGAATGTTCAGTTATGGCGTGTGGAGGCAAAATACTCACTCCCTGCTTTCTTATACGACATTCTTAAGCTGACTAATGCATTGGACAAACATATATTCACGATTTTTATGAGCCTAGGTGCCATACGACAATGTCTCAAACGAAGCAGCACAATGTGATAAAAGAATTATGAACAGCGAGCTTGTTGTGTGGCGTTTTATGCATTTTCGAACAAAAATATTTCTAGGCGAGTGTGATTCGCTCGTTATAGTAAATGCTTTTTTCCCTTGTTATACATGTTTCAAAAAAAGAATAAAATCTTCCTAAATTTTATGTTCACGTTATGGGTAAACCAACATGATAACTCATGTTTTAAATTTTTGTGCCAGAAAGTTTTTGTAACTAGAACGAATTCATTGAATATATTTATGATTCTTGAAACGTGCATACATGAATACAAGTGGAAGTTGTAATGTCGCCAAAGCGATTTAACTAATTGAATGTCATCTGAGGTAATTGTTTTCAATGCTGCAAATTTTCCTCTTTTTTTCATAAATCTCACGAGTAATCAGAGTGAGCAATTTGTTTAGATAACATCAGCATTTGCAGATAAACTATTCAACTGTAATAATAGTCTGGAAGTGAAATTGAAGAGAAGTAGGAAAAATGCAACGTTTAAATCGAGAGAATTAATTTTCTTTGATTTTGCTTTCCATTCTTACTTAATTCTCTGATTCGATTTCAATTCAACGAATAGGTGTGTATGCGTGATAGTCTCTTGATTTCCATTTCCAATGTTTATTCAAACATGTTTAAAAATCTTTTTTTTTTATTAAAAATTCTCTCAATTCTCATTATTTCTATTTGTGTTCCTATCCCTTTGCTCCGTCGCGTATTTTTTTATTATTTCTGCTTTTCTTATGTTCAGTTGAAATTGAATTTTAGTCGCGTTAACATATCCCGAGTTTAACTGCGTGTCGTTCTTTAGTTTGAGTTTTTGTTTTGTTACTGCAGTTCGTCTGTTATCGGTCGTCTTTACTTAAGTAATGGAATATTTTTGTTCGATCGTTCTTGAAACGGAGGAGTTGTACGAGTAGTTAGAAGACGTTAAAATCAAAGATCAACAAAATTTCATTCAACAGACAATTCTGTCTTTTCCGGTGTCATATTTATTTCATCAGATTAACTCGCTTTTCGCTTACTGATATCAAATTTCAACCGACTGAAATTAAAACCTGAATTAATTTATTCAAAAAATTAGAAGGCGGGTGGGTGGAGAGAATGTATAGAAATGTAGAAGTTTTCCAATTTGCATTTGATTCGAATAGATCGTTCTTACATTCCTTCTTCTATTTCTACTGAATGCAAGAATGTACTGCAATGTCAATCAATTTTATGACCATGTGCAGTGGCAGTAACTTAAGTAGAAATTAATTCTTTTAATGAAATTGAATTCGTTTGATGATCGTTTGATGTTCAAGTTCGTTCATATGTACAGGCATGTTTTGTCTTATACATATGTATATACGATTGAGAAGTATGACATTTGGCATAGCCTGATGGCTTGTAGTAGCGAGATGTGAGAGTAAAAAAACGATTCTTAATAAACCACATAACACCATCTACGCGCCATGTGATAAACATTTCTCTTTCTTCATTCTCATTCTTGTCTCATACGAATTGAGTCACAAAATAAAGAAATGAAACCTCGCATAAATTCTCGAATGCCTTTTTGCCTTTAAGCAGATTAAGTTTTTCTGTTCTGTTGCTCTAAAAACATCTTTGGTTTTTATTTTTTGATTGTGTCATCAAAGAAGAAGCATTGTGTCGACGATGAAAAAAATCGCCCAAAGTTTTTTTGTTGATCATGAAAAAAAATTCTTTTTCAAACTAATTTCCAAAAAGTTTTCATAACGAGGTTGTTGTGGGATCTTTTTATTTTAAGTAGCTTTCATAACACACAAAACACACAACGATACATAGCGATGATGAAGCAAGTTCCGCACTTCTTTAGATTTTTATTTTATGACATTCTTCTTCATCAAAGTGTTCCAAAACCGCCCACGCAATTTTTGAAATTATTTCTTTCTTTCTTTTTTTTTTGTGTATAACGGAAATTACTTGCTTGCAAAAGTTTAACGCCACCGTTGCATATGTCGAGACAAAATGGGAAAAAAACAAACAATGAATCATGAAAGCTAAAAATAGAATTTTTTTTTTCTTCTCACTTCATCATGTAAGCAGCTAACATCATTGCGTCGGGGAACATAAAGAATTTTTCTTTTTCAAAGTCTCGACACGAGTGCAGTTTGAAATGTTTCCTGCTCAAACTAGCAAAAACTAAGTAATGAACGAATGATGATGTTCGACTTCAACATTCCGCAGTTGTGTCAGCAATGTCCAAAACATGTGCGCAGGAAATTCCAAAAAATGATGAAATGAATGTGAAATGTGGTGGAATTAAACATAAACAAAAATTTTATTAAAGTTTTCATTATCTATTCTTATAGCAATCTGACATATCATTTAAAATAATAAATTCATTTGAAGTCAATGAAAAACTCCATTAGCGCGAAACTGTTTTTAAAAAATAAAATAAAAAAATGATGAATAAAAAGAAGGAGAAGAAGACATGTTGAATGTCGCTCACACGTACATCTGGTGATGTCTGGCGTATACTTTATGACTAGCAACAGTAACCCAACAAACTAACTTGAGTCTATTAAAAACATAATTCAACAAAAGTTGAAATGGAAAATGAGAACTTAAACCCTTCATAATTAATTTATAAACATTTTCAAATGACTTATGATGAGTGAAAAAAGAAAGTTTACAAACAAATTCATTTCTTTCTCACTCTTTCTTAATTACATTGCGTGGAATCTTTTAGTTGACTTATTGACGTTAGCACTTTAATCTCCCTAATGGTTGTAGCTGTCTGCTGATGAAAGGCAAATTAGTTGAGAACTCTTTCATTTTTCAAGTGACACTCAATTGCGATTGAAAATTGAAGCATATATCTTTAACTTCACATGTGTTGATCATTTTTCATCAGATGGAAATTGAGACGAGTCAGATAAGCACTTGAAGATGGCAGATTGAATTGCAGTCGTTCAAAAGCATGGTTTGAATTTATTTTTCATGATTAATTGCAAACGATGTTGTTGATTAATATCGACCCATGGTCTTTTGCCTTCTCAACTCAACTCGACAACAATCGACGTCCAATATAATTTAACTCAATAAGCGTAAAAACGGTTGCAGAAATCCATCAAGATTCTTTTACTGAAAAATTTGATAAATTGAAATTCACTTACGTTGTAAAGAGAAGAGCTTTTACTTGATTTGAATATTGAATTATGGAATCAATTTTACTTACGCTTTCCGTTGAGACTCTAGAGGCGGGCAAAAGAAAAGAAAAATCAATTTCGTATTCTGGACATCGGTCACGTTTCGACGTTTCTCCGGGAATTTCTCTCCCCTCATTTTTTCGCTTTCTTCTTTAGTTATGAACATTTGAAGGCATTTCAATGCCATCATTTAAAAATCTATACATTTTTCTCCATTTATATTAAAAGCAGAAACATCGAGTAGCGTGATTGTTTCAAGTGACAAATTGATTTGAAAGACTTTGAAAAAATCGCTGTCGTTGTAACTTGTGTGCGAAGCAAGTAAATTATTCTTTTTCTGTTTCTCCATGGTAAGCAATAACAAGCAGATTGTCAAACTTTTTTGAAACAAATTGAGTGGAACAGAAAATGACAAATTTAATTTTTGGTCGATGTGTAACAGATTAATTGATAACGACGAAAGAACGCGAGAAAATTGAAAAGAGAAGCAACAGTAGATCTATAAAAAATGCAACTAAAACCAAACAGCAGTATGCTGAGCTTAACGAAATCAATTGATATGGCATCGACCACATCAACTTTGTCGATTAAAACCACCATCGAGAGAACAGCCGATGGACGTTTTGTCGTTGTAAAAAAAGCGAATAGTATCGATGATGAATGCAGTAGTGAAGCAATTAGCAGTTGTAGTGATAACGATGAAAAATTGTTTATGGCAATTAGAAGTGAAAGAAGTCATATCAATGATGGAAAATGTCAGAACTCATCAATTGGTGATGTTACCTTTGATGATGAAACTTGTGATGAAAGTGATCGTGATTCGATGCTGGAAAATTTCGATGTCACTTTAGTTGACGATGTCGAATGTCCAAGTCCAAAGAACGAAGCTGAAAGAATGTTTTTCGAGGTAGTAGAAGTTTTACGCTGTGAGCAAGAGGTAAAGTTTTGTTTAATTAATTATCTACAGTAAATTGAATGAGAAAATGTTTTCTTGTTCACCTTAAAATTTTACTCTCTTATTATCAATGAGAAAGTTTTGGATGGCAAATTTCAATAAAAATTAAATTGAAAATTCCATGTTAAGAATCATTTACAATCGTTCAATTAAATATGCTGAAGTCAAGAAGAATTTTGTTATCGCTTTGTTTTTGAAACTGATTTGTTGGTCAAATCATCTCATTGAAATTAAAATATATTTGTAATCTCGACCCTTGATTATCGGATCACTGGAATTTTGTCGGAATTTTTCATAGTCATTGATAAATTATGTTATGTAAATCAAAGTTTTCATTGATGTTTATGTGAATGATTAAACCCTTCATCACTCTCCCACTTTTTAAATTCACATTTTCCTTCGTTAAAATCGATTAAAATTCTCTCAGCTGCCTTCTCCTGCTTTCTTTTATGAAACTTGAATTTTTAATTGCAAAAAGCCGGCCGTGCAAATGTTTCTCGAAAGGACTTGAGGGTAATATTTATAAAATTTTAATGATTGGAAAAGTTGATTTTGGGTTGTTTTATTCCAGTAAGTGTTACGATCATAAACAATAAATTCTCCTTCTTCCTTTTTCTGCTTCATTGTTTATGTTCGTTCAACACCACAACAGGATTGCATGGGCCGTAACAACAAAGTTCCTTTTTTACTCCATCCGCTGCTTCGTTGTCATTTAATTAAAGTTTTATGTCGTTCCACGTTTGTTACTCTCTCAACTCGTAGAATGTTTTGTGGTATGTGGATTTTCACATAAAACTTTATTATTGGGTTAAATTCATCATTTCGCCTAGACGAAATGCCTTTGTGCAAATATTTGTTGATGGAAAACAATTTTCAACTCAGCTTTCCTCGTCATCATCATCGTCTCCGTGGTTTAGTATGTCGTGTTGTATGAAAGAGACAAAATTTTCTGATTAATTCTATTGGTTTTCCACTAATGATTGCGTTTTGTTGTTGTTATAAATATTTTTAATCTGTTTACTTATCCGCCGAATCTTCCATCATCACTTTGATTATCTGTTAACTGTTTGATCTTTGGTGTTTGACATTTGCTATTCCATTTTAATGAAATAATCTATGGTTGCAAATTAATGAGGGAGAGAGAATTATTTTTATTCCAAATTGTTTTCCTAACTTGTTTACAAATTGGAGAATCAAGATTTTTATTAATCACCAGCCTTTCTAAAGCTTTAATCTTACAGGTTGCGAATTAATGATTTGATTAATTAGTTATCGTTTTCATTCATAAATTCAATTCAATAAAAAAATTTCAAAATGATTTGCGAAATGTTAGAAAATAATTTTTTACTGTAATTGCTGAAATAGAGCAAAACAAAAAAACATGGAAGTTTGTAAAAAAAATTTACACATTCTACCAAATTTGTGTAAACAAATAAACAAATAAACAAAACATATATCTACCTAATAGAAAAAATAAAACGACATGAAAACAAGAAAATATTTCCACGATGCGAAATGAATTAAAACTTTTCCGCTCTTTTCTGCACACTTTGTGATTTTTTTTTGCGAAATGTGACATTGCACTGGATTAAATTTCATCCTTTAGTCTTATACTGACATTCATTCTTTCATTCAAAAGTGCATATTCGGATGCATTTTCAACTTGATGTAATATTAGAACATTCATTTTTTCTCAAATTGTAAACGATTGAATGAGAATGAAAACTCAAAGTGCTGAGCTATAAAGCTTTTCTTTAATTTTTTTTGCAACTGCGATATTATTTTCTTGCTTTCCTAACAAATCGTTATACATACTTTTCATACCCATCAGAATCAGTGAATGTTTCACAATTCTCAACATCACAATTCATGTAACTTTAATATCATTAAAATTGAGATTTTCCTGAATTTTCCTCTTTGGAAACATTAAAGAAATTAGGTTTCAATTATCACAGAAAAAACTTCATTCATTCTGAAAATTTAAATTTCTCTCTTCCTTTTGAGACGTCTCCAGTTTTTATTTTATTCCCTTCTTATCTTTATGTGCAATGAACGGAACGTTTAATTTGACCCGGGAAAAAAAATATTACGAGCTTTTCCCCAAGAAAAGTGAAGTTTTCATTGAACTTGCTCTAATTTTCCTTAAATTTTTTCACTACATTATTCTCAAGATTTTACTCAAAGACCGACACATTTTTTTCTTCACTCAAAGCTTAAACAGAGCATCACTCTAAGCTTCATTCTCATATTGGTTATTATTTTGAAAGAAAACTACAAACTGCACTCGCGAAAGCACATGCCGTAAGAACTCTTAATGAAAGACGACCATGATGATAAATTCTTGTTAATTTTACTCTGACATCGTTGAACATAGAGAAATTAGAGCAAAAGTTTTCCCAATGGTGAAGATGACATGATTCTAGAGCTAAGCGCTTGAAATTATTTGATACAATTCTCTTCAACTTTTCTGTTTATTTTTAACGCTGATGACAAAGCTCGGAAAATATCTTGTTCTCTGATTAAATGTTCTTTAATTATTTTTCATTTTATTCTTTTATCAAAGTTCTTGCTCTTAAAGATACCGAGATATGAGTTCATTCTTCATGATGATGAAAACTTTAACAAACATTTATGTTTGTGGTGGAAATCTTAGTCATGACTATGGCAACATAAAAAATTTAAATAAATACTTAATTGTTCTATCTGTTACACTCATGCTGTTGACAGTTTTGCTGTACGAGAAACGTAATAGTAAATGTGTTATGTAAAAATTCACACAAGCATAAAACAACATAACTAAGTTCAGTGTAGCTAAGTACTTAGTCAGAATTCCCGCCAGAAAAAAAAACATGAGACACATATTTTTCAATTTTCTTCTACTAGGTTTTAATTTATAAATATTTAATTGTTGCAATTAACAACATATCTCAATGACATGAGTTTTATACATTTAACAACACTGGATTCGTCTACTTATACTAACAACAAACATTTCTAATTATAATCAATGAAAGAGAATGAAAAATTCTTTATTTCTCTCTCAATTTCGATTTAAAATATTTAAATATGTTGCACTCAAAAGGGTGCGACGATGATTTCATGTTATGGTTTCCAACTTAAAGGTATAAAATAAGCTGAAAGAGAAACAAAATAAAATAAAGTCAAAACATAAGTGCGTTGATGTGTACTACAGAAACATCCGACAGCATTGCAAAGAAATGATTTATTGATTCAGAAAATATATTTGAATGAACAGTTCAGCTTTGTTCTTGTTTCCATGACCTGAATTTTAAATTTATTTATGACGTTTTATTCTCATTTTTAAATTTTTACGCTTCCACAGAAAATGCGTCAATTCCAAAAAACTTTGGAAGACTTAAGTTCGCGTGTAAGTCAAGCAGAACAACTGGCAAATTCGTGGCAAACGCCAGCATCGGCGAATGAAGCCATTGATCAAATGCAATATTTGCAGCGCTTGAAAGATCAAATGACGACAGCTGGTGCATTATTGGACGACTGCAATGAACAGCAAAGCTTTTTTACTGCAAACCATGTTTTAGTTCCTAGTCAATGCTTGTCGAAACTTGAGGATTTAAATACTCGCATGAAATTGCTACAAATGGCCATCGATGAACGTCATAAGGTTTTAGTGCAAGTTGGTGGAAATCAACTCAGTTCATCAATGAACGAAAACAATCGAAATTTGCATAGTGCTGCAGGAACAATTGGACCAGTTCCGAATTTATCGAAGAGTGTGAAGTCGCCATGGGAACGTGCGACAACCCCTGCCAATGTGCCTTATTACATCAAGTAAGAGAATATTTTATACTTGAATCTTCAGAAATATTTTTAAGTTTTGTCCCTTTTTTATGACAGTTAAACTTTTCAGTTTTTTCAATGTTTCTCCAGTTTAATGAAAAGCTTGTGGGAAAAAACCTTAAATTTAAAATAGTCTCATAACTTAGAATTTTTCTGAAGAATCAAAGTAAAAGTAATTTATAATTTATTCTTATCGGGATAATTTTTCACAGTCACGAACGTGAAACGACAACATGGGATCATCCTGAAATGATTGAATTAATGAAGTCTCTATCAGATCTCAATGAGATTCGCTTTTCCGCTTATCGTACAGCAATGAAATTACGAACAGTTCAGAAGCGTCTTGTATTTGATCAAATTCAAATGGCAGTAGCAATCGAGCGTTTCGATATTCATGGTTTAAGAGCACAAAATGATAAACTTATAGACATCCCTGACATGACAACGGTTCTTCATTCACTTTATGTGACATTGGATCAAATTGATATGCCATTAATGTTGGATCTTGCCATCAATTGGATGCTTAACGTTTATGATTCTCAAAGAACTGGTCAGATTCGCGTGTTGAGTTTTAAAGTTGGATTGATTTTACTATGTCGTGGACACTTGGAGGAGAAATATCGATATTTGTTCCGTTTAATCGCTGACAATGAAAAGAAAGCTGATCAAAGGAAACTTGGCCTTTTACTTCACGATTGCATTCAAGTTCCAAGACAGCTTGGTGAAGTTGCAGCTTTTGGTGGGTCGAACATTGAGCCATCAGTTCGATCATGCTTTGAACGCGCTGGTGTTAATCAGAATGGTGAACTTCTTGAAACTTCCATTGAAGCGCAACATTTTCTTGGTTGGCTTCAACATGAACCACAGAGTCTGGTGTGGCTTCCGGTGATGCATCGTTTAGCAGCAGCTGAAGCGGCAAAGCATCAAGCGAAGTGTAACATTTGCAAGGAATATCCAATTGTTGGCTTCCGTTACCGATGTCTTAAGTGTTTTAACTTTGACATGTGTCAAACTTGTTTCTTCCTTGGAAAGAATGCAAAGAATCATAAACTTACACATCCAATGCATGAATACTGCACAACAGTAAGTTGAATAATTATTTAATAAAACAGATTTCTTACAAAATATAAATTAATTATCTTTTTCTTCAGACCACATCATCCGAAGATGTCCGTGACTTTACAAGAGCTCTACGGAATAAATTTAAGTCACGAAAATACTTTAAGAAACATCCACGTGTTGGCTATTTGCCAGTTCAAAGTGTGCTTGAGGGAGATGCTTTAGAATCACCTGCACCAAGTCCACAACACACCACCCACACACTCCAAAACGACATGCATTCACGTCTTGAAATGTACGCGTCACGGTTAGCACAAGTTGAGTGCGGAACAAGAAGTAATTCAACACCAGAAAGCGATGATGAACATCAATTACCAAATCAATTTAATCAGTCAATGTCGTCTTCAAATGGTCCAAAATCACCGAATAACGAAGCAGAGGAAAGAGAAGAACTTGAGTCAATAATAAAAGACCTTGAAGAGGAAAACGCGACACTTCAAGCGGAATATGATCGATTGAAGAACAAGCAAACGCCGACATCAACACCCGACGATTCTCAAACAACACCAACACAAGGTGGAACTGGACAAGGACAGGTTGGAATGCTTATGATTGCATTTGATTGACGTTTTTTTAATTTTTATATATTACGATTTTAAGGATATGATGGCTGAAGCGAAACTTTTAAGGCAGCATAAAGGACGTCTTGAGGCTCGCATGCAAATACTCGAAGATCATAATCGACAATTGGAAGCACAACTTCAACGCCTACGACAACTTCTTGATGAGGTAATGAAACGTTTACAATAAATAAACAATTTATCATTATTGATTGTGTTTGTTATCGTTTCTTTTCTGAAGCCAAATGCAACAAAAGCATCAACATTGCAAACACGCTCGGTAACAGCGTCACAACTCAATACAGAATCGCCAGCAAAATTGCAACAAAATGGACATTACACCGAACAGAATTCAAGTGAGTTATTCCTGTTTAATTTGACTTAAATGAATGTGAATGGTGATGGTTCTCATTATTCTAAATGTTGAAATGTGGAAAACTACGGTGACAACTTGATTATTAACAATTTAACATTTAAAAACCAAATCTTTTCTTCCATTTTCCTTTGGTTCATGTTTTGGCATTGTTAGATGGAACACAAGATGGAAATAACATATCAGGAACGGGAAATGTATCCGGTGCACTGAAAAATGAACAGTTTTTGGTGATGGGGGCAGTAAAAGAACGTCCACCACCACCCCCGCACACAAATCTTCTTAACATGGCTGGTAAATGTCTTTGAATGTTTATTGTTTTCATTTAAACTGCGCTAATATATTTGAAACTTCATTGCTCAACGATTTGATTTCTCCTCTTTTTTTTATAAGATTTTCTTTTTAACTGCCACTGTTAATGTGAATCAATTTTCTACTCTTACGATATCAAATTGAATTCACAAAAACAATTCAAAAGAAAAATGATGCAATTTTCATACAAAAAATTAATTTTTATTTTTTTCATAAACCAAATAACACATTAATCTTCTCTTTTTTCCATGTTTCATTCATTTTTATGCTTTCATCTTTTTTGGACAAAAAAATTAAACTTTGGAAACTAACAAAAATTAACAAACGTAGGACGAAAGTAAATAGCCTCATCACAACCAAATATTATCACATGAATTATGTGAAAATATTTAATTTCATTCTTTAGATGAATGATTAATTTACCATGATGTACAGAAGTTGAATGGCCGGAAAAAAAGTGATCAGGAATATATAACAAAAAGAAAACCTGAAAATGTTTATATTTGAACAATATAAGGTGCAAAGCATAATCAGAATATAATACATATATTAATCCATTTAGTATCAATAATAAATAAATAATAATAACAGTGACTAAACTAATTTTAACGATAATTTTGCATTGCGCTTAATATTGAAGCTGGTAGATTGGAACATTTAAAATATTTCCTTCTCACTCACTCATTCACTCAACTCCCAAACCTTCATACTAATTGAATTTTTACATTCTGTTTTTATATCATGAAATGAAATAATTTATTTCAACAACAGGTGATCTTAACAAGGCGTTAAAAGATCTCGTCACAGTGATTACCGACCAGGAAATTGCACAAAGCGATTTAAATGAGAATGACATCGAGTGAGCTTGGAAAGTTTGATTACTAAAAAAACTCTTTTTAATTTTTATGCATAATCAAAACAAATAAAAAATATCAAGATAGTAAATGAAAACAATGAAAAGTTTTTCCAAAACTGCAATTAGATAATTAGATTAATAGATAAAATAAATTTCTACTCCTTTTAATCCTGAAAGCAAAAAACCATCTTAATCGAATCTTATTTCTTTTCATGGAGATTCTTAAACTAAAACATGTTGTGATCTTTTGACTAGGAATTTCCTTGAAAACTTTATAAGATATTCAAGTTTTTGTAGTCTTACTTTAGACGATATCACGAAAAAAAACTTCAACACTAGTGTGCATATTTCAATGGATTGCACATTTAACGTTAGCCTCTTTTTATTCATTCCCTTAATTCTTTGTACTTTGAATTAGCTTCCTTCAAGCTTTTTTGTCTTATCTTCTTTGAAATTTACATAAGAGATGAATGTGGTTTAGTTATACTGTCTTTATATAGATTTGAGATTTATACTGTAATTAAATAAGTTTTCTATCTTTCCTTTCTGTTGCTTGCTTATTTCAATTAAATTTGATTAAGAGCGGCGGTATTCAACTGATCGGAAATCTGAAGATGATTTATTTCCGTCTTGTTATCTATGCAGTTTTGCTCTGTTAAAATTATATGCTAACATTTTTTAGCTTTACAGAGATAATTAAAATTCATTTCGTAGTTTAATCCTATAATTAAAACAAGAAAAATATCGATAAATTTAAATAAAAACAAAAATATTCACAAGAAAAATCTACTAACATACGATTATTGTATGGATGAGAGATGGTTAGCTTAGTCAAAGAATTTTAAACAATGACAGGAAAATATCATTGATAAATTTTAGTCAAAATAAAATCATATCAGTATAATGGAATGAGAAGAAAAAACTATAAATGAAAAATTGTAAGAAGAAAAGAAAAAAATTGATGACTTTTCGCAGGCTTTTTAATTTTGGATTGACATTTGAAATATCTTTTTATGTTGTTTCATCTAGAAATTGAAGAAATTATGATCACTTGTTTACATTTCAATTAAAAAAAAGTAAAATTGACATCGCGGATCTTCAAAACTCCTGCAAAAAGATTCTTCTTTATTTTCTTGAAGCTGTCATGTTAATCGCAACCTTAAAATATATCTGAAGTTAAATGTAATTATTATATGTCTCGTTTTTACACTTTGGAATTCTTATCGAACACATTGACAAAAATATCTTTAAAGACGTTTGCACAAGTGTTCATATAAAAAAATATATTTAATATCATGTTTCACTTTCTATGAAATATAAACCTTAACCCCATCCATCTATTCATCTGATTTATCAGAAACAAGACTTGTCTTTTTTACTTGTGAAAACCACAAATTGAAACGCTAAACTCATATTTCTAAATGCTATAAAAATAGAAAGGAGAAAAGGAAAAAAAAAGAAAATTTTGTACTTATTTAAACTTGGAATTTTCTCAAGCTTCAGCTAAAGTAAGTATTCCGCTTTTGGAACACCTTTTTGTACAATAAACAAGCCACGACATCTACTTTTTTACTTCCAACGTAATATTATTAAAGGAAAATAAATTTACCATCGAATTTAAAAAGACAAGAGAATGAATGAAAATAATAATAATAAAGTCAAGTTAGCAAGAATTTCTACCTAGTAGCGAAAAACTTCATATCACAAGATGAAATACATAAAAACAAAAACTTTTTCCACAATTTTAAAGAAAAACCACAAAAATCACAATATGATGTCTAACCAGATATAATTTAAGATAGAAATGATGATATCATGCACATATTCAGTTAGACAATCTTTTGATTTATCGATGAAATTAAATGAAATCTGATTTTCCAGTCAATCAACGTAAAACTTTTCATTTTTCCTCTCTTCTCAGCTTATTGATTGAAAACTTTTTGTTCAAAAATAATATTTTGTCTCTTACTTTAAGAAAAGTTATCAACATATCGAATGATGAATATGAATAATAAAATGATGAAAAACATTTGCTAACGACAAGTGAATGAGTTTTATTACTTATTTGTGAAAAATGTTTCATTTCATTTAACTTTTCAGAATATTTTATGATCACTAAGCTATTGAAAAAGTTAAGAAGAAGTCGAGCTTCTTGCTTAGTTGTATTGTTAAAAGCTCAGGATTTCTACACAGCAAATACTTATAAGTAATAGCAACAAATTCAAAGTCATTTCTTCGATTGTGAAGTAAACTTGTTCTTTATCTTCGTTCACCTGTTTAAACAATTGTTAAAGTAAAAAATATTTCAAACTATCGTTGTGTGTGAGATCAGATGAAAACAATGAGCGACTACTTTAAATTCAGAGGTTTTTCATAAAGTTTCTTTGCACCTTTGTCATCATTTCAAATCGAACTTTAAGATGTTCAAGTTGATTTTAACGATCGCGGGGTTCTCCATAGCTCTTAATTATAATCTTGTTCTTTCTACTCAAGAAGAGCCCCCACAATATGATGGTGAAGAAAGTTACGACTGGGATTGTGAAAAAGGCGATTGCGGTCTACAACAAACACAAATCAAATTCAGCATTGATGTACCAAAAGGTGGCTGCGAAGACACTTGTTTGGGTGCAGAAAACTCTGAGAAAATCAGCAAAGCTTTACTTGATGTCTTGGTCGCAGCCGATTATTCTTATGACGTCATTATGGATCTTATGTTGATTGACTTTATGTACGGTAATTTGAAATATGAAGATTTTGCTGATAACATCAAGGAAAAAGATTACCCATATCAAGGATATCAAGTATTGCAAGAACTGGTGAGAACTTATAGAGTGTGCGAAAAGGTCTGTAAAGTATACGCACAACTCAGATTGGCATTGCAACAAAATGCCGCTAACGCTGAACTTTACGAATATCCTTATGATGATGGTACAAAGGCAATTATCATTACTGGTAAACTTATGATTCTAAATCATATGCAATCTCAAATTGAAGAAATCCTCGACGATAAATCGATCATTCAAGTTGCTTTCCAAAGTGACACAATCATTTTGGATTCAAGCTTGGCTCAAGAAAAATGGCATGGAAAGCATATTCTTATTGAAGGCATAAGTGTTATAGTTCCTCTTTCTATCATTATTGATGTTACAGGTCGTCCAGGTAAATATTGAAATTTAAATCAAAGACATTACTAAAATTTATTGTCATCAATAGGGGATCTGTATGACGGTATGGTTGAAATCTATGCCGAATTCTACGACCCAGGAGAAAATACTGTCATAATTATTCCTGAACATGGTGACGAAGGAAATTAAAAAGGGACATTTACTTGTCATGAGAATGTAAAGAAACAATATGTAAAGGATGAAATAAACTTTAATAAAGAAGAATCGAAGTATTTCGAACTATTGGAACACCAAGTCATTTGCTGTTTCAAATTTTTAATACTTTAGCCTCAAAAACACAACATGTTTGTTCTGATCGTATCACTCGTTTGCACAAAATAACCGTCACTAAACAACTGTTTAAATACTCGTGTCAGTACCAACAATAAAAAAGAGACGATGGTGACGACTTTATTGTGATATTCAAGGCTTTTATAACTTCAAATAATTTTTAATGAATTTCACATAAGAGGAAGAAAATCAGTTTAATCCTATCTTAGTTTAGTATTTTACTTTAATCTTCAATATTTTATTTAATTTGATTTTTTTTCCAGGTTTAAAGGTTGAATGTTTGTTCGTTTGAATTTTTGATGTGTTGATAACGTGTCTAAATTTTTTCATTATTTATTTCTTAATTTTTCTACATATTTCATTTTATGCATCATCCATTTAGTTTAAAGTTAAGTTAATTTGCACTTAAAATGTCAACTTCAAATATCTTAATCATTTGATGTAATTGTTATTGACTTTGAAAAGCTTTTTGAAGCTTGGCCATATTTGAAAGCTCATTAATAAGAAAAAAGCTTCTTCAGTTGATTATATGTTTTACGAAATGAATTTGAAGAGTGTTGGGAATTATTTTAAAAAAACATTAAAAACAATTTAAACTTAGCGAAGAAAAAGAAACAAACAAGCAAACATTGTTGTTCATTAAATTTATAAAAGCATTACACTTTAGAGACTTTCACATTTCTTGCATCCTCAAAATGGTCGCTTCAAAGTCACACGATTTGAAAACTTTTGTTTTTCTTTTCTCTCGGTCGAAATGTTCCCCCAAGGCACGTCGCCCAATGAACATGAAAAATGCTGGGATTTATGACAGCATAGCGAAAGTTTAAGAAGAATAATGATTTACGATCAAGGATTGAATTAAATGAAAAAGGATAAGAAAAATCATAAATTTTCACTGGAGCGTACATTAACTAGGGGTGTCAAAGTTTTCAATTTTCGGTTTCTTATAATAAACTAACGATTCGAATCACGTAGTACATATTTGTGTGCCAATATGATGCTCTAAGCGATGCAGGAAAGTGTCCACTTCAACATTCACTAGCTAGCCAATCCTTTAAAATTTCCATTCATTTTCCTAAAATTGCTTTTTCAATTTTCTTCAAATCAAACAAAATAAATGGCATTCGATATGAAGATTCGGTAAAATATTTATGAACTTTTAAGATAATTAGAATCGAAGGGAATTTTCATATGAAAAGAAAAATTGCCCCTCATGAAGAATTTCGAAGATTGCACGAAGACCTCAAGCACTTGCTTATTGCTGGATGAATCCATAGTTTTCTTCTATACATAGAACATTGAGATACTAGAGAAATAAATGTTTATTGAGAAATGAAGAAACTAAAAGCTCGTTGAAATATTTAAACTCAAACTATTTGCACTTTAAACAGAGTTGGGCACAAAATGTATAAAAATAATCATGGAATTGCCCAAGTTCTGACTTTGAAGTTGTTAACAAATAATTAAAATAACATACTCCAAGAACGAAAGAATGTTTTTGATGAATTTCTTGATATTTAAAATAAATATTTATTGATTAAATATCTAAAATGTTTTCATCTCATTTTCAAGATAAAAAATTTTCATGTTTTTTTCTTCTTCAAAATGAAAATCAAGTGATATTTAGGTTTATGAAAAGTTAAAAGTCTTCAAGTGTTCAAATATGACGAACATAATTTTAGCAAATTTCTTTGACATCTCAATTTAACATCAGCTTTCAGGAAAAACTTGAAACTCCTTTGAAACAACTTCATCGTCAAACTCTCATCTGGAAAATAAACTGTCCTTAAATTCAAACATGCAATGAAGGAAAACTTCGTCAAAAAGATTTTAGTTTTAGAGAAAATATTCCACAACTTTTTTTCTGTTATTCTTTATTATATGCGTGGTGTGTGTATGCAGATAAATTTTCTAGATTTTTAACCACATCAAATGCAATAAAAAAACATTGCAAGAGAAAGTTTCAGAGTAAAACTAAATAACATTTGCTTTGAGCTTCTTAAGTCTTTTAATCTGCAGAATTTAATATGCGGGATTAACTCAATTTCAGTGAAGCTCCTTGTGAAATTCATTACGTAAAATTTTGTGAAATCTGTACGAATGTAACAGCATTGCAGTTTTTTCTTACAGAACTGAAATCAAATTTTTCATTTATGTGCCTTAGAACAACATTTTCAACGCAATCAATTGTTCGACTTGAAATTACAAAACATGAAGTTGATTAAATTGGAAAAATGTCAAAGGTGATGTGGGACGAAATATACGTGGATTAATGTGATCACATACTTCACGCTCTAATAGCTTTATGAATAGCAACATAGGCAATTTGAGAAGGACTGTTAATGTAAAGTGAAAGCTCTTACTTAAGAAGCCTCGTATAATTTTCTTTCCAAAAATAAAAGGAAATTAAACTCAAAAGTGAACAATTTTCGTACACAGAGGATGATACGATTAAAGGAAAGTTGATGCTTCTTTTGTATTACATGCAGTTGACTTTTATTCGAAAACTTTTATATCAAGACATTCACAGCACAAACTTGTTTACAAGAAAGGAAAAAATATGAGAAATTAGTTAAAGAACTTCAATAACATCCCTAAGGATATTTCATTTAATCTACTTCTCAGTAGTTACATGTTTTCATTAGTGTTGCAAGTCTTTAAAAATAAGTAACGTTTTAAATAAACAACAGTAATGGCTTGAAGTTCAACACTTCAATTGCACTTATTTAGGTATCATCTTGATTGTTTTTCTAATTTATTTCAATAAGATGCATTATGTAAGCTATTTTCCTTCGTCTCGTTGAGTTTTTAAAATGATAAGGAGATAACAATCCAATTACTCAGCAAAGACAGTTTCGTTACTATGAACAACAAAATAAAATGTTTTCTTTATTTTACCCAAGTCCGCAATGTTTTTTTTTATTTTTTTCACATTTTGTCCTTATCATCGTTTCGCTAACAAAGCTTTCATGAATATGAATGGAAGATTTCCTTTTATGAGTATTAAAAATTCTGAAGTTAACGACTCGGAATAATTTACTTACTGCAAACCATTTAAAGTAGATTAGTAGCGTTGCACAAGCGATAATTTTGTTTATCTTAAATTTTACTGATTAAGTAGATAAGCAGTGGAAAATTGTGAAAGCGCTTGCATAACTTTAAAGCGAATCTCAAAACTCGTAAGAGTAAAAAGTTGATTTAATTTGAAGAAATAAAGAATTAAACTCTCCCAAAACTCAAACATAAATTTAATCACGAAGCTTCAATAAAAAAGTCATATGCGAAGTTAATCTCAGTCCCATTCTGATTTCGAAATGAAAAGAAGCTTATCATTTTTACTTGGTGTGTTCATTTCAAGCATAGTTGACCTTACGAAGGCCACACGTAAGAATAATTCAAACTTCATTTTATTAATTTTTAAAAGATTTTCAACTTCGAAATTAGCTTGCACTGTTGAAGACACGAAACTTTCAGGTGAATGTAAATTCATGACTGATTGTCCTGTTTTATTTGCTGAATATCAAAAGTATAGAAAAATGCCGACAATTTGTGACCCAAGGTATAGGACAGTTTGTTGTCCATTAGAAATTACCACTACTACAACAACAACAACTCAATCAACAAAACGAATTAGTGAGAGAAGTGAGCGGACTTAATGTTAATTATCTTATCGATTTTGTTTTCATCTCGAAATATTTTTTAGAGTGTCATGAGTATGGTCAACATATTTTTGAGACTAAACTTGTACCAAATCCAGTTTTTGGTGAATTACCGGTGGAAAAAAGAATTAATCATTGCGCGCATAATGTTGTTGAGTTGATTGTAGGGGGTGAAGAAGCTCGTGAAGGTGAATTTCCACATATGGCACTGATTGGATATAGTGAAGGAAAACCTGATGGTTAGTTAAGTTTTGAAAATTAAACTAATCTAATGATGGAGTTAATTTTATTCTAGATTATCAATGTGGAGGCTCTTTGATTTCCGAAGAGTTTATTCTCTCAGCAGCGCATTGTTCGTCTACTTCCAAAGGTGTTGCAAAATTTGCTAAACTTGGTAACATCAAAAGATATCAAAACACGTCAAACAGTTGGACTTACATCATTGAAAAAAGAATTTTAAATCCAAACTACAGCTCAAGGGTGGCTGAAGATGACATCGTCTTATTTAAACTTAATGAAGTCGTAAAACTTAATCGTTTTGTTATTCCGATTTGCTTACCAACAACTGATGTATTAACAACTAGAAAAGCAATTGCAAGTGGATGGGGACGTGAAGGATTCGCATCAGATGTCAGTGAAGTACTCATGAAAGTTATTATCGAATATTTCTCTCAAGAAACGTGCAACAGAATTTATTCAGATGATAGTAAACTGACTCAAAATGGAATCAATTTCGATAAAATGATTTGTGCTGGTTCGACAAACAAAACAGGAGACACATGTGATGTATGATAAAATTATTTTACATTTTATATCAATTTATTAACGATAACTTATTTTCTGATATTGACATTGACAATGACAGGGTGATTCAGGTAAGAAACCGATCAATAAATTCTCAATGAATTTAACTCAAACTTATTCGAATGTTTCAGGTGGACCTTTACAAATTTTCCGTGATGACGTTGAATGCATGTACACAATTGTTGGTATCACATCATTCGGATCAGTTTATTGTGGCCTAATTGGTATTCCAGCAATTTACACAAAAGTCTTTTATTATCTCGATTGGATTGAATCGATTGTATGGCCAAGTCAGTGATTTTATATTTATTTATTAAATAAACATTTTTTGATCAATACATATTTCATGAAATTTTCCGATGACAAGATGAAAACTTTTACAATGAAATTATCTAAATACAACTTTGAACTTATTGTTAAGTTTTAAGCAGGGATTGAAATCCATTAAATTTTCCGATTATTTAATGTTTTTAATTCTTGATAAGATAGGTAATTAAATCAAATTCAATAAAATAACATGCAGGTTGACTTTGGATTTTAGTTCTAAGTTCTAGCCCTGACTTGAAAACGAGATTCTGATAAAAAGGTTAAAAGAAATAAAGTCGCCATCCAACAGCTGCTATTTTCAGATTTACGACTCATTGAATTTTTTAAAGCTATTCTGAAAAAGAAATTTAATGTTATTAATTTTTTGAAACTACAGAAAAGTGACTGAAATCTAGTGAAGTTGAATATTTATTTAAAAATTCTTTCTTTTAAGTTTTCTTTTAAGAGAAATCCTTCAACTCACTCTCTTGAGTTTCTGCAAAAAACTTCATCACAATTTGCATTCAAGAAACGTCCAAATCTCTCCATTAAAAATGACATTTTACATAATCCATTTGGTTGACATCCTGGAATATGTAGCGGTGTCTCGTTAATCAGAAACAGAACATCGTTGTCACTGCCATCGCAGCTAAAATAAAATTGGATGAAAAAATTGCATTAAAATCAGTTTTAGTCGAAAACTTAATGCAACTTACTCGTATCGAATGACACCCAAGTTCGCTCCCATCGGACTTATGATACTCGCTTTCCACTGCCTGAAAGCTTGCTGTGCAAAGTTGTGTCGGGTCAATGGATTCTCATCTTCAAAAGCACCGAAGGTCACGAGAATCATTTTCAATGATACCAAATGACCGTTAAAAATCCTCGCAACATGATTCGTTCGAAGATTTGATTTCAAAAATCTTAGCATTTCTTGAATCAAATGACAATTCAGATTCTCAAATAAAGTTCTATAATCTGTGTAACCATATCCGTATCTAAAATATGAATCAACATCTTTGTGATATTCATCGACTTGATGATTTCCCACAGAAAAAGCAGAACACATTGCACTTGGTGATTCGACGTCCCAAAGCATTTCGTACTTGCAGATGTTCATTAACGTTTCGATTTCGTCAGATCTCAGTTGTTGAGCTCCATGAAAGCCAAGCTTGGCACTTACTTGTGTTAACATTTCCTGAAATTCTGGACCATCAGCAAAAGCCAGTTGTTCTACAAATACTCGAATAACATCGTTGTAAAGATCACAATTCTCATAAGGAACTAAAAGAAGATCTCGTTCTGGAGCGACAGCAAAGTCAACTTCCTCGAAGCCATTCATCCCAAACAAACCATCAGCAAATGCACGAAGACTGTTTAGAGTTCTTTCAGTTGCCGAAGGCCGGAAGAAATAATGATTTGGTGAATAAGTTGAAGGAAGAAGTTCCGGAAATGCTTTTCCCTGGAAATCTCTGTGCAATTCCTTTCATTTCATTATATCCAGAAACTGTCAAGTCTTGATCATTTTCAAGTGTGATGTTTGGATCGAATTGCCAATTCCGTAATAAGTTTATGTCAGATGAACATAATGACGTTTTCCCTGCATCATAATTCTTTAAGATGTCGCTATGAATTCTGTCTTTAAGCTGTAAAATCTGTGCAACGATTGATCTTGCTGGCAATCTCGCTCCATGTCTAGTGAACATCCAAAGCCTTGATGGCATACAACTTGAAGAATTTGCATTAATGTGTGGACCACGAACTTTTTCGTATGGTGTTATATTCCCTAACATTCTAATTTGAGGCTTAACTGGATCTTGAGAATAACAGTAATAAGGATTATGAACTGACACACTACTTTCACTGTTTTGAATTAACATCGAAATTAAAAGAATTAAAAATAATGTTTGTCTCCACATTTCTGCTGATTTTAAAAAAACATTGAATTGTTTTATTAATTTTTAAATTTTCAAGCGACTGAGTCGCAAAATAATTGAACGAATCTTTAAATAAGAAACTTGTTATCAATGAACATGCATCGTTCATGTTATTAGATAAGAAATTACAAATTGATGTGATAAGAAAAAGTTAATCGCTAAGTCATTCAATCATATTTGTCAAAAGCATTTAATGAAATAAAATCACAAAAAATTTTTTTTACAAAAATCCAAGAACGATGAATGCAAATGTTATCCAAAATTTGATACCGAAAAAGTTTGATGAATCGCACAACTCAGTTTTGCATGAATAGCTGCTTAAATCGTCTCGAGTTCTCTGCTTTTCTAAAGCTTTAATCTCATAACAATTATCTTTTTACCGTCGAACGTTCCACAGAATTTTTGCATGTACGGATATTTTTTATAAGAGATTTATTATTATAAGAGATTTTACTTGGTTTCGTTGTTTTAATGCAGACAGGATAAATATTAAGTTTCTCAGCCTCTTAAGCTATCATATTATGATTCAGACAGAGGTTTTCAAATTCATATTAAAAATAATTAATTTTCAGATAATTTAAAATCAAATTTATTCATACAGATTTCGGTAAGTTGAGTGATTGAAGTGCACAGCGATATTGTGTCCGGCAAAAAGTACTGGCAGTCCTAGGTAGTCCCTCAAAAATATCGGACTGGGTTTAATACACCAACAGGGTTCAATACACCCTGAAATTGAATAAAAAAATCAAACTTTCAGTTTAACATTTATTTATTCAGCAAAGAAGAAAACAAACAACTACAGACGAATCTCTATAAGTGGAAGCTCTATAAGAAGAAAAGCTCCATACATGGCTACCCCTTTCAGCTTCCACTTTTAGAGATTCGACTGTATAAAGTCAAATATTCTTTTCATTACAATAAATTCATAAAACCTATCAAACTAAGGATTAAAAATGAAAAAAGATAGACAAGAATGTTGATTCTGTTTGTTCTCCCATTGTTGCACAAATCTTTTTCGCAAAGATAGCATTCCGATATTTCGTCCCTTGATTTGAGATAAGTACAAATGTCAGTGTTAGTGGCTTTACTCACAACACATCTACGTTTGTAAAACTTAGTTCCATTTTTAACTGTAAAAGTAAAAATTTTATTGATTTTGCAGCTATTGAAATCAGTTCTTACATTTTGATATTAATTTAGCGCAAAGTGGAACAACCTTAATGGACTTAAGCGATTTTTCAAACACTGATTCGCAACGCTTTAAACGTTGTAAAAAGTATAAAATGAGAAAAAAATATCTTATTGAAAAATCGAAATTCAATTCAATGCTTACTTCAATATTCAAGAATCTTGCATGTACACAAGAATTTTGAAGTTCCGGTTTTTCAAGACAATTAAAACAATAAAGTGATGAACCTGAAAATAAAATAATTAAAAAATCAATTCATTATAACATGTTTCATACATACTGAATGATGATGCACAAACAACTATCAAAAAGAGTAAAAGAAATTTCATTTTAGACCTTTCTAATAGGAAGTTCAAGCAAAAACTAAAAACTTTTTTTTCTTGTGTGAGAAATTAACTTAATTAATTAATTATTCATATGTGATGTTAAACAAAATTTCTACAAGTTATGACATGATAAAATTTTGTGAGATAATTATCAAACTTTATTGAGCGTTTTTTAGTTTCTTAAAGCAACTAATAAAAGTCAATGCTTTTGTTGTACCTAAGCAATTTCTTTATCTTAAAATTGGTTTCAAAGCAATAAAATGTTGATACTAATAAGGTTTTTGAACTTAAACTTAACATCAAAACTTTCAAATCTTTTTAACACAATAATTTAAGAAATCTTTTTTGCAGATCATATAACAAGGGAAAAAAACGAAACCGATTTTTATCGATTTGAATTAAATATTGAAAAACATTCCCCATGATTAAAAACTTCTAAGTATACCTTGACAATCACTGGTTAATATTACTGAGTAGACAACGTTGCAACAATAGAAAGAAAACTTCATGACAAAACAGAAAATGTGCTGTCTAAAAATGTTTTATCATATTTATAAAAATACAATGATGAGAGAAATGTATGAAGAGTGAAAATTTTAATTAATTCATGAAAAACTGAACAAATTTTCTTTCATGCCTGTTTTGCAGCTTCACTAAGGGTAATAAATACTGAAACAATCTTTATAACACTGCAAGCTTGAGAAATTAAATCAGAAAACAATAAACACTCACTTCAACTTTAAAATATAAGTAAACATGGTTTGTTCTACTTTCTCTCGTAAGCTTCAGCTTCTGTTCTTCTATCTTCACTCATTTATACAGCGATTCACTCAAGAGAAAACTTTAATGCAATACAATATTATCAACATACTGTAAAGTTTTTTCATACAAAAATCCGACAGCAATACAAATAAATCAACCAAATAATTTTAAATAAACATTTTTTCCCATTCAAAGAGATAAGCAAGAATTTTACATCAGCAGCTTCCCACTTACTTGAAACATACTTTCTCACTTGTATCGGTCAACCTAAATATTTTTCAACAATAAACATTTTATACTTTGTTCGGACAACATAAAAAATCTCCACTTGTCTTTCTTTCTTAAGTGCATATTTTCTTATAAGAATGAAAATTCACCTTTTCTCCTTTGAAGAATTTAAGGCGAGGAAAATTTCAGGAATTGAAAAAGAAAACTTGAAGGAGAAACTTTTAATAAGATTTTCATTCTATTGCAAAAAAAGGTGATTGTGAAATTTGATTATTGCGTTATATTTTCACCTTTTGATTCCTTTAGAGAAAAAGTATCAAATGAAATTCAGACGATAATCAGTGACTATACTCACAAATAAAACTTATCTTATTTTCCTTCATGTCCTTTGTTATGTATGTAAGCCAAGAAATCGCTTTTTACGTAAATTTCTTCATCACTGTGTATAATGGAATTTATCATGGGAAAATAAAAGCTGATGGACTGTGACGGACATTTATTGGACTTTATTAGGGGGAATTTATTGTGAAATTCTCAAATCGAAATGTTTCATTAAATCGTCATGGAAGAAATAAAGGGAAGCTGAGTGGCAGTAACAGTTTGCAAAATTTATGGAACAGAAAGTGCTTAGAGAAAATGCCCACATTATTTATGACTTATTTATAATTGAGAAAAAAATTAAAACCACAAATTTCTTTGCAATTCTTCAACAAACTTTTCCTTTGAGAATTTCCGAATTTCCCCAATCATTAAGATGGTCACCCAATTAATGGTCAATTTATTTCTACTTTCCAGGAAAATCCTATCTTGAAAGCATGAATTGATAAATTTGAATTGGCATCCAACACACAATAATCGTCTTGAAATACTCATGAATATAAATCGACATTAATAAATTGGAGAACATCTTGAAATGATTAGCTAACAACAGAAAAACAATGAAGGAACAAATTGAAGAAATATCATGCGATGAGATGAACGATTGATGACAAATGAAAATAATTTTCTTCAACTTCAGTTTTTCTTCTCCCTTAGGGTTTGAAACTTTCTTAAATTAGACATCATTCGTCATCTCTTGAGATACGCTTTGCTATCAGTTGGTCTGATAATTTATGGCAAATAATTCTAAGATGGTTTCGTTCTTAATAAAATTTCTCAAGAAAGATTGCTTTCTGAGAAGAAATAATTTGAAGAAAGAAAAAAATTTACAACAACCATCGATAATCACAATTCAAAATCTTTCTTTACTTTTTTCCTAAAATCAAGCTATAAATTAAATGCATTTTTAAACAATAAGATGAGAATACTTAAATCAACAAAAGTTCAGTTTAAGGTCAAGAAACAAAAATTTTGCGTGACTTAGAGTGTCACAGAATATCAAAGTTCAAAAACTTTTCTGGACAGTCTTTTAATATTTATAAAGAAAATTAAAAAAGCTTTGATTTAACTTTGTTAACAATCTAGAAAACTCTTTGCTATCTAGTAGAAAAAAGGAAAACTTTGCTCAATTTAGAGATCGTTTTCACCTCATGAAACTCATTTTGTATCAGGTGTTACAGGAGTATTTTAACTACAAACTTTCAACCTCAAAACGTAATCAAAAATGTTAGATATGAAGAAAGTTTTCCATCTCTGTCAAAACATTATACGAAATGGAGCGAAAGAAAATATTTAATTATAAGATATTTCACAATTTCAGTGTGTTCCTTATATGTAGTAGCACCAACTGCTCAAACAATTCATAGTGGAAGATTTACTTTAATGTAATTATTAAGTTGCTGTTGGAATTTAGTATTTACAACAAAAGTAGAACCAAATAAACATTCACATTGTTATGCAAATTCCTGCAACCGTATTTTTCCTCAACGATCTATTCGAGTTTTACTTTGTCCATTTCTAGTCTAGAATGTGTTTTTCTAGAAACAGTTAATAAGGATTATTTTCGAACTTATACTGAGTACTCAGCCTTACAAGGGTTGTGAAGGAAAATATGCCGTTTTATTTACAGCTTTAACTGAAATAACATTTTCAGGATTAAAAACTTATTTATCAGTGCTAATTTTCCATTTATATTAAATAAATGCAACATTGTGAGCGAGATTTATGAATTTGTATTATCGTAAAAGTATTTCAGTTTGAGCTTTACTTGTAATTGTTTCATATTTTATCGACTTTAAAATAATAAAATGAAGCGTTTTCCTTTTATTTTCAATGTTCATTCAAACAAAAAACGAATTAAGATTTTTATTATTATTAAGATTTAGATATTTAAAAAGAAATTGATTATCAAAAAAAAAATTCCGTTGTTATTCCAATTGAGTTTAAGTGGTTCAATTTTTTTTGTACGTTAGGTACTACATAACATATCAACAGAAAATTTAAATTATTTTTAAGTTCAAGAGTAATATATAGTTGACGAAGGAATAAAAACATGAGATTCTTATGGAAAGAATAACTTCAGAACTGTTTTTTATCATCTTTCCACCATTCTTCATTCGATTCAGTTGAATGATCATTTCATTTCAATTGAAGTCATATTCGTTTAAAGAATGTTTTAAAGTTAACTCGATGACATCAAAGAAATGAGAAAAACCATAATAAATCTTAGATAAAAATATTATTCTACATTCAAAAATTTATGAAATTTTATTCACTACTTATATGTCAACTTTTGCTTTCTCGCATCATTGTGAAAGGAAATGAATATCACAAAAATGTCGGAAGAAAGTCACGTGCAAAATAATCTGACAAATTCATAAATTATTTCAATGTATTCACCACTATATGCTCTCACAAAATCTAGCCCAAATCGGTTTCTATCACAAACTCTCTGACATTTGTGCAAAAAGAACCACAAATTATAAATTCTCACATACTGCTCGTTGCATTAAAAAAAAATCCCAACATTTTCCAGCATTTATCAAAAGGAAATTCCGTTGGTGAAAATAGGAAGGGAAGAAAAATATCGTGACTTTAGTGCGAGATGTTTTCTGCATTTTGTATAGGAAAGCAGCAACTTGAAACTCGTATGCGAATGACATTGAAGAATTTTTCATAACAAAACTAATAAGTAAAAATAAAGTTATGTTCATATGCAAGTTGTTAAGAAACTCTCAAATTTATCTTAAAATTAATTCAAATTTTATATCTAAAACAGAAATAAGGAAAGAGAAAAAGAATCTTACTTACCTAATGATTTTTTTATATTTTTTTATACAAATTTGAGGCTTTTTAATTTGCACCACATGGTGAGATTTTCGCTTGTATTTTAGTTAAGCTCTTGAATCTCCACCGTGTTTCACGGTATGGTGTTTCACTAACTACCGTATATGTATGTGCATTAATTTTCGTCTTTAATCGTTAAGGGAAAAATGCTGCAAGGTGCATTTGTATTTAAAAATTATAGTTATCTAGATGTGTATTATGTAATATGCTATATTATTATAAATATGGAGAACGTTCTCTATTCAAAGACTCTTAAATTCTATATCCCTATCAAAACATTAAAATTGAGTTTATTTTCAATTGTTTCCATTGCAATTAAACTCATTTTGAATTATTAATAACTACCAGCCAATCGAGGCAAATTATTCTCATATTTCTCTTCTTTTCAACAATTGTATATGATGTTACCTTTTCAAATAACAATAAAGTCAATGGTGGAAAAATAGTATCAAGTATCAATTAACATTGATGAGATGCTTTGAATTATAGCGATCAAATATTAGACAATTTTCGCTTATTTACATCGAATTAATAATTTTCATTTAACTGATGAACATTTTTGAATCATTTCACTGCCAAAAAGCCAATTAATGTAAATTGAAGCGGCTGAGAGCGGATGTAACATGCTTTAAATAAATAATGTAGCATTCGAGCTGCAACTGCTAAGTTATCAAGGCTTTTGTCATGCATATTTTAAACGAGAACTCTGCATAAATATTTCATTCACTGTGATTCCATTGAAAATATTTGAGAAATGTTCTACAAAATATTTTTGGAAGATACCTACATGACAACTCCTTTCTATCAACTATTTCCCTTCATTATTTTTTAAAATTTATGTTTGTCTTATATTTTCACGAATTAAATGTGAACTTGGTAGAAAGTTTGAATAAATCATGAAAACTGTGTCAGTAAAAAATTTTATTTCTCCTGTCATTCATGGAAACGCCGTAATCATTATTTATTTAACGTTTTCAATGAATTTTAATTTTACAAAATCGACCACAACACCATAAGAAAACTAATTTTTGGAAGAGAATAAATGCAATTGAATGAAAAGATTCACTTTTGATAATAATTGTAATGAAAACTCTCAGAAAAGATGAGATTTCATGTGTAGATAAATTTTCTTTTTTTTATTTTGTGACGCAGTTGCTACAACTTTCTTTAAATGCTTTTTTGTGCACCTTCTGAGTCTAATTTAGATAAATACCACAGCAAGATTAACAAAAAAAAAACTGTTTGTATAACCTTCTCAAGTCTAAATAAAAAAAATATTTGCATAGTGAAGGAATTTATTTAGCTAAACAATAGCTATGTTAGCAATCATTATTTCCCATTTTTGATGTTTCTAGGGATTTAATTTTATTTCCCTAATCAACCTTCAAAAAAGAGGAAGAATTAGGCCAAGCATTGGAACAAAATTGAAGCAGATAGATGTCATTGCTTAAATAATGAATGCAGAACAGAAAACATCTAATTTTCAGTTTCGCTTTTGAAACAGCTCGAAAGTCAATCAAATGGAAAGTAAAAAAATTTAAAAACCTTTTCCAATGTAATGTTACGGAAGTGAAATAAATTTTTTAAAACTTTTTCGATTAAATGCAAATCTTCAATCATCTGCCGTTTAGTAATCAATTATTAAACGATAGCTCATTGACCCTACTGCAAACTACGAGAATATGTATTGAAAAATGAAAACTTTTAAAAAAGATTTTTTTGGAAAATTGCAAATGTAAAATTTTTAGTCATGAATCAGCTGGATCGATCATGAACGCAGAGGTAAATGGATGTTTATTTTAATGAAAAATATTAAAATGATATTAAAATTTAATCATAATTATAACAATCAGCATGAAACGTTTGAAACCCTATAAACATTTTAATTATTGGTTGATAGCAGAAAATTTTCCTGAATAAAATGTTAAACGCCAAAATGTTGAATGCCAAAATATTTACACGTTTTCCTGTAAATTAAATTAGGTACATAGTATTATTATTTTATTTACTTTTATTAGATTTATTAAAAAATAAAAACACCAATAAAACAATATTTGATTAAATAAAGTAACAAAAGTATATAAAATATAATTTTAAAAATAATAATCTACTAATATAAAGTACAAGATTAGGTATATCATCTAATTATTGTTTTAACGTCAAGAGGTTTGAAAATTATTAAATTGCGTTACCTTTGGATCAATCAAATCTCAAATTTTGCGCTTACAACTGAAAACATACATCCAACGAACTGAACATAGTAATGTTGCAATAATGATCATTTAGCTTCACTTGATGATTTTAATGATTCAATGATTATGTTGTGAGAGAAAAGTCTTTCCTTTTAGAGAGTGAATTTCTAAAATTTCCATTTTCTCTTCTTATCATGCCCATGTATCAACAAGGATATTTTTATCAGTACATACAATCAATGTAGTTGGGGTAAACGTAAATGAACAAAAACAAAAAAGTCAACATGCAATATTCTGTAATGGTTCGTTTGTTCACCACATAGAAATCAATTTTATTATGTTAATAAATTCTTTCACATCCTTTTATTCTTTTTCAGTCTGCAGTCAGAAAAATATCTCGTTTTTCACATAAATTTCATATTGGTGATTGAATCCTTCTATGTCATAAAGGTGTGCTGGGAGAAAAATGATTCAGATCACACGCTTTACACTCCAATAAACTTGGAACAAGAATTACTTTTGAACTTTCATAAAACAAAAACACACGGAAAAAATGATTTTGTAATCTACCTAAAGTGAAAGAAAGGAAGGAAACATATGTCTTTTTACACATATTACTTTATCTGATTGAAAATGGAAAACTTTTAGCAACTGGATTTAATATTTCGTATTATAATTGGATAGCATATTTTTGAGCTTTTTCACCCCTCTAGCAGATGGCGCTGTAAGTCGAAAGCTTATTCAATTGAATGAAAGCTTTTGATTCTTAATACCATCATTAACAATATATTTAAAAAAATCGAAAAACCCCAAAATCCAACAATTGCTTTTGAATTGGTAAGTAAACACGAATATTAAAAATATCATTAAGATAAACATCATTCGGCTCAATTACACTAAATTTTTGTCCGCTATAAAAACTTTTGAAACAAATGAAATATTTTGTGTAGGTTTTGAGATATCATTCCGAGCGTGGGTAGAAAAAGGAAGAAAAGAATTTGATTAAAAAACAGAGTGATTTTTATCATGACAAAAGAGTACTTGTTATGTCTTTTGGTGCTAGCAAATTGCTTTATAAGTGATGTAAAATAATGAATTATATTAATTGTTTTTATCCTAATTAAGATTTCATTGAAATATATTTTTAATCAAAGGCCCAACTGCTTCAAAAATCATTCCACACAGGAGTTGAATGTGCGGGATCCATAACATGTATATCTCCGTTCTGCTATTTAAATAGGTTCACGTCATCAAACAATTTGAAAATTAATATCAACACCGGATGCACACTGCTTCGACCATTATATAAAATTTATGTGGGTCGACATAACTCTTGACATTTAAATAACTTACATTGAACGGTGGTTTTTCTTATTTCAAGGTGCAACAGGTCACAAAAAAAAGGTTCGGTTTATATCAAAACTATCGTCCAATAATTTCTTATCCTCCTTACGAATGGTGCAAAATTATGGAAGATGCTAAATCCAATCCAATTTATAAATTTATTGTTCAACTTGTAAGCAATTCCGTTCCATCACTTTTCCATATATGTCCTTATTGGGTAATTATGTGTAAATAACTTGATTCTATTTACTGACTAACATAAATTTATTTATTCAGGGACCAGTAAATGCATTCAATTTAACTTTAAACATGGATAAAATATTTTCCTTATTTCAACCTGGGGATTATTTAAATTCTCTGATAATATTTGATGACATTGACCATCAGATATTTAAGATTAAAATATACACAACTGTAACATAAGTTTTGGAGTACTCTCATATCCACAATCCACATCTGTTGAAAGACATGAAGAATTCAATTTATTGCTTTCAAGCAGAGTTTTCTTCTTCTTTTATTATGGACGAGTTACAAAGAGAACACAAATATTTTCAAGCACTTTTCTTTTTTAACGTCATGGAAATAAATATTTGAAATTTTATTTGGAATGTCGAAAGCATTCGAATGAAAATCTTAAAGAAAGAATAGAAATGTTGTCGTCCTTTTTTCGCTTGTGTTTTTAAGGCGTTTTTAGTATTCGAAATGAACAACCAACAAGTCTTTCCAATGAATTTTTCTTCCAGTGAAAGTAGAATATAAAGGATATGCATAGCTTTGCAACGTCACAGTTTAACTTTGATTTTTGTTGGAGAAAGACTGTTTTCTGCCAACGCCATTCTTATTTAAGACTTTAATCCTTCACACAAAAAAAACATCACAAAGAATAGTGGAGAATTTTATTGAAGTGTTTTTTCCTCTGAATCATCTCGCGAGGGTGAATCATTTTTTAATAAAGATACATCATAAATCTCGACGGGCATTTTTTTAGTTAGATTATTGTTTTCCACTTAACTTCCATTCAGTTGTTAATGCAGAAACGTTCTCCCATTTCAACTTTACATTCATTGATATTTTATTGAGTCAGAACGAAAAGTAAAAAAGAAGAGAAAGAAAAAGAAAATAAAAGTGAGAAGCGATTCGAGTTGAGTGGTTGCGTTTTTTTATGTAATCTTTTTTCCTCTTGTATTTTCGCGCAGTATAATATCGCACCAGCACTTCAAGACGATTTCTCTGTTTCCTTAACGAAGATAATTTTTTTATCAAGGCTTTTCGTAGTCGGAAATTAAGGAAAAAAGACAGTGAGATTATCTTTTGGAATACAAAATTGATCAGCTTGAGTATGACGAGAGTGAATTGGTTCAGTTTCATTCTGTTCAGTGTTTTATTCACGAGCCAACAAATTGTAGCTGCAATCGACTTGGCCCGTTTATACGGACATGAAGGACATAAGGTCCAGAAACGAAGCGGTAATTATTCCATGCATTTATTATTTATATTTTTCCTAAGAAAATGAAAGCGAAGGAATGCCGATTAATGTCATGGCCGAATTTTTCTCTTTCAATATTCAGGTCAAGTTCAGAGTACCTATGACATAACTCCTGATAAAAATCGAAAATGATCATAAACTTAACTTTAATTCATTTTGTAATTTGAGTTCAATAGTAATTTATGGAATAAGTTGACTTTAGAATGTAATATTGTAATATTAACTGTCAATACCGATTACTGATAGTCAAAGTCATGTCTATCGACCTGACAGACTCATAAATATTTATGACTTATCATTTCGTACATTATGTTCCATAAAATTCTCATCACTTTCTCGTTTTTTACATGAAATGAGCAAGCTAGACTAAAAAAATTCAATGGAGACAAATTTTCTTTTCATCGCAACATAAAAGAAAGCTTTCATAATGAATATGCGGAAATCATGTTCTGTTAGCAAAAGCCTCAGGATTAGCAATTTTCTATTCAAAATGACAACCTGTTTGATATGTCTCAAGGAAGGTAGAATGAATCTTAAAAATATTAAAACCATTTTTATGTATTTAACCTGTTCGGTCATTGCATTAGTGTGAAAGATATTTTTATTTCAACAAATTTATCTTTTTAATCAGTAATTTAGAATTCAATTTCAAAGCGTAAGTAGGTTTAATTTTGTACAATCACGCTACGAAAAATGTCAGTCCATAGCAAAAAATGTTCTAAAAACGCCGACAAGAGCAACGGAAATTAATTATCTGTTTCATAACGAACTAGATATATATTATTAAACATTAATTACAATTGAAATCATGAAACTTCTTCTACTTTGCTCATTAATTAAACATTTGAAATCAATTTTTGGCAAACACTATTTTTAGAATGTTGAAAAAAAATAATTTCAAAATTTATTCATAAAATATTAAAATTCATAAAGATGAAAATTTAAAAAGGAATCTAAAAGAGATTTGATGATCAAAAGATCATCCAAGAAATTTGCATTAAAAAGGAATTAAAAGATTCGTTAAAATAAAAATTCGTAGCTCACAACAGTGTAAAAGAATCCTTTTAACCAACGGTGTTGAAGTTTTTCGCTAAAATTTTCATCGATTTACATTTAGCAGACATGAGAATTGGCAGCTCAAAAAATCGATAATGAGAAAAAAAAATTGTTTTCACCTTTTTTTATTAGCCTTTAAACAACAAGACAAAATTGTTGCTCAAATAAACTTTCCATTCCTAACTTGGATTATTAAGACAATAAAACCAAGGAAAACAAGTAGTAGAATTTTCCAACTAAATCTGCTTAAGAACAGATACATAGTCGTCAGTTGGAAAATTCTACTACCTTGTGGAAAAATCCTTCCTATTCATATCATATAGAAACTGATGAGGATGATTTTCTTCATAAAGTATTTAATTTATAAAAGCGTATTTGAATATCTATTTTTGCTTCTTCAATATTCTGTTAAAAACCAGACAGCGTGGAAAATTTATTCATGAATTTGCTTGAGTGTTTCGAGAAGAAAACTTTCATTTATTCAGTATTAATAATAGAACAAATTATCATCTTTCCTAATGTGTATCTAGATATGTGAATTTTCATTTATATTACTGAGGTTTCACAAATGTATGTTAAACAACTAAGAGGCTTTGTTGCAATTGATGAAACTTACCATAAAACATTTAAACTTTAGTTAACTTTGTTGTATGTTTGAGATAAACATTAAACTAACCAGAAAAAAATTCTTTCTAAACGTCCATTGAACATCTAACAGCTTCAACTTCCTTAAAATTCTTCTATTCTCTGTAGAAACATGAAATGAAAATTTCTTAATGTATTCGTTGTAAATGACTTCGAATATTTTTTTTAATGAGGCTCAATGCTAAACTTGAATATCTAATTAAAAGATTTTCAAAGTTCGCATTTAATATTTTACTTTAAATTATACAGCATATGCCACTGAAACATAACGCGGTGACAATTTTTAGCCGCAGAACATTTTTTTGTTAAAAAAGTCTCGAAATTCCTCAGAGGGAAATTACCAGAAAAATTTTAAAACTCATTCGTTGGTTCGCTCGTTACTCTTAAGACATCTTGAACCTGATCTTATCTTAAGGGCTAAAAGAGAAACTTCTAAGTATGACTTACCAAAATCCTTTAAGACAAAACATTTATGAGAAATTCTTTTTATGTCGTTTCAATTTTACCTTTCAGCTATTTAGATAATTGAATATCCTTTGAATTAATTCTTATATTCAGTCTTTATAATTAATGGAAATTCTTCTGACTGGCCTACCTTCATAATACGCATCAACGAGTGTTGTTATTATCTATACTAAATTTCCTGTACTCAAAGAGAATCCGTATTATTAAATAATTTCAAAGCATGCGGATAGCAATTTCTGAGCAATATTTTTATTTCATTCTTCGCTCATGATTGCTTTTACATACATACATAAATACACCCACATAAAATTTATTCATGTACAACAAACCCAAAGTATTTTTTTACATATATGAGAATTGTTTTACTTTATTTCTTTCCAAGAAAAATTATTGTTTACTGTTTCCTAACAACAAAGAAGAATAAATAATAATTTTAAGTTTTCTTGAGTAGAGGTTATCGTTTCTAAGAAAGGTTCCAGAAAATGCTTCAGGGAGGCTTTTATTCTTTAGAATAAAAAAGTCTCGAATTTTCTATACTTTTACTTGTCTTTACATGTCATCATTTCCATTCTTTTACTCTCTCACGTATCGCCACTTCATGAATAATTCATGATCAAATGTGAAACATTCCAGCATGTGTAGGTGAAATGATTTAGGAAAAGTACCAAATGAAAATGCTTTTTTATTGTCTCAAAAGACTTTGCAAGAGCTTTCAAATTGATACATGAATTTTCTTCGGAATTTTTATTATCTTCATTGTCTTCTAGGCAATCATCTTTGGCATTTAGCATTGAAGCGAGTGAGTGAAAGAGCGCAACAAGTACAAATCCCAGTTGCCTTAAAACATTTTTAGATTCTTCGCTTAACTCTTTTCAATATAATTAATGAAATTATGTATCCCATTCCGCAAATGTATGTTATTGTGAATTTTTATGTTTAAGTGGCCTCGAAGATAACAAAAGAATTCATTTGATATTTTACCCCAGGAACCCTTAGAGAGGTTTTTCTAATCTTGGTTATGTTTTTGTTTTATTAAATTTACTCCTACATTGAACATGAGACCAAAATCATCAAAGAGTGCGAAAAATCAAATCCCATTCTTAATTAACTTTTCTGATTATTAATTTATTGATACTTTCTCTTGTTCCAAAGCTCTCAATAACCAGCCAACACAATTTATTTTTACACTTATTTATGTTGAAAGAGAATTAAAGTACTGTTTTGATTACAATGAATTGTTAATGATTTTTTCTTCATGTTTTATGAGTTTACCGAATGAATATTTATTCGTCTCAAATCTTATCACGTAACGTCCAACGTAGGTTGAGAGTGAAAAATAAAAAAATTATGAAACATGATCAATCATGACACATGTAATGATTCTTCACGTATTTAAACTTCAGCTTGTTTTGGTGTAAAATTACGATGGCTTGAAAGTGAATTAGTCTCTTCAGGAAATGATGAATACCCTAAATGCTGATTACACTTCAGTCTATTTTCTCCTGACAAGTACAAGAATAGTTTATTCATCCCTTACATACGTATGATAGAAGCTAAGTAATCAATTCATGTTTCCAGAGAGTTTTTTTCCCATAACTCAAATCTCTTACCACCTTGAACAAATGAAATAATATCTAAGCCTGTTAATCTTTACTAATTTTAAAGAAGCTTTAACTAGCTGCAATTAATTCATGTCATTTTTTATGATATTTTTTCAGACGCATGTCATCCCTATGAGCCATTCAAATGTCCTTCTGATGGTAATTGCATTTCCATTCAGTATCTCTGCGATGGAGCTCCTGACTGTTCTGACGGTTATGATGAAGACATGAGACTATGTACAGCAGGTAATTAATAATGAATGCTTTGACATTTATCATAGCCACCATCATTTGTATTGTTAACGATCTGTCTGTTTCCTTTAGAACATGTTGTAACATTTCTCCGAAAACTTCAAACAGAAGATAAAGAAAACAACACGAATTTGATAATTTAAATGCTAAAGACGAAATTCAAAACACGTTTCTAAATAAATGAAAATTTCGTAATAGATAAGGTTATTGGAACATCCGTGAACTTCACAACAAAGCTTAGTAGATTTATGATGAAGATTGCATTGCTTAATAATTAAATGCAAATACGAATTTCCAATTCAATTCTCTCTGAAGCTTCTCAATGAATGAATGAATTAATAGAGTCATCGTGAAAAGCGTCTTTCCTGAATTATGAATTGAATAATTTAAATATAAAAAAAATTATCAAAAATTATTATTTTTGTCCATTTTGCTTTTATCAAAGTCACTTTCAATTATTTTAACAATCTGAATAACAAATTGTTGAAGATTTTCCTCTAAGCCAATGGAAGTAAACTTTTAATGCAGTTTACATGAAGTTTATCAACCATTTTCTTCGGATTTCTTAAGATTCGTTTAACTTCAAGCGAGAAATTAAATCAACAAACTTTGAAAGAAAAATGTTTTTTATTCACTTCAACTTCTCTTAGATAATGTAAAAGTATTTTGTTTGAATAAATAGGGTGAATACATATGTTATCTATGTTAACAAATTGTAAACCACATGAAATTGAAAGCTTTTGAAGCAGATTCTTTGATAAATATTATGGTACATTACATATCATCCGAAATTGTGCCCATCGTGGGTTGGAAAACAAATAATTCGAAAAGGAATCAACGTTTTAAAGAAATTCCAGGAATTGACGCACTTCAGAAAATCATATGGCTTATATCCGAACTAGCATCTGTTTTCCCACCCACGATTGGTGAAACCTTAAATGGCAAATAATGTTACAAAATATTTATCATTTAAAGTAGATATTTGAGAAGCTTTCAATTACATCCCCAATTACCTAAAATTAAATTGGAAATTTTTATTACTAAACAGATCCTTCTGATTATTCTTCTCCACATAAATTCATAATATCTAATAACAATGGTGTCATAGCCCGCTTCTTGCTTTTATAAATATTATTTTGCGAAAACGTCGTCGCCATTTGAAATCAATTTTTGTAGTTTTGTACTGACAATTCTCATCGGAATTGAATTACCTAAATAACAATTATTTAACAAACTTTTCAATTTTATTTTCTTTCTGATTTAGCTAAACGACCGCCGGTTGAAGAGACAGCATCATTTCTTCAGAGCCTTTTGGCAAGTCATGGACCAAACTACTTAGAGAAACTTTTCGGCAGCAAAGCAAGAGATGCTTTGGCACCGCTTGGAGGAGTAGAAAAAGTGGCAATTGCACTGAGTGAAAGTCAAACAATTGAAGGTGACATGAATTGAATTAGCTTTATTTTGAATCATTCAAATCTTTTTTTATTTCTTTTCTCTAAAGATTTCGGTGCAGCTTTACATCTAATGCGTTCTGATTTGGAGCATTTGCGCTCTGTCTTCATGGCTGGTGAAAATGGGGACTTAGGAATGTTAAAATCTCTTGGCATCAAAGACTCAGAGCTAGGTGACGTAAAGTTTTTCCTCGAAAAACTGGTGAACACGGGTTTTCTCGATTGAGTTGCACCTGTGCCATCTTCTTCTTTTTATTACTCTGTTCCAATCGGCCCACAATTCTACTCTTATTTAGGTCATGACTTCGATGGATACAATTACTAAGGAGTTAAACACGTTTCATTTAGTTCAGCTGTTTATCTGTTTTTATCATTTTCATGCTTCAAATTTCTGATTTATGTATGTGTTTTTTCACATCACTAAATAATTCATGAGTTTTGAATTACAAATGTATTTGAAATTTAACTCCACATTTGCAAGTGAGAGAATGTAAACAGCTACTACTATTGAAAGTGATAGGACAAAGTTTCTTTCAACACGTTTGATGGAAATTCAATTAAAAAAACGTAGAAAATTCATATTTTTTATAAAACTGACACAAACGAGACAGGAAGAAGTTTTGAATTTCCATCAATTTTTCGTCGTTTAACTGAATGAAACTTTTTCCATCGTCGCTTTTCGACAGCAATAATGTTCATCAGCCATAAATAATTGGTTCAAATGAAAGCTTTTGCATTTGAAACCGAATTTTAGAATTATTTTAGTGATAAATTTAACATTGCTTATTAATTTTTCACATAAATACATTACTCAGTAACTTCGTGCAGACAAAGCTTCGTTAATATGTTCTTCAATCAACATAAAATTAATTTCCCTTGACAGTCAAATCGATTTTCATTTGATTTACACTTACTTACATTTTCTCACCCACATCAACATATGAAATGAGTTTTCGGTTTGAAAAATGCTTACAAAAGCCCAACCACAAAGTTTACACAATAAATTATGCGCAACAAGCGAGGCAACAAGTAAAATAATTGAACTTTATTCTCGTATTTTATTTGTGACAATTTCTCCATCAACTCTCGCACTCTTTCTCGCTCAATTCTACATCAATGAAACATATCAAAGTGTTAAAAGAAAAATTTAAACATATCAAATGATAAACCTTATAGTGTAGCAACGAATAAAAAGAAACAATGAAGCGAGTGGAAGAATTTTTATTTGGAAAATTAAAGCTGGAAAATTTTTCTGAAAATGAAATCGATTCCGCTCGACTTCGTTAATTTATAAGAAGAAAGTTATTTAATTAAGAAAACTATGTTTTTTTCGATTTGTCATTTATAAAATCGAAAGTTAAAATTAAAATTATAAAAACATTTTTCTTTTCAATGGAGAAAAAGAAAAAAAAGAAAGAACTTTTACAATTTTTAAAATTGAAATTTAAATAAAAATGATCAAGAGAAGAGTCAAAAAATTATGAATATAAAATCATGAATGAAGAGTAAATGTACCTTAACATTAGATGTTAGCATTGAATGAGAAGATAAAATACGAGTCTCTAAGAAACCTACCATGTATGAATCACATTTAACTTTATACTCTTAACAAACCGAAACCATAAGCAAGCATTCAATTCTATCAAAAAAGGAATGCAAAATAAATCAATTCACTTGATGAAGTTTCAACACTCTCCTCATTCTATGACTCGTTATGATGTAGTTAGAAGTCGTCGTATAACATTTTATATGAAATAAAAAGCTGAAGAGCAAAGAAGAGGTGAAAAAAGAGAATTGAAACGTGATAGCAAAGGAAAAATTATAAAACATAAAGTTGTACATTATTTTCTCATTTTTTTCTTGCACTTTATTACCACACCCTAAACAAATGAAAGGAGAAGCTTATCATATAAGAAATGTAAAGGATGTTATGGTTGTGGAAATGAATGACGAACATGAAGAGAACTTAGAAAGAAGAAATTGGAAGAGAAACATTATTGCGATTTAAAAACAACATACTTTGGATCGTATAAGATAGTTAAATAACATGACATCACCAGAAGCTTCAAAATTATGTTCTAAATTTTTTGTTTTTATTTTTACCACTTGAAATTTTTGAGCTATTCGCTAAAAATTTACCAATTTATCAAAAAATATATTTTAAATGTTGGTTTGAAGGGCAAAGTGACTGGTTTTAGTCTTCTTTATATTTTTCTTGAATTCGTTAAAATAAAAATTCAATCAGAATATTGCTTTTGTCATGTGAAATAATTTTGTTTTTATAAGTTTTGATGAAATCTTTTCGATATCATGTTTGAAAGCTTTATAATTTTTAATATCCGATATAAAATTTTTTCAAGATTCTTTTTTTCACGTTTCTTATGACTTAAATATTTCACGAGATATTTTCAACCTTTGACTTTATATTATTTAGGAAGAAACACTTTGACGTGAACAAGAAAGAAATGTTTCCTACAGAAAATACAGAATCTCGTCTCATGTGAGCAAATTACATGTGTGGATGAAATGATGAGTTCTTCTTAATCTTCTGCTTTCACCTCCTTAACATGTGAAACATCCATATCCGAGTATATAAAATGAACAAGAGACGAAGGTGGTAAATGAAAAATCAAAGATATTGCGATATGATGAAAAACGAAAGAAAAAAATAAATATTTTAAATGTGTAATAAATTCTATTTTTACAAGCTTTCTAAGTGTAAAATCTATTGAAGAGAAAAGAGCATTTGATTCTAAGATAAAAACCATGATCAAGCGAGGGAAAGACAGAATATTCATAGTTTTTCCCTGAGAATGGAAAAATGTTATTAAATTTTATGAAAAAATTAATTATTAATTTCTTATTTCACTCACCTTTCTTTGTTGGCAAAATATAAAATTAAGTTAGTCTTCATAAATTCATTTTGAACCGTCCCAATGAGACGATAAAGCTCTACAAAAGAGTATTAGATACTTTGTATCGCTTATGGGAGTGGAAGGCACTCCGTGCATTTCTTATCGTTCACTTTCTCGCATTTCATCGAATATTAATCAAAAAAAACCTGACCTGACCTTTTTATGTATCTGATAAAGATCCCCCATTAACATCACAAGGAAAATGTTTTTCATGAAATATTATTGAACAAGGCGAGAAAGTTTAACGAAATTTTGTATCAATCGTAAAAGCTCTCAAAGTGAACGTAAATTGGAAATTTAAAAAGTGAAACCAAAATCATGTAAAGTTAAATTAAAATTTTTGAAATATTAAAGTTTCGCATTTCATACCCTCGTAAAATGTTGAAAACATCTTTGACGTGCTATCATGAATATTAATGAAAACATAAACTTATGTTATATATTGAAATATCATCGAAATGTATCTTTTTTGTTTTATTTAACCTAACCATCCTGGTTCCGTTTGAAAAGATCATTTCTATTTCATAAAAATAAATAAAATCCAAGGAGACAAATATGCTGATGTTTTAATCTTTTATGTTTTAAATTATAATTCACTTTTCAGTGACCGTGAACAATATTGTGGTGATATTAAAAGTAAATGAGATTCAGGACTCCTGATTAAAATAAAAAGTGCTTGAAGGAATTCATCTTTGATTCAACTTTTCAGTTGAAACCTTTTTTTAAAACATTGATCAGTTGAAAAATGATGACGGAAATGAACTACCATAAACAAAATTTCACCAGGCTTACTATTAAAGCTTCCACATGTGTACTCTTACCTGTATATGTAGGTCGTAAATGATATGAAAGTTGTGATTCCTAATGGAAAAATATTCATTCGCAAAGGACTTAATTCTACGCGTGACACGGTTACAAATTTGGGTTTCAACACTAATACTTGTTATACTCAACATGACTTTGCATTCCTAAAACGAGAAATGAAAATTTTGAAGAAACGTATCTTTCATTTGACTATTGCATTAACAATAAGTTTACTAACACCCATGTTGTATCGATAAGAAGAAGAATTAGCGATTTAAAAGTTGATGACAGAAAAGCATGAAATATGATAATAGGAGCAGTGTGAAAAACTTTATCAAAGTACTTTAATCGGTAGCTTAATTTATATTCATTAGTTAACCTTCTATGGAAACAAGAAACCAATGACGTTACTATACTATGCTTGTCATATCTATATAAACCTCAATCATTCATTACAAACAGGTCGTAACAAAACTCTGAAACGATGGAAACATCGCAGCTAATAAGCCTAATTATTAATCCCTCGTGTTTGCATCCTGACATTGTGATCACATTTTGTTTCTCATTCTTTCATTTACCAGCAATCTGGTTATTTTTATTTAATTTTCTACTGCAAATCATTTTTTACAAACATAAATTCTCAGCATAACAATAAAACTACCTAGAACCTTAAGAATCACCCGGCATAAAAAACGAATTAATTTTTTTTTTTATTTCAGATAAAAATTATGTTCCAATTACATGTTCAAATATCATTGAAAATGTCAAAGATTAATTTAATTTTTTTCTCCTGTATATAGATATCATATATCATCATATTAAAATAGACATATCTCTGCAGAAGAATGCAAGAAAATTCATCAGGCGTTTACGAATAATTTTCAAATTAATAAAGCATAATTTTAAAAAGCTCAGCCTCTAGATAGGAAATAATTGGTTCAGTGTAAGTAACTATACCAACTTATCTAAGTCATAGCTTTAATTATTAATTAAAAAAGCTTTTAAAAAGCTGCCGGGTAGACCTTAGGCAACTTTTAACAAAAAATATTTCATTCTGAAGATTTCATAATTTCTATATGTAGGTATATAGAAAAAGAATATTTCGATTCACAATACTTAACAATTTAACAGAAAAGTATTTAATAGAAAAATTCGAAGAAAAATTTTAATTAACATTCAATAAATGACTAGATTTTCATATCATTGATATTAATTGATCATTTAAAAGTTAATCAATGTTTGATGTGATTCGAGATTTATTAAAATCCTTATTGGATGTCATACTTCTTTTTTATTTCAAAAGGGAATTGCGTGGGTGGGAATATGTTATGAAAACTTCATAAAACTTAAGTTCACTTATGAATTATCTAATTGATTTCTTTTTTGCTATCTATAATTTTTTTTTTATTAGCCATAAGCCTCTTTCAATGTTTGTCATGCTCATGATTTCTAATTAAATTTAATTTAATGACAAAACTAAAAAAGCTATATATCTATGTAGGTGAATTAAACTTTAGGCATTTTAATTTCATTACGAAATTAAAATTGTTGATTAATTATAGGATTTTGAGAAACAAAGAAATTGCAACAGAAATTCTAAAACTTAGCATTAACATTTCTAATTTGAAGTTTCTTCCCGAATTTACTCATTTGACTGTCTTTAACATTTAAGCTCATGTTTCATTATTTTCCTTCTAAACAACTTATACTAGGCCATATAATGAACTCAGTTATGTTAAATTAAATGAAAGAAAACAGCAGTCATTGATATGATTACAAAAAATTAATCTGAGACCAAGAAATTAATTCAATTAGCACCATTGAGCAATGATGTATTTGAAATAGTATTGCTATTGTCATTGTTATTAGTTTCATCGCCTCTAGCTTCATCATATTCTTTCTGTAAATCCGTCAATTGCTTTCTTAGTCGAACGACACGTGATCTCAATTCCTTTTCCGTATTAAGCATAACTTGAATCTGTTGCGTTATTTTTTTTGTATATGGATTTTCAACAACAAATCTTAGATACAAGTCAGACCAAAGCACTAGACTGAGTGGTGCAACTGATGGCCAAATAATTGATTGATTAGGCTCGTAGGCAGGATTGAGAAGTGATGTCATGACATCAGGCCGATTGAGATGTGACCACAAACTAGTGGTTTTATTAAATGCCATTAATTCAATTCTTTCATTCTCAGAGTCTGCTATAAATGTTCCATATTGAGAAAAGTAACTATGTTCAAAAAGAATGATTAATAAATGTGAATCAAACTCGAAACTACAAGGAAATTGTGTATAAAGTTGATAAACACAATCGAGAAATAAAACAAAACTCGCACCAGATGTTTTCAATCGATTTGTTGGTGATGTGTAACATGATTGACAATGTCTCGTACCAAATGGATGTCCACTTTGTAACCATTCACGATCGATAAGAGCTTGAAGTCCACGAACAGTACGACAATCGGGATTGAGAATAATTTGTACAAGTGACGTCACAATGAGAGTTGAATCCATGCCTTTACCACCATGAACTAAAACTGGAGCTCCTTCCTGTGCCAGACATTGTGCAACAATGCAAGATGTGTTAAGAGAATTCAGAACAAGTGTTAACCATCCAGATGCTTCCAATCTTGAAAGCCACTTTTCAGTCGTTGAATTTGTGTCATTACAAGCTTCGACGATTTTTGCAAAACAATCTAAAATCCCTGAGGGGTGATTAAAATTTCCTATCGGTCGAACAACTTTCTTCCACTGACTGTAATGTTGCTCATTCTCACTATTTGACTTAGAAGGATTCTTTCCACCTCCCCAAGTATCAACAATAAATCCTTTTTGACTTTTTGTGAGAAGATAATTGAGAATTGCTTCGTCTGCCCGACATCGTTTCGATGTATTTGGATTTGGTTGCGATGACTTCATCATTGTTGCACCATTACTTTCATGTTTATATGAAAGCAAAGGGAATCTTCCTTCTTCTCTAAATGTTGATGATTGAATCAATTGCTCGTCGGTTATCATCTTGGGAACAATAACTTTACTTGAATATGATGAGCAAACTTCGTAAGTGTTGTTAACATTTGATATGCGCCATTCTTCACTTGCTAGCAACTTTGAGAATTCTATCTCTGGTCTAGAAATTTAGAAGATTGTGTTAAAGATGAAAAAGCAATTCACTTCTATTGAATGGAAATTGATTTCAATTACTACCTGAACATGGTGAATCCATTTTCAAGTAGACTATACATGGGCCGATAGTAGAAAGCATACAGCATTTTAGGATCTCGTATGCTACTCAACTGCTCAATTGATGAAGCAACATTAAGGAAGTCTTGTGCTGTGGATATCTCGATGATAATAATACTAAGATCTTTACATTTCAATATCAGCTGATGACCTTTTCCTGGTAAATCTATCAACTGCTGATTTACTAAATAAGGTTTCCTCTCCACTGTGTCGATGTTTTGATGCAGTAGCTGCAAAGAAAACACATTTAACTACAATGTTTGATAAAGGCTTATCAGTCAAACTTACCCATAGCTCGAATTCGGAATTTTCATTCTTTCTTGAACTGATAATTATATGTGAGAATGTCAAACAAAAACTTCCCACAATTGGATCTTTTAACTGCGTGTGGAGTATGACATTCTCAAGCTTTGGCGTTTTAATAAGATCACAAAACTCCATAGAAAATTTAATTATAGACCAAAAACTAAAAAAATATTGAAAGTTTTTTTAGCCACTGCACTGTTTTCAATTTCTTGCAATCAACAAATGCTCTCTCCCTCTCTTATTTCGAAAAGTTCGAAACTACAAAAAAATGTTTCAGGTACCTACCTAATTTGTTATTTATGGTTTTGTTCAATGATGCTTGCCAAATTATTTTCAAATGACATCAAGAGACTAATTTTGGTCAAATTTCAATGTTAAATGTTTACAAAGGAGATTTAATAATTTTATAATGTTTTAATAATGTAGCGGAAATTCATTCAAATTTTTTTATTTTCATCAGGGGTACGTAGTAAATTTCTTTCATGTACTTTAGTACCCTACATTTTATTTTCCATTGCAATTGAAAATAGTAATAAAATTAAAATTATTATTCTGAAACAAGAAAAAATCTACTAAAAGTGGTTCAAGCTTGTTCAGTAAGATGACGGCTCATGACCAAATGCGAGCAATGCTCGATCAACTCATGGGAACAGCAAGAAATGGTGAGTTGAAAGTTTTGTCAACATCAACACTTTTTATAGCAGCAATTCTTATTTTAGGTGAGCCTCAATATGCTATCAAATTCAGCGATAATAAAGTATGCAAAAGTTTTTTGGTCGGATGCTGTCCCCATGATATACTAGCGACAACGGTAAGTGTTCAATTGCATTTTTCGTTATTCTCACCGAAAGTCTCCATGACAGTGAAAAGAAAAAAAATTCTTCTGGATGTTTAAAAATTATTTCCCGCTTTAGTTTTTGTCATCAGAAATTTTCGTCTATACCAATCAAGTTGTCTTTTTGTCGTCCCTTCTTTAAAACTTTTGATATTTATTTACATTTTCATCACTATAAACATGAAACTTTTCCCCTTCTTCTCTCGTGATTCTTCATGACGTTTTTATTCAGACCAGCTCGAATAAAAGTTGTGTGGAGTTCGTATTTAAAAGATGCTGGATGTGTTGTGTCTCTTGCTCATAAAGATTGTCAAAAGATTATAGGCCGAGAGAAATGTAGAAATAATATTGTAAGTAGCCGAGTTTCGACTGTTTGGATGGGCGAATTATTTTATCAGATTATTGATTACTGTTGGATGAGTTGTTAGCTTGGTAAACAATTGTTTTTGAAAGTTAGAAATTTTAGATAATTCCAAAGAATCAACAATTTGACGTCCATCACAGTGAAACTTTTCAGATAAAGATTCCGTTCCTGGGGTACGTAAAAATAAAAAAAAAACTTTTTCAATTGAAAACACACATAAACAGCTGAAAAAACTGAGCTTTGTAAATTTTTTACTCAAATCATGATGTCGCTGATGCCAGGATGTTAAAAACGTTTTCTCTCGATTTATCTTATCACTCATGATCATAAAAAAGAACGAAAAAAGATCTAAAAGTCTTCTCAAATCTAACGAAAAATGAACCCACAAAATCATCGTTGCGTGTTGGTAAGAAAAAAACAAAAATTCTAAAAATCATAAATATCAATTGTAGATGATGAAAAAAAAATTACTTTTTTTGAATAAAATGTTTTTTTTTTAGTTTTTCTTAAAACTCTATAATGAAAAAAGAAAAAATTCCATTTTCCGACTTACTAAACAAACTTTTTGTATTTTGTTTCGCCCCCGCAAATTTAATCGCGGGTCTGGAACGATCCTTTTTCTTATCTCTTTCTTCTTAATGACGGGAAATATATATTTAGCGAATGGACTTGGGCGAATGTCCAAAGATACATGATCTGGCATTAAGAGCTGATTATGAAAAAGCTCAACAAAAGAAGGATTACTTTTATGATGTCGAAGTAAGTTTGAGTCTATTTTTGTTGTTATATTTAAAATTTAATTAAATAACTTCAAAACTTAAGGCAATGGAACATCTGCAAGCTTTTATAGCAGATTGTGATCGACGAACGGATGCCGCTAAACGACGTCTGGCAGAAACACAAGAAGAGTTAACAGCTGAGGTACAGACCAAAGCGAATGCCGTCCACGAGCTTGCCGAGGAAATAGGTAAAAAACTAGCAAAAGCAGAAGCTCTTGGCGAGGCTGGACAAGTGGAGGAATCTATGAAATTGATGGGTGAGATTGAAGAATTGCGCATAAAAAAAGCTCGTGCAGAGCATGAATATCGCTCGAGTATACCTGCAAGTAGTTATCAACAGCAAAAATTACGAGTATGTGAAGTTTGTTCAGCATATTTGGGAATTCATGACAATGATGTGAGACTTGCTGATCATTTTGGAGGAAAACTTCATTTGGGTGAGTTTTTTTCTTTGATGGCGGATTAAAGATTGATAAATTAATATTTATAGGATTTTTATCTATCCGTGAGAAGCTACAGGAGCTGGAGAAAACAGCTGGACCACGTAAGAAGGAAATGAGAGGAAGAAATCGTTCAGCATATGAAAGCAGTACGAGCAGTAGTGATCGTCGACGTTATGTTGGTGCACGAGAACTAGACGGACGCTCACGATTGCATCGCTCCCGAAGCAGAGAACGCAAGTATGATTCTAAACGTGACTCAAAGTCCTCTCGTCATGACTCGAGACGGTCGAAATCGCCTAGCTCGAGCCATCATTCGTCGCGTAGATCAAAAAGTCGTTCAAGAAGTCGAGGCCATTCCTCATCTTACAAGCGCCATCGATCTCGCGATCGACGATAAACTTTTTGATATTTCATTTCCACCCTTGATTCTTTCTGACTTTCTTTCAACCATAAAATATTTTTCGATGAAATTTAAATTTCGTTCCACTAATCCAAATTAGATATTTCAGTGTCTCTCTAAGACACCTTCATATAACTTTTAAATGAATATTAAACATCAACAGCAAATAACTGAAAGTGCAGTAGTCATCAACTGCCATCTTTTCTTTTGTATTAGTATTTCTTTTTCTAACTTAAATATCACTACACCAATTAATAGTCTTTTAAACAATCGCTGATAATCAAATATAAATAAAAACTTCAAAAAAAAAGTAATCCTTTTATTATTTTTTTAGAATTCAAATGCTTTGAATATGTAATATAGTTTATTTAATTATTTATTAGCATTTCATTTGATTATTAACATTGCCTTAAGTATCTACTAAAATATGCAATATTTGAAATATTTTCAATTCTTAGTTGGCATTGCTTACATAATGGAAACTTTCATGGAATCGAAGATCTGCCTGATATTTAAATGATTCATTGCAACCTTCATGTTGGCATTTATATAAATTCTCTCCAATATGATTTCTCATGTGTTTTTTTAGTCACCGCTTTGAGTAAACGATCGATCACACCCTTCAAAATTGCAATTAAATGGACGCTGTTGAATAATAAGACATTAATTGAAATACAAATTAGCACTGAGAATATAAATTTACAATTCCTCTATGAGTAATCATGTGTCGTTTCAAAGCATTACTTGATAAAAATGTTTTTGCACAAGTGTCACAGCAATGTTTCTTTCTTAACATTTTCACTACATCAGGATTGTGAAAACGTTTATGATGAATCAGTTTAGCGTACGTTTTAAACTTTTTCGGACACATTGGACATTGATGATTCTAATTAAATCGAAAAAAAATCAAACTGCAATATTAAAATTTAATTAGAAACTTGTTTTGCAATTACCGCTTCCTTTGTATGAACACCTTGATGATTATGAAAATTTCTTGCATTCTGAAATTCTATCGGACAAAACAAACATTTGAAATTCCGTACATTATCATGTGTTTTTATATGGCGTGGCAGAACGTCACGAGTTTTGAGAGTTTTCCCACAAATAGGGCACAAACAAAGTTCTTTAATGTGCACCACCACCACATTCATATGATTCTCCAATTTTCGTTTATTATATCCAGAATATTTGATTTCATTTTTGAAGCTTTTAGGTTTATTGTTAGGAAGAGTTTTGTGAAATATATCTGAGTTTTCCTGAAACCATAGATGGGAACTTTCACTAAATTCTTTCTCGGAAAGTTTGGTTTCGGTTTTCTTTTTCATAAATATATCAGTTAGATATGTGACTTTTATTTTCAATATCCTCAGATATTTCTCCTTTAATTTGTAATTCTAAAAACATTTGCTTTTTCAAAACTTTTTCATTTTTTATACTAATTGATCGAAGTTCACAAGCATTTAAAACAAGTTGAAGACAAATGTAACAAATTGTTTTTGGTAAATCATCATTTTCATCTATAGATAATTCTGGAACAAGGAAATTTATCCAAATATGTATTGACATTCCTTTTCTCTTATCAAATATTGATATTGATACCACCTCTGACAAATTCTTCAAACACATCCTACACTTTTCGATCATACTACTTGTCATATTTCTTCTTAAAAAATTTCTGTTCTTTTCAATAGTTTAAGAATTTTTTTGTTTACAAATAGAAAACCGTCAGACGGCGTCAAATTTTTCTTTGAGTAGATACAACTGTGATTTTTAAACTGCAGGGACATTTAAAAAGTTTTCAGTAAGAAACTTTTTTTGTAATAGATTTTAGAAGCACCCGCACACTAACCTTAGGACATTTTATCATTTTAATTTTTATTTCAGTTTCGTTGATTACACAAAATTATTTCAGTGTATTATATACATTAATTTAAGTATTTTTTTTTGCAATAGTTTGACTTTAATAAGAACATCTATAATATAAAAATTGCTTGAAACAGGAATGACAAGACTACGATCCTTTAATGATTTAATCATTTATTTTATTCATGATAAATGAAGTTAATGTACCTATTTTAAATATTTTTGAGTGAATTTAAAAATTCACAATTGATGTTCACCAGACTAATGTAAATTTTCCCCAATATGACTTCTCAAGTGCTTTTTCAAGTCGTCATTTTGTGCAAAAGAACGATCACATCCTACAATATTGCAAATAAATGGTCGCTGTTGAAGAAATCAAAATTAATAAAACGGAAATTTGCGTTGAAAATATAAATTTACTATTCCTGTATGATTAATCATATGCCGTTTTAAAGATTGACTTGTTAAATATGTCTTCCTACAAATAGTGCAGCAATGCTGTTCTCTTAACAATTTTGCCTTTTCCGGATCATGAAAACGTTTATGATAACTCACTCTCCTATATGTTTTGAATTTTTTTGGACACATTGGACATTGATATGTCTAATTATTTGAAAAAATAAATGCTTAATCAATTTAATACAACAATGAAAATTCTTTTTAAAATTACCGCTTCATTTGAATGAACACCTTGATGATAGTGATAGTTTCTCTCTCTTCGAAACTCTTTAGGGCAAAGTAAACATTTAAATTTCTTCACATTTTCATGTGTCTTCATGTGGATTCGTAAAATATCACGATTTTTAAGTGTTTTACCACAAATGGCACATAAAGAAAATTGTTTCATGTGAGTGGTCGTTATGTGATTCTCTAATTTAATTTTTACAATGGCAGTATATCCACACAAATCACAAACAAAGCTTCTTTCATGGTTCTTCAAATGACGGAAAAGTTTCAGACCATACGCAAATTTATTACCACATTTGAGACATCGATGAGTGATTTTCTCGTTATGATGACTCAAATGTTTCTCAATATCAACATAATTATCAAAAGTTAAACTACATTTATTGCATAAAACTACTTTTCTGTTTAAATCGAAATCATTCTGATGTGATAATACATGAACTTTCAAGTCACTATCGTTGACAGATTCAAATGTGCAAGCTATACATGCAAACCTTTGCTCAGGTTCTTGATATTCTTCAACATATTCACAATGAATGTAAGTATGTAGATTTAATAGTGTCAAATTATTTTCTTTGAAACCACAAACTTTACATAGTCTCAGTTTTTTGTCGTATCTGCTATTTGATGAATAAGAACAAATGTTACGATATGGCGCTTTTTTTAGTCCGAATCGAACAGTTCCTTTCATATGAGCTCTCATATGTTTTTCCAATATAGATTTAGTTTTCAAGATTCTAAATTCTCCATTATTTTCACAAATTTCACAATGAAAATTCGACCCAAGAACCGGCTTGGGATTTTTCCTAAATTTAGTTTTATTTCTTAGTTTATGTTCCTTATTAACATAATTTTCAAGCTCGTCAAATGTTGATTGGGGTTCCAAAAACCACAAATGAGAATTTTCACCAACTTCTATTTCAAAAAGTTCTGTTTCGGGTTCTTGTTTAATAAACAAATCAGCTAATTGACTTTTATTTTTCATGTCTTCCAGAATTTCTTCTTTAACTTGTAGTTCTGAAATAACTTGACTTCTAAGAAGGTTATCATTTTTTATACTAGTTGATCGAAGTTCACAAGCATTTAAAACAATTTGAAGACAAATGTAACAAATTGTTTTTGGCAAATCATCATTTTCATCTATAGATAATTCTGGAACAAGGAAGTTTATCCAACTATGTATTGACATTCCTTTTCTCTTATCAAATATTGATATTGATACCGCCTCTGACAAGTTCTTCAAACACATCCTACACTTTTCACTCATATTATTCGCCATATTTGTCTTTTTATCTTTAAAATTTATATTTTTCTTTTTTATGTCAGTCAAGAATTTTCATTTTTGTTTACAATGAGAAAGCCGTCAGTCGGCAAATATTTTTTTCTTCTAAAAGAAAGGGTGTCAATCTGCTGCAATTTTTTTTATGAATTGTGTTTTCACCATATTTCACAATCATTTAGATTTATAGATTTTCAGCTCGTTTATCAATTGGTGTTTAATTTTTAATACATTGAACCATTTCCGAGATATTCTTAAAATAACCAAGACTATTCGCACCGTACGAAACTGATCAAAAGCAGTAGATCGACATCCTTGAATTTTTAAAAGCATTTGTTTTCATGCCAAATGTATACAAAAGACAAAGCCAAAAGTTTCAATATAAGGAATTAATCTTATCAAGATAAAAACATGTCAAAATAAAATATAAAAAAAATCTATTTTAACGAAATTTCGAAAACAAATTTCGCGCCTGAACCTCAACTAAAACCAGTCGATTCTAAATTTAACCCTGATACATCGTAGTGAGAAGAAGTGTCAAAATCTATTATTGATCATCTTTATTACTTTATTAGTCATACAATCAACTAGTTACATCTAAAAATAAAAATGTCTATAAGCCTTAATCCACAATATAGTGACATAGGTAAGCTTAACAAAATTACAATAATTATACTTGCGATACATGACACAATTTTTGGCGTTATTCCTTATTTAGGAAAGGGCTTTGTCACTCAATATTACGCCCTATTTGATGATCCAAATCAACGTAACTCTCTGGTCAATATGTATAATGTAAGTACTATGCTGATATAAATATGTTTTAGAACATTCGAGATGACTTTTTATGCTCACCTTATAATTTCGTGATTCACTGACATCGAATATGGTAAAATTAAACATATTTTTTAGAATGAGCTGTCGTTTATGACATTTGAAGGACAACAAGTTCAAGGAGCGACAAAGATCTTAGAAAAGTTACAAAGCCTCACTTTCCAAAAAATCAATCGGATCATAACGGCTGTTGACTCACAGCCAATGTTTGATGGCGGAGTTCTTATTAATGTTTTAGGACGATTACAGGTGAGAAAAACAGTGTCATGGTATTAAAAAGAAAATGATTTAAAGTCAATATTATACCGCAACTTCAATTCAGACGGATGGCGATCCTCCACATGACTACACCCAAACCTTCATTCTTAAACCGATAGGAAATAGTTTTTTCGTTCAACATGATATATTTCGTCTCGCTCTTCATGACATGGCTTAATATTCTCAAATATTCATCGTTAAACGCGTGAACATAATGTTGCTTAATCAAATCGATAAAAAATTATATCTAGGAATAATCCTCCAACAATAGAGACAAAACTCTACCCAGAAGATTCAGCAGGTCAGCACTTGTTGATTAAGTTTTCTAACTTCATTTAACTTTCACAATGTTAAACTTTTGGTTTTAACTTCTTACATTTTCTTTTTTGATTTTTTTTTACTTCATTTCTGAATTCATTCGTTTTTAATTCATTAATTTATTGACATTTTTTAAATCAAAACTCCATTGCATAAATGCATTAATATATTGATAGATGGTTTTGTAACTTAATTTTTAATATAGGTAATTTGAAAATAATTCTAATTGAGATCTTCATTCATATTCAACAGACCGACGACGACATGCCACATGCTTACACACAAATCTTCATACTCAAGCCGCTAAATGGAAGTTTCTTTCTACAGCATGATATTTTCCGATTAGCACTCCATGATATGGCCTAATTAATTTGGGTCGTTGGTTACACCATCATCAAGAAAACTCGCTATTTAATTTCAAGTTTAAAACATTTTCTTTATCAATCTTAATTAATCTACCTACCATCACGATTATTATCGTTGCTTCAATATTTTGATCTTTTCATAATATATTTCGAAATTAAAAATCTATTTTTTTTAATAAAAAAAATTCATGAAAGTAAGTTTTTTAAGATTCTTTTATTCTGTTTTTTTTTTGTCATTTCCATGTAATATTTAATGAGAAGCTTGAAAAATTCTTCAGCTGTTTCACAATATTTTACATTGGGAAATAAAATACAAATTTTCTTTAAACGATGGATCATTCATCTATTTATGAATTTAGAAACTTCATCTTCTTGTTTTATTCTTTTGGTCTAGACACATAAAAAAATTATATTTCAGAAACGATTGTTACACCTGTTAGAAACAAATTTCAGTTAAATAATATTTAATTTTGTTCATTTTAAAAAGATTATCACATAAATGGCAACTGTTATTAAGTATCTGCATACTTATAAAAAAAATAATTACAAATTAATTGACAACCGCTGGCTTAAATACTAAGCAAACGAATTTAAGTTTGTACTTAAAAGCTCGATTAAAAATAAATAAAAATTTGCTCTATGGTTACAATGAAAAAAAAACATTCGGCTCTACTCACTCGTTGAAACTTTCATCGCTCTTAAAGATGACAAAAGTATTGTTGAGATTATAAATATTGAGTGATTTAAGGAATCTAAATAGGGAAAGGTTTATAACTTATCTTCTTCTAAGTCGAGAGCTCAAGAAGATTTTTTTAAATGCAAATCATCTTTGAGTATTAAATCGTAAATTTTTAAATTCAAATAGGGTAAAGTGACATAAAGTGGTTACAAAAAAAAAAGAGGACCTATTGTGGTAACACCTAATTTCGAATGCGATTTTCTTCGCTATTTTACATTTTTATGGCTCAAAACTTTTTACAGAAGTGCTTTGAACTATCTACTCTACTTCTGTACAAAGTTTTGAGCCATAAAAATGTAAAATAGCGAAGAAAATCGCATTCGAAATTAGGTGTTACCACAATAGGTCCTCTTTTTTTTTTGTAACCACTTTATGTCACTTTACCCTATATTATGAATAATTTTTCTTAATTTTAAAAGAGTATTAATAAGCATATGTTTCGAATGTCTGTCAAGTAGAATGCACACAAACGTTAAATTTATTTTCGCCTTATGACTCGAACTTTACTCATAGCGCCACGAAACTTAAAGCAGCGAATCTTATCACGCTTTGGTTCACTTTCTCCCCCTCCCTCTTCTTGATTCAAGTATCTCATGACAATAAGAACACCCAAGACTAGAAGTGAGATTATCAGAATTGTATAGAAATGAAGTGATGAAATTGGAATCTTTTCAATCTCTTCGAGAGCCTGAAGAATTTTATCGTGTTGAGGCGAGAGTTCAAGAGCATGACGAAAATGTAAAACTGACTCTTGAATATTTCCATATTTTTTAAATATTTCTCCAAGCGTAAAGTATTGTCGCCATGCTGATCGATCTGCAGAATGAACTTCAAGGGATCTAAAACAATCATTATGTTATCAATTATTCTAATTATATGGACAATGACAAATAATGTTGTCTTACTTGCGTGTTAAGAAAATTGCATCTTCCAAATATCCTTGGTGAAAAAGAACTCTTGCCAAATTCAAAATTACTTCACTGTTTGTTGGATTAATCGATAAAGCTTTGCGAAAACATTCAATCGAAATCAGAGCATTTCCTTTAATGCGCCAGAAGTTTCCAATCTTATTGTATAATTGGACACTTCTAGGTTTATCTCGTTTGTCTTTTCTCAGCTTCATTTCCAAAGCATCAACATCAAAACTTTTACGCATTTTCCCGCTTTTAGATTTTGTAGTGAAAGTAAACAGAACATCAGGTTCTGGTAGATTTTTGTGCTTCTTTCGATGAATAATGCCCACAAGATCATCATAATATGTAAAGTTGACAGGCTTGCCACAATCAAGAACTTCATATTCCGGAAAATCTTTGTCGTCCTTAGAATTTTTCCGAAGTGATGCCTCATACAAATCACTTGAATTTCTGTTGTCAGTGAATGGTCGTATCCTTAAAAATTATTGAAAAATTGTTAAGCAAATTAAAATTAATTAAATGATTAACTCACTCTGGCATCACATCAATAGTAAACTCAAGGTTATCACCGTCCTTTACCCATACATTATCCTTCTTATCATCGGTGGAACTGATTATGTAGAATATATCATCGTCTATCAACTCAATCTGGTTGAGCATTACAATTTTATTATTCTGTAACTGAAATAACTGTGATTTTGTATTGGTAAACGTTATTTGCAATAGGAATACAAAGTAACAAAGTGATATTATTTGAATGTTTTCCATTGTCAAACAAATTTTCGATTTCATTTCTTTTGTTTTCCAAACTTCTCTTTCAATGTTATTTTATGTCTGATTGTCATTTTGAAAAGCGCGCAAAGTTTAAAATTCAAAAGGAAAAACTACCTAAATATGACTTTTCTTTTCGTCTTTCTTCATAACGTAGGTATTACCTAATGCTGGAACAACACTCTCAGTAAAAAAAATGAAACTTACTGATTATAAATTTTCTCTATGAGAGAAACACTCTTGTGCTAGTTTATTTAGAGAGAAGAAAACACATCTATTCTTTCATAAATTATTAAATATCTACCTACTTATAAAATAAAAAACAAATATTAAAATTTTTAATACTGATGTAAACATTGTTCATTTGCTGTTCAAATAGTGATCACTTTCATGATGTCTCAATTCTGATTTATATTTGAATGTTTCTGAACATCCTGGATGTTCACATTGATAAATATTTTCTCCTATGTGTGAGCGAAAATGTTTGTTAAGATCATTACGTTGAGTAAATGATTTATCACATCCTACAAAATCACAAGCAAAAGGTCTCTGTAAAATAAAATCATTGATTAGAAAAATCTGTTATTTTATCAATTTTCACATTTTTACTTCTCCTGTGTGCGTCACCATATGAACATGAAGCTTGCCCTTTGTCAAAAAGCCTTTGAAGCAATATGAACAAGTATTTTTTCGTTTCATTTCTTCCACTTTGACTGGATCGTGAAGCTTTAGATGAAGCATAAGATTGCGATAACCTTTGTACTTGTTTGGACATTTCAAACACTGGAATGTCTGAATTTTGTAAGAATAAATCAAACTTTAACACACCAAAAAAATTTGATTCCTAAAAATACTCACTGGTTCTTTCGCATGAACAGTCTGATGGAATTTATATTTTAGAGGAGACTGAAAAGCTTTAGGACAGAAAGAACATTTGTATTTCTTATCTGTTTCATGCTTGAGTCTGATATGAGTTCGCAATATCCAATCAGTTCTCTCTTTAACACCGCAAATAGGACATAAGTAAGTAAATTCACGAATGTGAACTGTACGAATATGTTCTTCCAATCGGCCTTTTATTGTCGCTACGTGTCCACATATATCACATATGTAGGAATTTTTATGTTGTTTAAGATGCCGAAGAAGTTTATCACCATAAGGAAACTTTTTCAAACATTTGAGACATTTGTGAGTCAATCTCAAGTTATGTTGATTGGAATGATTTACAAAGAAAGTAAAATCTTTAAATTGTGCACTGCACTTTACGCAAATGTGAATTTTATTATCGTTGAAATCTGATTGATGAATAAGAAAATGTTGTTGTAGTTCTTCATCGTTCAACGAAAAGAATGAACAAAATGAACATCCATAAGTGTGCACCTCAGGATTTTGATATTCTTCCACATAATCACAATGAAGAAAACTATGAAACTTCAATTCTTTCATTGTTTTATATTGAATTCCACAATCTTTACAAATAAAGATTTGATCTTCATGATTCGTCATATGTTTTGCGTACATTTCTTTTGTAGCGAATTTAGACGAACATATTCCACATTTGAACTTCCAATTCCACAAGCTATCTTTAGCTTTATCATGTCCACGTTTCCTATGATGATGAAGTCCTTGTCGTGATGAGAAAACACTGGTGCATTCACTACAACTGTATCCATTAGAATTAACTTTTAAAATTTTTACATTCCCCATTTTGTGCGCTTGAATATGTCGTCGAAACATAGTTTCTTTTGTAAATAATCTCGAGCCTCCGTTTGACTTACATATTTTGCATTTAAAGAATTTCGTTGATATTGGAGTCTTTATTGTGACTTCACTTGGTGAAAGTTCATTGAAGTCTTTCTGATTTTCAGTCAAATCAAATTCCTTAGATGTAATATTTACTTCAGTTCCATGTATACGCTTCCGATGATAATGAAGTGCTTGACGGTTTGGAAAAACAATATTACAAATATAACAACAGTAGCCTTTTGGATTAACTTGATAAATTTTCACATCTCCTGTTTCGTGATCTTGCAAATGTTTCAAATACTTTTTTTCTTTCACAAATAATCTTGAACCTCCTTGAGTTTCACAAATTTCGCATTTAAAGAAATTTCTTGGAAGATCTTCATCATTTAAGTCATCAAATAATTTCTTCTCATCATCACTGGTGTCAGAAATTTCATTATTTGGTTTTCCATTTGATTTATTTTTTAAGTTTTCTGTCGTTTCAACAGATTTGGCTGTTTGGAGTTGTGGAATTTCACCAACATGATGCTTTTTTTTATGCGCGAAACGACTTTGTCTACTCTTGAAGACACTTTTACAAAAATTACAAGGATAACCTTCAGGCTTGACATAATTTACGTTCACTAATCCAGCTTTATGTTCCTGATGGTGCTTTTCATACATGCTTTTCGTTTTAAATAATCTTGAACCTTCTTGTGACTCACAAATTTTACATTTAAAGAGATTTGGTTCAGAATGTTCGTTTTCCATTTCAAAAGTTCCAAGAGAAGCATCATTTTCGCTTTCATTTTTCATGCCTTTCTCCAGAATAGCAATGTTCACATTTGAACATTGAATGCTGCCATGGTGAGCTTTTTTCTTGTGCACGTGACGACTTTGCCTATTTGGAAAAGTTTGTTTACAAATATCACATGAATAGCCTTGAGGATTGACATGATAAATTTTAACATATCCTGTTTCATGATCTCGAAGATGTTTATTGTATTTATTTTCCGTAATAAATAATCTCGAACCTCCTTGAGACTCACAAAGTTCACATTTGAAAAATTCTGTTTGTTTTTCATCCTGAATCATTGTAGATTGTATTTTTTTCGACTTTTTGGTAGGTGATGATTTCACCTCATTATGATCAGGATGATATTTTTTCTTATGAGCGAAACGACCTTGTCTTGTTGAAAAGGTGCTGCTGCAAACATTACAAGGATAACCTTGGGGATTTACTTTATATGCAAACATTTTTCCTGATTTATGATCATCTAAATGTTTCTTAAGTTTTACTTTTGTAGAAAACAATCTTGATCCACCATTTAAAGGACACAATTCACAATTGAACATTTGATCACCAACACGTAAATTTTTAAAGGAATCATTGGATACACTTGCATCATCATTAACATCACTGCAAGCAAGTTCATTTAAATCTTCCTCATCTTCTTTAATTTTATTTTCTGCCAAAAGGTCACTAATTTTTTCAGACGAATCCAATCTTTTCAGTAATACTGAACATTCTTTAATTCCAAAGTTGTCATAATTGCGAAGTTCATCTTCTATCTCATTTTCGATTATTTCTTCTTTGATTTTAATGGTTGTTTGATCCGGTAGGTCACCTGTACTAATAAACTCACCTAATTGTAAATGAGGAGATCCATATAATTGATTTCGCATTTGTGCGTCGTTATGTATGCTCTTGATTCGAAGATCATACATTTTTATTATAAGATCAAGACAATTGTTACATATTTCATCAGAAAGACCATCATTTCTTATTATTGATAATTCATGAATAATAGCTCCAATATAATTCCTTATTAAGATCTCATTTTTATATCCAAAAATGAAAAAAAATTCTTTATCCTCTTCCAAGCAAAGTCGACAAAACTTATCCATGGTTTTATCGAATATTTCAGATGTTTTACAAATTTTATTAGGTTCTAATTTGATTTTTCTATACAAAATGTAAATAAATTTACCCTAATAAAAAGTAACTTTGCAAGTAAATTAAACGGCGCCGTTAAAAGTTTGGTTATAAGTATTTGCAATGGATAAAACTTCAAAATTTGAAAACACGTTAGAAAACACGTCTTTAAAATAAGCATGAAATTTAACAATATTTTAATATTGCCTAACACAAAACAATATTAGGAATAAAAAAAGTTTTCTTAAAAGTCAGGATAAATGTATGTGCTTCTTCCAACAAAAAAATTATTATTAAAATCATTATTAATTCATTATTCTTTAAATTAATTATCATTAATATACAAGATATAAATATCTAGATATATGTTAAATACATCAAAACAAATATAGTTTTGTTATTAACTCCATTCTGATTCTAGGGCATACTACTTCGATAATGATCACTTTCGTGATGTCTCAAATCAGCTTTGAATTTAAATGCTTCAGAACATCCGGGATATTCGCATAGATAGGAATTCTCCCCTACATGAGTACGAATATGCTTGTTTAAATCATTGCTTTGAGTAAAAGATCTATCACAGCCACTGAAAGTGCACACATAAGGTCTCTGAAAGTAAAAAAAAGGTTGAGAATTTGTATAGAAAACGTGAAAGTTTTCTTACAGCTCCAGTATGTGTCACCATGTGACGTTGAAGAGCATATTTTGTTAGGAATCGTTTTCCACAATGTTCGCAAGTGTTTCGTTGTCTCATTTCTTCAATTTTAACAGGGTCATGGCTTTTTTGATGAAGCATAAGATTACGATGACCTTTAAACTTTTTCGGGCATTTTAAACATTGAAAAGTCTGACAAAAAGTAATTAATAAGTAACTGAATTAACATTTAAGAAATTTTGTACTCACAGGTTCTTTTTGATGAACACTTTGATGAAATCGATATTGTACATAAAGGTGTACGAAAAGCTTTTGGACAGAAGGAACATTTGTATTTGTTTACAACTTCATGTTTAAGTCTGATATGAGCTCTAAGTAAGCCACTACTTCTTTCTTTTACACCACAAATTGGACATAAATGATCAAACTCTCGTTTGTGTACAGCCCGAATATGTTCTTCCATGCGAGCTTTAAACGTAGCTAAATGACCACAGATGTCACAGACGAAGCAGTCTTGATATCGTTTTAAATGACGGAGAAGTTTCTCACCATAAGAAAATTTCTTAAAGCACTTTAAGCATTGATGAGTTAGTTTTGTGTTATGTTGATTTGCATGATTAACCATAAATTTAAAATCAGGAAGCTGAAAACTGCATTTTAAGCAAACATGAAGGATTCCATCACCGTTAAATTCATTTTGATGTATTAACATGTGTTGTTGTAGCTCTTCGTTATTCATTGATTGAAAAGCACATAAAGAACATCCGAATAATTGTGGTTCCGGATCATGATACTCTTGTACATAATCGCAATGAATAAAACTATGAAGATGCAGATGATTTATTGATTCAAATTGTATCCCACAGTCCTTGCAGATTAAAATCTGTTCGTCATGTTTTGACATGTGTTTGGTGTAACTGATTTGTCTCCTAAATTTTGCTGGACATTTGTCACATTGAAACTGATAGGAAGCCATGGTTTCTATTTTAACGCCTAGATGAACTCGTTTTTTGTGATAATGAAGGCCTTGTCTCGACGAAAAGAAGCTTTCACAAACATCACATGTGTAACCTTTTGAGTTAATCTTATAAGTCTTTACAGATCCGGTCTTATGTGCTTGAAGATGTTTCTTGAGCATACTTTCTTTTGTAAACAATCTTGATCCACCTTCTGATTCGCAGATTTTACACTTAAAGAAGTTGGAAGTTCGGTATGAACTTTCATCACTTTCTTCTTCTTCTCCATCATTATCATCTTCACTCTCGTCTGGTGTATTTTCTTTTGACTTTCTATGCGACGATGTTGTACCAGAATATTTACTTACGTCATTTCTTGTTTTCTCTAGAAAATATGTGGTATCAAAATATTCAGTGAAACTTCCATCTTCTTCCTTTATAGAAATGTCTGGTTCATGATGATAAGGTTCATCCTTTATAATAAATTCCACTGATTTATTAGCGAAAAATTGATTTCGCATTTTTTTATCATTGTCAATACTTTTATTTCTTAATTCATATGCTGTCACAATGATTTCTAGACAAATATTGCAAATTTTTCGAGATAAAAAATCATTTTGAACTTCAATTTGCAATTCAGGAATAATAGTATCAATATAATGAGTTATTGCAAATCCGTTTTTGTTCTCAAATATTGGAAAAGAGTTTGTGTTACTTTCAAGGCAGAGTCTGCATTTGTTATTCATTCTGCATTCACTATGAAAGGAATTCAAATAATCAACTTTTCTCTTGATAAAATCGTAAACAAAACTTCAGCGGTATTTGAAAATTCAGTGGCGGCATTAAACAATATTTAGAGCGGCTTAAGTTTTGAAAATTTAGGATCAGTTAACTTTTTATAAAAAATTCTTTTATAAGCTTTGAAGTTCGCTTAGATAGTTATAAGAAAATCAAAAACATCTAGAATACCCTCCCCCCCCCCCCCCCCANNNAAAACCCCCCCCCCCCCCCCCCCAAAGGGATATATCTCCCACACAAATTTTAGGCTGATTTTAGTTAAACAACATTAATTTATGTTTAGAGATCAATAGGAAATATTTTGAATTTTAATTTACTTATTTGATGATGCTGTGTGTGTGATACTTATATGATGCTGTGTAAAGTTTATACCTAGATATTTTAGTATCATTTATATTTAACACAATAAATCATGTAAGAATAAATTCAAGTGTTATAAAATTTATTTTAAATAATTTTAAGCTAAAATCATGTCTCATATAATGTTTCATAGCTTCCATGAATAATTCATTATTTCTTCTGATTAAATATGCAGCGAAAAATAAACTAAAAATATAGCGGGAAAATCGTGAAATTGATAAATTGTTTTCTTATGAATTAGAGATATGAGAAGGTGTGTAAAAATCTCTACAACTCAAAATTTTATTAAAAAAACTAGGAAAAAATTAAAAAGTTTGAAATTTAAACTTCAAAGTTTTCAAGTAGATAAATGAAATAAATAGAATCAATAAATTCATAATTAAGTACATAATAAAATAATAAAAAACTTTTCATTTTCATGCGTTGGAGCTTTCAAAGGTTTGTCATAGACAAAATGCAGAATAAAAAATTAGAAAGTAAGCAAAGTCTTTATCATATCACAGTCATCAATTCATTTGAAATTTTATGCTGTATAAAAGTGCTGATACCGAGCTTTTGCATCTCGTTCATAGCGAAGCATAAATGATAGATTCATTTAGAGCCTCGGATATTAAATTTCATTGAGCATCAATGTCATAAAGTCATGGCCAGAAGGGAAATATGAAGCATCCTTTTTAATAAAAGAGTTTATCCTTACTCTTCAAAGAAAGAAAGTTCAAAGACAAGAACTTTTTTTATTAATAACTTTTGAATGAAACTTTAAAGAATCAAATATGTAGATACCAAAGGCACAACATTTTGTTGGCATCGCTGCTCAATTTTCCAACTGAATTATTTTTCATTTTTTCAATGAAGACTACCTTGCAATCACAGTAGAAATGTTCATATTTTCCTATCGAAAGCGTAATGATTTGAAGCATATCTAACAAAATGTTTCCTCATAGCAATTCCTGGAAGAATTTTTTTTGATTCAAATGTTGTACAGAATTGAACACTGAAAAATGTCAAATGACGTGTACGGGAATAAAGTCTAGATGAGAATCAAAAATTTGTGACAGGTATTTCAAAAATGAAGCTTAAACATGGAACAATTAAATGAAATGATATAGGTATGTAAGATAAGCATTTTATAATTTTCGATCCTTCTCTATTAGGAAAAATGCTTTATCAATATTTCTTTAATATTTATGTAGAATAGAGTCGGTAATAATAATAAAAGGGCATGAATAAATTTTTTTGTGTCACAACAAAGTTGTCAAGAAACAGAATGATTAGGTACATCATATTACATCTTATATTATTTTTTATAGACTTCTAAAAAATAGTTTTTGTAAATAATCTTTCATTGTCCAATGCAATGTTTTGTTGGAAACATTTTTACTGGTGCAGCAAATTATTTCTCAGATAAAAAATTTAACCGTTAATTCTTCTGTTTTTCATTTACACACAAAAGCTTTAATCTTGAGTTTTCTTGGGATAATTGGCAACTAAATAAGACCATCTACCATAACTTTCTTTCCCTTATCTTATCATAAGGAGAGGTGAATACCGCAACCACATCGTGGAAAAAGTTTCACTCAAAGCATCTATACATTTTTACTTGGTAAATAGTAATTAACTGTTAATAAACTGATAACGATAAGGACAAATTTGTCAAGAAAAATAGCAAAATGTTTCAAGCATGAAGGGAGCGAACTAAAACATCAAATAAAATTCTACGCTGTTAGAAAGAAATGAAAGAGCTGAATTGCTCAACGCTTTTTGGTTATGGCTAAAATTGAGGTTTCATCCTTTGAATCATCAAAGAATTTTAGTTATGAGAACCTTTTTGTATCCACTTACATGATGATTCTCTCTCTATCTTTCTCATTTCTAACCAAATTATTTACTAATTGTTTTCATTTTTTTGAACATTTTTAAGGCATTACATCTTCGTTTTACTTATTTTAAAATTTAAATACTTAACTTTTCATTTTTATTTACATTTTTAAAGCAAACAGCTATTATCATAACTACAATATCGTGAGCTTTTCGCATTTCCCTACATTTAGAATGAACAATCTGGTAGTTGAATTCAAGAAATTATTTAATTTTTAAATTGAAAATAGACAAATTGCATGTTATTAAAAATTAATGTTAAAACTTGTGATTCACAAGTTGTGAATCAAGCGAAAAACTGTCTTAAAGAGAAAATAACAACATGAATATTTCAGTAGTACAAAAAGGTTCTGACTATTCGAAGAAAGGAAGAATGAACAGCTCTCTCAGAATAAAATCTAATATCACATTTATTTGGAACCTCTGTCAATGCCAAGTATTGTCTTTCAACAAATTTACTTTGAAAGTCAAGTCTTCATCATCGAAATGACTTAAGGCGGTATAACATAAGAGCGAAGAGAACAACAAACGAAGAGAAGCTTTCGTCAGAAAGATAGACAATGAATAAATAGTTTTCTTGAAGGCAAATTAGGCCAAGGGAGTGGAGAAATTTTCCAAACAAAATCATCAATGACAGAAGGAGATGCGAGTCGTATCATGCGACATCAAAAGACAAAAAAGTTTGATACTTTACTGCTGGTACAGACAACATAGCATACCGCCTGCCTGTCCTTTATTTTCTTTCAGATCAAAAGATTCTCTCTTTAACTAGATGCTTTGTTTCATAAAAGAAAATTGGGGAAATGTAGAGAAATCCTCGCCTCAAGCAATTCTCTTTCTTTTCTATTCGCTTAATAGTATTAACAGTAAGGCAACTTTAATCATTTATACCCTTAAAAGAAAGTGAGAAGATATGAAAGTTTTAAAATTGTTAAAGGCGATGTAAAAAAAGAAATTTGGAATCAGTTAGTAAATAACTTTTTACCTCTACGTCAGAAGTGATTTTTGTCCTGATATAAGTTTTATAAATAAAATAAATTAAGACAACTGTTGCAACAGATAGTAGACACTTAGTAGACAAGACTCTTAACATCACCTTCTACAACATAAAAAATCTGGTAAATTTGTATGAAACACTCGAAGGTAAACATAATAAACAACATAAACGCCGTGAATACGGAAATTTAAAACTTCTAATCTATCCATTTACCATGAAAAAGTACCAAGATATCCTTAAAAACCGAAAACACTTGCGGCAAACGTATGGGAATTCTCCATTTTCCATGATGCTGTTAAGTTTAAGGCAAAATAAAATTCAGAACAGCCATGATAAACTTAAAAAGATTTTCATAAGAATTTTCCTTAGAGATATTTAAAACAGAAATCCATGGAAAATATGAGAAAAAGGTTGAAATTATTTTCTTTTCTTTTTTCATTAAAAGTGTTCAGATAAAAAGAATATTTCTGATTACCAAGGACATCGGCAAAAAGAAATGCTGAAAAAGATGAAGGAAATTAATATTTCCATGTCACTCCTGCAGTTTTAAAGAAAGCTTATTAAAATTTATTTCAATTTTAACACTATGATAGTATACAGTATCTTGCAATGCTGTTGCTTCGAAATAGAGAAAATATTTATTTTCTTATAACAAATGATTAAAACGTCTTTTCGCGTTGATAACTTTTAGTTGATATAAAATTGTTTTGAATTCAAGATTCTTTACGTTTTTGAACTGATGTTGGAGTTATTTAAAACTTTTAAGTGTATACTTTTTAATTTTCTTTTTCATCATATTGTTTCAGAGAGAAGTAATGTTCTTCTTACTAAAGATATGAAAACAAAGAACAACGTTAAATCAAACAGTTGAAGCATTGAAAATGTCATTATGTTCTTTGTTGCCAGTGTTTGCCAAAATAAATCAACTTTGTTATTCGCATTCTGTTATTTTAATTCACATCACTCTTTAAATCAATGGAATAAAACAGAGAAATTGCGTGTAGACATAACTCTTTGATGAAACCTGACAACTTCATTGTTATGATGAATAAGAACTCATATATCTACATAAATGGTATAAAATGCTTTTCCTCGTTTGTGTATATATTTAAATCGAATCATTCAAAGAACACATAGAAAACACGAAGTAAATTCACGATAAACGTAAGGTTGGATTTTATTTTTGCGAGAAGGATATCGTGCTTAGTTGAGAAAGTTTATATTCCCCAACCTACATTGAAGTAGCATAATAAATTCCAGAAATAAAGGTCTCTTTCACGAAACTCCACATCACTAAACGGCACGCTTAATGCTTATCTGTTGTATACCTGCAAGTAATTAAATTTTTAATTACAAACATGACATGGCACATGAGATGTGAGAAATCTGGTTAATATCGATTACGTTCCATTTTTGTTTATATACGCATGTAAAAACATGATTAATCAATTATGAAGAACGTGAGTATGTGTAAATCATTATTGCCAATTTTTTTCTTTTTTTATCTCTTTTAAAATTTTGAAGTCTCTGAAGTAAATCTCAAAATTAAATTAAATATTTCTCAACTAGGTTACTTATAATGATCATTGAAAATTCCACTTGAAATCCCCAGTTTCCTTCACAATCCGTGATAAGCTGTGCTCTGGATCACCCTTCTATTATGACAAGCGAGATACCATTGTGAGTTTCCGTAAGAAGATATAGAGATAATCTATAATCCGAACTTAAGCTCTCATCTGAGTATAAACCTGGTAGCAAAGATTTGAAAAACTTTTGAAAACACGTTTTTCATCAACTTGAATCTTTAACCATTGAGTAAAATATTTCAACACGGAATTTAATGATTCCCAACGTTGCAGAAAATTATAACTTGGAGCAAAATGTAGACAGACATTTATGAAGGAATATTTAATAACAAGAAATGCCTATTTGATACTTTTGCGCATTTTATAAAAAATATTTTCCTTTTCGGCCATTCTAGTGTGAGATCATAAATTTTTTAAAAAGACGCTCAATATAATTTAAATGAGTAAAAAACCTAAACTGGGAAATTAGTTCAACTATGGTCAATTCAACGATGTGCTGATGCCAAAAAAAATTCAACTTTTCTATGTGCTGATCTGAATTTTAATGAAGATTTTTGACAATTCGATTAAAGTTATACATTATCTCAGATGGTCTAAAAGAAAAATATTTTTGAGTTAAGTTTAACTTCTCGTTTGAAAAGTTCTATCTACCAGCATCAGCAACTTAATATTTAAAGTTCACCTAGAACAAGAAAAATAAATTAAATTAAATTTTAACTCAAGCGAAAATAAACATAATTCTTCTTTTTGCTTTATTAACATTATATTAGCCATCAGAGATATTAATAACATTTTAAATAGATGTTTGTCGTATGAAGCAGCTTTTTAAATAACCAGATATTCATTATAGAGTTTATAAAGATATATATCTAGGTATATCTTCAGTTCACGTCCAAAATGAAATATTCTAGAACAGTTTTCTTAATTTTGAAAGATACAAGGAACCTTAAGGGTTAGTTTTTTAGCTAAAACCATTGTTGTCTGCTTCTCTTATAAAGTTTATATGCATACCCTAATAAAAATTTAAGAATAATATTTAGCCTTCCATTTGATGGTTGTGGAAACAATAACATATTGAAAATTGATTTCAAGACAATCGTCCGAAAGAAACTATCTATAAAATACACAAAACTTTAGTTTGTAATAAAAACAGATGCCCAACGTGTGGACTTTCAAAAAAAAATTGAAGATTTTCATGAAAAAATTTGTCAGTTTACAATTGAGAAATGTTTCTTACATTTGAGAATAGATGAAAATAAATTACTTTCTAAGTTTCTTATCCTTTGGTTCCATTTATGCTGTATACAGCATAAATACTTTCTACTCTATATGGACATTTAATGCTCCAAAGAATTTATATCTTTAAAGAGAACTTGTCAGATGCAGTAAAGAATAAAATATTACATACATAAGACCAGATACTTATGGTCATCAAATCTTTTTTAAATGAATTAGAGCATGTTATTTCCTCTTAATCTGTATACTAATTTGTTTTCCCTGTGACATATGCCACAAATTAACTTTTAATATAAACCAAAAAGCATTTATACGAGGATGTGAACTATAATTTTAGTTCTTGAATCATTTTTAATAATAAGTTTGGGCCCTGTTTCAGATGCCTTTGCTGAAATAATAATTAATAAGTCATCAAAAGAGAACTGTGAAAGTGTCTGAAAGAAATTAGAAACAAAACTTCCACCAACTAAATATCTAACTGTGACTCTAAGCGCCAAAGTTTTTCATGTAACTCTATATGCACTCGAAACATGCTCAAAATAAATACAATTCTTGCAAAGGACTTCCATCTGAACAGAGTCATTTCATGACATTTATAATAAAACATTTTCTTTGATAAAATAGATTTGATGTAAAGAAATCGTATAGTTTACACATTGTTTCGAAAGTTGTCATAGAAATAATGAAAGAAAACCTTTTTAGCAATAAGATTTTGAAAAGAAAAGATTTTTACACTTCGTTGTTACTTATCGTTCTAAATTTTTATTATTCTTTTATATTTTACAAAAGATGATATTTCAATTCAGTTCAACAGATAAAATAAATTAACATGAAATTAACTTATCTAAATGATTAAATTGTGACGAGAAAGAAAATTTCATTTCTATATCACAATTGACTAAGATACAAGTTTTCCAATTAAGCTTTTAACAGTTTTGTTGAGCTTGACGGATGTTACCTTGGAGAATCTTTGAAAAACCCTTGGAATCGGTCCTGAAGTGGAATCTTGTAATTTATTTCGTTGGTAGTTATCAGCGATTCTTCGATACTTTTCTCATTGTTACTAACTGTAATTAATTAAGAACATCTTAGTAAAAAAATCTCATGCTGTTTGAAATGAAACCAATTTTACCGTCTTTTGTCTCTTCCCTCATGTTGTAATTGTTTCGTTGCTTGATACATAAAGTTATTGTAACAATGATAATTAAAAGAACCAGAATAAAAATTGCAAGACCCATGAATGCCAAAATATTAATGCGACTTTCATCAAGAATATTATATGAAGTGCTTGCAGCATCTTTCCCTTCGTCAATAAAGTTGTCAAAACAAAGCTCAACTTTCATCCCAACAAGGCGATTGATTGGTTTTCCGCGGAAAGATTCAGGAAGAAAACACTTTGGAATATTTTTCCATTTAATCTACATATTTAACAAAAAAGTAAAAAAAAACGTGAATATATATTTAGTGCTGTGAGATATCTAGTTAAATAATAAAATACTTACCGATGATATTCGATTTAAAATGGAGCCAATGTGACACATATCGCAGACAAGAGGGTTCTGTTCGACTTTGACATCATCAATATTTAACAGCTTTATTGCAAAATCCTCTTCAAAGCCAGTCAATTGATTTCTTGATAAGTCTAATTCCTATTTGAAATAGAAATGTGGCATGAGAAGAAGTTGTTAAACTTGAAAGTGATTGATGCTTAATTTATTCTCCTTTTAATACATTTCTTACAATTCCTTTAAAAGATATGTACGAGGCACAAGGAAAAGAAAACTTTGCAAAAAATCTTTTACATCATATCCGATTGTTATGAAATATTTAGTAAAAATATAGAAATAACTTTTTACTGCAGCTTTGGTCGCTGTCAATAGAAACATACAAAAAGGCCCGGTAAAAGTTTTTTTTTATATTTGATAAATATTTTAAAAATTATCGACAACTGTGTCACAGAACATAAAAATTTGCTCGGAGATATAGAACGCAGTTATTGGGATTGGGAAACGACTAAACGGGGGATAAGGGGATATAAAAAATGAAATATCTAATATTTCATACAAAAAATATAAATAAATGATGGTCCAATATGAATTCTTCGAGAGAGAGTTACACTTGCTTTACGAGACTTATGGTGACTGGAATACATGCAATCATCTCTTACCTTCAATTTTGCTAGAGGATTAAGGATTTGAAGAGTTTCATTGTTAAGATGCGTTCCGGACATGTTGAGAATTTGGAGATTACTTAATGGCACGAACATGCCTAAAGGAATGTTGGTAATGTCTGCTATCGACAACGCACGCAATTCGGTCAAATTTTGAAAAATCGGTCGTATGTTCAATAAATTCATTTGAACATTTCCGCTGATATTAAACGTCTGAAGCTTTGGTAAATGGCACATGTAATCCAACTCGATTGCTGATAGTTTATTGTAAGAAATGTCCAGATAAGTAAGATTGAACAATTTTAGAAAAGCTTTCGCTGATATCTTCGCTAAACGGTTGCGAGAAATGTCTGTTGGGATGGAAAAGAAAAAGACAAAAAATATCGTTATTTTCAAGGGAATCCACAACATTGATTCATTCACGCTAAATTAAGCTTCTTATCATGAAGAAAATAAGTGGCAAAAACAACATACCTAAATACTGGAGTGACTTTTGACTCTGAAACAAGTTATCGATAATAACCGACAGTTGATTCCCATCGATGTGAAGTTTTTTCAAGTACTTTAAGTCTTTGAACTCGTCCTTGTCAAAATATTTGAACTACGAAATGAAATTTAAACTTTTTATTGTTATTTTAAGCAATGTAGTACAATAAGCTTTTAAGTTAAGAACTTATTTAAGTGATCTCAACTCAGAAAATTTCAATTTAATTGATTTTTGAGACGATATAATGGAAAGTTTCATTTTTGATAGTTCAAACACTCGAAACACTTTTAGTGTGGGATATATGAAAGAAAGTGATTAGAATGAGTATGAAAAGTTTATTGCAACGCCAACGACACATTTAAATGAACAAATTGTTGAATTTTGAAAATAAATACCTACATACTTAGATTTTAGTTAATGTCAACCTATTCAACCATATTTTCATTTCAGAATTATTATCTAGAAACTTTATAAATATTATTGAAAGTTATCAAGCAATTTTACAAAACTTTTGTTAATAAGTATTTACAATATTAATTTTCACTCATTGATTTTAATTACAAAATTCAACATATAAAGCCCGAAGAAAATTACATACTATAGGAAAGATTAAGGCGTGAAATTCTCATAAGAGGATCTTAAATGTGAATGAGGATGACAAAAAGAATGATGATAATAAGCAAGAAATTTTCTTTTCAAGAACACCGAGAGAAGAATAAAAAGCTCTTCCGTTTCCTTCCGCAGGATTTATTTACTACATCCAGAGTATCTTTCTTAAAAGAGTCTAGGGTTATTAAATAAGCTTTCTCATTCTTGTTTTTATTCTTGTTTTTTCTCTCCACTCAATTTATTTTTCGTCTTTGTCAAAGGCAGTTATCAAAATACGGAAGCACTGAATTAATCTCTTTATCAAAGTGATTTCAATGTTTAGTCTGTCCTTAAAAGGATATATTCTGTTAAAATCACCTGATTATTTCCCAAATCTAGTTCTGTCAGTTGATTCAAAAGATTATAGAGTTGTGGGTTGATGTTTTGTAGACGACATCCTCGACACTTAAGGATTTTAAGGTCCTTTTTGAATAAGAAAAAGAGAGAAATGTTTGAAAGAGATTTCATTTAGCATGTTACAGATATTTAACTTACAATAATGTCTTTGAAGACATCAGGATGCAAATCTTCTAATGGATTTCGACTGATTTCTAAACTCCTTAGTTTTGTAAGCATTTGAAAGCTTTTGAGTGTAAGATCAGTGATGGAGTTATCAGCTAAATTCAAAGTCCTTAAATCCTGTGAGTTTTTAAAAGAAAATTGATTATTCAATATTTCATTATATGTAATGTGGATGAAAGGTTACAGTTAGATATTTGAATGATCCACTGGAGATTTGTTCCAATTTGTTCTTCGATAAATTTAATTCCAGTAAATTTTGCTGTCCTTTAAAATTGTCATCACTTATTAGTCTTATATTATTTTTTGATAAATCTAATGGATAAAATCATGGTCATTAGTTACATAAATGCACGTAGTTATAAATACACAACCTAAAATCCTCAACGAAGGTATTCCCCAAAACGAATGCATCCCAATAAGTGGAACATTCGAATCAATAATACGAAGAACTTCCAGGTTTTTCAGTGCTTGAAATATAGCCCCAATAGCTAGAATGTTTTTTGACTTCCGTATCACAATCACATTTATATCTTCATCAAAGTCTTTGATCGGAATTTGCTTCATGTTTCCTGACCAAATGAAATGATCCAAAACAGACAACAGTTTATGTTAAGAAAAAAATCAATAAACAAAAATTAGTCATCATTACCTTGTTCACAGACTGCTGAATATCGACCAGCCAAATCCAAATCACATTTACAATCGACTGGACATTTCTTGATGCTGTTTGTTTGTGGCAGGGCAATTAAAGCTATAAGTATTATTTTCGTCGTTAAATCCTTCATTTTGTTCTGAAACTGAAGAAAACGAATAACTGTTAAATATATTGGAACCAAATAAACTAATAACATCACTAATTTTATTTCTTAACTCTAATAAAGTTCTTTTTATAATTATATCATTTAATTGAAAAGATATTGGATTAAATTTGGATTAGAATTATTTTGAATGAAGATTAAAGCATTTCTTTGAGAAATGACAAAAAGATTTTTGTTTCGATAAAACCGTCATTTATAATTACTTTGATGGTATTAAATGTAGGAAACTGTGAAGTGTTATTTCAATGAAACACGAATGTATAGTATATACTTCTTTATAAATTATTTATTATTTAATGGCATGTCGTTTTGATATGCCGAGTTGACATGGCTCAAATATTTCATGACATTCGTTGAAGTGATTTTTTTGTATATTAATTTTTTTTCGAATCTATTTATTATTTTTTTTATTAAGCAGTTTGCATAACTTATGATTTACGATTAAGAATTAGTTAGGTATTTGTTTTAACTTATGTAGTATAAATATTATAATTAATTAGATATTGAGATGTGACTGGAATCTATTTAAGTAGAAAAATTTTTATCCAACATACCATTAAAGAAGGTAATTTGAAAATAAATGAGGTTTTCAAAAGACAATCTTCTATTTATTTCTTAGCGCATAAAATATTCATCTCATTTAAGGAAAAGTCGGTAATAAATTCAAAAATATCAGCTATTTTATTTTGAATTTTCGGAGGTTGAATGTTTACATCAAATTAATTTAATTTAAAAGCTTTCTTTTGATGTTTACATATGCACAAAAGTTTTCAAACAATAATAAAAAAAATAAGTGGATAGGCAAAGGTAGCAAGTAATGGATTAATGAACAACTCTTGGAATTAGCTGTTAAGTTTGAGTGTTGAAACAATAGAATATGTAAAAGTCATACACTGTGTAAATGGTAAGAATGTCAAAATTATTCATGAAGAAGTGTTGCTTATTGTTTCTGTTAAGTTTCTATTTTTTTTCTTTGTTCACAAATTTATTTAGGTTCTTAGAATAATGTCAGAGAATTAAGATTTTATCATTTTCATGACTTGTGTTTCATGTGTACATATGTTTCAGCCTTGAGCGTTTCGACAAGTTTCTGTATCCAATATTGAAATCAGAATCTCCTTCAACAAACATTGATCTTTATGTCACTTTTTCTTGTTGTCTCTAACAGGGATCTCATGAAATATTCTGAATAGTGTTAATTAAATTCACTTCTTCTTTAATGTTGATTATATTCACTCAGTACATCTTTAATGCTAGGTAGGTGTTATACATAAATATATTGATTCATTTTTCACTTCATTTTAGTCTTGCATCCTTATGCTTATTTATTCATGAAAGAAAAAATTGAGTAATGGAGCTTCCGAATCCCTTGCACTACTTAATTATTAATGAATTTTTCACTTTTCATTCCCAATGTTAATACCTACTTGAATTTAATTATTATTTAATTATCATTCTTATTAAGAATTTATTTATTATTCATGTGTTATGTACATATGAACTAATGTTGTATTTATAAGTTATATAATTATAACTTTATAAGTTTTAAAACTAAATTTAATTTTAATATTTTTTAAGTAACAAAAAGTTTTTATTGGAATTGAAATGAAATTTCAGTGTATACCAAATTACTATAGAATAGAGTATTCGAAAGTTATTTAAATAATAAATATATTAAGAAATATCTCAAAATATCATGAGATTACTCGTATCACTGATGAATGTTTAAATTTCTCTCTAGAAAGTTTTTGATAGAATTATCAATTGATTCAAACCGCTTTGATACTTCTCAAATAATTAACTTCCGATAAGCGAGGTTATCAAATAATGATTTTTCTTTCAACTTCAAAAGTGTTAACTCTTCTTTAATATTCCATGATTTATTGAGCTTTTTGATGAGCATTAATTGAGCGATATGTAAATTTGATGTCGATATAAGAAGTAAAACGTTAATAAATTAAATTTATTATCCAAGCTCAAATTAATTAAGATGACACAAAATGATGTTTAAATGCATTGAAAGATAAAAGAAACACCAGAACTCAATTTTGTCTGTTGCTTATTTATTTTGATTTGATTTTTATTTCCTGCAATTAATTCAACATCAAGACAAAGAGCTTTAGTTGTTTAGTAGATTCAATTGAAAATCACTCAACATAAATCATCATTAGGTTTGTTGAACAAGATTGAGTCGATCAAACGATTTCTCAATGAACAAATTCTATTACACTGTTTCGTTTTGATGTTGGTTGATTTTAAAGGAAACTTTTCTTTTTGTTTATTATTCTCTCGTTTCAAAACACCTTTTATGAAATATTTCTTCGTGGTAAAAAACAATTTTACAATCCAATGAATTCTCTCATTTTTCAAAAGTTTTTTCTTTTTTCCTTTTTTGTTTTAAGCTTTCCTTATTTGATATTATCACATCAAATCCACGTCTCGGTTTTACGTTTACATTCAGCAAAGTTTCAACGATAACTGATTTCAGGAGACTGAATGATCTAAGTTTGTAGCTCAATAGCTCTCTTACTGGTTCACGGATACTCCAAGGATATTTTATGTTTCTCCAACAATTTTGTGAAAGAGTTTCAAGTTGATGAATGAAAATGAGAGAGAAAAATATTGCGAAATGAAAGAGAAAAAATTCCATGAGATTTTCATGTCATCCGTATTTCCTTCTTTTCTTCTTTTAAATGAGAGCCAAGATGACGTTGTACTAAAAGTATCTTCCTGTTATGAGATGAAAAATGGTTTTCTTTTTTATTTTCATTTCCTCAAAACGAAGAGTTGTATCGATGAGAAATCATAACAGTTGAGACAAGCATAGGATTGAGAGATCTTGTATTGTGTGTATGATATTTTTGATTATAAATTGATGAAGCATTACTTCCTAAAGCCTATAGATCTATGAGTTTTTGCAAAGAAATACACAAATATGACCATTTCATTCCCAATCTTCCATTCATAAATTGGCAATGTTACAACTTTTTCTTGTTGTCGAAGTGGTGAGTGCTTTTGAAGTTGAAAAAGATGATTTTTTTATTTGCTTTTGTTGCTTCCTTAAAGGGTTTGCGAAAAGTGTTAGAAAGGATGTAACAATTTAAGAAAGATTTGTTGGAGATGCTCCCAAGATACTTAAGGTCTTGGCAGATGGTAACACATTTCCTTCAAATCATGAAGCTTGTAATTTCAAACCGGCACATTAAGTTAGAAAGCACTGAATTTTCAACCGAACACATTTGTTGCCACTTTTGGAAATATGACTAGTCGTGACAATTCACTTCTAAGAATAATGAAAATTTAATTCACATCACATTCTTAAGATTTCATAAGAAAATATTTCACATACATAGATCAAACTCGAAATTGCTATGAAAGCAGTGAAACTTCTCATGAATTCTACTTATGGTGTCTGGAATCGAATAAAATTACTCACTTACCGATACACAATCTGATACAAATGCGACGTACAGGCACTTAGCCCATTAAAGCAATTTTCCCCCCAATCAAATTTATAAAATCAATTGTGTTGTGTCTTTCCTTAATGATGATACGATTCTTCAATTGTTCAAAAAATATTTAGATAACATCTTCATTTTGATATCATGCATGGATATTGAAATGCTAAAATTTTCTATAGCCATCAAAATTGGAGGAATTCATTGATTGAACAAATCAAATTTGGAATTGTTGAAATTCATATTAATACAATTGAAATGAAAATGAAAATTTCAGATAAGAAAAGGAATGAAAGATAACTAAAGGATGCCAAAGGATAGTCGATTGCATTCATTGACGCATTTTTAAACATACATATTCCGACATGACCCAAATACCAAGATTTATACAACTTTTTCAGAATAAATTAATTTTTTTTATCAAAGAATCTTAAAAAGCGAAACCTCAGAGAAAGAATTGCACATTTTACGTTCATAGCATTTTTTTAATGCACAGATACAATGAGAAAATGAAATACATATTTTGAAGAAAAAATTCTCAATCTCAAGGGATGTTAAGCAATTTTTTCCGTGTGAATTTCAATTCAAATTTATGAAAGTTGTTGAATGAAACAGGAAGAAAAATACCTTGAAGGTTATTAATTAACTACTCTCACAATGGAAGAAGAAACTACTTCATTCAAAAGTTTAAATCAATCTAAGTACGTAGGTGAACAAAAGTTGTTAATTCCGGAGCTGAGTATAAAAAAAGGAAATTCAGAGCTTTTTGTACAACAAAAGACGTCAGCGCCAGTGGCGCAAGAGAAATACAAAATTTTCACTTGAAAGATTTACCCAGTAGAGTCTCACCTCTGAGCCCTTATGAAAATTTTATTCAACCAGATTTAAAAGATTTATGGGAGTGGTACAACTTGATGCTTTGAGAATTGGGCAAAAACAAAAAAAAAAACTAATTATTAGAATAAATTCGTTTTTAACCAAAAACGAGGGAAAGGAATTATAAATTATTCACAGTGAAAAAACGAGTGGTGAAAAGCCAATAAAACATTAGAGCTTTTCATTACTTTTCTCTTTCTCTTTTTTGACTATTTGCTTCACTTCCTTTGCTCCATTTTATTATTTCTATTGTTAAAAACGTTCACAACGTTCTCTGCAAGATAATTATTTGAATTTTTTTTTTCTCTTTCGAATATAAAAAGAGACGCAAGGAAAAGTTTAATTTAACTTTTTCAACATGAATAATTCAAGAATTGTATATTAAAATGTATTAATTTTCATAAAACTGAATAGTGAAAATGAGGAAGTTTCCATATCATACTTTAAGATTTAAAGCAAATGAGATCAGAATGTAAACAGATAGTTTCATAACATTTTAAATTGAGAGCTATTTAAGTATCTAAGTAAATTGACAAAATAATGATAAACATTATCACCACCTTAACTAAAACCAGATTGAAGTGAAACAATTCCTACGATTCTATTTTGAGAGAAAGATTTCAAATGTGTAGAACGTTTATTCACTTAAAAAGCCAAACATATTTTCTTTGTACTTTAATTTTGTTATGAGATGAGTGAAGAGGGAAGAAAACGAGAAATAGTCGCATGTTTTTCTCTTAACTCATCATAAAATGCATCATTTGTGTAATGTAAATGGTTCCCCATTGATGCTAATGGCTTGATAGTACTATAATGTGACTTCATTCGCATATCTCAAACAACAAAAAACGAAATAATAGAAACGAAAGGAAAATGTCAAGTCATAAAATTTCATGGTGACAAAAACAAAGCAGGAACGACCTTAAGAAATTTTCATGACACAACAAAGAACAGGCAAATATCACGTAACTGTTTGGTCGTCCAATTCGTAACAAGAACAAAACTACTGCGTCGTCTTAAGGGATAGGACTCAATCTTCACGCCTAACAGGTGACTCAAGTCACGTTTAAATTGATAGCAATAACCTTGGATCGACCTTTTCATATGGCACTTCAAGTCCCAATATAGTTTAGTTGTGTTTTCTTTCTCCCTCCACTCAATAATCACGTCGATTATTTCTATGGTTTTACATACAGATCATCATAATCTTTATCGCCTTTTGGTAGTTTTTCTTCGCCTCACCCGCAATCAGTGCCATTGATTACGTTGTTATAATCTTACATGGATGATTTGGCACTTTATATGATAACCGTTGTTAGTAATCTTCTTTTTTGTTGATTTTTTATTCTATCCTTTTTTCTTTTTGTTTTTTCCCTCTGTTATCACAACTTTGTTGACAGTTCAGACTCTGAAATATAGTGTGAAACTCATTTGAGATGTGTAAACGAGAATAATTTTGAAGGAAAAACTGATTTTTATGTTGATCAATATTCAACACAAAGATGTAAAGAGAATACTTATACAGAAAAAGAGAATGACCAGAAAAATTGGCAATTAGGATATACATAAATACATAATCGCTTTAGAGATTAAGATATGTATGTTCTCAAAACGTTTTTTGTTAGAAAAAAATGAATGGCTACATTAACCGGAAAATAAAAAGCGTTTTTCATACGAGCGTATCGGTTTCATCAAGGAATTCATTTCAAAAGCTTAATGGAGAAAAAAGAAACTTCTAGAAAAATCAATGGATTCAATGAACCTTTGCACGCGAATAAGTTGCAAAACGGAATTAAGTTTAAACGACTTTTGACAAATTTCCTGTTATTCTTTTTCTTCCTTTCCCTCTCATTTTTATTTTATCTCAAACCGGAAAAACAAGCGAACAGCGTGTAATGAAGCTTTCGACAAAAAGCCGCTGGCTAAATGAGCGAGATGCCAAAACATTGATTGAATACCAAAATGAGAAAATATATTTGAGTACTACCTAATTCAGTCATTAATCATCGTTCTTGCTGGATGAGATCGAGATGCAAAAGCTAATAACGATTTCCAGTTTTTCTAGCTTATCCGACACACCAGCCTTGTCCTACTTTGAAAATGTCGTCTTTTTCATCCCAATTAACTTGGATTTCAAAGCAGTTAACTTCGGAATTCAAATTAACCAACTTGCCATACTTAAATTGTCTTTTACAGTAATCGCTATATTTTATCACTCATTCGAGACATTTTCGGTTCAGCGCTTTCCACTAGAAAATATTCTAGATGATGAAACTTTTACGACCTTAATGTGGTTTGAATCTTTAACACGCCATGGGTGTGTCATTTAAATGAAGTCGTCAATGTTATTGACATAAAGTCATTAAAGCAATAATAAAATTACCTTTTCGTCAGGAGATTATGGAGTGTGAGTGAATGAGGGTGATATGGGAATTTAAAGTCGTTGACATTGTCTCATATGTTGTTGATATATTTTAGGACGATCATTTAAAAAAATATAAGTGTATGTAGTACCCGCATATTCAAAGCAACAAGAAATATTTAAAGATTTTCCATACATCCACATAGCTGCCAGAGAAAATTTTCCTTTTATTCATCAGATAAAAAACATTTGGTTTGGATTGTTTTTAAAGATAAAATTGGTATAGTCAGAAAATTTCTTGTGTTATTTTATTTTGATGCTGAAGGCAATTTTCTTTTGAATCCCTTGTTGAGTTGCAGAAATCACGAAAGTTTTATAGCTTTTGTTTTATGCTGCGAAAAGTGTTTGTGGTCGGAATCGTTAACTGTTTGATGTTGCCATTCATCACAACTTCTTTTTTTATTGTCAGAAGAAAAAAAAAGTTTGTTGTCTACATGACTTTGCAACATAAGAAAGAAAGTTTGGTTATGTATAAGTATCTCTGGTTATGTATCAACATAGAAGTGACCCACAATCGAGATTTTTTTATTTTTCTGCGTATCTATAAATAAGTCACTACTGGAAAGACAGAAGTGTCAATGAGATATTAATCTTTTTTGATCTTGTGAGAAGAGAAATCCTTTTGCAATTGTATTAATTTATATTTTAAATTTAGATTTCTTAGTTTATATTTCTAATATTAAACGTACTTGCTAACCAGGCTGGAAGGATTCTAAGCTTTCAGATTGTAGATTAAAAAAGAACTGTGTGAACCAAGGCATAAAACGCGTAAAACTGTATTTGGCAGCCATCGTTTCATAAATTTTGCTACCCTCCTCGATAATAATCAAAGAATTACATTTTGCATGATAACCACGTTGTTCCCCCTCATTGTTTATTTGTTATCAACGAACCTGACCCATATTTGAAAATTCTGAAGAAGAAAAAAATTAAAGCCATTTACCTCGACAAATCTATGTCCCACTTATCTTTTTTTCCATTCTTTATTTTCTACGCCAATTGACAATTCGAATGAAAATTTATTGCGTTGTTTTTCTCGAGTCTACCAGAATATACGAAAGTCTCTCGTTTTTCTTTTCTTGTCTTTTTAAACTCTCATTATTGGAGAATAAATTTGGAAGAATTTTCGACATCGAACAGAAAACGAAAAGAAATTGGCATGAAGAAAATAAATAAAAGTTTTCCATCGCGAACTCGATGCATATTAACTTTGTGGCAGAATGTCAATGACTAGGATCGTTTGATATATTGTTGGATAAATCTAAATTCTGATTTGAGAACATAAAGGATGAAATGATAGAGAGTTTAACTTTTGAGAAAAACGAAAAGGCTTTCACCAACAAAAGTTTGACTCATCAAAACTTTATTCTCATGAGATATCCTAACAAAAATATCGGATTTCTATTTTACCAATAAATCTACTTTACTTAGATATGATTCTTCTTTGGTATATCTTGACTTTTAAAATAAATGGTGAAAACGATTTGTATGAGTTTGATTTTTTGCATAAAAAACAATCATTTTGAAAAGAAGGAAACCTGAGAAAACTTCATCTATCTGTCGTTTTCAATAAAATAATTTTCAACTTGAATGGTTTTTGTGAATGCAATGCGATTACGAAATGCTTCATTAAAACTTCTTTTTGTTTGTTTTAAAAACGAACAGACAACTCTTGGATATTTTAACGCTTTTATTTCTTTAGAGGAACTTCAAATGCTGTTTTTGACTGGTACGAATTTATCAGTTGAATATTAAATCAACAACCATAACGATCAATGCGTTTGCATTGTTGGAGGTGTTGTTGGTACGAGTATGTCAACATTATTAGAATATTCATCTCGTAATGACACTTTCAAATGAGTTTTACTGACACAAATGTTCCAATGATAATTAAGTGTGTGATGATGGAAAATTTTGCTACTGTTGATTTTTGCTAGATTAAATGAGAACAGCAAAAGGATCTTGAAAGCAGATTGCGTTTTGTTCTGCATTCATCGTATTGTGTGAAATGTTTTCATTATTTGCTCACGATTTAATTATTCTTTTGTTCTTTTATTTTAAAGAACTATTGACTTTTGACTTCAGTTTTCTGAGCTTTATTTTAAAAAAAAAGAGTTCAAAAATTCAATTTCATAAAACTCTCGACTGGATTAAATGGTGAATATTTATTATTCTATAATTAAATCCATGTAAATACTTGCACAGATACCATGCCCAACCAGTGTAGTTTTCTTTTTCAACTTTAAATTAAATATCCTTTTAAACTCAATATCATGTTGAACCCTCCCACTCTTTGAAATAATACGAAGCAAATTTCTTGTTAATTTTATTGCTCTTAAGTTTTTTAAAAATTGCTTTTAGTGTTGTTCTCTTTCTGTTAATTTACTAACTGTGCCGCGCTTTTTTCCTCTCATTTTAATGAACAAAGTTTAATTCAAACTTTCAAAATCGGATTTCGTATTCACAGATATTTTGGTGAAGAAAAATAAAAGTTTTTCCCTTTCTTCCGCCTCGTTTCACAAACGCGATTCCAATTTAAAAAGTTTGCATGTTGTTCTGTGATTTATTTTATTTTGTTTTAATCAAATTCGTCTTCTCTTAACAAAACGGGAAAATATTAACTGGCAGTTGTTGACAAATGGTACATAAACACAATAACTTTGACTGGTTTGTTAAGAAAGAAAAAAATTAGGAACTGTTGGGACAGAAGATGGTTAAGTAGTCAATATAAATGTAAATAATATTGAAAAGTGCGTATAATTTAAATCATTTACATAAAGTCCAAACACTTGTCGTTCACATTCCACTTAAAAGAATTCGAAATTCTTCATGGCCAACAATTGAAAGACTTAAAAATTTTCGAAATTCCCCTGGAAATTCCGAAACTAACTGAAATCATTTAAGAATTTAATCTTTACTTCTTCTGATGCTTTTTTATTCCCTCTTTTCTCGAGAGAAAAATTATTGTAAATGCAATGAAAAACGATAATTGGAAGCATTATTACTCTGATTATTAATACTTCATGAGTGATTGATTGAATTAAAGTATGTAGTATCTATCGTCCCTTTCGTGCTGATAAATATTTTTTTGATTTATTTCACGTAAAAATAGCACAAATTTCGAAAGTAGCCGTATGACCTGAAAACCAGACTGTTGTTAAAGGTAAATATTCAGAAGAATGAATGATGTGCCTTTATATGTGATGAACGTCCGTGTTCATAAACCAGCTCGATTAATGTTTATGGTACATGTGATGGAAATTTTTCATCTCAAAACTTTTCAACCAACGAACGGTAATAAATTTTACTAAAACGTTCATTCGAACACATTTTTTCAATTTGAAAATTTAACCCATTCATTCATATATCTCATCTCATCGCAGAGAATGTTATCCATTTCGTTTGTCCTTTCGCATGAGATTCTTTTAGAATCCGCTTTTAAGCTTTTTAGCGGATCGTGTAAAATTTAAATTTCAGGCTTAAGCGTGTACACAGGGGTCACAACTAATTCTCTTATTATAGGATTTTACTTTACATAACAGTCAACACATTCTGAGAACAACTATCAACTTGAGGTAGTTGAAATGATTTCAGAAATATCCATGACCATTTAGCTTTTCTGCATTTTTAGTTCTCATCCCTGATAATGCGTTGAACGCTACGCAAGTTTGCGGCAATAAACCTCAGATCGCCTCTTCTGACAGGTCAAAAAATCGTTATCAACTTCGGATGAAATTATTATGCCAACAAAAGCAAGAATAGCGACCACCGTGTCATACCAACAGTTAAGTTTTCTCTAAGCTTTTCAAATTTTGCTGACTTTCAGCAGGGAGTCTGAACGAACACAATTTATATTCTGTGTGGAAAACACTTCTTCTTTTTTGAGTTTTCAAACAGCTAGAAGTAACAAAAAAAAATGGTGAAAAATATGCAATGAAACGAGCTTGCTAAAGGTAAAACTTATAAAAAGGGAAATTATTAAAGAAAAAATATAAACAATTTAGAGCTCCTTAGCACAAGGCTTAGAGTTCTTGCAATGTTAACGAAATTTGCATATTTTTAAAATGAAGGAGCATAAGAATTGTTTAAGAGAAACAATGAGTATTATATGTTTTAGGGTTAAAATGAAAAGTATGTAAATATTTCATTTCGGCACAAATTTTTACAATGACGTCTTCGTCTCTTATAAAAACTCAATTATTAATTTTAATTAGAAAATCTGCATAAATAATAAAAATAGAAAATAAACATAAAGTTTTGAATTATAGCTCTATTTATAAAAAACAATTTCTGTTTTCAAACAGATTATTTTAAATAATTCAAAAGATTAAATACAAAAAATCTTAAAATCTTAAATCTTGTTAGGTATCCTCACACCGCGGTGTGCGAATGCTTAAAATAAAAAATGAAAACACATCGATGAAATGAGTGAAGAAATATTTATACAAACAGGTAAATTAACACTATGTAGATGAATGGGATAATTTTAGTATCATCACTATCTGTATAAATTTATTTGATTTTATCTTGATGACAAGACAGCTGCCTACGGCTAAGTAGCAAGAAAAATGTAAGAACTGTTCTCGTCCTGCTAACATTGCCTTGAAGTTCATACATATAACATTATAATTGCGTGCTTCAAGTTATTATTCATATTAACCTTCTCTTTTCGGTTATATTTACCTTAGCTTGTTGATGTTAGGTTACCGCTGTTGATGATTGCTTGCATAATTATGCTGTCTGTTTCAATAATTTTCTGTATCATTTTGTTTAAAAAGATTACGCAACAGGTTGCTGAAAAATTGTTGAATTCTAAATTAAAATTCAAGGATATTGCTATTTATGCATATCTTGTTGGATTTCCGACAAATCATGAGCAATAAAATTCAATGAAGCACTTAAAATGTCATATTATTAAAGTTATGCATGTTGAAATGAGAATTAAGATTTATTTCCATGATTAAGTCGGTAAATCAATGATGGATGTTGAATTTAATTAAAACCTTTCAGTTAGTTGATATTCATCAATTTTCAGCACAGTGATGCTTAACATTTGACATGAATTTTTGATTTTTCATGAACTGAAAATATAAAAAATTCACTCGACACATTTTAAAACGTCTTCACATCTGATCTTTATTTGATTGTTAGAACGCTAACACACAGCAAGCCACAAACTCAACTACACATGCTTTTGATTACGCTCACACTCTATTCAGACATAATATCGTTTGTTTGTAATATGATTCTAGGCGTTAAATTTCTCTGTCAAAAATGTTTCTTTATATGGCACTTGAGCCGATGATTGACATGTTGTTTTAGCTTTTTTATGAATTTGTTTGTGAAAATAAACAAAATTTTATTATTTTTTGTTTTTCCTTTATATTTTCTTCACACAATCGTGGGAATTTTCATCTTTTGTTTAGATATACATAAATACTTATGTACAACTAGTTATATACAAACAATGGCAAACCTTTAAGACATTTATTCTCACTAAATATATGTATGAAGGAAACTATTCACATGTGATTAGGAACCATGAGAACAAAGCAACTTAAAATCCTTGTTTTCATTCCATTTTTTGAGATTTTTTCTTTTGTTTTCTCATGACAAATTTATTTTCTTTCTAAATAATTCATGGTTGTCAATTTTCCATAAACAGTCAGTCGTTATCGGATTTACGACAAGAGAAATAACGAGAAAAAAAACAATTTCTAACTTACTCTGCTGTCTACTTAAAAATACATAAGTCTGTAGAGCACAAAAAAATAAATAAAAACTGATATTAATCGCTCCACTAAGTTGAGAGAAGTATATTCATCATTCTTCTTTGCGAAACTTTTTTTTAAAGGATTTTCGACGTCATTCTATGACGTTCTGGTTGTTGCATCAATTATGGAGGATTCTGGTTAATAATTTACGTTTCCATCAACTTTTTATGGAAAGGTTTTAATCAAAAATTTATTTTCTTTTTACCTTCATAAATATGTTCAGCGATAAGATTTATGTTAATGTCAAGCCGTTCTACACTTTTTGTTTGTTTATATTGTTGAAAGGGTTCGGGTTTTGTTTTTACGACAGTGGTAATTCAACATCTTAATTGTTTAAATTTCTGCTCATAGGTCTCCAACATATCTGAAACAAAGATCAAGATGTGGGCTCTTAAATATCTAAATTTTCGTTGCTAAATTGATTTGATTTCGATCTTTAGATTTGAAGAATTAAATAAAAAGAAGCAAAATTTTACCTTTTTATGGACACGAGTGTTTTTTTCTTCTTTTTATTTCTAAATCTTTTTTCTACCTTTATCAATACACAGTGGATTAAAAAAATTGAACAGAATATTGTGAAATGAACTGTAAGCTGCTTCTTTCTGTAATCGACATCACGTTCTAAATACGATTTCGTTCATTTATATCTAATGAACTTTCCAAATTATCTACCTCGATTTGAATATTTTACTTAGCAAAACTTGGCTTCTCATTTACCTATCATGAGATTTACGAGTTTGTGCTATTATATTTGTAAAACATGAAAGTTCAATAAATTATTTGAAATAATGAAGTTTATTCTTGAAAAAATTGTAGAAAGTTATGAAATCATTTTGATACATTTCCATTTTTATTCATTGATTAAATTAAATTGATTTGTGTAAAATAAAAGTTGCATGAAAAATAAAATTAAATGAACTTTAATAAGTAAATGTAATCGTGTTAGATATAATCATGAGGTCATCAAAATTAATTATCTAAAATCTAAATCCAATTCTAATGATTCGAAACCATAAATTTTACTCTCATCTTAGTTTTCTAGAAAACATTTTTAAATTTCTAATCATATCGATAAAGCTTTTTTTTATTTAAAATCAATTCAATTACCACTTTTATTATGTAGCACAATTATAGTTTTTACGGAGTGACTCACTTCAAATGACGGTCACTTTTATGTATTTTTTTTTTTTCGTCAGCGTAACTTACTGACAAGGCACACTTATATAATCGATATAAATGTACATACATATAAATATATAAATATCTTCAAATGTGAAAAGTCATTAAAACCTTCAAATTGTCTGTCAAGTAAGGTTTAAATTTTTTGAATTCTTAATTTCGTCTCTTTACATCACTTTTTTGCATTGCATACAACACAATTGTTGTTAATATTGTATGAAGTCAAAATATTTGTGATTTTGAAGACCAAATCGTAAAAACCTTAAGAATAATGTTCAAGTTTTCACTCCTGTAAAAACTTGAGTCATAAATCTTAGTGTTTAAACTTGAGAAAGAACATAACTTTTTTCATTCTTCTGTATAGGTATATATTTTTCTGTTTTTGAAATGTGATAACGTGTAAAGAAGCTTTTAAGTTAAATTACTTATTCAAGTGAAAAAAGGTTTTAATTAATTGACACATCTTTTCACGCCCTTAGAAGTTTCTTTTCCTTATTCTTTTGAGTAGATACCTCCATTACTTCAATACAATTTATCCTGATTTCAATGGTCCATAAAGTGAATGAAGTTATGTGTTGGTGGGGAAATCAGAGAAGAAACTCAAACTCAAATAATGACTATGCGCTATTTCAAAGATTAGATTCTCAAAAACAAGTGTAAAATCAGAAAATAAAAGTAGAAAACCAATTCATTTAATATATAGAAGTCTGGTTTCTTTTTTGCGCCAAATTTTGTAAAACAATAAAATATTTTATAAATGCTTTATAAATACTCAATTTTTTTCATTTTTTCACTTTCCTGGGATTATTTGAAGCTTTGCGTTCCTACAAGGTCGCATTGTTGGATATGAATTCAACGAAACGAAACGGAGCATAAACCATGAACATTTTTCTTCCTACTCGCTATACTACTTCATGTTGGCTTCGGTTTCTTTCTCGTATTCTAATTTTTTCTTTCTTTCTTTCTTTCTCCTTGTCAAAAGTCTCCTTTCTCACTTTTCACGATGTATATTAGGAATTTTTCACAAAACCCTTCTTAGAACTACCTTTTTCTGGATTTATTTGGTGAAAGTTCACTGATGCTTGAGGTGGTGGTGGCAAACTGATTTCGTCAGCCGTATAAATGGAACGGTCATCTAATGGAAACTTGAAATTTATTTCTGTTCCAGTTATTAATGATCCTTCAAGACATTTTTCATTGTCCTGTTCTGCAAATAGATAGATGAAATAATTTTAAAGCCTTAATAAAGTCCGAAAAAGATTAAGGGAAATCATTGTTGTAAGTAAAACCATTAATAAGCACCATGAATAAAATCAAAAGTTATTATGATAATTAAAGCCATTAGTCGGTTTGTTACCTTCTTTTCCATCCTCTCGAGTATAGTAGAATGCTCTTTGCCTTGTCAGAATTGAGATTGAGACAATAATTATCAGTAATAGGAGAACGAAAATTGATGCTCCCATAATAGCTAGAACATTGACCCGGCTTTCTTGTAGGAAGTTATAAGAAGTAACTGCCGAGTCTACAGTTTCATCAGCAAAGTTCTCAAAACAGTGAACAAGATTATCTCTTCTTAAGCGATTGATAGGACGTCCTCGAAGATGCTGTGGTTGAAAACATTTTGGCATATACTTCCACTTCATCTGTGAAAAGAAGTAAACAAACTGTCAATCTTCATTATTAATTTTCTCACTTGTTGATATAAAGTCACCTCAGACTGACGCTTTAGAATAGATTCCATGTTACATAAGTCACAGATGAATGGATTGTAATCAAATTTTACGCTCTCAATCTTGAGAAGCTTTTGAATAAGTTCGTCGTCAAAGCCACGTAGTTGATTCCTCGACAAATCCAATTCCTTTTCAATGACAAAAACATAATCAAAGTAAGGAAACGCTCGGCAAATAATATTCTTTGATGAAAAGAGATATCTACAATGAAATGTTTTCATTTTTTACCTTTAGCATTGTCAATGAAGCCAAAATTGTGTTCGTTTCATTTCTAAGATTCGTGCCGGAAATGTTAAGCATTTTAAGCTTGCTTAATGGTTTAAAAATGTTAGATGGAAGATTAGTGATGTCAGCAATTGCAAGCGAGTCTAATTCTGTGAGGTTTTCAAAAACTTCACGTATTCCAAACAAACTCATTTGAACGTTTCCACTAATGTTGAGCACACGAAGCTTTGATAAATCACACATATAATCCAAAGCAAGATCTGAAAGCTTGTTGTACGATATGTCTAAATGAGTCAGATTTGATAAATTGACGAAAGCTTTATCCGATATTTTTGCCAAGCGATTGCGCGATAAATCTGCAAATAACGAATCGAATAAACAATGAGAAACTTTAGCTGTTTCCTCTTATTTTCAAAAGCCACGACCAGAAATTTGTGATGGCAAATTGATTTTCAAAAGAGCGAGTTCTTAAAATGATTTATAGATAATGCAAATATTTACCGAGATATTCCAGACTCTTTTGCCGAATAAATATGTTGTCGACAACAACTGACAGTTGATTCCCATCAATATTAAGCCTCTTTAAGTTCTTCAAATCCTTGAATTCATCCTTTTCAAGATACTTGAACTTTACGATATAGAATAGAAAAGATATACATAGATATGCATTAGGTATTTGGTATTTGGTTCCAGTGTGAACATCAAAAACGTTTGTAAATTTCAATGGCTTTCAGCGTTCTCATGAGTGCTCGAGCATGAGAATAAGATTAGTAATAAATATGTGTGTCCTATTAAATGATAAGAGCCTAAAAAGAATTTTCTCTCTCATTTCAGTTCATTGAAATGTCATGAAAAGAACAATAATAATGTGAAGAAATCACTGTTGAAATTTCTGCACAAGCCTGGAGGATTTAAAAGTAAAGATTTTCTCTCGATGTAAACAAAAAAGAAGGAAAAAATAATGATGATAAGAAAATCGAAATAAAAAGCTGCTTAAAAGAGAAGAAAGAAAAAGTAGGAAGTCTAATAGAAAAATCTTCATGAGAAAAGGGAAGAGAAGAAAGAAATCAAGTGTAGGAGGGAATCGTTTGTGTAAGCAGTTTTCATATATTTTTCTGTCTCACAGCTAAAAGAGGCAAATGGAGAACAATCGACAGTCTTATGAAGATTAAATGGTTCCATATAGCAAGAAGAATGCCCATGACCACTATTAAATAGATTACCTGATTATCTCCGAGATCAAGCTCTGTCAGTTGCCACAGCAGGTGATAAAGTTGTGGGTTAATTTTGGTCAGTCCACAGCGACGGCACTTTAATGTTTTAAGATCCTAGGTAGGTAAGGATGTAGGAAATCGAAGATTTATGGTTATGAAGTACAAATCTCTATGTCATTTTATTATTAAATCATTTACCATAATGTCTCTGAACACGTCTGGTGTTAAATCGTCAAATGGATTTCCACTCATGTCAAGATATCTTAACTTGGCTAACTGTTGAAATGTTCGCGGTACTAACTCTTCCAAAAAATTTTCCGCAAGGCTTAAAGTTCGCAAACTCTGTAATATTTATGTTAATTTGTTGTTTTACAAATATTTTCATTCCATTAAAATTCAATTATACATACTTTTAAATAAACGAAAGCTCCACTGGGAATCCTTTCCATTATGTTATAAGACAAATTCAATTCTATTAAGTTCTGTTGGCCTTTGAAATTGTCAGTAAAGATCTGAGATATGTTATTACGTGATAAGTCTAATGTTCTCAATGATGGCACCCCCCAGAAGGAGTGTTCTCCAATGGCAGGCACATTAGCCTCTGTAATTCTTAGTATTTCGAGTTTCTTAAAGTCTGTGAACAGGTGGCCAATTGTAAGCTTGTGTTTAGGATTTCTAATAATTATAATCTCCATTTTTTTATCCATTTCATTGATTGGGATTTGTTCCATGTTTCCTCTGTCGCAAGCTGTGTAATAGCGACCACTATTATCTAAGTCACAAATGCAATCCTTTGGACAGCTACTCAGACTACTTGTCAGAATAAAAGGCAACCAAAGCGTGAATAAAGCAACAATTATCCTCAAATTCTTCATGATGACTATACTGAAAAATAACAAAAAAATAATTAATTAAAATAACTGTGGTATATCAAGTGGAGAAGCATAAAAAAAAACAATTAGGTTAGCCAAACTTTTTTCGAATTCTTTTCCCATCCACAAAAAACGTATTGAAGCATATTTCTGATAACAAAACAAATTTTTATTAAAGATGTTGTAGCTTTGAATTTCGGAAAATTGCTTATGGTTAACAATAAAGCTGAATATTTTTAATTTTTTTACTGTTTATTTTCAGTTCACTTTTTAGATGGTTTTATGAAATTTGAAACTTGGCAAACTTGAAATATTCTCAAAGCTTATATGTTTTTAATGTAAAGTCCTCAAGGGCTTAACAACAAACACACCATTTATATGAATATGAATCTCAGATTGTTATGCTTTGATTAAAAACGAAAGAAAAATTTTATAGGAAAATGAAATTTACAATTCAGAAAGATTTTATTTTAAATTAAATGATTTTGCCTTAATTTTTTTTTTTCATTTCGTTGATTCATTTCTTTATTAGGTAGTAAAATATCTTAATGACATTTGGAAGCTTAGATATCTAAAAAAGATAATTATGTTGCCTTTAGGTTAATTCTTAATGATTTACCAAAATACTAACTTTGACTAGAACGTGTATGCAGCATAAATGATGACTGAGGGATATCACGAGATATCATGTTACGAAGAAAGGAAAAAAGGAAAGCAAATCATGAATAAATTATTCAAATCAAGTTCTTGTCGCTGTCTCAGCTTAGAGAATTCAAAAACGAATGAAAAAAAGCACGCCACAAGTAAAAAGTGATGCTGAAAGCTTTTTTAATGATTTGGTCTTAAATAATTTACTTATCTGTCGTCTACACTTTTTAAAAGCGATGATGACGCAGCAAAAAATAATTTTCGACTATTATCGTCTGATATTATGAATGAAGTTATTCCCTTTGAGATTCGTTTCTAATTACAGTTTCCGAGATAAAACGATATCCCCGGACCCACTTGAACGTTTTGAATTAAAATTTTAGGTTGCGTTTGTTTGTTATTCTTCAAACTTTATTAATTTTCTTGCCATTTAACGAAGGTCGAACATGGGATGAAGTTCTATTTTTTTAATTTGTAGTTTGTAGCAATTGGTCCTAAATCACGTAGCTCAAACTAAGAAAGATAATCTCAGAACAATAAAATATTAGATACACACAACTCTGAATTAAAATACTTCTGACCACTTCTCATAATTTAGGCCTCCGTTCCATAGGATGGTCCAATTAAACTTAAATTCTTCAAATGTACAAACACACCCATTGGGATAAAGAATCATAAATAGATATTATTTACGATCACGTTTCATCTTTTTCATAACAACGCGATGATATCTTTATTATTTAGAAAACTTTTCTTTTCTTCTTTCTTTTCTTTGATGAATTAAAGTAGCAAATTGAGTTGAATAACTTTTATGTTTCTATATTACATTGAACTAATTTACTCGATTTCTAACAATAGTCAAGAAAACAAAAATACATTCATGTTTACATTTCAAAACATTTAGGTAATTTGTTATTGTAGGTATGTAGGTAGATCAAACATTTCTCTTCACTGAGTGTCGAGAATCATTTAAAGACATTTGAAGTTGAACTTTTGTCTATTTTAAATAAGGCTCTATTAATTTTAATAAGCACCTTGTTTATAATTATTGAGTAAATATGGTTGCTTAACTGTGAGTAATCTCTTGACTATAATTTATTAAACAAGAACTTCCATAAGTCATTTCAGCTTTTTGATTTGTCTATTGTGTCAATTGCTGATGAATGCATGACAAAAGATTTCAAAAGACAATGTTAATGTGTATTTAATTAAAAGTTGAAAATATTTCGGCGTCAAAATTTCCATGACGATAACTTTTTTGTGAATAAAAAGTTTCTTCGGCTAAGATAGACTCATCATCACTTAATATTCATCCGTAGCCTATTAAAGACCTTGTGAATTGTGCTGATGAATGAAATGATTCTTTTTTAAGCATCGCTAAGGGACAATAAAACGAAGCGCCTCAGTTGAGTAATTTTATTCTTTATTAAAATTATCTTTTTAGAATATCAACGTTCTATTTCTTTTCCCCAGATGTGAATGTACATTAGTGAAATATAATGATTGTTGTAACTTTAGTTTTAATGCATCTGTATTGTATATAAATTGTAAATTATGTATCTATTCGGAATTGAGCAAACGGAGAGAAACTTTGCGTTTTTAAATGGTTGTAAGCAGTGTGATTCGCATACACATTTGATCGTGATATACTTTAGCTAAGTGGAAGAAGTAACAAGTTTCGGATGGAAGCACACAATCATCTTCAGTTTTTTGTGACTTTTAAAAGTTTTGGTTGGGAGTTTCCTCCATAAATTCTGTTAAAATAAATGAACTCAGCAGTCAGAGCAGGCATTCAACAAATTGAAACAAACCAAGAATCAGTTATAGCTTTATAAAGATTACAAAAAATTAAATAAAGGGTTTTTCGATCAAGACACTTTTAGACATTTTAACGTCCTTCTAAGGGATTAAATTGAGTTTCTGATATTTTTTATTCATTCAAAGATTCGTATTAAAATTCACATGATGTTCATGATCTTAATAACTTCATGTTATCCTTAAAGTCTATGTTGGGAAGCACATGTGCAAATACATATTGTAATGTTGATGACTTAACAATTTGCTTTCTTTCTTATAAACATTTAAGGAACTGGCAAATTTCAAATCAGATTCAACTTCTTAATTCTTGTTAGTCATGTTATTAAGTTGGTCTTTAATACAATGTGTTTGAACATAATCCTTTTCCGGTTTTCCTTCTTTTTGGCTTCCATCCATTGTTTCAGTTTCAAAGATAGCCGTCAGCAAGTTGGAGTGGCAAAATCTTCGGCAGGTGGTTGCTTTAATTTTATATTTATGTTCAAGAAATTTTGTGTACAATTTTTGTAAAGCGTGAAAGAAATAATTCAGCAAGCAATTTTTTCCCACAATATTCTCTCATTCTGTTCTTGCCTTTTTATTCGTATCTCAAGTCCCTTCAATGTCTGAGGCTCTTCAATGAATAATGATAACCATTAATGGTCGTTAAAGTTTTTTAGTCAGAAACCACAAGGAACGAGACAAATGCAAAGTTTTAGGCTTAATTGTGATCCGTAAAAAGAAAGCATAAATAAGGTTTTTCGATGAGTAAAACAATAACAAAAGCAAAAACCGGTGGAAGCGAAGGGACGTGATAAACTGGTAGCTACTTAAATATAGCATGTTTTCAATGTCGAATTTTAAAATACAAGAATTAAATCATAATAAGATAATAATGAAACAAGGCAGGACGAATGAATGACTTTCAAACGAAGACGATTCACTGTCATTATGTGCATAATTGCGAATCAAAAACTCGTTCTTTTTGCTGATTTTTATTCTTTGTTTATTGATTTATTCCGTTGTATCGTTATACCAGCGGAAGAATAATAAAAATATAAAAATACAATATCTTTGACAAAATACAAGTATAATTTTATGGCGAAATTATGGATCAAACGAAAAGCTGATAATGACGATATAAACTCAGAAAAGGCGTTACTTTTCCGTTTTGATTACTTGGAAGTTTTTAAGCAAGTTCCTTTAAATGCAAATTGAATAATCGATAGCTTCTTTACAACTTATCTTCTTCATCAATTTCTTATTATTATTTCTGCTTACTTTGAATTTCAAAAGAATCATTCATCTGAGTTATTCAATTAGTTTGTTGAGGGAAGAACGCAAAATAAATGATTTAACTATATCAATTCATTCAATGTCATTTAGCATTACAATCTCAATAAAATGAGATACGAATAAAGCCCGAAGGAAGTTGCAATCGAAATGAAATTCATTTTTTTAAGTAGAACTCTATCATATAATTTTAATTTTTCAACAAACTAAATGAGCGTTCAGTTATTAATTTCGATTTATCTGAATGTGTTTTTCTCTTTGTCTACTTTTTTTTAAGTGTTTAAATCATAAAATTTAATCCCCCCAGAGCATCTTCAGAACAATAATTTTTATCCTCCAAATGTAACGCTTTCTTTATATCATGAGATAAGTTTTAAATAGTCTTGAAAATTATTATGCAATTAAAGAAAAAAAGAATAGTAGTGTAGTAAATGAAAAAGAGATATTAACGAGAAAGGCAAATAAAGCCAATTAAATGATTATAATCATTATTAAGTGTAATCATGAGCCTTGAATAGAATCTTTTGAATCAGCTGAGGGTCACCGAAAGAGGCGAAGAGATCTAAAAGGTTCCCAATTATTAAAATTAATTGATGTTCCTTCTTCCTTTTAGCCTTTTCCTCACTGAATTTTGAAGCATAATTTTCTCACTTTAAGCCGTTCGTTCTCTTTCTCTCTATCTATTACCTTCATCAACATTAAAACAGATATCAAGCTATCTGTTTAGTCATTCAATTTTTTTCTCTCATCTGAATGGCAGAACGGGACGAATGGGACTACATGGATTCACAGTTAAATTTCATTAATTACAATTATACAGTATTTTTTCATGGGACGCTTCTTTCTAAAAGGTTTTAGCCATTACCTCAATTTTCCTTTTTGTTTCAAAACTGTTACGAGTGCGAGTTTCCACCGACAAATGCTTTCGTTTCCATGAGCTTGTATATATTTGTCTTTGTTATTAATTGAAATTGCAAAACATTTCAAACTTGTCATTCCCGAGTAAAATAATTAATTTTATGAAGGGAGACAATGAATGAATGAAAATTTATCAGTATTTCGTCATCGACTCGTCATCGTCGGAAGTTAAAATAACTGTTGTTCTTTTACACGGTCGGCGGTTGTCAGCTTGATGAGTGCGAATATTTCTCTCTATTCATTTAATTCTTCTTTCTGTTCAGATCATAATGAAGTATACAAAGAAGAGTGAATTGATTAAATTGAAGTAAGTTTATTCATTTACTATTCATCTTGAACCATTAACATCAAGTGATGTT